TCGTCAATCTCTCCGATGAGCACACTGGGGATGAAAGTGTGAGAGCATTGTTATAATTGAGTGATCTCACGCACATCATGTCGCCTTTGACAAGGTAGAGACCTAGTTCTACTTCTTCTACACCTTCGTCGATGCTATAAATCCTCTCTTTTGAATCACTGAGGACCACATTTGATTTTTGGTCATAACCAGCTAGAACGCCGACGATGGCTCTTCCGTCTTGCAGTACCAGAAGGACTCGCCCTAAATTATCACCAGTTATTATCAAGATGAAAACGAGAAAGCTTGGACTCGCTATCGACGTAACCCTGCAAGCTTGACATTGAAGTTGCGGTAGGACGCTGTGTGGCTGTGTTTATTTCCAGGGGTCGTATCAACCGTTTCATCAATACTCGGGTCTCGTCACTTCTTTCTTCCTACTTACGACGAAGCTTCTCCATAACGACGTCGAACCACCACACACGACGCCATTCGCGACTCCAAACCATGGAGAAACATGAATTAGAGAAGCTTACATCTGTCGAGCTCGAGGAAGTTCGTCAAAATAGAGACCTTCCTTCGCCTGCCACTGCACAACAACCTCGCAATCGTGCAAAGTTTAGTGCCGCTACGATCATTCCAGTGTGGATTGCTCTCAGTAGTGGAGTCATCATCTACAACAATTACATCTACAACACTTTAAACTTTAAGTATCCAGTCTTTTTGGTCACTTGGCATTTGACTTTTGCGGTCAGTTTTTCGTCTTTTCTTGATACTCTTACTGATACTTTAAGTAGGCTATCGGGACTCGAGTCCTTCAACGTACCACACATCTCTTGGACGGTGCAAAGGATGTACCAGTCAGCAAAGACATGTTCTTACGCTCCATCCTGCCCATCGGTCTTCTTTTCTCTGGCAGTCTCATCCTCAGCAACACTGCTTATCTATACCTGAGCGTGGCATATATCCAGATGCTCAAGGTCCGTTAATCCCATGCGTTATCTTTCTCACACTTTTGGCGCTGTCACTTTGATAAACTTCCCCGTTTCTGTTCAACCTTCATTACCACCTCATCTCCGCTTACCCGGTACTACACACGTTGTCTCGTTTTACGCTATGCCTCGTGCGCGCTCCTGTGTACATTTCCCGTACTAACATCTACATAGGCCTTCACCCCCGTAGCGATTCTACTTATCACATGGGCCACCCGCATCAGTGAACCTTCTCGCAAGCTACTCCTCATCGTCCTCATGATTTCCTCTGGTGTCGCCGTCACAAGCAAGGGTGAAAGATTTTTCAGTTGGATTGGGTTTTTCATTCAAGCTGGAGGAGTCGGGGTGAGCACTGCTCTGCTTCGAGTCTAGGGACACACCTAACAAACTTTCCTCCCAGTTTGAAGCTACCCGCCTAGTCCTCATCCAAACCCTCCTCCACGGACTCAAGATGGATCCCCTCGTTTCTCTCCATCTCTACGCACCTGTCTGCGCCGTCATCAACCTCTGCGTTATACCTTTCACCGAGGGTCTAGAGCCACTCCGCATAGTATGGGGAAGTATCATGGGATCTTACAGTCATGCGATGTCTGCCGTATCAGGCGAAGCCGCATCCAACGCTACTGTCTCACTAGTCGGTGCGTCAGGAGAACTGCTTGCTGCTATAGGCGAAGAAGCAGCACCCCATATTACCCCCTTTTTCCTTCTCACAAACGCGCTACTTGCGTTCCTGCTGAATATCGCTGCGGTGTTTTTGGTGGGTGCTGGGAGCGGGTTGGTGTTGACACTTGCGGGGGTATTGAAGGATGTTTTGTTGGTTGCGGGGAGTGTAGCTATTTGGGGTGGGACGGTTGGCATTTTGCAGACTTTTGGTGCGTTTTCGTCGGATTTGATTTTGATGCTTGTCCTGTGCTGACATCTCGTGCAGGATACTCGATAGCGCTGTGTGGGCTGGTGATGTTCAAGGTGTCGGGTGGGAAGTGATTGTTTGATATCGGACTTTACCTGGGCCCTCCACCATCTATCGTTTATGCTCCCATATTGCCCCGACTCCTTCACTCGACTACATTTCCAGCACTTGTTTTTCACGACTTGCTCGAAGCAGTGTTCTATGCGCGCTCAGACGCGTCTATCTGATTAACTTGGATCGGTTTCCTACCACCATCACTTGATGGGCGATGGTAGCGGTCCTCTTGCATATTATTGCGTATTTTTTTTCTGTTTGTCGTCGCCACTAACCCTGTGACGACGTTTAAAACATATAGACAATTCACATGGACATGCTTATGACGCATATACAGACTCTGACTTGCGTACACCCGTTTCCATCTTACCTTCCATACCCTACGTAGCTTTCGCCATAGCTCGGCCCAGGGTGTCTTACTCGTACTGATTGACTCGCCGCCTGTCTTTTTGTGTTGACTTTGCTGTTTTGTGCTTTCTTCCTACCCTGCTCTCATACCGCACCGATCCATGCTTACTCGACCCTCGTGCCCTGCTCACTTCTCCGATGCAAAGCCATGCCAAATTTCACGAACTTTTGCAATGCTTTTGAATTTGTTATTTTGTGTTCTGTAGTTTGATTTCAGAAGCAATTACACATAGATTCGACTAACTTGACGCCGTCCGGACCAGGAGGCTGGCGCAGCTTGAGCACTGGAGTATTTGCTGCGTGATATTCCTATTGTTGTACGTGTCATTTTTTGTGTCCTGAATCTTGTTCCGACTGTATTCCCATTCATCAGCTTGTACATATTGCCTGTCGCACGAGTGACTGTCGTACTCCGTCTTGCGGTAGATCTTCTCGGCTATAGTATATCCTTCTTCCTGCTCGAGGTATCCCCATTCTTTTCCGAGGTGAAATGAGCGTGGTGCTGCATCCCAGCGCCACGCTCCCGATACGACACCGCAGGCAAGGTCTTGGCCCGGAACACCCAGAGTCGCTAAGCTTTGAATCGATAGCACCAGATATTCATCCAGCTTCGCACACGGGCAAATCACGGACATGATCCTTTCAATTTGGCGGAGCACAACCGTTACTAAGACAGCGAACTTGATTTATTCATGCAGTGTCACAGGGTAAATACAACAATGAAAACTGAAGTGATGAACGCACGAGCCGCGGGGAAAGGAGTGATATAAATTCCCGAAGTTCGGGATCTCATTTCCATGTCCTTCGGGTCCTTGGGCTTCTGCTGATATGCCGAAAATTTGATTCCTCTTGCTTGATCGGCGGCGGGTCGAATACACTTTTATCAAATCACAATTCATCTTGGCGACGAGCTTCTGAGTTGTGATAGTTTACAAGCAATTACGCAAAAGGCTGGCTTCATGCACTCTGGTGATATTCTGCCCTTTCGGTGATAGTGGATTTCTGTAAAGTCTTCATCACGTGTTACGTCGTCATTACCGCTGGGAGCTGCAAAGTGAGCTAAGACCCCAGGGTTACAGTGATAAAAACCGACACATCAATTTCCTCAAGCGAGAGGCAAATCGACAGAGGGCATAGGCGCATGACCTGCGCGAACGGGCTGTCAGATTAACGAGTGACGTAGGTGGTCCTCGAGGGTGGTTGGAGGGTAGTCGAGAACACTGTAGTGGCTGACGTTCGTGTGCGTTGAGTCTTTCAAAAATTTAGTAGATAATAATGGTAATTACGAAAGTGGATGCTCACGCCCTCGCGGCGATCGAGATAGTTGTGAGGTTACGGGAAATGTAGCAGAGAACTGCAAGGAGATCGCCAGGTATACTGTGAATGTAACGATGGAACAAAGAAACGTGCGTCTGAGTCAAGTGGATTACGAGGCTCATCGTCCCGAATAGAACAATCTTGCAAAGGTAGCGACGGAAAGCGGGTTGCAGTGGATGTGTGGCGGGCTGCTGATAGGTGAGATCTGAATGTGATTACGACGCACAGCACGGGGCATGGCGCTAGAACGCGAGAATGGCATTAGTAGAGTAGTGCAGATAAGTCGGGAATCACCTACGTGGAGTAGACACTGTTCTTTTTGTGTAGGCCACATGCTAGTAAAGACGTTAGGCGGAATGTCGTATATGTGGATCTTAGCATCCCAGTTCGGAGAGTAAGCCAGTTAGTAAAAGAACAAGAGAAGTGATGTTGACTCACGAGGCGAGTCGCCACTGGATCCGCTAGCGGGGAGAGCACTATCAAATAAAAGGGCTAGTCGACCACAGGGGAGCTCCTACAGTTTTCATCATTGACACATCGACCTGGTAGATTAGATCGCAGTGGGGTTGATGTCCACATTCAAGTTAAATGTGGCTGTTATGTTTGTGTCTGGCGCTCTTAGTACTGTCGTTTTCAGTGCACTCATACATCCAATGTTTGCGATTAGATATCCCATACCTAAAAGGTGCCTTCAGGTGTGGGATATCGAATCACAGACTGAGAGGTTTCACGTTTGACTTGACTGATCTTCTACGAGGCTGCGGTGAGAATCAGTCACTGCGGCTGACTAAAGTGGAAGGTCCTATACAGGCTTACTTAAGCATCGCCAAAAGCGGAGGAAGTGCGCTGCCAGTGGACGAGGGTACTAGGCCGCCTACTAGTAGTGGAAGATGGAACTTTGTAGACGAAAGGACTGTAAGTTTTTCACTAGAGGACCGTTAATGTTCCAGTCTGAACCCATATTTCATCTCTTTTTTTTTTTTTTTTTAAATAGAGTCACGGTAGCCGCGCTATTTCCGAACTTCTCCGCAGTGTTATATAGTATATTGAATAGGATTCACCACTAACTACCATCCTTAATTTTCGGAGGTCGTTGACTGCAATGGCGGGCCCCATGACCCGCTGCAGCTCGGTGGTTCAACAGTATAGACTCTACATTTCACATCATTGTGGTTAATCAGTCTACTGCCAATGACACGGCCTCGCTCATTCAGACCATCGTCTCTGCAGTCCATAGCGGACCCTTGGCTTAACGGTATATCTAGTAGATGAGCTTGAGGGCTATTTGCAGCAAGAATAACCAAGTCCCACTGCAATGGTGGATCCATAATCAAAAGACATATCCAAATTTGCACCGCATGGTACTTGTATTCCTGGTAGGTTGTGCACCATTGCTCTCACTAGCATCACAACTTATGTGTTACACACCATAGCTACCTTGTCGAACATGTATTTTCACAAGGCTGGCACCTTCTATGCTTTACTCGAAACCTCTTGTCTCCTTCGTCAACCCGTGCATTCCTCTGTCTTGGTTCATAGCACCGCTGGGGTCTGGTAGCGCCCAAGGACCTTACTAAGATCTCTGAAGAAGAGAAAACGAGAGGACGAGAGCGTTATCCCCTACACAGTTTACAATTTCTTGTTTGTGTACCCGCGGGTAAATGCAACAACGCGGGTAAGCTGCTATCCGTGGGTAAATGCAACAACGCAGGTAAGCTGCTATCCGCGGCTTAGTATGGGTAGTGGGGTTAGGGTGCGGTGTTGATCTTCTGACCGTGGGTATACCTGTGCTATACCTATCCCCCAAACCTATCTGTTACGCTCGACGTCTCCTATGACACGTGTAATCAAAGATACAAGTCTTAGTTCGATGTTGCACAAGTAAAGCAGTAGATTGCAGGCCCTGGTCTGCGTAGGTCAAGTTAAAGAATACAAGCGTATGAAAGAGGGTTTAAGTAATGAATGGAAAATATGTTAAAGCGGAGCTTGAATATATTTTAGCAAATCAGAAAAGGAGAAAGGAGAATCGTACGATAGAACATTATAGAATGTAATGGAATGATTAGATAATGTGGGAAAAAGAGTAGAACTGTAACATTACCCCCGTTTTAAGGGTAGTAAGCACTGATTACTAAATAAAATGTCAAAGGTGTTGTGCTTGTTTATAAGAAAGAAGAATTTCGGAAGCGTTACCTAGTTGCCTTTCTGTCATCCATTTGTTCTCGGAACTCGGGAATCCTTTCCATTTCACATGGTAATAGCGTCTAGATGCTGTGCCTCGATGACCAATAATAGCTTCGATTTCTTGCTCTTCTTCTCTGTCAATGACGTCAGGAGGTGGAGCGACAAAGTTAGGACCGTGGGTGTCGTTCTCTTTATAAGGAGATAAAAGGGCGGCGTGGAATACAGGATGGATACGCCATTGTGCAGGTAGGTTTAATTTATAGGTGATTGGGGAAAGTACTTCGGAGATGACAAAGGGTCCTTCACGTTTTGGCGCAAGTTTCCGATTGGGATATCCTAGGTGAAGGTTTTTGGCTTCGAGCCATACTTTGTCGCCTTTAGAGAATGGTACAAATTTAGATGTGATTCGTTGACACATGGTGTTCCTAGATAGTTTGTGGGCAGCTAGCGCTTCGTCACGTGCTTTGTTAAGCATAAAGAGTCGTTGTTCGATATTAGGATTATCGGTCTTTGGATGAGAATCGGGGAGGTGTTTAGGGTGATATCCCATCATGAGATAGAAGGGGGAAGCATTATGGGCGGAGTGATGATGAGAATTGTGTACGAATTCTGCAAGGGGTAATATGGGAGCCCACCCGGTCTGGTCGTTGGCACAAAAGATCCGGAGGTAGACTTCGAGTTCTTGATTGACTCGTTCGGTCTCTCCATCACTTTGAGGGTGAAATGCGGTGGAAAGGGAATTCTTGTAACCGAGTAGTCTTCCGAGTTCGATCTGGAATCTAGAGGCAAACTGAGGTCCGCGGTCAGAGATAATTTTATTGTATAGTCCATATCGTGAGAAAACTTTAGAGAAGAAAATGTTTGCTATGCCTTCGGCGTCAATAGTTTTGTGACAAGGGGTGAAAATTACCCCCTTCGAAAGGCCATGGTCTACCACGACCATGATGCTATCAAAGCCGTCAGAAGGGGGGAGGTCGGTAATGAGATCGACCGAACAATGGGTGAAAGGTCTTGTAGAGATGGGTGCGGGTATAGGAAAGAGTGGAGGTGACGATGGGTGTGTGTTGACTTTATTCTGTTGGCAAATACTGCATCCGTCAATGTAGTTCTTTACGAACGTGGAGAGTCCGGGCCACCAGTAATCTCGTGAGAGAAGTTCCTGGGTTTTATAGCATCCGGGGTGTCCTGCCGTAGGGGAATCATGATGTAGGGAAGTGATCTCCTTTCGGAGTTCGCTGGGGGGTACGTAAGTGAGTCCTTTATAGATAAGGATTCCGCCGTCCAGTTTCCAGTCGGAAAGGGTGGAACGGAGTGGAGGTGGTATGGAGGGATCGGAAAGCGCTTGTAACGCTGTGTGTACTACTGGGTCAACAGCAGAGGAAATAATAAGTCTGTCCGTAAGAGAAGTGTCAATGGTTTTAACGAAGAGTGAGTCAGGAAGGAGTTGGATAGCTAGATTGTCCTTTTCGACGTTATCGTCAGGAAGGTGATCCGATCTACAGGATAATAAGTCAGGTATGATAAGGTCTTTACCCGGTACGTGTTCTATATGTAAGTTGAATTGAGAAAGGAAAGTTTGCCAGCGTGCTTGGCGTCTGTTCAAATCTTGTACATCTCTGAAATATTGGAGGTTTTTATGGTCAGTTTGTACAAGGACAGGAAAAGGGGATCCTAGGAGATGATGTCGCCAGGCTTTTAAGGCTCTGACAATCGCTAGGAGTTCTCTGTCATAGATTTGATAATTTCGTTCAGCCGGGTTAAAAGATTGTGATAGGAAAGAACATGGTAACCAATTTCCGTTAGAGTCTTTTTGAAGGAGTACTGCTCCGGTTGCATATAGAGAGGCGTCAGTGGCGATGGAGAACGGGGATACTTTGTTCGGAATCTGTAAGATAGGGGATGACGTAAATATGGACTTTAGTTTTTGGAAAGCGTTTTCGCACTCGGAAGTCCATAAAAATACTTCGTCTTTCTTGGTTAGATCGATCAAAGGTCTGGCGATAGATGAATAATCGGCGATAAACCGTCTGTAAAAGTTAGCGAAGCCGAGGAATGATCGGACTTCTTTGACTTTTGTAGGAGTCTTCCATTCAGATATACCTTTGAGTTTAGCGGGGTCCATGGCTAGGGAACCCAGTTTAATGATCATACCGAGGTATTCGATTTCTTGTACATTGAAAGTGCATTTTTTGGGTTTGAGGTGGAGGAGGTTATCATGTAATCTTTGAAGTACTCTGTGTGTCCGTTCTTGATGTGTGGCAAAGTCGTTAGAAAATATCAGTATATCGTCCATATAAATGATTATCCATCCTTCTTGGATCATGTCTCCGAATATTTCATTCATCATCGACTGGAAGGTGGCGGGTGAATTGCACATGCCAAAGAACATTACCGTTGGTTCGAATAGTCCTCGTGACGTCGCGAATGCAGCTTTCCATTGGTCAGATTTTCTCATACGTACGTTGTTGTATCCCCATCTAATATCCATTTTGGTGAAAATCTTCGCATCGCGTAGTTTATCTATCAAGTCGGGTATGAGTGGTAATGGATAATTGTTCTTAACCGTGTGTTCGTTGAGATATCTATAATCTTGGCAGGGTCGGAGAGATCCGTCTTTCTTGCCGACGAAGAAGAAGGGAGATGATTGTGGTGATTCGGAGTGGATAATGGTGCCTTTCGCTAGGTGTTCATCGATAAATTCGTTCATGGCTTTTTCTTCTGCGGGATTAAGTGGGTAAATTTTGCACTTGCGCGATGAAAATGTTTCCTTGAGATCGATTTTATGGTCAAACTTGTGTTCTGGGGGAAGGGTTCCGTTAGCTACATCACCAAATACATCTTTATACTTTTGGAACTCTTTTGGGACGAGTTCTTCAAAGGTTTTCTTTGGTTTCGCGAATTCTTGTGCGAGGGTTTGCGACAAGTTTTCAGTTTTCCTTACCAGTGTGCTGTGTGCCGAGTAATACCTATGGTCAAAGGGGATGTGTTCGTTAGTGAGGGGAGTATCGAAGTCAATACTTTCGTAAACTCCGACGACGTGGTCTCCTTTGCAATAAGCTATTAGGAGATCGTCTTTGTCGAGAACGAGGTGTTCGTCTTCATCAATGTCTGTTTCGGTGTCAAGAAGGTCAGGGAGGTCGTTAGTGTGATAATCGGAGGAAGTAGGAAGGGTTTCTTGGGCAGGGTCCCATTCGTCTTCTAATTCTTCTGATGCGTCATAAAAGACGTCTTCTTCTTCTATTTCTTCAATAGAGGTTTTGATGCTTCGTTCGCGAAGGTGTATTTCGTCCGCAGTCCAATCTATATCAGGGTTTTCTTTCTTTAGCCAGGAGATTCCCAGAATAGCGTCTTCCCCTCCCAAGGAGGTAATAAGGAAGTGTGTTTTCATGGGAATTCCTCGTACAGAGAAGGATAGATTACAGTACCGTGTGATTTGTCCATCTTTGTTGAGCGTACCATCCACATTTCGTACGGGTATGGGTTTATCGAGTTCATGAAATTTGATAGAGTTCCTTCTGACAAATTGCCAGTCGATGAACTCCCCTTCGGCGCCTGAGTCTATCAGGGCGGCTGCTTCGGCGGTTTTATCGGATCTAGTTGAGCTAATGGTGAGTGGAATATGCATGTTACGACTTGGATGGTATCTGTTGGCGATGCTCAAACAGAGCTTGTGTCGTCAACGGTCGAGGACGTCCTTGGGCTAGCCCAAGGTTAGGGGTCTTACTTGGTGAGGCTTCGGCAAGTAAGATTTGACACCTATGTCCAAATCGGGTAGCTTATGTCAAGCGGGTGCGAGACGATAAGCTATATCGGCCAAGGCTTACGACACCCAAAGGTTAATCGTAAGATCGTCGTTAATTAGAAGGACAGAAGTCCGACTAGTTAACAGGGGCTTTGCTCGTCGACGAAATCAATGAGTAAAGATCGAGACTATAGGCTTATCCGCGAAGAGCAGATAAGAAGATAGAATATAGACTGCTGGCGAGGCAGAAAGGATCACTCTGGTGAGAGTAGGAGGTCAAGAACCAAGTAGATTCAAGTTAGGGAATATAGTACATGGTAGCGAGTTTATATAGAGGACAGGAGAAGTATTAGTGGGTGATAACTCGTACTACCAAGAGAAGCAATCGGTAAAGGGTATAACCAAAAAAGGAAAGCACGTTCGCATTGAGACACAGGCGAGGCAGAACGTGCTGGATAAGAAAGTGAGTCAAAAGTTGAAATAAGAAGTGAAACGCGCAGGGGCACGGTCGTGCAGCTGCAGAGCTATCTATAGGTCGCATGTGCGACTGCGCACTAAGTCAGAGGTCAGGAAAGGGAAGAGGGCAAAGGGGATGCGTTGTGCATCATCTCATAGGTTACCGTCCAGACGGTAAGGGCAAGGGGACTGTCCACAGGATCAGTCAGGTGGTGGAACGGAGCATGGGTATGCTTCGTCAGCGAAAGGATCCGGCCAGATGTACTGGCTCTGCTGAAGCGACAGGTAGAGAGCGAAGGGGAATGCGAGGATGACGAGGATGACAAGGGTAAGGTCAGGGTAAGGGTATGACGCGAGGGCTGATATGAGGAGGATTAGGAGAAAAATGGTAGGGGCCCAAGCATCTAGATGTTCTTGTAACAATGCATAGATTTTACATCGCCAATAGATTGTACTAAGGGTCCTATTCTAGAAGTTTCTGACGCCGGTGCAGAACTTCTTTCTAAAAATCCTCCTCATCTTTCTCTTTTGCTTTGCCTTTCTTGGCTTGACGAGCCTTAAACTCCTTCCATTCTAGGAATTCCTGATATTCTGAATCGGAAGCAGAGTTAGTTTCGGTTCTTCTAGCAGAAGTAACCTTTGGATGGTTCGGGCAGTCTTTGATAAGGCCCTTCTGGCCGCATTTGAAGCAGAGGCTGTGTCACAACCCAATAACGAATTAACGCTGGGCGGAGACTAGGACTCAGACTAAGGTTATCACAACAAGAAAAAGGATTGAGCAGGTACGTCTTGGATTGCTACAGTGTAGATACAAGACGTACCTGCTCAATCCTTTTTCTTGTTGTGATAACCTTAGTCTGAGTCCTAGTCTCCGCCCAGCGTTAATTCGTTATTGGGTTGTGATAGGCTGTTCTTGCGCCTAAGTTCACGTTCTTGTGGCGTGAGATAAGTCTTCTTCACTCTTTTCTCACCATCATCATCTTCTCCTGCCTCCATTCTATCAATATCCATAGCATAAGGGTCACGTTGCTTGGTAAAAGTAGGAGGATTGACGAGGGTCCTCCTTACTTCGACATTGAGGGCTTTTTCAAGCCATGCTTCGATGGTGGTGGGAATGGTTTCGAAGGCGAGTATGGTGTTTACAATCTCGCGTTTCAGGCTGTTCCTAAAGAACATGATGCTGGTGGCTTCTTCTTCGATGCTGGTATCGATGTAGATGGTGTGGAATAAGGATGCGTAAGCGGCTACGCTACCGGTTTGCTTAAGGGTGGAGATGCGGCGAATCGCGGTCATGGCCACGTTCTTTGGGAAGAAGGTGGCTTTAAATTTCGCTTGGAGTGCATCGAAGGTGGAGTAAACTCTGGCTGCTTACATCTGTTTTAAATGGCCTTCAGCCCATTTAGAAGCCTCACCCTTCTGCATACGTGAGAGAAAGAAGATGATTTTCTTCTTGTTGTTGTTGTATACTTCGTCATTCATATCAAAATAGGCCTGCATCTGCAGGGCCCATCCTTGTGCGAGTCGGGTGTCACCGTTAAAGATGACGGGGGCAACTCCAATTTCTTTGGCCATCGTGGGTTCTGGTTCTTCGGGAGGTGGTTGTTCTGGTTCTATGGGAGATGGTTGTTCTGGTTCTATGGGAGATGGTTGTTCGGTGCTAGAGGATGAGTCTGAGTCAGATTGGTCTTCTGGGATTCTTTCGTAGCCGTTGGTCCAAAAGTTCCAACGGTGGTCTCTGGGTGCATTTCTTTCGTGTAGATCTGCCCACTCGGCGATCGTATATTCTACTCCACCATCTGGCTTGGTGAGGGTGTTCTTAACAACATTCCAGGCAAATCCTGGAGGTGGTGGAGTGTTGGGGTTCGTGGTGTCTAGGTCTGGGCGGCTATTCTAGAGAATGCCACATGTAAAGATTAACTTGACCTTTTGTTATGCTCGACATCTCCTATGACGCGTGTAATCAAAGATACAAGTCTTAGTTCAATGTTGCACAAGTAAAGCAGTAGATTGCAGGCCCTGGTCTGCGTAGGTCAAGTTAAAGAATACAAGTGTATGAAAGAGGGTTTAAGTAATGAATGGAAAATATGTTAAAGCGGAGCTTGAATATATTTTAGCGAATCAGAAAAGGAGAAAGGAGAATCGTACGATAGAACATTATAGAATGTAATGGAATGATTAGATAATGTGGGAAAAAGAGTAGAACTGTAACACTACTATCCCGTAACGCTCTATTCGTGACGGTCCACAATTTCGTGAGTCACACTCAGGTCACGAATAGTAACGGACAGTCACACTGCCGAATCTACAGTCCGCTCGGCAGACGTTAGAATCTTCGTGATTCGTGATTCGGGATTCGTGAACTTCAACAGTGATTGATTAGGACGCTACTTATAAGTCTGTGAGCTACAGTATGTACCGAAAAATTATATAGAACTAAATGCAATCATTAATGATGTGTAAAATATTGCTGAGGGAATGTATGTGGATGTGGGTATTGATGCATACTAGTAGATGGATTATGAAGTCCGTGACTCGGACTCGGATGCGCGGGTTGAGCAAAAAAATATGGTGGATGTGGTAAGATTCCGTGGCTTGTGAGTAGAAATAGACTTCTTGTGACGAGCGAGGTAACGACGATGCCAATGCTTTCCGGGAACCCTTCCACTAATCTCGTTGACCCGGGCACGTAAATCACGAGGGTGCACAGGGCGTGCGGCACCAGATTCATGAGCCAGCCAGTCCTTGACAGCTTCCTCTTCCGATGGCTGGAGGAGTTGCTGTGACTTGGCAAAATCCCTGCGAGACATATGTAGACCCTTGCTCCGGTCGTTAAGAGTCTGCCGTGCGACCTGTACAATAAAATTAGCACTGCAGGAACTCGAAAAATACACAATCATACCTTTTGTGCCCTTGCAGCTACTGTAATATTCTTGTAAGTGCCATTTGTGACACCCATGAGTGCAGCCTGGATCCTGGACTCGTACTCGGGGTCAGTAGACGCCGCCAGCTTGCCTCGGTGACGTCCCATGGCATAGCGATTGAGCCCAGCTCAGCGCTCGCTACTTGCTCACGCGCTCACGGATTGCAGCTGCAATGAAACACGCTGTTAAATTCAATGTCCGACGTCGGCAGCCTCGGCAGGTGACACTGAAATCGTGATTTTGGCTGCTGTCACGCTGAAAACACGATCTCCACCATTTCTCAACAGATTTGTTTCGTTCCACTTGGAATATGCTAGTATATAGTATATAGAATATACTGAGTGAAGTAGCTAAGTAATTACATTGAAGTTGAGTGCTGCAGACAAAAATCACGAAATTGTGGACCGTCACGAATAGAGCGTAAGGGATAGTATCCAGCTGGTTGCACTGAGTCGACTTCATATTTAAACGCCAATAGTATGTATGCCCTATCCGTCGCTCATTTGGTCTCCATGTCCACAAATTTTCACAGTGATGAAACTGCAAAGCAGCCTCTCGAAAGTATCTCGAAACCAGTCAAAAACGCTGGAAATACCAGCCTTGTCGACCCCTCGGATGTGCTTGATTTTCCAGAAGGCGGTTTTACTGCTTGGGGCACGGTGTTGGGCGCGTAAGTGCTTCTGTCGACCTATCGATCACTGCATACTCACTTTCGACCGCGACCGGTAAGTTCATTAATCCAGTTTTGTGGTTTGGGGTAAATTCGACTTCGCATTTATGGGCTCAAACTTCTAACGCGTTCCAGATATGCCAACGCTTACGGTGTCTTCCAGGGCAAGCATATTTATGGATCATCTCACGTGGGTTAACTGACAACCATGATATGCAGATTTCTACACTCAAACATACCTAACCAATTCCACACCAGCTGCAATCGCGTCAGTAAGCTCTAGATCTACTTAGACCATTTCTTGGCTGGTATTGTTTCTCACCTCTCCCACGATATAGCTGGATAGGAAGTGTTAATGTGCTCTTGATAATATCAGGTGGTGTCCTGTCAGGATGGATGATCGACCGAGGCGCATTGTATGTGCGCCTGAAGTTTGTATAGAGCCGTCCCTGATCATACGTTCTCAGTTACCCTCTGATGAAAATCGGCTGTCTCCTTCAATGCCTCTTCCTTTTTATATTGTCCCTAGCGAAACCAGATGGTTATTATCAAGCAAGTTTCCTCTTTGTTAGTGCGCCGCTTCATTGACCATATTGCGCATGTAGATATTCCTTTCCCAAGGTGTCGGTTTCGGTATCGCAATAGGCCTTACGAATGTTCCTTCCGTCGCCGTGATATCGCAACACTTCCAGCGACGCAGAGCTGTTGCGATGGGAATTGTCGTTGCGGGGGGGTCACTGGGTGCAATCTTGCACCCCATCGTGCTCAACAATCTTATCAATGGGGGGCTCGGCTTTGCGGACGGTGTCCGTGCAAGTGCGGCGCTGAATGCTGGTCTACTTTTCATCGCAAACCTCCTGATGCGAACAAGGCTTCCATCGCAACCAAAGGCCGTTAGGTACACCCGCATCTTGCAAAACTCGTCGAGAGATGGTGCTTACATCTGTGCTTGTGTAGCGTGCGTAAGCTTTACAATAGTCGGTGGTATGACATTAAACTTGGCTTCCACCGCTTAGGATGGCTGCTTTCGAATTCGGATACTTCTTTGAAGTCTTTTACCTCCAGTTAGATTCCACCTTGCATGGTCTAGACCAAGGATTTTCGTTTTATTCAGTGCGTGTCGAAAACTACTTGAATAATCCAAAACCACTTATCCTACTTATCACCCTGACAGCTCACAATCCTCAATTCTGGTTCTTTCATCGGAAAAGTTATCGCAGGTGTTGTCTCTTCCTACGTGGGCATCCCAAACACAGTCATTGGCTCTTCATTAATATCATCTGCTGTACTATTTGCAATGATTGGCTTGCACTCGGTGGCCAGTGTGGCTGTGATAGCTGTAAGCTATGGGTTTTTTTCCGGAGGAGGTGCGTAGATTCACGATGTTCTTCTGACATTTACCAAGTGTCTACCCCAGTTGCAGCAATCATGGGTCCACTGATATCGTATCTGACTCCTGAACTCTCACATACTGGGTAACCGCTGTACCACACCGCCTGTAAATTTCTCTGACATCGCTCAAGCGCACGAATGGGAATAGCGTTTGCAATAGCTAGTAAGTCTGGGTCTGTATTTGGTAACACACTGAATCTTGACACGTATTCACAGGCATTGGATCACTCACGGGTGCGGTGCGCCATTTATGTTTTGTCGGCAATCACTCAAGCTCAGCTCAGGTGCACCGATCTGTGGGGCTTTTCTGACATCGCATTACATCTGGTGGAAGGCTGCTGTCTTTGCTGGGGTGAGTGAACTATGTCAAGCTGTGCTTTTGGTTTTTGGCTAATACGCTTTCTAGAGCGTCGCCACTGGCGGCTTTATCATGTTCGTGTCCATGCAAGTCGTCTTGAAGATGCGTCAAAAGGCTTCAAGTGTTTCCTCCAAGGAAGCTGGTGTCTGATTGCGTCACCCCAAAGTGTATGTAAAGCCATTCGCGTTGTATGTATGCGATAGAATTTCTAGATTTATATACCGCAACAAATAACGTTAAGACGCGGTGCTCTGCGCGCTGTCCTGAGGAATAGCACACTTGAGAAGGAAGAGTTATGGTATGAATAGCCAATAGAAGTGGTGTTTTTTTTTTAGCTTGCGCTTGTATCCGGATGGCGCATGATTTGATTCCACATACTGAAACGACTAGGAGTGGTTGTAAAATGGAGTTGTATGGTATGAACATACGTTCGCGTACGTGAGGATGATAAAGCTACGATATCAATGTTTCTGAGTGGAGATGAGACACATTACGATAAGACACGATGAAAGTAGATATCAAGTCTCAAGTATACAACTTAAACTACATGTGTTTTAGTTTACATTCAGTACGGATTCCGTATGACATAGAGGATTGTAGGGACTACTAGTAGTACACCTCCCTGAACCAATCCACGCATATTTTGCTTCTTAACTGCTTGCTGCGATAGTCTCTTTCCCTTGTCTTTCATTCGCTCCTTTTCTAATTCCACACGAAGTCCCTCACCTGTTTCTTGAACCACATTTCCTCTTCGGATCGAAGAGGTTGTGCCCCATGCACATGAAGGACCCTAAGCGGACGCACAGTGTCTTCCAGCTCCTCGCCGTCCTTCCCTGAATTCTCTTGCCCTCCAGCTTGCCTCTGGCGGCTGCTGACCATTTCCTTCAGTATCATCAAGGGTAACTCTATAACGAAATCACCCTTCGCTACGAGTCTGAGCGTGGTGACACGGGGCCACAGTGAGCAATTACGGCGAGCGAAAGGTGCACCGAGGAAATACAGGATGATCTTGATGCAGGAAGGGTGGCTGTTCGTGATGGTCACAGTATCACCATTCCACGGGCGTGTTTTTGACACCCATCGCAAGCCACGTGTAGCAGCGCACCCATCCAACTCCAACGAATTTGAGGGGGGTAACGATAGGCAACGAAGTTCATGGATAGAATCGCAATCCCGGAGAACGATGGTTTGACAATCACCATCGAACGCAGTCAAAACGTCTCCGATGCATGTACGTAGAATGACTTTGTCTGCCCGGATTGTGATGCTGTAGGCTCCAGCATAGGCGACGTAAAACTGCAGGTCGTCGAGAATGAGGCAAGGTATTCGCAGCGGCATTGCCTCCAAGGTTTGAGAAATCGCCATGGATGTCGGTCTATTGATCGGGGAGCCGCCGTAAATGGTCAATACTTCAATATGTTGCATGTTATTCTTCAGCCATTCGTGAGGAAGGTAATAAGCCATAGTATTCTTGTCGACGTAAAGGGACCTAAGGGTGGGACACTCCAGTTTCAAACGCGATACCGGGTAAGCGAAACAACCAAAAGCTCTGATATCTGTCAATCGTAAACGATCGAGCTGAGGCGCACATCCCAATAACATTCCGGAATCTCTGTATTCATCGAGGACGCCAGTTATTGTGAGGCTCTTGAGTCGTTGAAGATGCGATGAAATGAGGGATAAGGGAAAACGTCTGCTTAGAGCTCCCTTGACGTTGATTATAAAATGGACTGGGTAACTCCCCGTCTTCTCCAGCTGGAGATTAACCCATTGGTCATCCAGGAATGGTGCCCAAAATATCCGAGTCCACAGCTCCGGCGTAGAGGATACAATGTTTCGCCAGTGTTTGCACACCAATGCCATGTTATGAGGGAACGGCAAGCTCCTTGCCAGCACCTTGTTCATGTTTTCGGGGGTCTCCGTCATGTCATCTTCGACCGTACTTTCAAGTACGATCTTGAGGATGCTGCACACAGTCTCTGGGGAAGCGAATGAAAGGAGCAGCGTGTCATTTTGACATTGACAACTGGTAACAGTAAAATCCTAATGAGATGAGGACAGAAATCAAGCACAGACTTACCTCTCCTGAATCTACCAAGTTGCTAAGTATTCCTCAGGGGCTTTGTCAAGTGTCACCGAGCGTAAGTATATATGTGCGTGCACAAATAAAGCCAAATACTCTCGGTGGCACAGTACCATCGTGAAAAATTCGACCTAGACACTTCCCTGTGACGGCGCTTGAGTATTAAGAGGGCGTGTGTGAGAAGCTGAGAGCTGCAATGAGCGGGAAATGTAAATGTAAAAAATCCGAGTGATATTGAAGTCTAGCGAGATATTGCTATAGATTGAAATTACAAAATCGTTGCTATATGCCGTTCCAATGAATGACCCAAGTATATCTTCATATGATGAGTCTTGCAGAGATCAGCGCAATAATACCATGACCACCTATTGACCTATCGTTGTGACGCAATCTTGAAAAGGGCTCTGAGGGCGCCTCCTCCCCGCAATACTATGCGGTCCGCCTTATCTTCGCCCATTGTTGCATGGAAGACTAGCCGCGCGACCACCTCGCCCTGTAGTATAGTCATAATCATTTTTTTCACAGATTAAAGTGCAAACAACTCACCAACTCCACTATGAGCGCGACCACAATCAGCCTTCGAGGAACCGGTGAGAACGAGTAATTCAACTTTAACACAGTAGTAGATCTCACCAAATAACTATCCACGTTATCCGTTCCATTGCATTGTTGTTTAAGTGATCATGTATAGCATCGAGCTGCAAACAGAAACGAAAAACCATCAGTTGCTTCTCAAGTCCAACTGCAATGAAACACCCACAAATTCGCTCGCCATTCCGAGTTTCTCGTTCAGTACTTGTACGCGTTCATCGATTTCCATGTATTCTCGTACAGCTTCATACAGCCCTCCCAAACTTGCCTCGCTCCAGAACAACTCTGGAACGTCCAAGACATTGCTCACGAGATTTACATCACGTCTGAGCTTGAACAGCTTGCCTGTGAGCCTCATCGCATCACGTCGCTTGAGATTGATGGCACCAGAAAATGCGAGCTGCCGTGGTATCGATACGGTACTAGGGGATGAAAGCACGGAAGAGGCGACAGACTCGTAGTGTGCGAGGAGCGTAGACTGGGCAAGGGCATGCGCAACGGACAGTTTGAGCAGATGGGAAGGTGATTTGAAAGCTACGATGTTTTAGTGGAGCTCACAAGACACGGTTTGAAAAACGCACTAAAGAAATCATGGTATATGCGAGGGTATGAAATCGTTGGGTCATGCTAGACAGACAACGTCAGATGAGGAGCAGCAGAGATCACAGGATAATGACATACCGCAAAATGACATTCCTCGATCTCCCAATCATCTTCTTTCATTGGTCGTTTCAAAATGCCTGCGTTACTGATGTCCTCGACAATAGCCCGTTCTTGCCCTTCGTCAAGTCCAAAGAAAACAGCAACGCCATAAGCAAAGAAGACCACTTCTGCGATACGGTCTTCTTCTTTTACCTCAACTTGCTCATGTCTCTCGTCCTCTGCTTTGAATTCCTGACTTCCCTCGTTTGCACCATGCCATTCGCCCTCACCCTCTTCAGCATAGTCCATTTCCCCTTCGGCCTCAGATTCCACATCAGGACGAGGTGGGGGTCGGTGAGATTCCGTATGGGATCCAGACGTCATGTATCCGTCCGAAGTCCGTGGTACGTCTTCCTGAGGGATAAAGTATGAACCTTGATAACCATTTTCCTCAGCTTCAGCAAGGCGTCTCTGGAGAGACTTGGCTTCCGTGATAGGAGCTGCGGAGGAACGGACGTTGGTGTTAGGCCCATATCCAGGAAGGAGCGGCAGGTGATACATCTATGATACCAGTTAGGGCAAAATTACATGATGTAGGTCAGGAACAATGATGAACAAGTAAATGAAGAACACGAGACTCACAACGTACATCGCCTCGTCAAATACTCTTGGTGTGACATTATGCTCCCTCTTCAAAAAGCTCGCGAGTAACTTCATCCTCAGTTCTTCAGCAATACAATATGCTGTGATTCTCTTGTACCCTGCTCGCTTTCTCTGTTCCTTGCTCATACGCTCGCCAGCTGACTTGTATTCACGAATTACGCCGGTATCTGTCTCGTAGCCGAGGATATCATCGGAAACAGCTGTTGGTAGAGGTTTTGTTTGTGGTGCAGAGGGTAGAAGGACAAGCTTTTGTGTTGTCTTGGAAGAACGTTGAGCTTTCTGACCGGTAGTGGCGAGCCCCGAAATAGAGGTGCGTCGAGGTGCTGGCGCGCGTGGTGTAATAAGGCCATGCGCTGGACGTGGACGGTAGCGTACTGCAGGTGGAAGACTAGGTGTACGTAGCGGGCGGGAACCGGACATGGTCGTTCAGGTCAATTTATGTAAAGTTTCCCCACCCAGAGCGTGGGTCCTTGCGACCATTAATCCACTCAAATTGACAATTAAATGTTCAAGCTCTGCTTACTACTTAGTGCTAGCCCTACCATCCTACACGCTAGCTATCCCAACGCCTTCTTACTGCTCGACGCGTAACCATGCTTCCCTGGGCCTCTGCAGCAAGCATCATTTGTTGACGAGCTATAGCGAAAACTCAACTCAAGTATGAGAAGATCATACAATGACGCTACGCGATACCATGGAATGAACACGTGGAGACCATGTGGCTATTTGCGTTCGGGTAGAAGTGGGGCAGCGTCAGGTAAGTGGATACCAGATTCAACCACAACGTCTATTGGAGCACAGACGCGCGATACGTCCGAGCACGAGACAAGACATGCTTTACCAAGTTCCGGCCCGGGAGAAGCTGTCATCTCTATCGGTGTCGGTTTTTGTCTGGTTGGACACCTTCACATTTGATACTTAACCTCAGTGTTGCTTATCAAGTCCTACTGAGACTTTATCAACCCACAAGCGCGTTATGCTGACAATAAATGACAGTGTTACGTTCGCTGGTGAGTTTCCCATGATTGACCCCGTAGTATTAACTGAGTCGGTTGTAGGTTGCATCGACCCTGGATGTCGCGAACAAGTGTGTTGCGATCAACTTGGAGGAAAGATCTTGCATACAGGCGGCTCATAGTATGCATGTGCTTTTGTTCTGTTCCGCGCTGCATTCCAAATTTCCAATTGCTTGGATAAATGGAACTACGAGTCATAATACCTGCCACCTTTCCATTACTCGGCGATTCAAGCACTTCCAATCTGCGAATAAGGTTGCGCCAACAGCTTCTACCCAAAGCCATCTCTTTCAGTATGAGGAACGCCACGGATAAGATTAATCAAAGGCACTCCCCAGCCAAGTACCGCTTCTTTTTCAAGTTATTGCCAAAACCGCTCCAGCTGTTTATATCCTCACGCGATTGGCCTACCCTCTAGTAATTGGCTTGTCCAGTTTACGGAGAAACCCTAGATTGGAAAAACCTACGAGGAGATTATATTGACTTTGCCTTACCAATCATATTTCTTCAATCCCAAGGGTGGCTTGGGGCTTCCAGAGTGGATCGCAGTGTATGTGTCCGCGGTATGCTCGGATCAAGATGACTTCTTTGCACTGCGCCCTACACATGAAAAGATACCAAAGTTGGTCAGTGGGCATACACCGCAATATTGTGATGGACAAACTGTGCCAGGTATGCAGATTGAGTGCAAGTCGCGAAGGGTAGTCCGAGTTTACTATCTAAGATTGACACAATCGTAGTCAGTCTCGCGTGCGCCCACTGTGCCAGTATTTTTCCTGCTGTCCGTAGCGCTTAAGGAACACTCAGTGGGAGAACGAGGTGGGTCCTTATCGGGGACGGAGGTACCCATGTGCTGCCAGTGTACAAATGCTTGTCATTGAGAGAGTACTCATGTGCGAGACCTATTTAATAGGAGCTTGGGTAGCGTCTTGTGTCGGGGTAGAACAAGCTGGGACCAGCCCAGGTAAGAAATTGTGGATAGCAGACACCACCTTCAAGTTTCTAATCACAAAGCCAAGGAATCTATCATCGTCCACAACGTCCATCGGGGCATACCTAACTCCCTTTGGAACATATGGGTTTCCAATCTGCTCCAGATGAACTTCCTCCCCTTCGTAGTTCACCCAGAATGCTTTAAACTTCGACCCATGCGAAGATATCAGGAAATCGAGTCTTTCACCCGTGTCTCGTGTCTTGCGCTGGCAAATTGATATCAAACGACGATAGCAGTTTTCCCTGTTGGTGTCAGGCCAAGGCGCCTGGGGATGCTCGCAGGCAATGACACCCACCCAGGGTAACTGGGAGATGTCATCTCCTGCCTGCATCCCGCTGAGCAGGGCCCAGTGGCCTGAAAGACCTATTACAGATAACGGCGTGTGGCCTCCTGTTATACAGGGACCCAAGATCGAGCTTCGAAAAATATGAGGGAGCGGTTTCTATATCAAATATATCTTGCTTACTCCCATGATACGCGTCCGGTTTTTGGGTTTGAGAGGGAATGTGGCAAGATGTTGAATGCCCAGATATCGCGCGTGTGGAGGTCATTCACCACATTCTGTAACTGAACGGTACGTGGTGGATATATTTTTCGAAAAGGAATTTCTACAATGTGGTCTGGACGTGGTTTCATAAAATAGATCCTCATGGAGTCTGATCAACGTGAGCAATTGATATTCGGATAAAGTTCTGGCTACAAGAGGAAACTATTAGCGTCGACTTCCTTCAATTCATTCCATAACAGCCAGTTGACTCGTGGTTTAATTCCCCTGTATTCCCTGCAGAGAAGATCAAGTACGGTAAGTAAATGAAATGCGCAGCTAGTATTCCAGTTAGGAGGTGCTCGACATCATTCGAACATATCAATGCAAGCCTGGAACAATATCCATTTGATGCAGTATACGACTCCTAAAACTGTTAAGGTGCGAGTCAGCTTCCATCTGCCAGAACCTCTTCGCTGCCTTCTCGTATGCTAGGGGTAAGGAACCCTAGATCCACAGTGGTCATTCTCTTTTTTCCTTTCGTGTCCTCCGCATAATTCTCGTAAAAGTTTGTCTCATCTCTTCTTGACAATCCAACCCCTTCCTCCTCGTGGTCGCCATCCCCGTCGATATCACCCCGTCGACCAGGACCATCCCAGAAGTGGAAAGCTTGGCTGTGCACTCCATAGGAAGTCGGAACAACTTCCAACAAGTCCCCTCTCGCAATTTCAATTGCAGGTATCTCGCTCGCAGGCAACCCGATTAGATACGCGAGAAGACAACGAATGACAGAAGAGTGTCCGATAATCAGGAGGTCTTCCTTTTCACGTTCCAATTCAATCAAGATGGGTTCCAGGCGAACTAAACCCAAAACAGATTTTCAGAACAAAGATAGCGCAGATATATATACAAGAGGAAGTAGTATTACCAGATAAATCGTGATAGCTCTCAGCTCTGGGAGCGCGGAACGCGTATGGATCCTTGACGAATCTTGCCCACTCCTCGGGGTAGAACTTTCTCGCTTGATCGGGAGTAAGGCCGTCCCAGACCCCAGGGTTGATCTCGCACATCTGCGTTTTCTCGATCACTTTGACTTTCAAAGGCGAGCTAGCGGTGACCTTTGTTTCTGTCAGCTCCCCAGCTTCGTCGGTGGTTACCACATTCCGTGCGACCGCAGACTGAGGTGGCACAGTGAGATGAGAGGTAACAAGAGGGAGTTGCTGCGGAATTGAAGTGGAACGTGTCGGGCTCAGGAATGGCCAAGCGGTGTGGTGGGCACGACGCCGAGTTGAGGTCCATATCTAGCGAGTCTCTGTCTGAAAATCAATCCGTGAAATAGATATCGAAGGCCACGCACGACTAGGCGTCTACCATCAGGGTCGAACCCACACTGCTCGAGCGATTTGGCACGTCGCTCGACCATGAAATCTTTCAACCGCTCAGAGTATTCCCACCCCGCAGGAGAAAGGTCCGAATCGGCTTTGTAAGAGTGTTCAATCAGTGATTGTCCGGACTGTCAGGATATTATGAATCAAGTGACAGTTATGTGATACTTTGATACCCACCCGAGCAAAGTAAATCACGCGGGGTCTATTGTGGATATTCATGAGAAAGAAAACGATTCGCGACTGCTCATGGGATCAGTCATATTGAAACAACGACTTTGGATCTTCACCCACCTGCAAATAACCACGAATGTTCTGTGCGGGGATTAATTAAGTCAACCAAAATAAAAGTGCGTCAGGACGTACGTTGACCATGATCTTCTCGCCTACCTAATTTTAGCCGTGCGGGTAAGTCAAACGACGAAAGAAGATTCATATACATAGTACGCACATTTATTATACGGATAAATGGCCATGTTGTTTCTTCGACCGTCTCATACGACTTTTCGCGATCACGAATTCGTCCATAGTAATCTTCTACTGCCTTATCTGGATCCCAGCCGCGATACTACACCAAATTCAACAAAAATGTAAGCAGGAAGGGAAGGGAACTCACATCGGGAGAGGATATCTTGACGTTCCGGATATTAGTCTCTATAATCTCTTCGTTATCGCACACAGACTCTACACCGAAGTTAAATAAGCGATTGTTGCTTGACGGACATGTTGAGACATACCAAGGATGATCACATGAATTCCCTGCTTGTCGTACTTCTCTGCCAAGGCCTGCCGCGTAGTTCTGGATCCATTATTGGCATCATAAATCACGACCTGTCCACCGGCCACAAAGAAGTCCTCGATGAGCTTTTCGCAGCCATCCGACACCATCTTGCGCAATGCCATGGTCTCTGGACTCTTCTCACCTGTTGCCGGTGGCAATTCATACAGGACTCAGAAGATTGGATATATGCGCAGCGCACCTAACGTGAAGTAATCCGGGGGCAGTTTTTTGGCACCACCAAGGGTCTTCCGTCGATAGTCACCCAGGGATACGACCTGAGTCTTTACGCCCATCCATCTGAGATAACGTTCGAGTGCACGAGAAATGTGTGTTTTGCCACGAGCGGGTAAGCCAACTGTTAAAATGAGAATCTTTCCAGCATGAAACAGCAAGCCTGAAGCTGTTGTGTAGAGGGGTGCCGCCATGCTGGGATGCTTCAATTACTTTGGTTGGATATGTGTACCTCGCCTGATGTGGATTTGCACTGGTACACCACAAAGAAAGGGTCGTTACACGTTTACGCAACCACTTATCTTATCTCCCACGGCAACTAGATTACAAGCATTCTGGTGGAAAAGTGTGTCAAAAAGGGACGCAGCTATGGCAAATTCGTGACAATGCTCAGCTGAGGATTTCCCATTAGCCGACTTGAACGACTGACCTCGTCATTACTAGTGACGCGCTCTACCAACTGAGCTAAACGGGATACACTTCTGTATCGCGCCCATGTAGTCATATCCACTTGACTCAATCCGACACTACACTATAGGTACTAGACAGACAAGTATACACGAATGAAGTCAGTTATCCATTCCATGTCAGAGCTTACTGCGCTCCTCTCGCTACTGCTGCATACTGTAGCGTTGCTTGCCACCACACCACCATCCCAAGTCCCAGCACACCGTGAAATGTACCCCACACGACCTCAGGTGTAAGATTCACGCTAAAAGGTGGTCATTGGAATCACCATAGGACGACAGGTAAAAGAACACGCACGACTCAAAGAAGGGACCTAGGGTGTGAGGAATGAACCTTGGAGTCTGAAACAAAATCGTTGACACTACGCTGTGGTAAACGCAGAATCCAATTGCGAGTGCACGCTTTCCGGGAAGAAATTCTGGTGGGAAAACGTCATTCGCCTCATATCTCTTGAAGCAGCGTGCAGATGCCAATACCTGGTAAAGGATATGCCAGGAAAGCGGTAATGCAGGATCCAGTGACCAACGCGGCATACAGCTGGGCGATGTCAACAGTTATACGCGTCATGAATCTTGTAATAAGCGAACCTTCAACATGACTAGCGTGGTGTTGTTCATCTGCAGAAAGGGGAGACTCTGTGGGGACCAGAACGCCTGGAGGGCCAGCGGTGCCTCCAACGCGATATGCAGCAGGAATATAGCAGATCTAGTGAATTTTAGGCACATCATATTGATATAATGAAGCTTGACTTACAGCGGGCTACGTGCAGTGTGCGCAGACATGATGAATCTGAGAGTGACAATTAGTGGGATTTAATGACTACCACTGACAAGGTAATTGAAGTTCGTTATGTAAGCAGCTCAGGGTTGGCTTATCTTGGTGTGCCCGCATGGTTCAAAGTTACAAACCCACGACTGAGGCGGGTCTTTCCGAAGGATTTTCGCGGTCAATCACCTTTAACAAGGTCACCGATCAAAGAAATAGTCTCCAGACTCTCGTAGCCTATCTGCAAAAGGATTATATTCCCCCCATCAAAGGATAGGCTACACACCTGACTTATGAGTAGTTTGACCGGCCGGTAGTCCACTCAATTACACCTTTTGTTTATCAAGAATAATATACATGTTTTGGTAGGAGAAGTAGTTAGCATAGAACAGCAGCCTGCCCTTCACTCTTCGGCATCGTCCGCATCATCCCCCTCCGCAACGGCACCCAGTGATGAATGGCGGAAAGTCGAATAAGCTTCAACAGCATCGAGATCCTGTTCTAGATCTATATGCTCCCCTCCAGCTGCATCGCCAGCAATGACACGCAGTCTCAGCACCTCTCTCCTCAGATTCTCGATTTCACTATCTCGACGCTCTACCCGACCCTTGAGCGTTCGAATAAATTCGTTCCCGCATCTGAGCAGCTGCAGCTTGCTGACACCTTTATTTGGACCATCCCCACCAGCTTTTGGTGGGCCTCTGGGTGGTAAAGCTCCCGGAAGGATCGGTTCATCAGGGAAGTTTTCATCAGAAGGTAGCGGAACTGGTGGGAGCAAAACGCGCAAATCGTCATATGCAGTCTTCAGAGAATCACGACGTTTTTGTTCGGCGTCCTTGTGCGACTTGCGATTAGGAATAGGAGGTGATTGTGCAGAAGAACCTGCATTTACAGATGATGGCATACCAGCTGTTAATACAAACAGGAGTTCACACCAAACATTTCAATATTATTTGGAACAATAGCGCACCGGGTAAAATCGGCTTAGGTCCAGGACTGATGAGCGGCAATGCGCCCTTCTTGAATCCTTTGGTTGGTGCACTGCTATCAGGCGCTATCCTCGCCCTAGCGGGTTCTTTCGCTCTATCAGCTTTTTGAGATGTAGGTGATGTAGTAGTAGTGAGGCTACTGCTAATACCCAGACGGCCAAGATTCATTATGCTTGCGGGAGTGACCGGAGTTATTGGCGATGTCGCTTCATAATTGCTTGGTACCGAAGAATTGGGAGGGGATTGGCGAGGTCCCGGGGGTGCGGGAGGCGGCATCGACAAGTCAACAGGTGACGGCGAGTCCGTCTCCATGATAATGCTATCCCTGCGGGACCTTGTAGAGCGCAGAAGAGGGGTATTTGTCGCGCTCTTGGCATACCTTATAGACTGCTTCACTGTTGACGCCGGAGAAGTCGTGGGAGGTCCCCGCTTTCGTACCGCACGCGCCGCATCTTCTGCACTTGGTGATATTGTGCGCTTATTTGGGGGACGTTGGTGATGGTATGCCTCAAGCCAGGGGCTGGTCAACGGAGAAATGTCAATATCAAGGTCTGGAGGCGGCATGGCAGGGCTTGTGTGATGAAAGACTATGTTTGCAGGTGCAGAGCTAGAACCTGGATGGCGCGTATCGCGAAGATATTGCGGGGAGAGGGAAGCATCATGGGGAGAGGGAAGGGAAACAGGGTCAAGCGGATGAGATGAGTACACGTCCTGAGGATTGGGGTATTGTGAGCCAATACGGCTGAGGAACTCCGGGTTAGGCAAAGGGCGGAGCTCCGTAGAAGAGACTACGATGGCGATGAGGATCAATTCGAAGGTAAACCAAAGGAATCTCACCTGGAGTCGGAAGGCCACTAAACGATGCTATCTGATCCCTTGCGGGCTCGACGCTGGTATCATGCGTATTCACAGTTGACTGCCCACTGATAAGGGCAAGCTAATAGAGATCATACTTCAGTACGATGTTCAAATCACACTGTTGTGCATTTGCGCCAGACAAGGTAGGAGAGCGTGACGGAGTAGGGGTGCTAACTCACCTGCTGCTGAAAAATTTGATTCTGAATTTGATTTTGAAGCTGCTGCAGCTGGTGCAGCTGAGTAAGCTTGTACTGTTGTTCAAAAATGACTTGCGGTGTAAGGCTCGTGGAACTGGGCAAGGCCGGAAGTGGCATGCTCTCCATGCCCTGCATGGACATGAGATTGCTCATAGTCCATGAGATCTAATTGTTGATTGAAAGGAGGGGAGTTGGCGGTTCCGGTAAAGTTGAGCATCCCGGAATTCGAACGTTGACCGTGCACAGCAGCTGTGTTCATAGCTTCGTTCTGCTGAGAGTCATGGCCTCGTTGTTGGTCGGAGGAAGATTCCGGAAACAGAAAGGACAAGAAGTCCTTTTGGAGGTTCAAGTTGCTTTCTTGGCCGCGACTTGAGTCCATTTTCCAGTCTATACCAAAAACCAAAGGGTTTTCAGGATCGTCCGCTGTCACAGAAGGGAAAGCAAGAAAACGGCAAATTTAGGAACAGCGTTGTCAATTTCCAGGGACCCTCAGCTAGCTGGGAGGAAGACGAATAAAAAACGGAAAATCTAATCTTTCAATCACACATTGACGACCCCCCATCAAGTCTATTGTCGTGCTACGCTAACCCCTCCATATACAGCATTATGTAATACATTTTATTGACGACTCGCGTTCTTTGTCGACGCGACTGACCTTCAAGTCGCCTCCACCTAGTTTGCTATCAACTTATCACTAAGTTTTTGAACACTATGTCTGCACGAGACCGTCCTCAAGCGCGTATTACTTCTTACCATGGCGCAAAGCGGAATCTTCTTGGAAACCAAGCTGGAAATGTGCCACCTGCATGGCGGGACAGCAAGGCCAAACAGAAAGAACAAGGAAGCAAGATTTTGCTCAGTAGGCTCCCTGTAGATGTTGGAGAAACAGAAGTCGAAGTGCGTGGTTATCCCAATGTCCACCTGAAAGGCACAGGACCACAAGCCACTGTTCATAGGAACTGTTCAAGAAGACCATAGGTCCTTTGAAAGAGTGTTTTGTGATATACAACACACAAGGGCGCTCGAAAGGGATGGCGGTCATAACGTTTCAGCACCCAGGAGATGCAGCCGCAGCTCGTGAGAAATATGATGGTAAACTCATCGACGGCAGTAAGCTATTTAAACTCGCTCTTCTTCTCCATTCGGCCCGTTTATGTGGGTTTTGTGCCTAGGACGTCCAATAAAGATCGAAATAATTGTTGATTCGGATGATGCCGTAGGATCTACACGATCTACACCTATGTCTGTAGTTCCTTCGCTGCTAGGACGCATCGAGAAATTCGCGGATACTCCTAATAGTGGCCCCCTTACTCCTCAGAACCAAGTACTGAACACAAACGTTTCGCCCGTGTAAGATATCTTTTGTTAACTGTTTTCTTAAATTTACTGACCGAATCTGATTTTCCAGCCCCCCTCGAAAACTTGTGGTATCACCCCGCACTGTTCAGACTGCTGGAACAAAAGCCGTGTCGAGGCGCCGCAAGAAAGGCCCACGACGCATAAATAAGTCAAATTTTTCCAAAAAGTCACTTGCTGAACTGGACCAGGATATGGAGGAATATAGAGCTGCCGCTGCATAAAGAAGAGCGGTGACAGTAGTTCATACGTCTTCCCCTGGGAAGTCTGGGCGAGCATATCGCCGATTCATCCACCTATATTGTACAACACGTCATTCGTTTGAGAATAGGACTATAACGAGATAATTTAATTGGTGTCCTCCTGACGTCCAATTTTTGTGAGCAAACCTGTTTGAAATATTAGACACCCATTTAGATCAACAATCCTGTCCGGCCATGGCTCTACCTGTCCTGTGCACCTGTGTGGAAAAGAACTTCGAGAGATCCTACACTACGGACCTCCTAGCCTTTTCCTACCTCAGTTTTGTTGGATTTTACGACTTGCGGTCTAAATACACACATCGGGAAGGTGGTTGCACTTGTTTTGACGTACGTATTTGAAGTTAACCCATTTGTATATTCCTTCGTGAAAGTGGTGAAGACCATGATCTGTGTTTCCCGTAAAGGTTAAACCCCCTCGGAGCTCACAGCATCCGCTATCGGGTTTCCTGATGGGAGGTTATGTCGCGCCCCATGTGTTACCTAGAAGTAATATTAATGTGTCTTCGCACAGCATACCGGAAGGTCCCGTTAAAATACAATACACTGCGGTACTTACAAAGTAACAAAAACCCAGCCACAGCGCAGCCAGATGTCGCCTTTCCAACACGCAGACATCTGCCCTGAGAAGACTCATGTGAGCCAAGGGGACGCATCCCTGGATAGTGATGTGTGTAATCAAAAAATTAAGGAAGCAGTACTACATTGAAACCGAGATCTTTACTGGGTCTGTACTCGGACAAATATTGTAATCCAAAGATGAATGGGAGCGTACTCGGTAACAACGTCCGGCATTTTGCTGGCAGCGCCGGGCACCAAGAAGCAACGAGCGGGGATGTGTTTCTATCCCGCCGTATTATCGCCATCGCCCCTAAACTCGAATCAATTCGTAATCTGTCAAGAAACGTCAGTGGATGTCGATAAAGAAGAGTTAAGTGCAAAAGCGGTCGAGACTCGTGACGAGAACGCATCACGTTGTCTCGAAGTGTTACAACCCGGAGCGGTCGTTATGCAACAACTCGCATATTCTGGGGCCAATAACGTTCTGTCGAAATCAAGGCAGGGACAAATAAAAGGTGAGCCGGGTGTTGTCTTGTGACTCAACCGTTCAATGTCCTTTATCATCGCTAAGAGTTTTTTAAGGGTTTAACAGACCAAGGACTAGTGATATCTGTCGCATAAATTTCCTGCTTGATTGGCCGCAGGGAGGGGCTTAATCAAACTACTGAAAAAAGCATGTTGTTTTGCAGGGTATCACCTACGAGAGTGAACAGTACTTGTTTTTTTAATAAAAGATTTGACCTGCACCATTGTGTTCCCAATTCTTCTACAACATGACAGCCACACGCTAGCCTCGAGGCTGTGATTGGCGTCTTCCAGGAACTGTCTATTGAATTTAGTGAATATGACTGAAGCGACTTACGTTCTCCAAAATGAAAGTCTACGTTCATTCACGTGTACCTGCTCCACTATGACGAACAAAGAGAGATACTTAGGTATTAGGCCTCGTTGTGCCCCATAGGGAAACACATCGTCGCGGAGTGATGGATTCTCCAACCACGCGCCATAGGCGTGTGTTAGTGCGTGATTTACGGTGGTAAAGAAGACCTACTGAAACCTACGAAGTAGGACAGATCTAGAGCTAGTGCGTAAATTATCGACCGTCTTAATGATTCAATTAAAAGGCGCGCTCGATAGCCACGGCATGCCGCAATAACGCCATGAGGCCCATCCGTTTGTCGTGGAAGATGCGCGGGAGAGACTCGGGATCTGGAAGACCTTCTTTGTTCTTCGGGACTTGAATAAACGGTGAGTCCCCGGTGCGGCAAGCCGCAGGGATATTTTTACTGGCCATGGACCACTATCAAGAATCAAGATGCTGTGGAGTCTGTTAGAAAAATCAGCAACATCCAGGGAATGTTAATTTCATTTGATTGCGATGGATAAGAGTATTGTGACCAATCTTACTAAGTTCACAATAGAGCAAGATTAGAAACAAGGCGGGAGCGCAGTTCCTGGAATGTTCCCAGACCATATCAGCGTTGGACCAAAAACGTGCGAGGCTGCACAGCAGCTGCCACATCAGGCTGTTTGGTCAAGCTCAAGAGGGGAAATGATTTAGATCTTTTGTTTGGATCACTGACCTGGCGCAGGCCAGTGACCAGGATCGTACAGAATGATCATTTTTTCTAGGGACTTCCAAGGAAGCGTGGAAGGTTCCGTGATTGATATGGTTGTGGTGTGGAAGAATCAACGATGATTTGTTTGTGGGTGCTTATCCTTTTGCCGTAAGTGTACAACAAGCAATGAGAATTACTTTAAAACACGACTCCACTGCGCTTTTCTTTTATACCTCCCCCTACTCCATGCCCCTCTCAACAACAATTCGTTTGGTGCCTCACCACCAACCAATGTTTCTGGCTCATAAGCGGCAACGCCGCACCGCTACTAGTGTCCTCGCTGGCGATTTCGATCTTCGACCTCCTCGGGATGTGCTGACTAGCCTACTCAACGGCGTGGCACCTTACAAAGAAGTGGAGAAAGAGGAAGAGACGCGTAGAACAAAAAAGAAAGAGAGAAGGGAACGTCTGAAGGAAAAACAAAGGACAAAAACCATATCCAAGGTTCCAGAGAAATCTATCAAAGTGGAGAGTGCCACTGCACCTCCCCCTGCGCCCATCGTACCTATCCAATCAATCAGTGCCCCCGTCGTGCAGCCCTCCTCTTTCTGGCGCGCCCGCGGGACGAGTCACCGACCAACTATACACATTGCGACCATGCAGCGCTCTGTATCCGTTACACCGCCCCCAATGGCGTCTTCCCCACAGTCTACCCCCGGACCTTCAATTTCTTCGGCTACATCCCGTACATCATCAAAGCGCCCTCGCACACCCGCGGATGACTATCCCGATTCTGAGACCTTGATTCATTATAGAAGCGCTCCACAACCACGAAAGAAAAGAATCGCAGTGAAGAAGGGCTGGAAGGGTTGGGTGGAGGGTTCGCCACCGCCGTCCGAGAAGCTCATCAATCTAGATGCAGTTCCGGTGCTACAGGAGAGACGCACGCGCAGTGGCAAAAGTTTCGACGCAATAGGTGTTGGAAAGGATGGTTGGGTATAAATGGTCTGGTATTTTCACCGCCTTCCCTGCCGCTGTAAAATATGATCTGATGGACGTTTTACAGCTCCTTACACATAGCACCATATCCCCGCCCCTCTCATCGCGATGCCCTTTGGAATCACACACATACCAGCCCACGAGTCGGACGAAATTCGTCCGAACTGAAACTTACCCCCTTTGGAATACTCCCGTCATCATATTCCCTCTGGTCAACTTATTTCCTACACCTCTATCTCGCTCATCTCAATAACTACAGCTACAGTATATGCACACATCAATTTTTGTTTTAGTTCTGTATTTGTTGTACCCCTGGTTTTAACATCAAATCTTGTCGTCTCCCCTTACTTCGTCGGGTGTCAAAGTGTCGGCTTTCTTTATCTACCAGCCTTTCTCAGTCCTCTTTGCTAAATATGTGTATGTATGGTGACCGATTTTGATATCGGCCGATGAACGAAATTCCTAGTAACGTGGAATTGTGCTTTTATAGTACACAGCTTATGGGCAGATTAATATCCACCGCTTGAACAGATGCGACTCTGCAAGGAACGCCGATGCCCTGTCCGGTTCAAACCGGGTCTCCCTACGATCGCTGAAGTTTCGTCTATATTTGCGCTCACGAGTCATAGTGATTGATCGTGCCGAGATGCCGGAGGCTTTAGAATTCAACAAAGCCAAACACAAATCCATGCTCATTCTAGTATGTAGTGTATGATGTACTACCTCAGTAATCCTTTGTCACAAACCAACACCACACAACCAGAAGATCACGACAGTTGGTTCAATAAATTAGCTCTTATTATAGGCATCACGGATCTTGTTTGTCCTGCATTTCACTTGTTTCAGGTTGGAGCGGGGCCCATTTCTCTCCGTTTTCCCGGACCAAACTTTGGTCGGAAGCCGCATCAACCCGTTTCGCTACCGAACGAATTCACAGTCTTCTATCTAATCAACGACTAGCTTACTATGATGTATGCCATGTCATTTCCTGCATTGCCATCCCCACCATCATGGTTCCCTGGACACATGAACCGATTTACGAAGCAGCTTCCTGCGCTACTGTCCCGTACAGATGTTGTCCTGGAGCTCAGAGACTCCCGTCTGCCTCTTACTAGCATTAACAATAACTTAGAAGGTAAGCCTATCTCCTCCGGTCTGCCCATTATTCGCTCCCGGTGCGTAGCCGTTTTGAGAAAGAAAACCATCATCTTGGTCTAGCTCCAGTTCCACCCTATAATTGCTTCCGCTGTCACCTATGTGACTATTCTCCTTCATTCTTGTTCCGTTCTGGAGTCAGGCTATTTTACAACGGTCACATTTTTCGGCCCTGACATTCTATTTTTGACAGGTGCTATCAACAAATGGAGGGCCGAGCGGGGACATCACACCCACGTCACTCCCCTTTCCTCCACTACATCTAGGATTTTGTCCCTAGGATATGGTGGCCCAATTTGCGAGCGCATCGTGGTCTTAAACAAGCGCGACTTCGTCCCTGAATGGGGTGTTGAGGTAATTCCTTGCCTCCTCTGTTCATCATGCTGCCTCATTCCCCCTTAATGTAGCCCTTTAAGAAAGCCATGAAGGCAAAATTTCCTGATCAAACGGTGCATTTTGCTTCTTGTAACAAACCACGAGACATAAGATCCCTGAGCGAGATGCTCGTAAGTATGTCGCTGATTTCCTCGACATGTCTACCATGTTTTTTCTTGGCATAATGGAACTGAAAACAAATGTAGATATAGCAAAGAGGAACCCTCACGCAACTGAGATGAATGTCCTGGTGGTTGGCATGCCTAATGTTGGCAAATCAACATTGTTGAATTCCCTTCGTCATATGGGTATTCCGGGTCGTGAGTTTAAATCATTCATTGCCCCCAAAAATGAGTTAAGCACATGCCCGCAGGGACGCCAAAGGCACTACAGACATCTGCACAGCCTGGTCATACACGCGCTATCTCGACCCGCCTTAAGCTCTCAGAAGACCCGCTCGTATATTCATACGACTCGCCTGGTGTAATGTTACCATTTCTTGGGAGAGGTAATCGAGGTGCAGAGCGAGGTGTCAAGCTTGCTCTCATAGGTAAAATGGATTTTATCACTGCTACACTTGGGCTGAAATATATTTCACCGCAGCCGGCATCAAAGAGAGTTTATACGACATCGAAGCGCTTGTTGCATACTTGCTGTATAGACTGAACGTGTTAAATCCTGTTTGTGCGTCTGCTCTGCTGTACTATCACTGCCTTGTGGTTCTCACACAATAGATATATAGCGCCAGCATATTTGACAGTCCTCCCGCCTGGTTCACGTCCATTTACAGATGCCGGAGATTTTTTGGAGCAACTTGCCATACGGCTTAATATGTTGTTACGAGGGGGCGAGAAGGATACTATGAGAGCAGCAAAGTGGTTCGTAGAATGGTGGCGAAACGAGGGCGGTCTTGTATCTGCTTCTGTCCCAGAAAATCTTCCGACGGGGTCGGATGGAGCCCGTGCACCGTTACTGCGACGTGGATGGGGTTTCGATTTCGAATGGACGGTGGACGCGTCTATGGATTCTACCGGCGGAGATTTTGAATCGGCGGTGCAGTTAAAAATGGAAGAGTGCATAGATGAATCGATGAGGGCAGCGAGCGAGGACGAGCGGTCAGGAGTCGGGATTAGTACAACCCAAGAGAGGAAACGTAGCTGGCAGGAGAAGCAGTCCATGCGTGCTGCAAAATCCAAAGCGAAGTTTGCTGCACGTAAAACTGCATAATTATCCACGGTGTTTTCTACGGCACCCTGCATTAGCGGTTTATTTGTAGCCATATATTGCATTTAGCTGCGCGCAATGACAACGCATCTAATGCGCCCTGTGAAATCTCACTGGTAGACACGTTGCCGCGGTGATCCGGTGGTCCGGAACGCAAAAATGGGCATACAATGGTGATATTATCTACATGTACAACCACAGCGTGACAAGTATGTGTATTCCTAGAAGTCCAGATAATCCTTTCCCGTTCCCCAGCTCTGCGCACCTGCGCCCGTCGTGCCATATGGGTCCTCTGGCACATTACCCTCAGTCGTCTTGAAAGAGAACTCTCGCTTGAACTTTGCCTCGAGTGAGGATATTGTGGCGATGAGCTTAGTGCAGGCTTGCTCGAGGACAGCTTGCGGCGTCATGGTCCCATCCGTCTGTATTTTCAACAGGAAATAGGGATGCAATGGATGAGGAACTTTGTATCCGGCAAAGAGCACTTGAGGCATCGAAAGAACTTGTCTGGAAGACGATTCACACACTCCAGGAGGTAGAACACGGGTGCTTAGTAGAGACGTACGCGCGAATCATGTTACTCAACGTGTGGTCTTGCTTCACTATCTTGAAAGTGGCTGCATTGGGTATTTTGGTGTCTTCTGTGACTTCGACGCTGTGACCCATCTGTCAAGCGTCTACTTTAAGATGCAATTGCAGAAACGCACGGTTTCTCGCCATCTTCGAGGACAAAGAGCTCAAATCTGTTTGGCGCGTTCATAACTGCTGTAAATGAGTACCATGGAGACCTGTATGAGCTCACAATGGCGAGGAAGGGACACGGTGGTCACAAACATCGTTCAATTCAACACAGTACGCGATGTCAATTATCACGTAAAGCCCCGCTTTTTCTCCTATGCTCGCACCTACTATCACTGTCTTTGCCAGAAAAGATCTGCGCCAGGAGTTGTCAGAACCTCGAAACAGGCATATAATAACAAACAAAAAGTATCAGAAAAACAAATTGTGTTCACGGAAAAAATTCTCAGAAAACCTCCTCCTAATGCCATCATTTATGTGCTAATTGATGATGAAACTCACCTCAGGATATGCTACAATGAAAAGATTGTAGTCAGTGGAGGTGCTACAGGTAGGGGTTTGGCGCAAAGCCGACTTTTAAAACTCCGCTACAACTGCCGACAGTTCTGCATCGAGAAACTTAGTAGCAAGGTCACGACATCAACACTCGCGCCTCAAGGTCAGTTCATGCTCGTTTACTACGCCCCGTTTATCCAGCAGGAGATTATACGCTATCGGAGCTGTCGAATGGAGGTGTTGTGATGTTGAAAGATGTTATCCTGCTGCTGGATGGATGGGGCCCGACTTGGATGCATCAGATTATTGATATCAGATGCTTGGTTTTGCAGAAAATGCCGACCCACCTCTCGAAGACTCGCAAGCACCGTGGCCACGTCTCGGCTGGTCACGGTCGTGTTGGAAAGCACCGTAAACATCCCGGAGGTCGCGGTCTCGCTGGTGGTCAGCACCACCACCGGTGTGTTTGATTTGGTATCAAGCTCTTTGCAGCGAATTAAACTTGATCACTCTCAGCACCAACTTTGATAAGTACCATCCTGGTTACTTTGGTAAAGTCGGTATGCGCCACTACCACTTGACCCGCAACGCACATTGGCGGCCTATCATTAACGTTGATAAACTATGGACACTTGTACCCGAAGCGGAAAAGCAAGGGTTAACGGAGGACTCTGAGATTGTTCCTGTCATTGACACCCTCCAACATGGCTACGGAAAGGTGCTTGGGAATGGACAGTAAGTTGTGATCTACTTTCATCTCGTATGCATTCTAACTTTGAAACAGACTGCCCAAACTTCCTTTTATCGTTAAGGCACGTTTTGTTTCGCAGAAAGCAGAGTATGTTGAATAGATCCTCTTATTCCTGAGAGTATACTCACGCTGTGCACAGAGCTAAAATTAAGGAGGCTGGTGGTGTTGTGTCGCTAGTGGCATAATAGACTCCGAGTCCCATCGTCATTGTTTTTTTTCTTTTACCTATCACACACCATGATACTTATGACATGCTGCAATAAGACTGTCCATGCCTGAAACATGATAATTGAAACGTGAATTCGTGAACATCGAAACTAAAGTTTCAAAGGAGCAGACTGATTTAGAAGGTTTGTTTGATCAATATATAGGTCGGCAGGGGCATCTTCCCACAAGTCCGTGAGCACTGGTAATACATAACTACTAGATCTGCTGCGCTTCTTCATCCTGACCCACGAGGATGGCTTCCATCTCCACTTGGTGTAAGAATCAGAACCTGCTCTTCCGTTTCTTCCAGTGTTAATCATACAGCGACTTGTAGATCACAATCAATATTCAACTTGGAATCGCACTCGTCGTCTTCAGGCTACTCCTTTCCTAGCTCGCACCGATACCCACACATCTCGTACTGCTACTTCCATGGCTCGCACAAATACACAAGATGCCGTCATCATCAACATGGATGATACTTCATCCAAGAAAGAGAAGAAACAGGAGACCCTTTTCGGGCCTAACATTGGCGTTGTCGGCTCTACGCCCCAGTGGGCTCAATCCTTGGGACAAAAGGCTCCTGCAGATAATGTCTCTTCAAACGTTATCCAGAACTGGATTACAAGGAGCAAAGAGGTGCTTCAAGCATCGTCTGATGTCCTGTCCTGTGTACTGACGACTTACGCACAGCCTTCACAACCGACGACTACCCTCCAAGCTTTGGTCAATCTCAAGCGGCCCACACTCCGCTTATGCCCTTTGACCATCTCATCGGGAGATGATTCGGACCAAGTTGATTCTCACCATAACCATGGTTTGGAATTCGAATACGATTGCGACGCAGCCAAGTGTCGCATAAACGTCAGTGTGGTGCTTCCTGCAGATCACCCCTATGCAGAGACCATAGATAGCTCAGGCTATTCGTGCATCTCCGTTTTCGAATCCATCGTTGACGGTGGTTTTGGTAAAGTACTGCATCTAGATGAAGGTGCAACCCTCGAACTAGGAAGGTTTGAGCACAAGCATACCGAAGCAGAGACTGCCTCTTCCCAGATTACCGGAGTTCCTGAGTCGTCTCGAACAGCAGATAGCGTTGACTCCTCGGCTCCCGCTAGCAGCAGGAATGGTCGTGTCCGGAAACGCTTTACAGGATTCAATTTCCGGAAGCGTGCCGCTAACACGTCTGTATCAGGACCTGCTCTCGCTGTCGTTGATGCAGAAGCAGCTGCACCCACGGTTGAAGGAAATGAAGAGAAAGAGGACAAAGAAGAGGTGAAGGATGGTGTTCGAGCCACTATCCGGTTATCAGCGTTGGACGAGGACGGTACCGACCTGTCTGTAGTCAACGAGCAGATAACTTACCTCCATGTCATCCGTTTTGGCACTGCACCCGATGATGAGAAAGAAGACACCAGACCTTGGGTCGTCAAAGTTGTGAAACGTGAAGCCACAGTGCGTTTCGTATCTGATTACCTTGTGCTTTTTATGTCATGATTCGTAGATTGGACCTCACACGTTCCACTTGCACGAGATCTTTGGTCTTTCTTCTCAGTCTACCTCACCCTCTCAACCACAGGCAGCTTCTCCTGCAACGGGTGCACATACTTACCCGCCCACGTCTGCATCCACTGCGCCTATGCACGAGGATGAACCTTCATCCGAGTGCTTACTATGCCTTTCTTCTCCGCGTGAGGTCATCCTACTGCCTTGCCGCCACCTCGTCGCATGCAAGGAATGTGCCATCAATATGGTCGAATTTGGGGCAGGCGGCAACATCATCCACACCGAAGAAACAACAACCGCATCTGCGGGTGGTGAAGCTTCAGCTGCAGAAGCCTCAGCTCCAGTACCCGCTCCAGTACCCGCCACGATCGCTCAGAACATACGGAGAAAGCGAAAAGCAAAAGGCTGGTTCTGCCCCGTCTGCCGTCGACGTAAGCTACCTTTATCTTGCTTACGTCTTGCCTGACATATTATGCACGTATCTAGCTTACACCTCGCTTTTACGGATTTCAACGTCACCTCCCACGAAGGATATTTCAGACGATGAACATCGTGTGTCCATCGATGAGCATGGGCATGAGGATGATGAACACGAGCACGAACATGAGCATGATGACGAACATGACGACCACCCTCTGGAAACTGCGCCGCCGGCACCTGGGAGTATGTTTAATAGTATCCGTTCAAGCCTTATGCGTCTGAGTGTTGCACGTTCTGACGGCGGGCATGCCACCGAGGCCTTAGAAAGCGAGCACCCCGCAGAGGTGCCTGCCTCAGTTGTTTAGTCCCACAGCCCGTGCAGTGTTGTATGTGATGCGCAGGCTGATCTAAGACTTTATATGATTTAGGCGTGTTTGTGGTTGGCTGGCTGTCTTCGAACACTTATTATTTTGTTTTCACTCTGATTACTCGTATAGTTTATGTGTAGTTTCATTTCACTGAGGATCTTTTTTGTACCGATACCGTATTCTAACTTATCGGATGTAAAATGTTATGGCTTGTACACGAATCGTCTGATATTCTCGTCGAGTAAGGATAGGGGTGACATAGTGTGTATATCTCGCTGTGTCATACCGCAACCCTCTCTATAAACGCCCCAGTCCCAGCAACAGGTGACTGCAAAGCATCCAACGCCCACTCCTCTCTCAACCACCTACACACCATCCTAAAACTAGACACCGACCCCTTTTCCTGCACAAGCAGGATCGCGCACGTAAACCCGCTCCCTAACGACGGCTTCCCAAATCCATATCGAAACGTAGGCGACATTGGTCCTGAAGCATGATACATGGGCAATCGTGGACTAGCAGGGGTGGGAGACTGTGGAGACGAGGACGAAGACGATGAGGAGAACTCAATACGGAACCGAACTTGCTTTTGTATGACCGATCCTGACATCGTGTCGATAAGCTCGTTCATACGGCATCGGAGAATCCCGTGCCCATCCGTCTCCTCAAGGCCGACGATGACGCCAAAGTGCTCGAGAATGCGAACGACCTCGTTGCGCGTGGCATACACCGTGTCCGTCGAACAGAGTACGTATGTGTGTGCCTTCCAGTTGAACAGGTTGGAGAACCAGCCTTTGACTTCGCCAACGGGGGAGGCAAGGATAGAGGGCATGACGGGTGAGGGGATCTGGAGTGGTGAGCCAAGGATGAAACGCTTGGATGGGTGAACTTGTGGATGCAGATCAAGCGCGGGGGCTGCTAAGATGTTAATATTTGGAGGACAACCGAGACAAAGAAAACCCTTACGTCGTGCCTTTTTGTCCTTTTCTTTCACGACCTCACGAGCACCATAGATACTGTTACGCAACTCGCGACCGACGCGTCCCTCATTGGACCTACCACCAAACAGCCCACCACGTGCCTGCATGATATCGCCGCCGTAAGGTTGTCGGAAGTCCTGATGGTTGTGGTTCTCCTTATTAGCTCCGCTTTGGTCATGCTCATAATCGACCGCAGGGCCATTCAACGGAGCATATCCATGACGGTTCACAAATGTCTTGCTGTACCCTTGAGTCGGAGAATGGAAAGCCTGCTCCTGATTGTGTCTCTGCGTCACGGTATGCCATGCAGAAAGAACGTTCGCCCAATCCGGATCAGAGCCCGTCGTAGGCTGCATATCGACTTCTATTGAGTTTGCTGATACTCGTTCGTCTACAACAGCGGAGACTGGAACAGGAGCTCGGATAACACAAGGGTTGAGGGCGGGGTGTGCAGCAGCACCAGGAAAGCGAGACCCCATTGGCGGTGTGCTTGGAACAGTTAAGGGCTGGAACATTTGCTGGTTGTGAGCGTGATAATTGTGCTGATCCTGATTCGCTCGAGGATAAAGAAGGGATACGGTTGATGCACGCGTCCTGTATTGGGGCTCGGGGTGGGCATTCACAGGATCAGCCATGGCGTGACCAACTTTCATACTCTTATGACGTGCGGGGGCCTCACGGACTGGGGAGGACATAGGTCGGACACGAGGTGGCCTGGGTCCAATCGGGGACGGCGGTCGGGCTCGCGAAGCTCCATCAACGAAGGGAGACGACACAATAGGTTGTTGGGCCGACGATGTGCAGGACGGAGGTGGGGGTGCATCCCGAATACTCTGCAGATGTGAAGAATGCGCGTCTGCGTCGACGCATCTCTTTGGAGGGGGGGACATGTACTGTTTTGTAATAACCTTCATGCCGGGAGACACCGGCGTATCGCCTACATCGAGAATAATACCATAATCTTTCAAAGTTTGCTCGCGGTAGTGTTGCAACAAGAAGTAGAATGCCTTGGCCAATGTGCCTTCGCCTGGTGAGCTCAAGAGGTCAGCTTTGATCATTTCGATGTCGCCATGTCTCCCCCAGATGACGCGAAGAGATTCCAAAAGATCAGGGTCGATAAGCGCCGCTGAGGGGAGAGGAAGAGCTAATTCGACGACAGAGGGAGCTGGCACATAGACAATACCGGGAGTTGGTTTGTTGAACCAAGGGTGGGCCATGATCTCTGGAATCTGCGAGCGTTTGATAATTTTGGAAATAACAAAGAACTGTCACTTACCGTGATTCGACGGCTGACGTCCACTACCAGCATGCGAGTTAAGAGGTCTTTTGCCTGAGGATCAATGTAGGCTGGAACATCGTACTTGCCCGCCTTAACTTTAGAAAGAAGAACCCTGACATTTTTGTCGTCGAATGGAAGCCTGCCGGTAAGTAACGCAAAGAGGATAACGCCGCAGCTCCAGATATCGGTGGCATTGCCTCTGTATTTCAGACCGTTGACAATCTCGGGGCTTGCGTAGTGAGGACTTCCACAACTAGTCTCGAGCTGTAGGGCAGGAGGGGCAAAGGCAGCCATGCCCCAATCGGCTAGTTTAATGAGCGGTGGTTTTAGTGAGTGAATCAAAATATTTTCGGGCTTAAGATCACGGTGAATGATAGAGAAAGTGTGAGCGTAGTTAAGTCCATAGACGATTTGCTTGAAAAAGGAGAGAGCCTCTAGAGTAGGGAGCCTTCCGCGGTTGACAAGAAAGTCGAAGAGCTCGCCACCTTCTACGTACTCGAGGACGAGGTAAAGTTCCTTCTCGCCTTCGAATACATCATAGATACGAAGGATGTTTGGGTGGTTCATGAGCTTCATCATGATAATTTCTCTGTCGATACCCAACCGTTGCTTTTCTGATTTTGCTTGCTGTGTGGCAAGGGAAGAACGGGAGCTGACTAGTGGTTGAAGGGGGAGGATTTTGACGGCGGCGAGTTGGCCGGTCCGACGGTGCTTTGCTATGCGAACGCGACCGCTTGCACCTTTACCGACGCACTCGCCGATGATCCACTGACCGATATACCTCGGATCTTCAGGAAACTCGAAGGCGCCGTGACCCGCGGCAGCCTTTTCTTTCTGCCAGCGAGTTCCTAGATGAGCGGCATACTTGATGGGGGGTGCACGAGGGGGTTGTTCGACTATCGAAGTCATTATGATAGGTTTCCTAAGGATTAATATGCTTTAAAGATATACAGATGACTTGTGGTGTGTAGAATGGTAGTGTGTGGATGAGAGAAAGTAAGAAGTGCGTCGATCTCGAGAAGGTGATGCGTGGGAATCAATGTTCCTTGCCATGAATCATAATTTATACAGCGAGCGCTTATATTGTTGTTACGACAGGCTGTGGCGTGTCGGACTCTCCACACCGCTTCCGCTAAAATACGCTCTCCATCCACCGTTGCAAGGCCTTTTGACCTCTGCGAATGAGCCTAGCAGTCTCTCAAAATCTGATAACAGATTCTTGAGGTCTCATCTGACGACTTGGTCACGACGTCGACAATGCACCGATATCTACTTCTATCACAACTAGCTCTCTTTTTATTCCCTCTTGTCTCCAGTTACACTTGGTCCTTCACTACCACACCCCAGCAATGTGCCACCTTGTCCTTGCAGATATCTGGCTCTGGCTCTCCTCCATACAGCGTTTTAGTTATTCCATATGGTCCAACACCTCTCCCAAACAACACGGAGGTCCGCACCATCGTGTATCAACAGTTTGATGGCAGTTCCACTACCACCAGCTTCCAGCTCAAATACCCGTCCACATCCCAGTTCGTCGCCGTAGTGAGCATCTTCGCTTGCGATACCTCTCGTGTATAAGCTCACAAGTATGTAGGTCAGCGATAGCACTGGTTTTGGATCTGGTGGAACTAGTGTTGCTGCTTCAGTGATGAGCAGTAGCGACAGCAGCTGCTTTAACATATCTACAACCGTCATGCCATATTTCCCATTCAACATATACCCTACCAACCAGGTCGTACAATGCAATGCAAGTAGATTGTGGTGGGATCCTACACAAGTCGAAGGGTACGCTTTTATTTGCCTTATACCAATCTTCTTTAAATAACATGCTCCAACAGCACTCCATCCTTCCAGGGTGTCATCCCTGGCGGACAATCCTTCTCAATTCCCGAAGGTCAGATAACACAGGTATCTAACGAGGGCACTGGGTTCAACTGGATACCCTCCGTCCGCGAAGGCACTACCCTCATGATAATTGCCGGAGATGATCGTGGGCTTGGTACAGGAGGAAGCGGAACGTATACCGTCGCACAAGGCATATATCCAAACAGCTCATGTTTGACCACCACCTCGCCGTCATCCACTATCGGTTCTCCCGCAGGTGGTACATACCCAACTAACGCCAGCGGTGCAGAAACAACTGGTGGTACTACTAGCAGCAGGTAGGCAATGTTGTTCACCACCGGACAGCTATTTTTAACCATCTCCACGACAGCTCAACCAATGTCGGCGCAATAGTTGGTAAGCTCGTTTTATATCCGCTCCTTCAATATCCGTCTCATGCACCGTAGGCGGCGTTATTGGTGGTCTTGCTATACTCGTCATCCTTGCACTCGCAGGGTTTTACTTTATCCGTCGTAGAACCCGCACCAAGGTCATCAAGGAACGTCCCGTTGACCTCCTCCAAGATGATCCAGAAGACGATAATGACCAAGCACCTGGTGAACTCGGCAATTACTACCGTCCCGAACCCTTCCTCGCCACTGAGCCGACAGAATCATCTTCTATGTATGGACATGAGGAGGGCAGATCTGGCACAGTCATGTCAGGCTCACGTTACGGCAACTCGGACCGTAGACGTTCTGCATTCGGGAGTTTCAGCGATATGCGATCTGCGACGCCTGATTATGAAATGGGCATCACTGGTGGTAGTACAGTCCCAAGCGGCTCCCGCAAATCTCCCACACCAAGGCAGCTCCGGCCTATTAACATTATACAGCACGACGACGCAGGTGCCGCAGACGAACAAGCCGGGGGCCAGCCAGATACCGTTGAACTTCCCCCTGCATATACTAATATTCGAAAACCGGTTACAAATTGATTGTATTTACTTTTAAAAATTCCTCCACTCACATTCCTAACTGTCTTCCTTATCTCTTTCGTTCACACTTTACATAGGTCAAAGCCATTGTTTATAAACATAATTCTGTGCATGTCCATTGTTTGCATTCTCCTGCGTAGTCATCTCTGCGTCAAAAACTATTTCACCCACGTTTGTCATGCGTCTTATATTAGCTGCTGTTGGCCCAGCTCCACTCGGACTCTCAGGGACTTTAGTATCGTAACTTCGTCTTCACGTATGCGGACTCATGTTGTAATATATATATCATGTAGCTCCGTTTTTCACTCAGTCGTGTAATCAAATCTTATATACCCGGACATCAGCGTCGGTGACTTGATAAGAGATAGACTTCGTGACATTATTAGTGACATTTATTCTCATTACATCATGACCCATTGACAATCAGTGCTTATATATATTAGCGTGGACGAGAGGTAGTAGGCAAGTTGAGTGACGAGTGAAGGAGGAGGAGGACGTGTCATATCACATCAACATGGACGCTAGAAAACAGTAACATCAAAAATAAGCTAGTCGAACTATAACTTAATTTTTCCCTTTTCTCGTACTCTATGCTCCAGGGTAGCTCATAGATCAGCGTCTTAAGTCTGTGGCGGTGTATCAGTATAGAGATTCTCCTTCATGTACAACGCAAATGGGTTTACATTACACATGCCGGGGTGACACAAATCAGACACCAGCTTCCTTGGAACAAACGCTTGAAGCCTTTTGGCGCATCTTCAAGATGACTTGCATGAATACGAGCGCGATACAGCCGCCAGTAGCAACGCTCTAGACAGCATGTTAGTCAAATGAAAAGCACAGCTTTACATGGTTCACTCGCCCCAGCAAAGACAGCAGCCTTCCACCAGATGTAATGCGACGTCAGGAAAGCCCCACAAATCGGTGCACCTAAGCTGAATGTGAGGAACAATGGAAAAAGAGCAAACGGTGCACGTGCCCAGGAGTGATCCAACGCCTGTGAACATGTGTTTAACACTCAGGGGTGTCACCAAATACCGGAACCACAGACTTACTAGATATTGCAAACATTATGCCCATCCGTGCACTTGAGCAATGTCAGAAATATTCGAAGGCAGATGAGTCAAGTAGTTACCCAATATGTGAATTTTCAGGAGTCAGATACGATACCAATGGGCCCATCAGTGCTATAACTGGGGTCGAAACTAGGTAAGTGTTAAAGGAACATCGTGAACCTACGCACAATTTCCGGAAAAAAGCCCATAGCTTGCAGCTATCACAGCTACACTGACCGCCGACTGCAAGCCGATCATTGCAAATATTACAGCGGAAGATATTAATAAAGAGCCAACGACCGTGTTTGGGATGCCCACGTAGGCAGAGACAACACCCGCAGTAAGTCTTCCAATGAAAGAACCAAAACTAAGGATTGTGAGCTGTCGGGGTGATAAGCAATTATTAAGCATTTAAATAGTCTCTGACACGCACTGAATAAAACGAAAATCCTTCGCTTAGACCATGCAGGGTGGAATCCAATTGAAGGTAAAAGACTTCAAAGAAGTATCCGAATTCAAAAGCAGTCATCCTAAGCAGTCAAAGCCAAGTTTAATGTTCATACCATTGAGTATCGTAAAGCTCACGCACGCTACACAAGCACAAATGTAAGCACCATCTCTCGACGAGTTTTTCAGAATGCGAGTGTAGCTAACGGCGTTTAGTTGCGGTGGGATCCTTGTTCGCATCAGGAGGTTTGCGATGAAAAGCAGACCACTATTCAGAGTCGCACTTGCACGGACACCATTTGCAAAGCCGAGTCTTCTATTGATAAGATTGTTGAGTATGACGGGGTGCAATATTGCACCCAGTGACGACCCCGCAACGACAATTCCCATCGCAACAGCTCTGCATCGCTGGAAGTGATGCGACACTATGGCAATAGAGGGAATATTCGTAAGGCCTATTGCAATACCAAAACCGACACCTTGGGAAAGGAATATCTACATGCGCAATATGGTCAATGAAGCAGCGCATTAACAGAAAGGAGACTTACTTGATAATACCCATCTGGTTTCGCCAGGGACAATATAAAAAGAAAGAGGCATTGAAGGAGACAGCCGATTTTCATCAGAGGGTAACTGAGAACGTATGATCAGGGACGTTTCTATGGAGACTTCTTGCGCACATACAATGCGCCCCGGTCGACCATCCTTCCTGACACGACACCAACTGATAGCACCAAGAACGCATTAACACTTCCTATCCAGCTACACAGTGGTAGAGGTGAGAAACACTATTAGCCAAGAAACGGTCTAGGAAGATCTAGAGCTTACTGACGCGATTGCAGATGGTGTGGAATTTGTTAGGTATGTTTGAGTGTAAAAGTCTGCATATCATGGTTGTCAATTCGTCCATAAAAGACAATGCACAAATATGCTTGCCCTGGAAGACACCGTACGCGCTAGTATATCTGGAACGTGTTAGAATTTTGGGCCCATAAATGCCGAGTCAAATTTACCCAAAGCCACAGAATTGGATCAAGCAACTTGACGGTGATGAGTATGCAGCGATTGACAGGTAGACAGATGCACTTACGCGCCCAGTACTGTGCCCCAAGCAGTAAAACCACCTTCGGGAAAACCTAGCGCAACCGAGGAGTCGACAAGGCTTGCATTTTCAGCGCTTTTGATGGGTTTCGAGACGCTTGCAGGAGTCTCTTTTGCAGTTTCATCACTGGGGAAAGGTGTGGACATGGTCAATTGAGGCCAATTGAACGATGTATGGGGTATGCATAGTATCTCAGGCTATAATGGTGTTTAAATATTGACCCGGAGCAACCAGGAGGCTTGTAAACCACAGCGACGTTAAATATACTGCCCCTAAGACCCGAGACTTGTGACTTGACGTCCGTTTTTGAAAGGAAGAATCGACTTATTCGAGTCCGCGGTAGTAGTATAAACCAGGATGCGTCTGACTTGTCCTGAGCCTCATTCCACGTAGTACATAAACGGGCAGGCCCGGCGGTTAGTTAAGCCTTAGATTCCACGGCGAGCGTCGGAAACAAATCAGGGCCCGTGTTGTCCTATTTTACTCAATTATTGCCATGTAGAAGCAGGATCAAATCGTGTAGGATGGTAGGAGGTCATGGTATCTATGGTGCAACTTTGTGATAGCGCAACTCGATTTGGATGGCCCATAGGACCACGAGCTGTAAAACATATTGAACATCTACAATATAACAATCAGACAATACTCGTACCGACGCGCCTCTATCGACTCACCATGTTTTTTTCGAGGTTCCGCAGCAGACGCAGCACATCATCCGTAGCCCTCAACATACTCAAATCTCTATCGAGTCCTCTCTATATCCCCAGCATGTTCCACACACACTCCTTGGAAGGACGAACCCTCTAAGCACATTCATATAAAACCCAATGTCAAGAATTGACGGCGCTCGGTCCGCACGATCAATACTCACACCTATCCTGCAATCCACGATATATCTTCCTCAAGTGGCCAATCGACGATCAACAAACCCCTTGCCACATCCACTGCACGACCCCAGGACTCAACCCAAACCTCAATCATACTTCCGCGTCGGATTTCCATAGCATGCAGTGAAATCCGTTCATTTTCTGTTGTGAGGACCGTGGCTGGGGGTAGTGTAGGGGTAAAACCAGTTTTGCCGCTTAGCATCACGAAAATTGCTCAATTTGAGATATTACCCAATTTAGATTGTTAGAGTAGACCGCTCACACAGCCGGGAAACCAACATTTTACCACCTTCTCCCGCCAGTGAAATTACATTCGAAAGGTATTCTAGAGTGCTCTGGAACGCTCTAGGCTAGGTCTCGAATATTCTAGCCAGGTCCAAATCTGCTTTTGATTGAAATCATGGAGGTAAAATGTTGAAGCCCCCGACTCGTGTCTCAGCGCTGTCCGCTTTCACCTTCAACATGCCCAAAACAGATTATTTTGCAAAAGTCACATCTGCATATATTAATATGTGCGCGAGAGATTCTAGATATATATCAGACTACACAAGGAACCTATACTACTACACTTTGCCCTGAGGGTGGAAGACATGTAAAGATTGTGATGGTCAAGTAAGTTCATACAGCATTAAAGTCCCAACACTACTCAACAGACCATTTCTGATGTTTTGGGTCTTTGAGTTTCGTAATCACCAGCTTTCTTGTAGAAAACACTTGAAGTCTTGTGACGCATCTTCAAGATGACTTGCATGGATACAAACATGATACAGCTGGCAGTAGAGACGCACTAGACAGCATGTTAGCAAAAAACAAAAAGCGTAACTTGACATGGTTTACTCGCCCCAGCAAAGACAACAGCCTTCCACCAAATGTAATGCGACGTCAGGAAAGCCCCACAAATCGGTGCACCTAAGCTGAACGTGAGTGACGGTCGAGAAAAAGTAAATGGCGCACATGCCCACGAGTGATCCAATGCCTGTGAACGTGTGTCAATGCTCAGGGGTGTGTCACCAAATACCGGAACCACAGACTTACCAGCTACTGCAAACATGATGCCCATCCGTGCACTGGAGCAGTGTCAGAAATATTCGAAGGCAGATGTCAAGTAATTACCCAATATGTGAATTTTCAGGAGTCAGATACGATACCAATGGGCCCATCAGTGCTATAACTGGGGTCGAAACTAGGTAAGTGTCAAAGGAACATCATGGACCTACGTACCGCCTCCGGAAAAAAACCCATAGCTTGCAGCTATCACAGCTACACTGGCCGCCGAGTGCAAGCCAATCATTGCAAATAGTACAGCGGAAGATATAAATGAAGAGCCAACGACCGTGTTTGGGATGCCCACGTAGGTAGAGACAACACCCACAGCAAGTCTTCCGATGAAAGAACCAGAACTGAGGATTGTGAGCTGTTGGGGTGATAAGTATTTCTTGATTATTTAAATGGTCTCTGACACGCACTGAATAAAACGAAAATTCTCGGCTTAGACCATGCAGGGTGGAATCCAACTGAAGGTAAAAGACTTCGAAGAAGTATCCGAAATTGAAAGCAGCTAGCCTAAGCAGTGAAAGCAACTTCAGCGTTCATGTCGTCGAGTATTGCAAGGCTTACGCACGCTACACATCCACAGATGTAAGCGCCATCTCTCGACGAGTTTTGCAAAACGCGAGTGTAACTGACGGCATTTGGTTGCGGTGGAATCCTTGTTCGCATGAGGAGGTTTGCGATGAGAAGCAGGCCACTATTCAAAGTCGCACTTGCACGGACACCATTTGCAAAGCCGAGTCTTCTATTGATAAGATTGTTGAGTATGATGGGGTGCAAGATTGCACCCAATGACGACCCCGCAACGACAATTCCCATCGCAATAGCTCTGCATCGCTGGAAGTGATGCGATACTATAGCAATAGAGGGAACGTTCGTAAGGCCTATTGCAATACCGAAACCGACACCTTGGGAAAGGAATATCTACATGCGCAATACGGTCAGCAAAGCCGCGCATTAACAGAAAGGAGACTTGCTTGATAATACCCATCTGGTTTCGCTAGGGACAATAGAAAGAGGAAGAGGCATTGGAGGAGACAGCCGATTTTCATAACAGGGTAACTGAAAATGTATGAACAGATACGTCTTTATGCAGATTTATGGGGCACATACAATGCGCCTCGGTCGACCATCCTTCCTGACACGACTCCAACTGATAGCACCAAGAGTGCATTAACACTTCCTATCCAGCTACACCGTGGGAGAGATGAAAACACTATTAGTCAAGAAATGACCTAGATAGATCTAAAGCTTACTGACGCAATTGCAGATGGTGTGGAATTGGTCAGGTATGTTCGAGTGTAAAAGTCTGCACATCATGTTTGTTAGATCACCTCCCTCAAGTGTTCCATAGGTGTGCTTGCCCTGGAAGACACCGTAAGCGTTGGTATAACTGGAACGTGTTAAAATTTTGGGCCCATAAATGCCGAGTCGAATTTACCCAAAGCCACAGAATTGGATCAAGAAACTTGACGGTGATGAGTATGCAGCGATTGACAGGTAGACAAATGCACCTACGTGCCTACCACTGTGCCCCAAGCGGTAAAACCACCTTCGGGAAAACTTAGCGCATCCGAGGAGTTGACAAGGCTAGCATTTTCAGCGCTTTTGATGGGTTTCGAGACGCTTGCGGGAGCCTCCTTTGCAGTTTCATCACTGGGGAAAGGTGTGGACATGGTCAATTGAGGCCAATTGAACGATGGATGGGACATACATGCAATCTATAATGGAGTTTAATATGAAGTTAACTCGGACGGAACAACCATGAGGCTTGTACCTCACGGCGGCGTTATACTGCCATTGCCCCTAGACCCTAGACTCGCCGTGAACAATCTGACGTACGTCTTTGAGAGGGAGAATCGACTTATTCAAGTCCGCGGAGTATAAGCCAGGGTGTTTCCGAGTTGTTCTGATCCTCGTGACACGGAGTACATCAACGGGCACGCCGGGCAATTGATTAAGATTCCACGGCTAGTGTCGGAAAAAAATTAGAGCCGTGTTGTCCTATTTTACACAATCTCGAAACAGGATTAAATCGTGCAGGGTATTAAGAGGTACATATGGTGCAACCTTGTGACAGCGCAACTCGATTTGAATGGCTCCATAGTATGACCACGAGCTGTGAAGCATATTGAACATCTACGGTATGAACAATCAGAAAATACTCGTACCGCCTCTATCAACTGCCCATCTGTCTCTCGAGGTCCCGCAGCAGACGCAGCGCCTCATCCGTGGCCCTCAACTCGCCATCGGCATACTCAAATCTCTGTCGAATCCTCCTCTCTATGTCCTGAGCATGCTCCAAACACCTTGCAAGGACGAACCCTCTAAGCACGTTTGTGTAAAGCCCAATGTCCAGAATCGAAGGCTCTCGGTCCGCATGATCACCACTCACGCTTACCCGATCCTGCGATCCACTATCTTTCTCTAGCCGATCGATGATAGAAATCGCCACGGCCGGATGTCCGTATTCAGCAAACCCTCTTGCCACAATACTCCACTGGACGGCCCCAGGACTCAACCCCAAACTCACCATATCCTTCAAGATACCCGCAGCCCGCTCAGGCCGGCCACGCTTCGCATGCAACTTTACAAAAGGCGAAAAGTGAGCCGCATCGATTGCGCGTTTCGGGAGCTGCAGCAATGATGGTGCGAATTTGGAGTTAGGGGAAGAAATGGGCTTCTGGGATATGCTGGCATCCGCAACGGCCAGGAGATATCTGTACATGCGCTCGTGGTCGCTTTCTGGCGTTGACCAAACGAGCGCTTCCCAGACGAGGGCGGTGTGGTAAGGCGTTGGCCATAGTTTCTCTGAAATATCGTATTGCCGGTTTAGCATGTGCTGTGGAAGCGATGTTCTTTGGGAAAGCGGAGCACGGCGTTTGGATATTAACCTCATGGTTTTCAGAATAGTTCTGCGTGGGACGCCGATCATGTGGAAATGGTATGCAAAGACCACAAGGACGAGTTGGGGCTCGTTGCGGGAGCGGTGGTAAAGCATCTCTGCCATAACCCATAGAGACTTGGCTTTGTGCGAGTGCTGGAACGCCTTTTTCCGCAAAGCGAGCAAGGCACGTGTACGCCCGGTGGCATGATAGGCATTCATGAAGTTGGAAAGGAAATAAGAAGTGGGAGGGCTCGTCGAAATGATAGCGTGTCGGAGATAACGCAGATGGGAAGCCAACGCAAGGGTATCAGTGTGAGAACAAGTACGCTTATACCAAACGTCTGGGATGCTGTAAGGATTGCTGGATATTTGCTTGCGTAGTTCCTGAACGGTGGCTGTAAATGCTTCGTCTGGGGAGTGCTCTAGGAGGAATCTAAACGTAAAATCTGTGACTTGACGTTCGCGTGTTGCAGCGACGCGTGCAAGCTGAAGGGCGTGCTTCTCTCGGCCAGCCAGGACCTGGTTTCTGATGACGAGGCTGTAGATGCTTGCCCATTGTTCTGGAGTAACCTTGACATGGCTGGTTTTCGAGAGATGATCTACCACTGTTTCCAGTTGTAAAATATAACTCTCAATCGTGGCAGGACTCGCATAGCGGGCAAGGGTGCTTAACACTTGCGACTGTGCATTACCAACGAAGTAACCTTTTGACGCCATGATGAGACCGAACCGCATGATGAGTGAGATGTTAAGGTAGTTCGATCCACGAAAGAGCTGCTGGCGGATATCCTTGAATGAACTCCACTGTTCTGTTGCAGTAGGCACCAACGAAAGCCATGCCGAAAACAATTCCCCTCGATTTTTGAGCCCTTTCGTCTGAAGAACAGCTCTCGCTGCCCGCTCGTAGATGATATGCGGTTGAATGGGTATCTTGATATCCATCATCTCTTTCCGCAACGATTCCGCAGCTGCATAATCCTCTGTACGTATTAGATTTACGAGAGTGTCAGAAGAGGTCTGGGGCGCATATACGGATGAACTCTGAGACACGGCCGAGGTATACTCAGCAGTCATCTCCTCAAACACCGACATATCAGGTGCATGACGTGGAAAAGGCATGTGTTCGACCTCGATGGATGATGGTGACTGCGTCGAAATGGCGAGAGACGCATTGAGTCTGTTGCGTGCTTGAGACCAGACTTTTGGGTGAAAAAAATCTAGGCGTAAGCGCGCGGGGCTAGTATGCAGCCAAGGTGATTGGCGAAGTATCCATGTTGCCATGCAAAGTGCAGCACTAGCTCTCTGTCTTTGTCACCTAATGAAGTACGAATCATGAGCAGGGTCCTGGACTCCTGGTGGTGAGAGTAAAACCTTGGCCCACTTCTAAAAAGGAAGGTTTACGGTAGTCCGTGATTGAATTAGGGAAGTTTTGGGAAATGCTGCAACGTCTTTCTCTGACTTCCAGAATGCATCTGCTGTTCGCTGGTACGGTATATGGGTACGTTAACATGCGACAAGACAATCTTTTGAGCGTGCGTGATGATATATTCTTCCACGGAGTCATAGCAGCTGGTTCTTTCAAGTTCGGTTCCAACTTCCCGAGCTTCACAACAGGCTATTAAAATTAGGTGTTCTCTCTCAGACTCATTCAGCCCCCAGCTGTCGACGCTCGTCCGCTGTCGCACTGAAATGCAGACTCCCTTCCAAAACATGATTTTTCCTACATTGACCGCGGCACACCGCAGATCTATCATGATTGCATTCATCACTGTGGTATGTCACTGGCAATATCCCGTACCACGCCCTACCTCAGCTTCCAGTATAGTTGTGTGTGTATTATTTTGTGACTATTAGTCCTGAAGGCGGCTACTTGTCTTCCAAATTTTTGTCCACAAAGCAGTCAATATCCAAGGATTCTGCGAGTGTTTTGAATGCTGCACAGATGGAGGAGACCCTATTCGATTTGGCTCCGAGTTCAGCAGAAAGCAAACCACCACACTCCCTCGGCAACATCATTCCACACGACTCTTCCACTCCTCACCGAGCCAATGCTACGTTGGTGATGCTGGCTCGTAACACTGATATCGCCGGCGTGATATGGAGTGTAGAACAGTTGGAGGCGAAATTCAATCGCAAATTCAATTATCCCTGGGTGTTTCTGAACGATGAACCCTTCTCTTATGAGTTCAAAAGGTATACCATGTCACCATTAGCGCAGTTGGTTCATCATGCATTTTCAGGCGTGTTAAAGTGTTGACTAACGCGGACGTATCATTTGGGCTCATCCCTCACGAAACTTGGGTGCAGCCGTCCTGGATAGATGAAGAACGAGCTCGGAGGGGACGCAATATGCTAACAAAGGAGGGCGTGATTTATGGCGGTAAGTCCATTGATAAGATCGTCTTCAATATCTTACCATTGAAGCTATAGGCAGTGTTTCGTGCGTATCTCCGTGAAACCCATTCAGGCTGCGCCTCATCCTTGGTAATTAGTTACCGTAATATGTGTCGGTTTAACTCAGGGGTGGGTACTGTGGGTTTGCGGAGAATGTTTCGTTTTGACTGATCTCTCTGTGTAGTTCTTTTTCCACCATGAGCTCTTAACGCCATACAAATGGTACTGGAGAGTAGAGTCAGTCGTTCGGTGTACCAGATGAATTAAGTGCTGACCCATTCTGTAGACCCGACGTGAGATTTTACTGTGACCTTGAATATGACCCTTTTGTATTTATGGAAAATCATGACAAAATTTATGGTGAGAAATTCGCAGCACAGTGGTCGAGTTGCTAAATCTATCTACGGCCAGGCTTCACCATCTCAATGCCAGGTAAATTGACATTTTTGCTGTATCTTTCATAGCATAAAGCGCGTTCTGGGCAGAATTAGAATCAACTATAACCTCGTTGTGGTCCGTGGTGAAAGGTAAGCACTAAGCATCATGCTCTGCAGGCTGGGGGTGAACCTCTGTTCCAGAATTCATCTCGGACCACCCTGAATATCTGTCACCAAACAACTCAATGGATTTTATATCCGAAGACGCAGGCGATTCCTACAACACGTGTCACTGTAAGATCCGTTCAATAACATGTTGGAAAAAAGGTCATTTACGCCCTTCACTCAGTTTGGTCAAACTTTGAAATCGCCGATATGGATTTCTGGAGGAGCGAAGCTTACACAAAATTCTTTAACTATCTCGAGAACACAGGGGGGTTTTACTATGAGGCAAGTTAATGATTTTTCTGTTCGTGTTGTCTTGACCGTACCGTACACAGAGATGGGGAGATGCACCTGTTCATAGCATCGCCGCAGCCTTATTCGCACGCAAGGATCAACTACATTTCTTCAAAGATATAGGTAAGCTTTGACCATATCGTTTCGTGGCCATAACTGATCCGTTCGAAGGTTATAAACACGCTGAATTTTCTCACTGCCCCCAGGGTAGACAGTGGCGGGAAGGACACTGCTCGTGCAATCCAAACGATAGCTTCGGTGCGATAATACATCATGATTAAGTCTTGGCGATACTGAAAAAATGGCCCAGATTTTGCGCAAAATTCGTGCTTGAGGCATTTCATGCGGTTGGACGACGGTTGGATATTCAATTGAGGGCAGACGCCACGATGTATTTCCACCATACGTTACTTCACATACTATAATCCTTTTTCAGCTGCAGGATATATAGACTTTTTATTCTTCCCTCTTATATACTGTTCCACACTCGTGGAGCTGTACCATCTTTTGTTCAGGCGGAATACACCCTGAACGACAAGGGATTCGGCAGTTCGCTGCTTCTGATGTTAGAGTTTGTATTTCACCCTTCGATAAGTTCGGATAGTCCCGACTACGTATAAATACTTACGTCGTAGACCATCCTCTCTTTGTCGTCTCCCCCCATGTCGCAGACACACGATGGAGCGTCGTTCTCAGAGTTCTAGTTCTAACATCCAACAGGCTATGTTGCGAGTATCCATGGTCGCCGCACAAAGATATAACAACTACTTTCATATCGATCGCCCAGATTTCATTATCTTTCGTACGTGTCGCAACTGCTTCTATTTACGAGTTGGACAAACAAAAAGATCCTGCTTATTACGATACCCTTGGTCAAGCGAAATAGCGCCCTTGAATGGCACTTTCAAAGGTGGACACTGCCGCATGCACACTACAATTGATGTATATATCAAAATATCTGCGATGGTTGCGAGCGGCTGTCATGAGGGAAGTTGTCGGAAGCAGCGGACTCCCCACAAGTAAATGGAAGAAGTGGCAGGACGAAAAAAATGAAACCTGATCTATTGATATGAAAGTAGCTTTGTAACGGTAACGGCAAGTGTCCAGGCCCTAAGGCCTAAGGACTAAAAAAATCTAACAGCTGTGTTAGAGTCCTACGTAGTACATAGTGCGCACTAGCATGAGGACTTGAGCGTGACCGTGTTCAGCTCAGAGAAAATAATTAGTATATCATACACTTAAGAGACGAAGATGCTACGTAAAGGGACAACAGAGCTGTGTCAAACACACAAACGAATATAATTAATATATCCCCCAATTCCATCATGCTAGCTGGGCGAACTCCCCGTCACTTCGAGGCCCTGCATCCCCTTCCAGTTGAGTGCTGGCCGATACCTCAGTCGCAATCGTGCCCTGACCCGTGGTACCCAAGTTCGTTGGAGGGATAGATATCCGACCGTTCTTCGCCAGTTCACTCCTCACACCATCAAGCATGCGCTTGAGGTTGACGCGCTCATTCACAAGGGCCATCCGGGCGCTTTCAAGACTTTTCCTTTCTTCTTCTAAAACCTCCTCCAATTCCTCGAATTGGGACATTTTAAGCTCGAGTTTCGTAAGCGTGAGTTTGATGAGCGACGAAAGGGTCGAGCGAATATGTACGTCTTCAGCGTCTGCTAAGTTCTGAGCAGCTTTCGCAGAAGACTTGAGGGCAAGCTGAGCGGCGCGCACGACGTGCGACTGGGGTAATTTGGACTGCAGCTTCGCTAGTTTTGTGCTGTCGGCGGATACGTTTTCTGCCCCTTCTATATTTGATTGGGTGTTGGTCGCCGGTTCAGCGTTCGCCGCCGTGGATGCATAGGGAGCATCCTCATCCATAGCATTGTCACTTTCTGCACCTTTTTTGTTACTAGACTCTCCTTTCTCGTCAAGTGCATTCTCCGTGCCTTCCCTTGGTGCACTATCTGTCAATGCGTGCATGGCTGTCTTTGCTGCTTCAGCAGCGACCCCTGAACCGACAACACCAGCAAGGAAGGCTACCACACTCATCACAGGGTTATCGGCCTGTTCGAAAGGGATCCGCCCAAACCTTAGTGGACCCGTGTCGCCTTCCGAGGCTATGTACGGGTCCTCAATTGGCAGAGACAGGAATTTCCTGATACACTGCTGAGACGTACGCGTTCCCACATGGTCCTCGATTGCACTCCAGTCATCGTCGAACATCTCGATACCTTCCAGTAACAGAAGTACCTCCTGGTCTGTCCAGTCGTCGTCGGTCCCGCCATGGCTTACACCAGGCGGACTAGACGTGAGCTTCACAAAGTCCCCACTAAACATTGTCGACGGGAATCGCCCGTCGAGATAGCACGGACCACAAAGCTCGAAATCTTTCACTTTCAACGAGTGATACCGCAATGCGGTGCAGTCTGTTCCACACGTATCGCACTGGTACGACATGTTCCCTTTCGACGACACACCGTTCGCAAGCGCATTCGCCTCGGTGGAAGTTACTGCGCGTGATGCTTTGGATGTCGTCTGGTAGATTGAATTCCGCAGCTCAAGTGACGCCAAACCAGAGCCGCTGTGTTGTTGTATTGGTTTTGGAGCACCGTTCATTGGATGCGTGATAGTAGGGCGAGTCCCGGGGTGCAATGACTGCATGCCCCGAGGCGTGTCGAGGATCACGCGGAAATGACCGGTGAAAGGTGGTGCAAGCGCAGCTGGTCGCGCTTCTGGGTCGATCTTAAGAATACTTAGTCATTAGGAAGTGCTCAGATAACATTTCTGCCCTTCGTACCTGATAGTTGATCAAACCCCACTGCTCCAAGAATGCATGCACGCGCATTATGGCGCACACGTCGCCTGCCAAGTTTCTCCGACATGCGGTGACAGTCAAGTACTCCGTCGGCCGGAGACGATACGTATTAATCATAAAGTCGCGGTAATCTTTGTATATGGAGGGCGTTTTGGAGCGGTTTCTTGAGTTGAAAAACTCTGGGAGGGCGCGTCGTTCGACGGGGTGAATCTTGGACATGTCGAACCATGCAGAGTAGGACGGGATAATAACATCGTGTGTCTGCGCGGCGAGGTATTTTCTTGCTTGGTCTTCCAGTCGCAAGCGAGTCGCTTCCAGCTGTGCAGGGTCTTCATCATCGTTGTCGTCTCCAGACTCTGCTTCTTCATCAGCTGCTTCCCCCATTGACACGTCTCCGGCGTCTTCATCTCCATCTCCCTCCTTCAGCACTCTAACCACACCCGAGCCATTCTCTGCTGACGTAGGTTCGCCAGTATCAGGTGGAAGGTTGCCAATATCCCCGCCTTGAATTGGGTCAAGTTCGCTGCGCTTTCCCGGAGCAGACTCAGGTTCTACGGGCGAAGCGCCTTGACTTTTCTGAGGAACCGTGAGCTTGATTCGTTTTGCCTCTGACGTTGACGACGGTGAGCCCGTGCGTTTTGGTGAGTCCATCGCGTTCTAGTAGCCGTTCAAATGTATGGTTAGAAAGAAACCAGTGTACCAAATAGTTGCAAATAACCATGGTGGCTAGAAAATTCTGAACTACTACCGTGACACTTAAAGCTAATTGCTCAGGAAGAGCAGCGTCTCCGAGTCTACCGGGTTAACAAGCAAGTTCATAGGCCCACGTTGGGAGCAGTATTTTTATGAGGTATGCGGGATATCTGATAATGGTGCAATTGTACTCATGCAGATATATGGTCCCGGACTCCTTGTTCATCGTCCGCATATCTTCTGCTAACAGATTTTGCTTTCACTGCGGGCCAGGTGCTTTTACGTGATGTTTTTGAAATCCTAGGAGCCTATCGCCATTGATGATCTTCAAGCAGCAGGATAGGCCGACAGTCGCATCATACCGTGTAGCATCCTATTGCACCTGAACCTGTATCGCTGTTGACAAGGCTGCCGCGGCATCAATATGGGGAGAGCTCCAATTGCATTTTTTTTGCAAAAGAATGATCGTCCATCAAGATCGTCTGCATCACTGTCGTTAAACAACGGCAAGCCACCCACCTCGCGTTAGGCATGCTTTCTGCAATGCTACCATATCTCGAGTCACGTTAGGGTGGAAAGAACAGCTAGGCTATGAATGCTGAGCGACAACGATGTTGCTTTGGATTAACTCTCTTCGCCTCACTACATTATTGTATACTTCGGTGCTCGGAGACTAATGTATAAGCTGCCTTCCTATTCGCCGATATTCTCACTCCTGGCTGGAAGCAAGCAGAAGCTGAACTCAAGCTTGTTTCGCTGTACCCAAGTCATTCTTTCCTGTATGCAATGCGATGATCATGCAGATGTTTAGGGCCGAGGCCGAAGTGGATATCCATGTACCAATTGTGACAAGGATCTTGTCAGATGAACGCGAGAGTGTAGCTGACCAGGCTCTAGAGAATGATGGCCGTAGCAGTGATGGTACTAGTGACCTGGAGGATGTGGACACCGAGTAGACCGACTGGAAGAGAACTTTGAAAAACATTTGAATTTTGGGTCACGTGATTGTTAATAATTTGTTAATAACTTGCTTGTTATTAATATTATATTCCCTGCGAGCGACATGCTATTTAACCGTGTTATTAACTGCTCGAAGAGTTTTCACCCCCGGAACATCACTATTCATATATACGACTTCCTCACTAGTCCTCTGATGGTATTTCGGAGAGGAACCCTGAAGGAGGTTGTGGTGGGATTCTTGTGTTAACTCTCGCACAGGTCAAATCAAATGTCGTTATTTGCAACAGACCGCAAGAATAAATATTGTCACCTTGCTTGCAAGGTCATTTACCGACTTGATAATTCTGCGGATCGTCTACATGACGGAAAATCCCGAATGATTGTCACCACTTGTTCTTGCCCGCTCTTAAAATCCAAGTCAATTGTCAAGTTGGACTACAAAGCGTGATGAAGTAACGTATCAATGTCCAATTCTTCAATATCATCGTTGTAGTCGTTGTTAATATTCTATGCGCAGGTATGTCCTTTGAAAAACCACACGTGCGTTCCTACTATGACATTTCAATATGACACTTTCAGAAACCCTTTATGCAGATGTGACCCCTAAAAATCTTGCAACCCATCTTCCATCATGGAGCCTGGCCAGTATATTTGAATTGTTGCAGACTTCCAGTCCAGAATGTGCGTGATACAGGATAGGTCCCATAGACCAAACCTGTCGCAGTGATCAACGGTCAATGTAGAAATCCCAGTAATGAAGTAAAATCCCACAGACAATCTAAGCAAGGTCATCGCCGGCAACGGCGCCTAGTAATTATGATAATAAAAATATCCCACTGGTTTTTGATAATTCTTGAAGCGGGTCGCTCGAGACTCGACCTCACAATATTCGAATATTGCCTTGCCAACGTAAGTAGGTACGTGCCCAGACTCGATCCTAACCAACGATTCAGCGAGGATTAGCATGTGCACGATCTACCCTGCATTTCGCTCGGATGATAAATGCTCTCGAATCAACTTCTATACAAGTCTAGTACATGATCTATATATAATTACAGACTTGTTCCAAGTCATCGAACCCTACTCTACGCCTGTCTTACCCAATAAAAATGAAGATTATCTAATTCCCTGATCTCAGCTCGCGCTCCTCGCTTTCCCTGCGCCATGATTCACCTTTGTGTATTACCAATAAAACAGATAACTCCATCGCAACCAAGATACCAGCCCATGCCGTATATAGTACCCCATCTCCTAAAGCATCCTATGGGAGAGCGGGCTCGGATCAGCATGTCCGGGTTATAGTGGATTAAAGAACCTCACTTGAAGCGGTACAGCAGTCATAACCGAAGCAAAAGCAAGGGTCCCTCGGAACGAGCTATTTGCGGCAACCGCTGTACTCGAGCGACCTGGGTTGGCATCAACGAGGTATGCCAATGTACTACTATACATCCATCTGCAAGTAGATGTCAGCGTAATCACAACAACGAGATGACTAGTCTACAGACATGGAGGTGAATCCAATAAGAACGAGCATGATACAAACGACGGCGACATCGACATGCTTTTCGCACACCCAGGCATAACCGATAACAGATGGAGGTAACCACAGCATTGCTAGTTTCGAACTGTCTAGGCGCATCTTGGCAGGACGTCAAAAAAGAGTTCTAGTGTTGAAATGTAGAGAAGGCTCACTTCGGCGGACCACTTTCCTCCGTTTGCTACTCTCTTGCTCGCAAGTACCCGGTCGGACCAACGGCCACCAATCACACTCCCAGCGACACTTCCTTCAAAGGAAATTAGCGATCTGCCAAAATCCAGGGTGTGAATATCTCACCTACGCCAAGGCAAAGTAAGACTAAACCAGTACTACACGCATCGTAACCATATCTATTGGCGAGAGTGCGGGCGCACGTGTATGAAAGGCAATAGCTAAATCCGAAGATGAGTCCTTATCACAAAGTGATATGATTAAGTCGCGACCTGGAGAGATCAAATCTTCACTAACTCACCATTAGCGATAAGAATGAAAACGTTGTTCTTTCGCGACAAAATTTGAAAGTATGGTGGAAAGGGGTTGACGTCCTGTATTGATAATCTCGGATTGTTCGGTCCTGGCATAGAGTTTAGCACTGGAACCGTGGCTGGAACATGAAGAGGGTCGAGCTGTTTCTCGATATCCTTGGCGGAAGTGCTGGAGTCTTGTTTGCTGATGATAGATTCGTTTCCACTCTGGACGGGTTCTTTGGAGGCAGCTAGGCGTTGTGAAGCAGAGCGATACATGAGACTTCGTTCATGTCTGTATGTGTCCTTAAACAGGATAAGGAAGGACAGGAAGGTGACTACTCCACAAATTAACACGAAGTAGAAACTTGCGCGCCAGTTGAAGACCTGTGATAACGACCCGCCGAGTATAGGGCCAAGGGCAGGTCCTAAAAGAGGTGCAGCAAAGAAGATGCCCATCCTTGTCCCTCGTTCGTGAGGGTCGTAGATATCAGCTAGAGTCGCAGCTGAAATAGAAATAGCAGCGCTTGACCTGCGAGAGGTGGAATTAATCAATGTTCAAGCTTTGTCAAGTGTACTCACCCTGCAGCTTGGAGTGCCCGCATAACGATCATCATCTCAATGGTCTTTGACAATGCCAATACAGCACTTCCTACCACAAATAAGGCGGAAGACACCAAATAGACAGGCTACGATGATCGAGACTCGCATTCATCAAAAAGATCAATGAGTGTACACCTACACTAACCTTACGGCCTTTAATTTCGCTTGCGGCGCTCCATAACAGAGGAAGGTTGCCTTGTATGATTTGGTACGCTGACAATGTCCAACTAATCTGACTGCTTGTTGCATGCAGAGCTTCTTCTATCAGAGAGTTTGACGCTGCAAGAAAAAAATGAGTTTCAACTATTCATCGGAAAAAAACATTTGACGAACGATTTTGAATGTTAGAAGCCATCGTAGACACCATTGTAGCCAGCGACACAATGCACAAGGTCGTAGTCTATCGGCGGGAAGGGTCAGATTAATTACAAAATGCATCGCGTGATACACGCACCTTTCTAGCATAACTCCACTGACGGGGATCGTCAGCAACTGGAACATGTTCTATGTCAATTGCAGTATCTGTCTCTTGGTGTGATGTGTTGTGTTCGGACGCAGCAGTTGGACTAGCCATGAGTCGCAAATTGCAGAGACGCGATAAGAGTAGTTGCCAGTTTCTGACCCAAGATGAATCGCTTCTTATACAGTCCAATGGGCCACTTACACGGTAATGGATCTCAAAAAGATATTGCGATATCAGTATGTACCAAAAAGGTGCACACGCCTGTGAAGATAATCCTGGCCTGGATAGCAACAGCTATTGGGGATTGTTTCAATAGCATTTCTCCTCCCCAGCAGTCGCGCGACATATAGCATGTCGGCCGAAAGAAAAGGGGATGATAATCTGCCAATGGGGTAAAAGAATACTGGCGCATTAAAACAAAGAGAGAGTGCAAAACAATAGAGCACGATGCCCTGTGTATCTTTCTGCATCTTTTTCTTCCTCGTATCAAGTTCCTCAGGAGCAGGAGAAGTTCAATGTCACGTAATGAAGTAGCTTCGCTTCAACCTGTGTCTTCCCAATCTTCGGCCCGAGTTTGTTCTGAACTTTAGACTTGGTCAGTATGTTGCGAAGTTCTACTGCCTGGCTTGCCCGTGACTAAAGTTGTTGTATTATTTGAAATGGGGCCGAAAACGGTTGCCGCTGAATGTGATGAATGAAACGAAATTCCAAAGTCATGGTGAGGGTGAGTGTAGCTCGACCCGAAATCCCGAGGCGCTGGATTAGACGATTGTCTGAGAACGGATAAGTTATCTGAAAAATGGAATGAAGAGAGAATTGTTAATACAGAGGATGATTCATCTGAAGTCGGCCTGGGTACTAACCTTATGTGCAACGACGAGGGTCCGAGGTTCTACCTGCATTCACAAAGTTTTGAAATCTCTTGCTGATGTCGGACGATATTAAATATATGGGAAAAAGAATCTGGATCATAAAACTATGCTGACGAGCGTTAACGTATTAGTAGCTCAAGTTGAGCAGTCGCGGTTCAGCGCGGGAAGAACAGTACATTGCCAAATCATAAACTTTCTTGGTCGATGTCACCAATATCGAGAGACGAGGGTGTCATGCGAGGCTGAACGACTAGAGACGAAGAAACTTTCGCTGCTACTAGCCTTCTAGATCAATTTCCAGCGTTGTTATTCATCGTGAAAGGTGGGAGAACAGATTTGTGCACCAAGTCGGCCACTATATTTATGAAGGTTCAGCAAGTCCTCTGGATGTGAAACAATTTAGCAAATATTGAACTCCCACTTATCCTGCTCCCCAAGTCATAATCCTCCCGCCACCGACTGGGAGGTCCCCCAGTCACACCACTCGCGAAAAATCGATATCTAGGTTAGCATCCCATTGCTGGCCAAGGTCTGGCGTACTCTAGTTCCATATCCGCGCAAGATATCCCAGCCGCAGTATGCCCGCATGCCTCGCGATTTGAATCTTATAGATAACTTTAGTGTGAGTACACACGTGCGCTACTAGTGCGGCCGGCTTGTCAGATATGGTGCTCGATGATAACAGATATTGAAGTTGCTAAAGATGCTTCTGAGTAGGTGTCTTCTGTGCACGACGGAGGCCGTACCACCAGATTAAGATATCCCGGGGAGGCTGCACTCATCCGCATGCCGCGGAGAATTTTGAGCAAGAGCGAACATTGTTTCGTCGTCACCGAGGCTACAGCTGTGCTGGCATGTAATGTGCGGGATGGAGTATCATTGTGCCTTGTGTCAATTTCCGTGCTCATTTGGGGGGTATGCAACAGGAATAAGAATGAATGATTCTACAATGTACATCGTTGACGACTTACCTGAGTTACCACGGTCCATGGCCTGCAATTTTCAAATTCCTCCCTTCGTCACTTCTTCGCAACGCCACTCAACTTGTCCCCTAGAGTATCAACGAGGGAGGGCCCCATTTATCTATTGCCACGAAAAAGCCAACACGCTCTTCCAGATTCGTATCTGCCCAACAAGAACAAGAGATCTTGACAAACTTGACTTTTCAGCTTCAAAAAGCGCGTAATCATGATCATTCAGTCAGCAAGCACGACAATAAGAATAAAGTTCCCCGTAAGCATATTGAACAGCTGAGGAGTTTTCGAATTCGGCCTTAAGCTCCTACGCGATCTGACCCGTTCGATTCCGTTTAAGATCTGTGACTGGGTTGATGCAGTGCAGTGATCTTTAATAGGAATACTGTGCCGCAGCTAATTTCTTTACCTACTAAGTCAGGAGTCATCTGTCTTCCAACGACGGCACCGTCATAAGTTCCAGTGTCATAACTGACGTGGCCCGAATCCCCAACTATATATAAGTGGACGGTATTGTCCACGGCATTGGGATATGACTTTCACCAGCGACATTCCATTGGATCCCAGCCTCTACAGGCTGGACCCCGCCGCACTCGAGTTTTTCCAGCAACAAACAGGCATTACCGAAGAGGACGACCTGAAGCACCACATCCTCGCTGTTCAAAAAAGGGTTTTCGCGGTGAGTGATAGCTTCCATTGACGTAGGTCGATTTTTATGCGACCTGTGTAGGCGGCATCGTACCCCTGTATTTACAACTTCGGATTCACAAGGTTTGCCATCCTTGTGGAATTTATATTCTATGATTAACATGTATTCCAGTCTCAGAATTTCGAGACACCCGAAGTACCAAAGCGTGCTTCAGCTAGGTCGTGATCACAGAAATCCATTGCTCTTGGATCTTGGGTGTTGCTGTAAGTACATTGGGTTTATTCTAGTAGACGATGGTCATGAACTCGCCTTGTCATAGTTGGCAATGATGCACGCAAGGCAGTCGCAGATGGCTGGCCAATCATCCGAATCGTCTCTACCGATCTCAGACGAGGTACGTCCCACGATAGTCACCTCCCTGTGCAAATAGGGGGAAATGTACAATTTAGACTGAGACTTCATAACAGAATTTTGGGATCTCGGACATGTCCTTTTCCGGTCTACGCCGACATCTTTTCCCTCACACTTCATTGCGGGTGACTGTCTAGATCCAGCTTTCTTATCATCCGAGTCTGTGCATACGTCACGGTCACCACCTGACTTGTCATCGCTCGTCTCACTGAATGACTTGCATGGCAAGCTTACTGCCATCCATGCATCATCCATATTTCACTTGTTTTCTGCAGAGCAACAGGCATCACTCGTCCGTGCTGTAGCTGCTTTGCTGTCTCCTGCGTCAGGAAGCATTGTATTTGGCTCTCATGTCGGACTCCCGAAGCAGGGTACCATACGGGAGGAAGTGTTTGGTATGACGGTGGATATGTATTGTTATGATCCTGAAAGCTGGAATAAGCTCTGGGAAGCTGCAGGTCCCTTCAAGACGGAGGCAGTCTTGAAAGAGGTAACAACTCCAAATGGCGAGATTGGGTGGAAAATGGTATGGAGTGCAACGATGACCACCAAATCCTAGATCTTGGTGTATGACGAATACGTATCACGTGGGCACTAGGAAAATGCTGCGCCACTGCTGCGACTGCTGCGTGGTATCTGCCGCGACGTTTCAAATTTATGCTAAGCAGCAAATTTGACTCACAACATTTACTTAAGTTGTTGCTTGCCACATACTCTGGACTCTGCATCATTAATATAGAGTCACTTGGTTATTGCTGAGTCTCTTGCTGCTTTATGAACTTCTTCGTTAGTATCACTTTGAAATCTTAATGTCCTGGCACATGTCTTCATCTGTGTCACTGAAGTATTGAATATTGATCTATAGTGTGTTCCAACTTCCGATATTTCAGACTCATGCATTCTGGTTTCTGAAATGATACGCAAATCCACCACTGAAGTATGTATTCCAATGCACGAGTCTGCAATACTATGATGCACAACATAACTGCTGAAGGACCATGTATTACACAGCTCGAGTTCGTTTTCAGTAGTGTTGCAGCACCATGTCATGGGTGTTGCAGTTGTTGCAGGCGTTGCAGTCATTGCGGGTGTTGCAGTCGTCGTGGGCGTTGCAGTTGTTGCAGTCATCGCGGGCGTTGTGGGCACCATGTCGCAGCACCCCCCAAATGTGGAAAGAAGGTGCCTGCAATGACCGCGATGACTGCAACAGATCAGTACTAGTGCCAGAATGTCAGTAATAACTTGTATCCAATTCCAAATCAAGCTAGCTTTCTGTTATCAATGGCTTGAGCAACTTGTGTTGTTTGATCCTCAAGATTATGCACTTGCGATGGTCAAATTTGTCAGTCTACTAGTATGTCTTCAAATCTTCTGTGTGCAAGGCTGACAACTGGACAACAGGGCTTAGTCCAGCACATCTATAACTACTACTATCCTACTAATGCAGCGCCCTCAACATGTACCTACATGAATTCCGAACCACCAGCAACCATACCTGCATCTGGACCACATGCACCTAGTACATTGCCCACCCCTGCAGCCACCGCACCAGTACTATCCATGCAGAGCTTTTTGCCTGCCACTGCAGGGAGCATTCCAACATCTTACCATTCATCACCATCCTCATATGCTGTCATCAACTTTAACATACCCTTGAGCTCACTACTCCCTTCAGCTTGTGATCTAGCCAGGCTCAGTGATGCACATGCCAATCAATTTGAGACTGTGCAGGTTAGTTCATGTGCCTCATCTGACACACTTGTCACACACTCACACTCAGCAACCCAGCCTGTCATTACTAATGTGCAAGAAGTCCGGACCACTACCGTCAAGTCAGATGCTCCTCAAAATACAAACACGGATGCTCTTAGAGTAGCTGCATCAACTGTTGCTGTCCTACACCTGCAAACAAAGCACCTCCAAGTTCGAGAGGAATGTCCACCGCAAACCAAGGTACCTGCCACCTTGAAAGACTCTTTAACACAGAACAAGGCATCTATCATCTCCCATGCTAAGTCAGACTCTATCGAAGAGGTTCAGATGCTCATGCTGATCTATCTGAGCTCTGGGATGGTTGGCCCAATGGAAGTTATGCTCACTTGTTTTCTTGGGAGGAAGCTTATTAAACAGATTTCTTAATAGAGCACTGGGCTAACAGGAATTGAGGAGGTGATAAGGGATGTAGTGATGATGCTGAAAATTGGCAAGATGATTTTCGAACATGGCATGTATGTCTTGAAATCATTGTTTGTGACGAGCCAACTTGCCAGATCATCACACGTCCTGCCACACACAAAACCATGCTCGTCAGTCAGCTCCATGCTTCCTGTGATTGTGGAGGAATGCCCTGGCAAAGTCACATCTATCCTCTACCGATTTCATGGCGGTGTATATTACAAACACAATGGCGAACATAATCACGCCCGCCCTACTCATATACTACACCTAACAAAAAGTCAACATGCTCAGTTTGAGTCTATTGTAACCACCAATCCTCATGCCCAAGCTGCAGAATTGTGCACAGGTGTTGCTGGACTGACTGGACCTCAGTCATCAGTTGCTGAAATATCCTCTGTTCTCTACAATGTTGACTGCATGTCACAACCCAATAACAAATAAACGCTAGGGCAGAGACTAGGACTCAAACGAAGGTTATCACAACAAGAGGATAATGAGCAAGGACATCTTGGATTGCTACAGTGTAGATACAAGAGGTTTGAACTAAAGAACTATCAACCAAGACATGCTACCTATATACAACTATTGAAACTGAGATTGAAACTGAGCTACAACTACTAGCCAATCATAAAAAGAGAAAGAGAATCGTACCATAGAACATCGTAGAATATTAAAGAAGTATCACGTGACCCTATCTTATCTTATCGTATCTAATCTAATCTATTCACAATCAAAGAACTCATCTTCTTCATCAGTCACATTGAAGACACGTGTTGTGGGCGCTAAAGGTATTTCAGGAATGATAGATGCTTTTAAGGTAGGGTTAGGGTTTGTCTTAGGCGCTGTGTATTGACACTTAGGAAGATTCAAGAAAGAATAATGGTTTGTTAAAGGTACTCGTGACACTGCATCAAGGCAGAATTGCAACACATGAAAGAGAACAGTTCGGGCGAGTTTGCAGATGACTTTGTCAGGTTTCAGAATGAGCATCCAGGCTTTATCTTACATTCTCAATTTGAGGATATTGCAGTTGTCATTATGCAGACTAGATACATCAGGAAATTCTCATATCTCTTAATGTCCCTTGTTGCAGAAATGATGACACATTTTCGCTTGTTTTCACTTATCCACTTGTGCCATGAACTCCACAAGTTACCAGATATTTTCCAAGGATGAAAAAGCTGACAGTTTAAATACACAATACATAAGGATAAAAAGTGTGCAAGTTCCATAATGTATGGTAGATACTAGGTACTTGGCATAAAGTTGCATGTCTGCGGGAACAGATCAGGCATAGGAGGACATTGTTGTTGTATTTGTTGTACCACATGATGACATCACCTTGAAGTCATTCCTTTATGATGCTATCTTGAAGGCATGGTGATCAGTGTATCTGTTGACATAGAACAAGTGGAAAGCATCATAAGAATGAAAGTACTTGATGTTCTTAGGAATGAAATCAGGGCCATAGATGGGGATTAGGTGCGCTGCACGGTAGACTGTCTCGAGATGAATAACAGCAAAGTTTAGGGTGCCATCGTCATGAACACTTGGACGGACTATCCACATGCCAGTATCCTCATCAGCATGGTCACCAACCTTGTCAAACCATTGAACAAGGGCACATGGATATATGACCCAATTATATTTGAAAGAAAAGAAGCATTTGACTCTGGCGACTTCGAGCCCTTCAATCCCTTCAAGGTCTAGATTGGTGTTAACAAATATGCAATCATTATGGGCATAGGTGTTCCACCAGAGTGGACATGCACGTATCTGTTCACGTCGCATGCTGCCGACGCTGCTGGGATCACTAGGGGCATAGAACATTGCAGCAGCAGAATTAAAGACAAAAAGTTTGCCATCATGTCAGGGGCAGTTGGCAGTAGGGACATCTTCAGGGTTGCGGGGGTCATCAGGGAAGAGTTGGGAGAACAGAAAATAATAGATCAGGCATCGTAGGTGTGGTACACGAACTTCCTCTGCCAATGCTGCTACCGTCTGTGCCTGTTTTTGTTCTGTCAAACATCGTGAAGGTTATTGAGATTGACTGTATTACAAAATTACTTACGAGGAGTCCTTGTGAGCTGTACAAAAGCGAGCACTGTTGGACCATCAACAACTTCGCCATCATCAATATCATCTTCTACTTGTGGTGTGATAACAGGGGGATCCGGTTCACCTTCATGCCTATTAAGTATGCAAGAAAACAAAGTTAGATATAGAAAAACTTACAAAGAGCAGCCACAGCCCTTGATAAAACAGAACCAACAAGCATGCCTCACACAGCAAAGTCCACATGAGATGCTGCAAGTTTGTTGAGGCATTGATTAGTCAAAAGCATTTGACCAAGGGCATTGTTCCTGCTAGACCGCTGCCAAGGATCTTTTACTGCCTTGATGTGCTTTGATTCCATGATCAATGAGCATAGTCCATTGGGTGCACCAAAGAGTCGGATAATGTCTGCATAGTGGGACATTGAATGCTGGTGAGGGTATGAAAAGTGAGGCTTTGTGCCTGTAGTTTTGAATATCTGGTGATAATGATGGAACCGAGTAAGCGCATCTTGAAGTTGATTCAAGGAGGCTTCAGTAATGATGTTCCACCGCGCAATGTAACAAAATGCCAAAAGTGCGCCAAAAGTGCGCACCATGTCTTGAGGTACATGACCTTCAATAGCTGGAAGAAATACCTTCATAAGTGCTTTTGAATCATTACCCGTCCATTGTTTGAAATTGTGGCCATCAGAAAATTGCTGTAGACCAGTGAACAATGCTACAACAGTAATTTCAAGGTGTTGTTAGAGGATGCTGTCAGATTAAGGAGTGAGGTCATGTACCTGTGATCTATGTCACTCATAATTTCATCTTCTCGTTTAGTTCCATGCATTAGTCTAAGGTACTCTACTACCCAATCAACGAGATGGTCTTTGAAAGCGCCTTTGATTAGCTGGTGGAGGAGATCAAATGATAGCAGTTGATAGATATCGGCTTGGGGGAAGTCATTTGTGAATGGCTACACAATATAATTAGTATATAATTCAAGAGCGGGTGATTGCACTTACAATGAGATTACTTATGATACCATATTTATTTCACAATGCCTCCAAACCTATGCCCTCACATATCAATAGATCTGTATGTTCTCGACAGCGGTACAAACCACTGCTATCAAGGTCTGTTCGAATTGCAAGACATCTATGATATTGTCAGTAGATGTTGATGCTGAGCACAAGTTGAAATACTCACTTCGGGCACCAATTTTTCACAATACAGGCCAACAGTAATTGTTCCTTGTAGTCTGCTATGTAGGGTCCTAATCCATATATAACCCGTCGGAAATGGCCATCTGCACAATGTAGGACCTCGTACTTGGTCATTCCAGGCTTCAAGGTGGCAAGAGTGAGCGGTGAAACAGCTGGCGACGAAATATGCGGAATGCCTCAGTTTTAGCGTGTTCTCTATCAGCTGGACCATAGCTCAGATAAGTGATACAATTCCGAACATCAATACACATACTTTTGGGTAAGGAGAGGAAGCTGATGATAACGAGAGCATTATGATGAGCACGACACACATTGTTGTGCACATTTCCGATTGAGGCATACAGAGGGTAATATTTATTGTTACCTGTACCCATGGAAACCATAGTTTTGTCACTACTGAGGATGATCGGAACGAATGTCGATCCTTGTGTGTTCGGATCCTGTGATATCGTGTTCTAAAGAGACATTAGCTATGGAGTTATAAGTACACATGAAAGACGTACAGCCTGTTGCCATGCCCAGTCTCCTGACATGAAATCCATTGGCATGTATTGTCTGATGTGTCATACTCTCGAAATGGGGCAAAGTCAATTTCACCCTTATATGTAGGGTTTGCTAGCATATTATGCGCCATCAAATGCAGGTCCCTGTACCAGACCTTGTATTCTTTGTCCATCCATGGAGGGGCATCATGCTCAGGGCATTCTCCTGTGTATTGAACTAAGAGACACTACCAGGGGACATCGCCAAGTTGTGTAGCATCGATCACTTTGTGCAAATCCTTATGATCAGCAAACGGAGGAAAGTTGTTGTATTGAAAAAGTTGCGCAGCCATTAAGTCAAATAAGCTGTCCAAATCTGCATTAGACATATGCCACTGTTTGAATACAAATTCTGCCATTGCAAATTCTAAATAATTGCGATATGGACTCCAATCATGAGGAGATTTTGGTGGAGGAGGAGTTGGTGGCATTTTGGGTGGTAGAAACATGCCATCAGCCATGCATGGTAGTCCTAAGAGTGTTTGAGTTGAAAAAATGCGAGAAGTACACTTCAAAACTTACCATTCAGGAGTGGGTGATATGTACAAAAGTACTGCTCACTTGCATCTGTGAACTGTACCTCTGGGAGATTTGGATCTTCGTCAGCAGGTACTGGACCTGGTGATGACCAGGGTGGTGGTAAGATATCTGGAGGAGGAGGTGAAAAATGTGAAGGCTGGCACGGTTGGGGAAGATCCTGAGTAGGTGCAACCAGATGGCCTGTGCATATGTGTTGAGTGCAGCCCAAAGAGTTTTGAAACCAGCGCAGACAGCCTGGAGACAGGCATGAAAACTGAAGGGCATGGTGGGTAGGGCAATTTCTGGGTATGATGGGTGATCCTGGGTTGACACCATGTGTGGATAGCACATAATTTTGAAGTCTAATAAATTTTTTCAAGGTGACAGCTGGATGCTACCATTGGATCTACACTCACAAATAATCACATATGCTCGTTTCCGTGTTGTCAGGATGAAAATTAGCACTACACCAAGAAAGGTTTCAGTGAAATGGATGGTTATGTCACAACACTCACTGAAAAGTTTTAGTAAACATTGGTGAGTGTCACCCCACCACATGAAAGATTTGGTAAACATACCCCTAGTGGACGCCATTATACCACCAGAAAAGTTTTGGTAAACATTGATACTTACTGAATTTGACATATTGGTCATTTCATTGGACATATTCTGCCAAAAAAGTGCAGGCGAATACTATACTCCAGAGGTTTATGGAGGCTGTGGTACTAGATGGTAGTTGAACTAGTACGTCAGGGTGTTAAGCAGGGTCAATAAATTGTTCTAGTTTTTAATGTGACAAGACTCACCTTGAACTTGGTATCCAACTGCCTTCAATTTTCTTCAGCCTCTAAACCCTCCATCACCACAATGTCCCAGCCTGGCACAGTAACAAAGCACATAGGAACTCGACCTAAGAATGCAACTCAGCATCCCAGACACATTTTGACTGAGGGTGCTGGAAAGAGATGTACCACTGCTCAAAAAGCTGCTGATGACCAGTATGAAAGAGAGGCGAAGAAGGCAAGTGAAAAAGCTTTGCAGGAAATTTATCAGTGTATTGCTACTTTGCAAGCACAGACGCAGGCGTACCAAGATACTGCACACATTAATGCACCTAAGCCTAAGTGTCCTCAAGCATGCCCAGTGGGAAAAGCTGCAAAGGCCTCAAAAGCCTCAAAGACTTCCAACTCAACTGTGAACAGTGGGCAGGAAGGAACAGAAGTTGTCACCAATAAGTCTATTGGCACTGAAGGTAAGGGTTGCAGGTGCAGATTTGAAAAGTTACAAGCTAATGTCAGACATCCAGCAAGTGAAAAGGAATTGGAGGAACCTACAGCTAAGAGAAAAAAGGTCAGCAAACAGGTGGTGAGGAATGCAATTCAGAGGGTATTAGATGCCAGTGTTGTTATCGATGGATCAACAAAGGCACATGATGGAGATATTCAGAAGATGTCTGATGTCAGTGTGTAAGTGGTATCTTACCTTATACCATGAACCTCCTTTTGACCGAGACTACTTTTTTTCTTTTTTTTCAATCTCATGTCTGATACTGCAAGTTCCAAGAAATTTGCACTTACTGGGCATATCCCAGGTTGGATTTTGAATGTTTCTACAACTGTCTCACGGCCAGCCTCCAAGGTGAATTCCTCTGCTGGGTCTTCCATCCACCCACGGTCTAGTAGCTCTGCTTTATCTAAGCTCACAAGGGGGAGCACTATCAGCCACGATGTTCCACCTCCACCCACACCCACTCCTGATGCTGAAGGTTTCACAGATTTGTATGCATGCGATGAGGATGATGAGCCGCTCGCAAAACCTCTTTCTCGTATCACAAGCACAAAGGCTTTCTCAGTGAGTCTGGCTATCTCAATATTTAATTTCATATGGTTTCAATGGAAGCTGCAGGGTATTGTGGTCATCTCTAAATCTGTTGATGATAAGATGCCTTCAAATATTGTGCATCACAACATGGCCCCAGTGCCTGAACAGCTCGATGTGACCAAATACTCCAACGATGTGAATATCTTTAGTGACATCCACGACCATCTTATGGATCTTTATGGCTCCATCTCCACTACACAACCTACTTTTCTGGACTATAAGTCTGGTTCTGATGCCAGTGATGAGCCATAGCCCTTGGACTATGATTCTGATGTTAAGCCTCCACCCCTCGCACAAAAGCCTACATCTTGCTCCATATTCCCAGTCAACTTCGATTCATTGGCCACAGGTCAGAAGCAGAAAATGTCGCCTCTTCTGCGTGACGACGATGACCTATTGATATTGTCATCTGATACCAAAATGGTGGAGAGCGCCAATGCAAGCACGGTTATGTTCAAGACCAAACCTGCTAAACCAGTGCCCATGCACTGGTTGACATCTATGATATGATTTGGTTTCTCAATGCTATGTTTTGCTCACTAAGATATTAGACCAATGTTACTGCCATGCTCAAAGCTCCTCCAGTCAAGCAGCTGAAGTCAGCCTGAAACAGATGCCCCTCGTGCCATCGCCACTCCCTCCAAAACAATTGCATGTTCTGCATACAGGAAGAAGCATCTTCCCAAGGGTTGCCAGATGGAAAACAAGTGGGCAAGAGAGTTTATCCCTACTGCCATTTGCTACATTGGTGATCTGGATGAGGTATGGACTCTTGTGGCTGACATTCTCTGCCCTATCTTACAGAGAGTCTGGGATGTGGTCTATAAGGGCAAGATTTTGCACACAGTTGTAGCCAATGGACCTGTTGTTGCCCTGGTACATTTTTTTTGGGCACTGTTTAAATCTGATCATTTTCTTTTAAAACCCTCCAGTGGTTGTCAGAGTGGCGCAACACCATTAGTAATGTTGCCCTTGTTGTACTCGTAAACTTCATGACTTCTCAGGATGATATTTACACAGACTGGTGTCTTGTTACTTAAGGGTCTTATATGAATGTTGTATATAATGACAACACTAGGTAATGTGATGAGTTCTTGGGAGGATTTAGTTTGTTGTCCTCTTCTTGTGGAAGTACAATGTAGATGTAAAGTGTATCTGGATAATGAAAAATGATAGGTATGTTGCACCCTAGTAGGTTGTGTTTCAATCTATGAAAGTCTGTCTCAACTTTGTCGTGTTCTCCTAGTTCATGTCTCTCCTTACAATGAAACAGAGAGTCTTAAATATATATATGTAAAGGCTTGGCCTGAATGATAGAAATAGCAAAAGTTGTATAAGTTGCAGTATACAATCTTTTGTGAATAGAATAATGAAAGCTTGTATAATTCAGAGTATACAATTCTTCAGAAAAGATAAGATGAAATATCTTAAGCTTACTTCAAGGACGTAATGCCTGCACTTTTATTCTTACGTACTCTCATGGTTTGAGAGAAGAATGAAAAATGGGAAGTTATATTACATGGGTGAAAACGAGGGGTTTATATACCTTTTGAAAACCCTCTTACTAAGCATGACTCATCACACGGATTGGTAAGAATGTAGCTTACAAACCAGGTGCTGAATCAGCTCCTTACTAATATACAGTGTAATCTTACAAAGCATGACTGAAAGCTCATAAGTCATCACATGGATGTGTCATGCAGTTTGCTGACAAACATACCATTTGGCTTTGCTGAATCATCTTTCTTACTAAGTAGATTATCAATAAGGTTCAGAGTCTCACAAAGATCTTACAAAGCATGATGAATCATGACAAAACATGATGAGTCATGTGAATGTTGTTACAAATCAGATTATTTACCAGTCACATGAGGTGCTAACAAACAAATCTGATAGCCAAACAGTCAGAGAGAAACAAATAGAGAGAAACAGAACTAAATAAAATAAAACAGACAACACAAGGATAATCAGTCTGAATTGTGTAAAACAAAATAGAAGGAAATGAATCAGGGAAAATGATCTGAGTGATAGAAGGTAAGATACTCTATCACTCTTTTGTTGTATCAGTCATGGTATGAATCACATACCATGCATGACACCGGGACTGCAAATATTTTGCATCGGTGTAACGATGGCCGCGGCGCTGGGCTCGAAACCAGGCAATCCAATACCTATGTTCATACCATTCCCCAACCTCCCTTGACCTTCCGAAGGCCGCGCGCACTTGTCCGAACCTTCTGCAGGCAGTTCTCGTGTTCCGAGACCTGTCCGAACCTCGCAAGTTACCATACCATGTCCTATCCTCGTCCTTTTGACTTCGCTGGTGCGTTTTCCTTTATTCTAACTATATGTTGACTACGTCTTAGTGCTACATGGATAACAATCCCATCGGCATCCTGTCGGGAGCCTCGGAATACGTATAAGCAGCACGCATTGCGGCTTATTACATGTATACTTGTATTCTTGCACGCCTCGCGGCTTATTACATAGGTTCGGACTTGCTTATCTCGCTACTAGTTTCACCTACGGATTCTGGCCTCTCACGGAAGTAGGATATAATCTCGCTCACTGGCTACTGATAGGGCACTTCACTTCCTGTACTTCAAGTAGTAATTAGTAGAGTCACCTCGGTATAATTGTAAACTGCGCAATTTATCCTAGTTCATTCAGAACAATTGTCTGGCTAAACCGCTGCCAAATTCGCACTTCATTTATTCTCAAGCCCCGATAGATTAGCATTGTTCCGGACTTTGGACATTGTGCAAAGTCTTATACTGTTATTCGACACACCGACATACTGACACATTGACACACCAACATATATAGACCTTCGGACAGCTTTTGCAAGCCTCAGAAGGCATCGCGCTACTTCGGACAACACTTTCGCAGCCTCGGACGACCTTCGGTCACATTGGACAAGTTTCTCGGTACTTCGGGAGTAGTCTCGGAACTACGGACGAGCATTAAAGAGGTTTTCTTCCAATATCTTGTCTACTCTCTAACTGTATAAGACTTCCCTTGCATTATCAAGGTAGTTCTTAGGTTGTCTCTTGGGACGAAGCATACTCGCATCCCTCAGGACTAGGGACTCACATTCAGTGGAGCCCAGACCAGATCTACTCTTTACATCGGCCTTGGTTGAAAAGCTTGCCTTCTTGTATGGGGACCTTATAGAGGATGGCAGGATGTCTAAGCCATTTCAATCTGACCTCATTTTACCGGTCCTTGTGCAGCACAAGTATGCCACATCCGGTGCTGTCAACCTACCAAGAATGAATGACACAGTGCCAGTGTCCTGCATGATGTGGGAATCATGCATGGACATGAATACTAGGTGACCCTCAAAAGACAAAGTCTGTTAGCTTAGTCCTCAGACTAGTCAACCCATACCTTGGTTTCAAACCATGGTCCATATTTCAAGTTTTCCCCAAGTTTCACGATCTGAATACGTTTTGATGGAAAAAGTCTAATGTGAGATGGGAATCACATTTAGACCTAGTTGATGTGAGAAGAGAAATGAAGGTTAAGGTATAGCCTTGCCTTTGGCTTATTCACTTTGGCTAGAGAAAACCATAGAGAAAAGTACAAAGCCTATAAAAAACCTATCCAAAAAGACTGTGTTTCAATTCCTGCCAACTGCATTATTATTTTGACTGCATTTCAATTCCTGCCAACTGCATTATTTTTTTGACTGTATTTCAATTCCTGCCAACTGTCTTATTTTTGCTACCTACTTTTCTCTAGTGTTTCTTTACTTTACTTTTCCATTAGGATGCTTTGACTCACCTGACACTTCATAAAATTGTACCCATAGGGTATGATGTCATTATGATGTCATAAGACTCCACAGATACTCCTGCAGGTATTCTGTTGAAAGATATTATGTCATCAAGCTCTAGATTATTCTACTCCACAATGACATCATCCATGATGTCATTTCCTTCTAGAATATTCTGCTCCACAATGACTCACTCATGGAAGGTTCTGGAATCTTTTGCTCTACAATGATGTCACTCTTGATGTCATTATGATGTCATTACTCCACATTCCAGAATGTTCTGCTCCACAATGATGTCATAGCTCCATCTTTCACTTGTATTTTATTCTTTTATTGGGTTTGACCCAATATTTTGATTGGTCCTCCTTATTTTTTATTGTTTGTGAACCTAGGTTACTTTCCCACACAAAATGTATATAAGGAGAGCCCATTCTCCCCCCCAAAAAATATGATCTCCCATTTGTAGCAATCTGCCTATCAGATATTTCACTTGCAAAGTTAGTCCCTTTGAAGTGAGACAAGTGCAGGGAAAAGAATTCCCTTGAGATTATAAGTTTCTTACCTTAGAAACTTATTTAGTGCTATAGACCAAGTGTTCTTGGTCACATATATTGTCTTTGAGACCCCTTCATCTCATTGCTCTGTGCCCTTTGACTAAGCGATCTTAGTCATCTATCATATTGTTGAGACCACATCTCACTAGTTGTCCCATAGACCAAGCGATCTTGGTCAAGTTCCAGTCCCATTTGTTCAAGCAATCTTGAACATATATCGTATATTTGAGACCGTTGTCTCATAGTTCCAGTACCCATAGACCAAGCGATCTTGGTCATATTTCGTATATTTGAGACCACGTCTCACTAGTTCCAGTATCCAAGTCCAGAGCCTAGAAGGGGATTTCCTAGGCAAATACGTCCCAGAAACTGAATTACGTGCCTAGAAGCTTATTCCTAGACAAGAGATTTGAGTTTCAATAAAGAAAAGTAAAGCTCCGGCTAGGTTGATCTTTATAAAAAGATTAGTTTAGCGAGCCTCCCAAGAACTCACACATTATCTACCATGAAATAGGAAAAATCGTAGACCGTGTTAATAGAGGACTGGCAAGAAGTCTTATCCGAAGTGTAATTGTGGTGTCATTACATTTACACGACTTTATATAAGACCCTCGGTTATTAAGACACCGGGGCATTCAAAGGGTGCTCTTGCTCTTGCTATGGCAGTGGCATGTATTTTATATCCTCTCTTTTCATAAAGCTAACTCGTGCTTCAGATGGAATGTGCCATCAAACTTTTTGCTGATAATCACATGTTCCTATGTGACATTGACACTACTGGCAATGGCCGAGGCAACAAGACCCCCCTGGATATTAATCCATCCATGGGCAAGGAGAGCAGTGTCCCTCTAGCATTTTCGGACAGCAATTGGGGTGCGCACACCAGAGCCTACATGGTGTCTATCAACCGCTTGCCACACTTGGTCATCCTTCAAAACTCAGAGTTTGTGCAGAGCCTTGCCATGAAGAAGCATGGCTCACAGATGGATGTGAATGAAGAAACTGACGATGAGCGAGCACTTATTTGCTAGAGGTGGTAGCTTTCATTTGCATACTGCATCTCACAACTAACAATGAACTTTGGCAGTACCAGTGGCAGTAGACTGATCCCTTGGTCACTTATATCCTTGTTAATATTCACTTACCATCTTGTTGTTGTCTCGTCATTGTCTCATTGTTGTCTCATTGTTGTCTCATTGCCGTCTCATTGCTGTCTTGTCACTTCCCTGGCTACTATTGTCATTATACTATCTACTGTTATGATTTCAATGTCTTCTTTTCAGCTCCTTATACCCTTATTTAATCTACTTGCCAGTACTTTTTTCTTGCTTACTCTCCTTTTTGATGTCCATGCTCCTTAATCACTTTGTCCATCTGAAATGCAGTTGTTTTTACCTTCAAACAAGTGTGAATTAAGTGCAAAACAAGTGCAAACAATGGGGTAATCAACAATTGTAATACAGTTTATTCCCAAATAAGTGTTAAGGAAGTGCCAAAAGTGCGCAAAAGCCAAAAACAAGAGGAAGGGATCTGCTTTTGAGCTTGTGGCAGCTTGCAACAAGGAGGCATTATGGTTCTTGTTCGAAACTTTTCTGCTCTTGCATGGGAAAATAAGTAATGAAAAGGGAAGTTAAGGAATGTGAAAATTTACTGATGTACATGGCTGCATCACTCATCAAAGACTACAGTGATGAAGAGGCTGTTAACGGAATCATATCTGATGTGGCACATGGCTACTGGATGGATCACAAAAAGCTCCTCATCTTCAGCTTGATGTTCTCGCCTGAACTCAAATGATGGGTCCCTGGATTAATGACCTATGCAAATGGAGCCACGGAGGGGCATTACTAGCTACACTTTGTCTTTCTTTTTTGGACAATGGCTCATGAAGCTGACCTACAGGCATTGAAATCAGGGACAAGCTTTTTGCTAATGTGTGTACCACCTGCTAGGCCAGATGACAGTGTTCAACATATACTCACAATTGTGATTGGCTACAGTGGTGGATGCGAGATCAACATGCCAAGATGCTATTTCAGCCTTTTTGGACATGGATCCATCAGTATGGACAGGATTGCCCTTGACTACAAATGCTCAGGAGGCAATGCATTGGAAGCTCTATTGTGCAGCTGGGAAAAATCATAGGCTTCTCAATGGCTTAATGTTTCTCTTAGCATTTGCACTTGGCTATGAGAAATTAGCTGCTGCACAGCTTGGTCAGTATACATCTTCTTAGACTATACTATGTCTAAGTGATTGAGCAATCTTAGCTGGTGTCAAGACACACTATGGGCAAGCTCAATGCTGGAAGAAGACAAAATTCAATTTAGGCACTACAAAACCCAGTCGAGTACGTGCTGTACAAATGAAACAGAAGAAGAATGATGGCTGACCTCCAGATACATCACATGAGCTGGTTAAACACCCCAGTGATGTGGTGCACTCTCGCCCAGGTTATCATTGGGATAAGAACTCATGTTGGCTTGACTTCTCATTGGAGCTTATGTTTCTCACCGTTCTACCCAACTTTCACACAGAATTTGCGCCCTGATTCCATGGTATGCATCACACATCACCCCTCTGGCACTTATACAAGTCATTTGAGCTACGCATCTCTTTGTCTGAGAATGCTGAAGCCAGTTCCATGCAGCAACAACATCTCAGTGACTAGCGGAGTCAACTGAGGAAAGCAGTAGGTAAATGAACGAATGAGAATTTCTACTACTTAGATAAGTGAGCGGTACTGAAGGATGACAATGAACATTTGATATTCAACACTCCCCCTCAAACTGAGTGAAGTCCAAGGGCGGAGGCGAAGTGCTTGGCTTTGAGACTAGGAAGGGGTTTGGTAAGAGTATCTGCGGTCATAGTGTCTGTAGGACAATAAACTAATAAAATCAAGCCTTTTTCAACAGAGAATGAGATGAAATGATACCTAATGTCTATATGTTTTGTCTGGGCATGAAACACCCCAGACTCAGCTAGTGCGATAGCCGACTGGTTGTCGCAATGGAGGGTGATGAGGTGGACTAGTTGACAGAATATTTCACCGACAAAGCAGCACAACCAGATTCCCTCCTTAGCAGCATGTGTGGCTGCAACATATTTGGCTTCTGTGGTGGAGAGAGTAATGAGTTCCTGCTTCTTCAAGCTTCATGACACCACCCCACCATCAATTAGGAATGCATACCCTGATATCGCGTGATGATGCTCTTGGGACACACTGTCAGCATCTGTATACCCTTCTAGGCCATTCTTAGAGCCTCCAAAGGTAAGTGCTAAAGATTTTGTGCCAATTATATACTTATAGATTCATGTTACGGCCTCCCTGTGCACTAATCCGGGATTCGCACCAAATTGTGCGACTGTCAAAACAGAGAAGGTGATATCTGGGCGCGTGCCCACAGTGAGGTGCATCATGGAGCCTACTGCTTCACAATATGGTATGTTCTTCATCTGTGATGATTTGTGTGGAGTCAATGGGGATTGCGAATGTGAGAGGGTGATGTTGGGATCCATGGGGATTGAACTGGGTTTCATACCCATGAAGCTGTACTTCATAAGGATGGCATCAACATATGTTTCGTGCGAGAATGAGATAGTGTGCGTGACATGGTCATGCATCACCTTTATCCCAAGGAGCGATGCGACTGGCCCGAGGTCTGTAAGCTTGTAGCATGCAACTGCTTGCTGCTTGAACTCAGTGATGAGTTTGCGATTGCTTCCGGTGATTGTGCAGTCGTTGACGTGAGCTGTGAGAATGAGAATGTCGGGGCCAATGTGTTGGTAAAATACTCCCCAATCCGATTCTGCGTGTGTTAGTCCTAAGTCTGCAAGGAGGCGACATAACTGTTGATACCATTTGAGAGCTCCCTGCTTGGAGCCATAAAGCATGACATGGAGGTGTGTGATGGGGTTTCTAAATTGAGAATCAATGTGGAGTCCAGGAGGAAGTTGCATGAAAATAATTTTGTCGGGGTCAAGTTTTCCGTTGAGAAATGCGCTATGGAAGTTGAATACATCAATGTCCCAATTGTTGCATGCGGCAATTGCCATGATGGTCCAAAGAGAAGCGAGGCACATGACTGGCACATAAGTATCATAATAGTCAACATCATACACTTGTGAGTAGCCTTTTGCGACTAATTGGGCCTTATACTTATTGATTTCTTTGTCTGTATTCCTCTTGATGCGAAATACCCACTTGCATCCCACAACATTCACTCCTTCTGGCTTTTCGACAATGGACCATGTACCAGCATCTTTCAGCACGGTAAGTTCCTTGTTTACTGCTTCTTCCCATTTTGATTGATTGTTTCTTCTTGTAGCTTCTTCCAACATTGTCAGATCTGACTGTTTGACTTCCTCTATGCTGGCAACCATTGCAAAAATCTCTTCATTGTCCTCATCAATCTCTCCATTCTCCCCTCCATCCCGAGCTTGGCCGCTAGATTAGATTCTTCTGGGACAGGCTGCATTCCACGAGGTAAGTCATTGCTTCATCCATCTGTGGTGCCTGCACCATCATGCAGGCTTTTGAAGTATGTTGACTCAACCCACACTCGACTGGAATGGTGTGGTGGCACACTGCTTTCAAAATGTGGGCCCAGGTGGTCAGTGGGAGGATATGGGTGCAGGGCTTGGGATGGTGCTTGACCAGTATGTGATGGACTAACATCAGAGTTTTGTACGGTGTTGCTGACCTGCATTTTCGGGGTTGAACTGACATCATAGCCTCGTGCTGTGTGGTTTGCCCCCTTGTCAGGTCCCTACCATTACCTCTGCCATATCAAATGTGATGCTACACTTGACTGCAATGCACCTAGCATCTGGTAGATATACTCTATACCCATTACTTTCCAGATCAAAACCAACCCATTGTCCTTCCATGGCACACATATCTAACTTTGAGCTGTTTGGTGTGTGCACCTTAACACGACTCCCCCAGACAGGTAAGTTTTCCATGTTGGGCTGCTTCCTGTACAGTAGCTCATAGGGTGTTTTGTTCTCCAGCATACAAGTTGCCATCCAGTTCTTCAGCCATGTGACATGCATGATCGCCTCCCCCAATAGAAACTTGGGTAGTCCGCTGGCATGTAGTAATGTGCAGGTCTGTTCAACAACAGTTCGATTGAGGCATTCTGCTATGCCATTGTGTTCTGGCGTATCGTGCACGGTAAGCTTACGTTCTGTTCCATTCTTCTTCAGATGATGTGTGAACTCCTCGCTGGTGTACTCCCAACCACGATTGGAGCGAAGGCACTTTATCTTGGTGTTGAACTGTGTGTTTGACCAAGCTTCATACTTTTTGTATGCCTCAAACATTTTGTCCTTTGTCCAAAGCAAATACAGGTGAGTGAATCACGTGTGATCATCTGTAAATAACACAAAATACTCTCTGTGGCCAGGGGTTTTTACTGGGAAGGGTCTCCAGAGGTCACTATGTACTTCATCTCCGAAGTTCTCATGTCTTGTGGGGTCCCTAATGTTTCCGATAGGTTTGTGTTGTAGCGATGGTTGCGGTGTTGGGCTCAAAACCACGTATTTCCATACTTGTGCCAACACCCGAAACATATGCGCACATGTCCGAGCCACTCCGTATTGGATCCGGCGCATCGGACCTTTGGACATCGCATCGGCCGATCGCACTTCGTGTGCACTTGTCCATCCCGTGTCCTGTCCATCCGAACTAGCCTCACTAGGTGCATAGTTATTTTTGTGCACATTTTCTGACATTTGTACTGCGTTATTACATGTCCACAGCACCTCGTGTCTTATTACATAGGACATCGGACCTGAAATATATTGCTACTATCTTCGCCTGTAGTTTTCCGAATTTCTATGTACTTACTTAAATACTCTGTAGTGACCCATAGCAATCATCATCCAGTAGTTAGGAGCTGTTTCCCGACTCTGCGGATCACCCAGAATATTCTCGTAGTTCTTAGTTGCATTGCGAAATATTACCATTCATTCACCGTCATACTCTGTCACTCGTTATACTCGCGCATACCGCTCGCAACCCGACACTTGTTATAAAGTTTCCGACCTATTATCGTGAAATTCAAAAGTCCGAAATCTCAGACATCACACTTTGGCTTCGGACATTGGATAAGTACCTTCGGACATCGTTTTGCACCATCAGACATTTTGTTATTTGCATTACTGACACATTTTTAAAACTAATACCAATTAACAATCCCTTTAGGATTGAACGCACTTGCTTTGCAAGTATAGCAGCATAGGTCGTGCTAAGATCTACCTAAATATTTGTTGTCTAGGTAGTACGATTTCTGCTGAGCCCAGCGGAAATCAGCTTTCTACAGCATGTTGCTTTGGCATGCTCACAGGATTCACGGCTGTCCATAGTCGCTTCAGACGGATCAAGCATCATTCCAGTGATCACACCATCGCGTAACATCTGTGCAATAGTGTTGGGAGCTATGTGGCCCAGTCAGGTATGGATTTTGTGCATGGTGAGAGTCTCCTTCGTGTTCACTACTCCTGCAAAGGGCTGTTTCAGCCCTTTGATGCAATACAAGCCTCTGCTGACTGGTATCTCACCCAATAGCTGTTTCTTGTCGCTGAATAGTACTCAACACTTGGTGATTTGTGTACTAGGTCTCAAGTTTCGGGTTTTGGCACTCGACACTGTGCAATGAGTGAAATATTGATATGTTATATACATATTTTTGGGTTTCAGGATTTAGGTTTTGGGCTTTGGACATCGGGTTTTGGGCCTTGCCACTTGGCACTCAACACTTGGTGATTTGTGTACCAGGTGTTGAGTTTCGGGTTTTGGCACTCAACACTCAGTGATTTGTGCAATGAGTGAAATATTGATATGTTATATACATATTTTCGGGTTTCATGCTTTGGGTTTTGGGCTTTGGACATCAGGGCTCGGGCCTCAGCACACGGCACTTGGTGATTTGTGTACTGGGTGTCGAGTTTTGTGTTTCGGTAATTGACACTTGGTGATTGGTGCAGTGAGGGAAATATGTATATGTTGGATACATATTTTCGGGTTTCATGCTTCAGGTTTTGGGCTTTGGACATCGGGGCTCAGGCCTTGGCACACGGCACTTGGTGATTTGTGTACCGGGTGTCAAGTTTTGGGTTTTGGTACTTGACACTTGGTGATTGGTGCAGTGAGGGAAATATGGATATGTTGGATACATATTTTCGGGTTTCAGGCTTCGGGTTTTGGGCTTCAGACATCGGGGTTTGGGCCTTGGCACTTGGTGATTTTTGTACCGTGCTGTGAGTTTCGGGTTTTGGTACTCGACACTCGGTGATTGGTGCAGTGAGGGAAATATGGATATGTTGTATACATATTTTCAGGTTTTGGGCTTTGGGTTTGGGGCTTCGGACATCGGGCTTTGGGCCTCGGCACTTGGCATTTGATGATTTGTTTAATGTAAATGAAAAACGGGCATGTTGCATACCGGGTTTCAAGTTTTGGGTTTTGGCACTCGACACTCAGTGATTTGTGCAATGACTGAAAAATGGATATGTTATATACATGTTTTCGGGTTTTGAACATCGGGTTTTGGGCCTCGGACTTTGGGGTTCGGCCCTCAGCACTCGGTACTTGGTGATTTGTGTACTGGGTCTTGAGTTTCGGATTTTGGCACTTGACACTCAGTGATTTGTGCAATGAATGAAAAATGGACATTTTGCATACATGTTTTTGGGTTCTGGGCCTCGGATTTTGGGTCTCAGGCTTCAGGTTTATCAGCACTCAGCACTCGGTAATTTGATAAATGGACTTTCAAGCTTCAGGCTTTGGGTGTTCAGGTGTTCATGTGTTTGGTGTCAGGAAATAGAAATTTCACACATTTTCACAAGTTTCCAGTTTCTAGTCTTGAGCTTGGGGTGTTTGGGTGTCTGGAATGGATGTTGCACAATGGGATTCGGTTTTTGGGCATCTGGGACTCAGTGATCTGTGAATGTCAGACAGATATCTCACTACCTCGGCCCACCCATCTATATAACATCCCCCTCCATCAGCCAACCTGTCTATATAACATCCCCCTCCATCGGCCCACCCATCTATATAATGAATATTCCACCACTCTCTTGGCCCATCTGTCTACAAAATAATTCCAGTATGTTGGCCCACCCGTCTATACAATAAACCCTTACATTGGCCCACCCATCTATATAATACATATTCCACTGCTCCCTCAGCCCACCCATGTACAAAATAATTCCTGTACGTTGGCCCACCCATCTATACAATAAACCATTACATCGGCCCACCTGACATCTTTGAGGATATATATAATATCAGCATAGATGGGCCCACCTGTCTCCATCGGAAATAATATCCCTCCCGGCCCATCCGTCAACATCGGGGATATATATAACATCAGCCCATAGTCTGCTGTCCCGTATAATACGGACTTTGTCACTGAAGGGGCTCGGATCTCACAGTAGGTCACTTTTGCTTTTGCTTTTGCATCTGTAATAAAACGATATTTTCACATATACAGCCAAATAAATAGAAACTAAATCAAACTTACCATTTCTGGCTGGTCGGAGTGCACTACTGTACTCTACCTTATACTCTTGCATGGCTAGATCGACGAAGACACACAATCTACCCGACATTCTGTGGAACGAGAATGAGCACTTGCATGTGTGGAAACTCATTGCAGAAATCAGCACAAAGGCAAACTACAAAATCTTGTTTGGTAAAAAAGATCAGCATGAGGTGAGCCTGAGGGCATCTGAGTCACTAGTACTAATTCACAGAATCATCAGAACACATCTGGCGAGACGAAGCAGTGGTGGTCAGCTGGACTCTGTGCCCATTCCCATGCAAGATGTAGACTGCCGTATTTAAGAACAGGGGGTGTGAATTGAGGTAGCAAGCCTGTTGTATGGCTAGTATGCAATGTGTATCCATGTTAAGCTCTTGTGCAAGGTCCTCGAGTGTCTGTGCAGGTTGAAAGAGTGCTTTAATGATCATGAAAAATATATAGGACTCTAAGTATTGCTGATGTAGCAAGCCATGAGCCATGTGTGGTATGGTTACTAATAAGGGTGTTAACTGCTTACACAACACACTGCTAACCCTTGTCTCTCACATGCCAGCAAAAGCGACCTACTGTGAGCTCCCCTATTTTCAGTTCACTATGCTCATGGTGATGTCTCGGAAGCAGCTGCAAGAGAATTCATGGGCAACCCAAAGGTCTTGCTATCCCATCCTGGATTTCAAGAACTTCTGCCTGAAGAGCAAAAGTGGCTATGCAATCCTTTGAAGACCAAATCAGTAGATTACTATGATAAAAGCTGGACAGCTCAATTGGACGACAAGGAATCAGGCTTATTTTCTGAACCACCAGTATGCACTCTATTTTTTCAGTGATGATTGTACTACTACATATGCTAATGAAAGTGTTGGCCTCCCACTCAGGCCAAACCACGGCCAAGACAGCAAAAAGGAACACTCTTTAGTGACAGTGACCCAGAGCCTGAAGAGACTCATACCCCTGCAAACAACTTAGAGCATCCCAAGGAATCACCACCTGCCATTCGTACAGAAGATCAATCCCAACACACTTTGGACATCCCGCCTCTGTCATTGAGTCAAGAATCAGAATATTCCGTGGCATGTCAATGTGGAATGACCGGGAACAGATATGATATGCAGCTCGAGGAGGGAATGATCAAATGTGACGAATGCGATAACTGGTCACACATCGCATGTCAGCGTAATGGCTGAGCTAGCAGTCTTTGTTCACGAGAGAGGTTCGTGTACAGCCACTGTAATATTGATGAGCTTGTGCCATGGCGAACTCCAGCATCACAAGGATAGCCACAAAACCGTCAGTTAGTTTTGAATGACTTAGTGTATCATACCTTTGACTGACTGAGCCCAGGAGTTGTCATGAAAAGGCTTCAAAGGTCCCTTTGGCTAAATGATTGCTGTAAGCACACATTGCAGCCATTGTCTTGCATGCACTGTTGACACAACCACAGTGCAGGAAAAGGAGCACTTGCTCACCATGACAAATTTTGGTATCCTGTCAGACTCATTCAATTTCACAGCAAGACAAATGCATGGAAAGTGCAATGGTGGCACAGATGTAGGTTTCCTGCAGATAGACCTTTGGACCCACAGGTTGTTGTTCAAACAACAGATCTGGTCGATGAGTTATGGCAAGACAGAGCTAGGAGGTGTGCGATTCAGGTAAGTTGCTTGTGTTAAAGCTGCATTTGCATACTGACAAACGAGAGTAGTTTGGTCAGTGGACACATGCACATGATATTCCTATCGGTGAAGATATAATCTATGCTTTCCACAATGTGCCTTATCCCCCCGAAATGGATACTATACTCACACCACACAAATCTATGATACAGTTCCTCATCAGCCTTCCTTGCCTCGAAGATATCCAACATTTGCCTGTCAGACGTCACCTACAGCAGCAGGGAATAAAAGTGTCGCTGACTGGGGGTTACACTGTCAAGTATTGTGGTGATCTGACCATGGTTCAGCAAGCACAGGTAGCTCATTGGATATTCAATAACATCAAAGACACACAAGAGACTGTGGTGCAATGCTTAGGCTGTGCAGCATTTGCTCATGCACTCAGCATCATGCTCACATACAACAAGCACAGCATATTGGAGGCAGATCCTGACTACCCCAGAGAAGGCACCACAGACATGCAGGAAGAATTCATTCTAAAAGCTGCATGGATGACCCTTTTGGAGCAGACCAGCAGAAGCACAGATGTGACCCACACAGATGTTGACCTGGAATGTCTGTTGGCCTTCGAACAGTGCCTGTTCGAAAATTCAGCTCAGTCAGGCTCCGCAGGAAACCATCAGTGGGGCCTAGATGCTGGGAATCATCAAGATGGTTGGGACCCATATGCCAGGCTTTCATTCCATTGTAACCACGAGGATCGTGGTGAAGGAGATCCCGATTATGATGAAAATGAACTTGAGGTGACATGCTTTCTTACTTTGGGAATGGTCCTCATTAACAGTCAGCTTAGCGCGGGCCAGATTTCAGTGACAGCGACAATGTCAGGCAACAGACATCAGCACCTCGGAAATGACAGGTAACAAAATCTCATGGAGAACCAAGAAAGCGAAGGAAAGTGGGACTGACTGTGTCTTGAGATAATGTCATTGCCTTCGACTGTGCAGTCGCTCGTTGAGAGGAAATGTGAATAACATTGTATGCAGAGGAATAAGACTATAATGCAATATGAAATATTGTTTAGTAATGAGATGGTTGTTTGGGAGACCTGACTTGCAGACCGGAAGTACTGCAAATCTCGATGATATTGCATGGCCATGCCAACATCAGGAAAACTGCATATTACTTAATGTTCCCTTAAATGAGGTCAGAGTTGCCGAAAGTGTGAAAAAGTCCAATTAAAGTCCAGAACCAGTAAGAACACTGCACTTAAAAAAATTAGATCCATTTTCTTATCTTTGAGCTTAAATTTGTCTTAACATGCTTTGCAAAACAAATGTCAAAATCGTCCAGCTTCATAAGTGCATAACAAGACATGAGTAAGTATGAAGTCAGGACCAAGTCAAAAACATGCCAAGCAGAATGAAAAGTGCGGTAGCAATGAAACAAACAGGCTCAACTGAGATGATCAACAAGATGGGAGAAAATAGCACAAAAGCACACAGCAATGATATCAAATCATCGTAAGCTTGTAAGAATGCAACCAAATGGGTGAGAAACGCAAGTGCACCAGTGAACATCCAGTAAACAGCGATCTGGAAATCAGGATAATGAGTGAATGTCAATGGTCAATGCATGCAGTGAAGTGAACTTGCCTTTAGCAGAAGGCAAGTAAATTGACATATTCCTCATCAATCACTTCCTCCACAGGCTCGTCAGCTCCCTTGGACTGTCCTCCATGAGAGGAAGCCTTCATGTATTGCTATGCTTGCTGAACAATGCCCTGCATGGCTGTAGAGGGGACATTCTTAATCACTTGCAAGAACATGCATGTATTGTAACCTCAAAGCGGCTCAGAAAAGCTCTCATTCTCCCCAATAACTGCTTCCCAGATGTCTCCATTGACAGCCGATGCCTTACCCTTGCATAAGTTAGAAGCCTTCTTCTTTCCCTTCCCAGTAGCCATTGTAATAGTGAAACCCATTGCTCCTACAGAAAGGAGGTACAGAGTGTGTTTTACCTGTCAAAAATTTAAGATGAGTAAGAAAAAGTGGAACATAGTAAATGTAGGATAGTTACTGCCCCTGCTGACAAAGCAAGTGATGCCCGCATGATGTCGTTTTCACTGTCAAGTGCTGGAACTTCCACCTGGCCTCGGGTATAGTTGAGATGTGCAGCAAATGTCTGCAACACAAACGTAGACTGCCACATCCCCGTCCATGCCTAAATTATAGAACTGTGTTAGCATGAGGTAATGTCAAAAAAGTCAACACACTCTTGGTCAGTTTCATAAGTAGAATCAGAAGCCATGAGACTCGTAATGATCATGACAGCAGCAGATCCGAACCCTCCATGCCATTCACTGAGGTGTTGTTTAGCCTACCATTTATCAAGTAAGTGTTGGCCTGTAAATTAAAGATACTGTCAATGTACCACATGATAGACGACACCACCAGGGATGATCTTGTAGTTCTTCAGTGATGGATTGTCTGCATAAATGATGTTCCACGCTATCCTGCATGATGTGGGAATCATGCATGGACATGAATACTAGGTGACCCTCAAAAGACAAAGTCTGTTAGCTTAGTCCTCAGACTAGTCAACCCATACCTTGGTTTCAAACCATGGTTCATATTTCCAGTTTTCCCCAAGTTTCATGATCTGAATACGTTTTGATGGAAAAAGTCTAATGTGAGATGGGAATCACATTTAGACCTAGTTGATGTGAGAAGGGAAATGAAGGTTAAGGTATAGCCTTGCCTTTGGCTTATTCACTTTGGCTAGAGAAAACCATAGAGAAAAGTACAAAGCCTATAAAAAACCTATCCAAAAAGACCGTGTTTCAATTCCTGCCAACTGCATTATTTTTTTTGACTGTGTTTCAATTCCTGCTGACTGTCTTATTTTTGCTACCTACTTTTCTCTAGTGTTTCTTTACTTTACTTTTTCATTAGGATGCTTTGACTCACCTGACACTTCATAAAATTGTACCCATAGGGTATGATGTCATTATGATGTCATAAGACTCCACAGATACTCCTGCAGGTATTCTGTTGAAAGATATTATGTCATCAAGCTCTAGATTATTCTACTCTACAATGACATCATTCATGATGTCATTTCCTTCTAGAATATTCTGCTCCACAATGACTCACTCTGACTCACTCATGGAAGGTTCTGGAATCTTTTGCTCCACAATGATGTCATAGCTCCATCTTTCACTTGTATTTTATTCTTTTATTGGGTTTGACCCAATATTTTGATTGGTCCTCCTTATTTTTTATTGTTTGTGAACCTAGGTTACTTTCCCACACAAAATGTATATAAGGAGAGCCCATTCTCCCCCCAAAAAAATATGATCTCCCATTTGTAGCAATCTGCCTCTCAGATATTTCACTTGCAAAGTTAGTCCCTTTGAAGTGAGACAAGTGCAGGGAAAAGAATTCCCTTGAGATTATAAGTTTCTTACCTTAGAAACTTATTAGTGCCATAGACCAAGCGTTCTTGGTCATATATATTGTCTTTGAGACCCCTTTGTCTCATTGCTCTGTGCCCTTTGACTAAGCAATCTTAGTCATCTATCATATTGTTGAGACCACGTCTCACTAGTAGTCCCATAGACCAAGCGATCTTGGTCAAGTTATAGTCCCATTTGTTCAAGCAATCTTGAACATATATCGTATATTTGAGACCGTTGTCTCATAGTTCCAGTACCCATAGACCAAGCGATCTTGGTCATATTTCGTATATTTGAGACCACGTCTCACTAGTTCCAGTATCCAAGTCCAGAGCCTAGAAGGGGATTTCCTAGGCAAATACGTCCCAGAAACTGAATTACGTGCCTAGAAGCTTATTCCTAGACAAGAGATTTGAGTTTCAATAAAGAAAAGTAAAGCTCCGGCTAGGTTGATCTTTATAAAAAGATTAGTTTAGCGAGCCTCCCAAGAACTCACACATTATCTACCATGAAATAGGAAAAGTCGTAGACCGTGTTAATCGAGGACTGGCAAGCAGTCTTATCCAAAGTGTAATTGTGGTGTCATTACATTTACACGACTTTATATAAGACCCTCGGTTATTAAGACAACGCCTTTGTGAGAATCGGGATGAGTGTGTCATCCTCAATCAACCAAGGGTGGACATTCTTGCCACCTGCTACATGTGCTACTGTAGGGATGAAAACTCCGCGCCATAAATTTCCATCCAAGCAACCAGGAGGAAGGTCACTGTTCTTGTATTTTGCCTTCAAGGGCTCTCCAACTGCCACCTCACCTTCTACCTCTCATTTGATACACTTGGATGGAGGAGTGTTATCCACGATTTCCACGCTGGTCTTGAATATGAATTTGTATCAGTGAAGTCTTACATAAGTTGATGTGACTTACTGATGCAGTGACTTGCTTATTCCCACCCATGTTCCTCATGGCAGCACTAGAATCATCATCATCATCATCATCATCTACAAATACAGCAGCATCTTCCTGGCCCTCAGTGATGTCCTTTGGTTCAGATTGGGTAGTATGGGGACAGGTGCTGACCAATCTATATTGAAGGAGTCTCAACTGCGAAGGAACTGGTGGAGCTAGAGGTTGGGGAATATCTTGGACTTCAATCATGTCCTTAGTAAATAAATATCAGTATTTAAGAAATTTGAAACTATGCAAAAACTTAGCTACCATCAATTTCTGTTTGTGTGCTGTTTTACCCATGTTTGCAAGGGTATATGCTACCAAGCGCTCAGGTCCTTCAGCTTCATCTGGTGTGCGTTCTTCAGCTTCAACATCATCGTCAAACATGGAGCCCTCAGGTGTCACAGGAGGAGCTGTATCAGTAGTGGTTGCATTGGTTGTTGCATGAGTGACTTGAGAGAGTGCTAATCCTGTTGGACGAGAAAGAGAGGAGGCACTTTCTAAGTGCAATGGCACCTTGAATCCAGACTCAAGCTTTGTATTGACTCGTTGAGCCCAACCTGAAACTGCAGATATTTTTTCAATGTCACTAGTAAATTCATGGAGTAGATTCCAATAGAATAATGTCATTTCAGTTAGTAAAAACATAATGAGCAGTCAAGAGAAAAGCACCCACATCAGCTTGTTTCCATTCCCAGTGACATCTGATGCACATGGATTGGATGGCTGCATTGCAATTTGGACTGCATTAACAGCATCACGATGATCAGTCCTCTGGATATGTTTTCTCCGTCCAAGAACTTGAGAGTCATTATCTTCATTGTCGTCATCATCATCTGCAACAGCCTGAGCATGAGAGGAAGATCCTGTAGTCGTAGCACTTTTCCCAACTGGGCATGGTCATGGCTTCTTTGTCAAGATGGTGTCCTTCTGCTGGATAGCAGCTTTCTGCTGAGCAGCAGCCACTTGAGTAATGGCTTGTCTTGCCTTCTCATCTTGTTTGTCTCACTCCTTCTAAGCGCGTGCCTTATCCTCTTTGAGTTGGGCTGTAGTGCGCCTCTTCTGTTTGGCATCAAGAACCACCTGAGCAGGCCTCTTCAATGCATTGGTCGGACGTGTGTGAACCATGACCAGCAAGACTCAAACAAGGTGGATGTGAGGACTTGACAGCAAGGTCGACTCACTGAAGCTTAGAGTTGTTGAAGGTTATTTTACGTGTACATTTTGTTTTCGCTACATACTACTATTACAACTCAATTCCTCATGATAATTTCATGATTAACTCATTTTATCACAATGTCAAATGCACACCCTCGTTGCCAGTCTTGAAGAAGTCTTCATTCACGCAAAATATTTCAGGCTAATATAATTTCTTGTCCTCATGCTGGTTGTGTGCATTCTTTCAAAAACAGATCCAGACTCACACAACATCGACACGCCATGCACAACTATTCTTTCGACATCCCAAATGAACCAAGAGCCCAGGAACATTCTGTTTGGGCTGGAGAACTGAACCTCAAGGCACAAGATGAAGGTCTTGAGGCAGAAGAATCAGGCCTTGAGGTGGGAGAATTCAACCTTGAGGCTGGTGAGGCAGACATCAAGGCTGGAGATTGGGACATCAAGGCTGACAATTCAAATATTCCACCAACTCCAGTCCTAAATCCTAAAGAGACCTACCGAGATTGTCACTTGGAGCTCAACGGTGTGCATCTGACTATTCTATCACTGACATATTTCTTATTTTTCTATTGATACAGGAAAAATCTGTGACAAACATGGTCAGTTCCTTGACCCAGATACTCCACCACCTCCATTCACGACAAGAGAGCATGGTGACTAGACGCCATTGCGCAATTGCACAGAGTTCAAAACCACAGAATTTTTATATACTCGAAATCAAATGTCCGGCGGTGATATCGACAAGCTTATGTACCTATGGGGAAGAACCCTTGTGCATCACGGAGACATCCCACCATTCGCCAATCACAAAGACTTGTATTCAACCATCAATGTGATACCCCTTGGAAAAGTGGCATGGGAGAGCTTCACAATGAAGTTCAATGGGGAAGGCTCAGATCCTAATGATTCTGAGACTCACACCCCATGGATGGATACTCCTTACACTGCATGGTTTCGAGATCCCCATGCTGTTACGACTTGGATAGTATCTGTTGGCGACGCTCAAACAGAGCGTGTGTCGTCAACGGTCAAGGATGTCCTTGGGCTAGCCCAAGGTTAGGGGTCTTACTTGGCGAGGCTTCGGCAAGTAAGATTTGACGCCTATGTCCAAATCGGGTAGCTTACGTCAAGCGGATGCTAGACGATAAGCTGTATCTGCCAAGGCTTATGACACCCGAAGGTTAATCGTAAGATCGTCGTTAATTAGAAGGATGGAAGTCCGACTAGTTAACAGGGGCTTTGCTCGTCGACAAAGTCGATGAGTAAAGATCGAGACTAAGGACTTATCTGCGATGAGCAGATAAGAAGATAGAATATAGACTGCTGGCTAGGCAGAAAGGATCACTCTGGTGAGAGTAGGAGGTCAAGAACCAAGTAGATTCAAGTTAGGGAATATAGTACATGGTAGCGAGTTTATATAGAGGACAGGAGAAGTATTAGTGGGTGATAACTTGTACTACCAAGAGAAGCAATTGGTAAAGGGCATAACCATAAAAGGAAAGCACGTTCGCGTTGAGACACGGGCGAGGCAGAACGTGCTGGATAAGAAAATGAGTCAAAGGTCGAAATAAGAAGTGAAACGCGCAGGGGCACGATCGTGCAGCTGCGGAGCTATCTATAAGTTGCATGTGCGACTGCGCACTGAGTCAGAGATTAAGAGAGGGAAAAGGGCAAAGGGGATGCATCGTGCATCATATCATAGGTTACCGTCCGGACGGTAAGGGCAAGGGGACTGTCCACAGGATCAGTCAGGTGGTGGAACGGAGCATGGGTATGCTTCGTCAGTGAAAGGATCCGGCCAGATGTACTGGCTCTGCTGAAGCGACAGATAGAGAGCGAAAGGGAATGCGAGGATGACAAGGATGACAAGGGTAAGGTCGGGGTAAGGGTATGATGCGAGGGCTGATACGAGGAGGATTAGGAGAAAAATGGTAGGGGCCCAAGTGTCTAGATGTTCTTGTAACACATGCCGTGGTCCACAACATGCTTGTAAATCCAGACTTCAAGGATGAAATGGAGTACATGCCTTATCATGAGTGGAAGGGAGAGGGAGATGATGCAAAATGGCAGTGGCACAATGTGATGTCAGGAGACTGGGCATGGAATCAAGCTGTAAGTTCTTTACTATGTCTCAACACTTGACATGAAGCTAATCTAATTAATCTCAGGATGAAATAGCCAAAGATCCAGCAACACATGGCTCGACCTTTGTGCCCATTCTTCTCGGAAGCGACAAGACAACGGTCTCAGTTGCAACTGGGCAAAACAACTATCATCCCCTCTATGCCTCAATTGGCAATGTACACAATAGTGTTTGGTGTGCTCATCATAATGCTGTTGCTGTCGTTGGCTTTTTAGCCATACCAAAAAGTATGTAATAATTTTATTTTTATGGCGCCTGCTGTACTACAAAGATTCTACAGCTGTAAAAAATATTCCGAAGATGCGCATTTTCGAAAATTTAAGAAACAATTGCTTCATTCATCTCTCTCACAAATACTGCGCTCTTTCAAGACCTTCATGACTGTTCCAGAGGTCGTGCGCTTTGGGGATGGTCACTTTCGACGTGTCATCTATGGCTTGGGACCATACATCGCGGATTATCCAGAACAGGTCGTACTTTCTTGTATTGTGTCAAATTGGTGTGCTAAGTAAGTAATCTTTTTGCGTGAACTTGTCTAAATCTAATGTATTCTCAAGATGTCTTGCTTTTCCAACAGATCTAGATGGCAAAGATGCCCAACTTTGTGCTCGAGTAGTCACAGATGTCCTTTGTGATAATGTTGACTTCAATACTCTGTGGTGTCAGTGGGGTGTTGATGCTGACGTCGTGGTAAGCCTCGTTTCATTTTAATTGCTTCAAGCTTTCTAACAACAGTAGCCATTTACAAATGACTATCCACGCACCAACATCCATGAACTTCTGTCCCCCAATATCCTGCATCAACTTATCAAAGGTACCTTCAAAGACCACCTTGTCACCTGGGTTGAGAAGTACTTGGAATGCATACATGGGAAGACTTGCACCAAGGTGGTGATTGATGACATAGATAGAAGGTATGCTCATAATATCTCTCTGGTGACCCTTACTGATTCACAGATTTGTTCCTCCAGAATCGCTGCAGCGCCATCATTCGCAGGCCTTCGCCAGTTTCCTCAAGGCCGTGGTTTTACTCAGTGGACTGGTAACGATTCAAAGGCCTTGATGAAGGTATATCTACCTGCAATTGAGGGACACGTGCCCGATGATGTTGTCTGGTGTTTTCGTGCCTTCCTTGAATTTTGCTACCTCGTATGACAGGATATTATTACAGAGGACACACTTAAGGAAATCGAGGAAGCGGACTGGTTTCATCATTATCACAAGATTTTTCAAGAGACCGGTGTTCCTTTTGACAGATTCTCATTACCGCGTCAGCATTCCCTGGTGCACTATGGTACACTTATCTGCATGTTTGGTGTGCCGAACGGTGTGTGTTCATCCATTACAGAGTCAAAACACATCAAGGCTGTGAAAGAACCATGGTGACGATTGAGCACATTCAACGCACTCAGACAGATGTTGCTTACAAACCAGCGCCTTGATAAACTCGCTGCTGCACATACCGACTTCATAGCACGTGGAATGTTAGGTCCACATCCTGGTGTGTATGATTCTTTTGTATAATAATTCATACTAAATAAAAACTTGTATACTAGATATCGGCCCACAACACCCATTGCAGGACAATGGCAAGGCGGACAATGGTGGTGAAGCAGACGAGAGGAGTGAGGAAGCAGGCAAGAGGGGTGAGGCAGATGAAAGTGACAAGGAAGACGATGGTGCAGTAGAGGGAGCCCGAGCGCATTGTGATGTGAAACTGGCACGCATACCTTGTGTGTTGTCTTTTCTTTTACATATATCATTATCTGACCCAACAAAAGAACACAAATGACCACACACCATTCATGCACTGGCTGAAGAACTCAACATACCAAACTTGCCTCAACTGGTCTGCCTTTTTCTCTATGATCAACTCCTCACAGACAATGATCATACATCTGATACCGTCCCACTCAGTGCTTGCCCGATTTGAAGGCCGCATCGAGGTTTTTGGCTTGGCAGCAGCTACTTTCTTTGGGCCAAGTGATCCAAGTGGTATTGGGGGAATGCGACGTGAACATATTCGTTCTGTCCCTTTGTGGCGCGGAGGGCCAGGACACTATGACACCGTATTTGTGAACACCCGAAGTGAGGATGGAATACATGGTATGGAGGTTGCCCATGTGTTATGTTTCTTTTCCTTTCATTATGGCCATGATTTGGAGACTTTTCCATGCGCTCTGGTACACTGGTTTAAGCTGATCTCTGACGAGCCCAATCCTGGAAATGGAATGTGGATGGTCAAGCCATCATTTCTCGACTTGGAACTGCACACTCGGTAGTGCTGTCCAATTATGATTATAATACTCTGAGGAGCATAATATAATGTATTCATAATATTACGGGCCAGCGAGCAAGAGTATTTAATCATATAGGTATTGTATTGAAATGTAATGGTAATGTAACCATATTTAATTGTATTTAATGGATGTTCACACCCTCAAGAAAATTTACACCATTCCCAAAATCACGTTTTAACCATTCCTTCGCGATAATAGTGATCAACACAGACTCTGCGCTCAGAGACAACCGGCTATTGGAGAGTGTATGTTTGCTGCTTGAGAACAAATGTTCGACGGAGACGCTAATGGCAGGGATCACGAGAATGTCGCGGGCAATGCGGGACAGCACAGGAAACATCGTCTCGTGTTGCTAAGTGGAACACAATCAGCGGATCAAGAATAAATAACTGAAAAATACAAACCTTCCACCAGATTAGAGGATTATCTTCCTGTTCCGTTGTGCATGGATAAAGGCCACTGAGGTAAATGTCAACTTCTTTCTGAGATGCACTAGTAGGGCCAGCTTTCTGCATGTGCATCTTGACTGCTGACTTGAAAGCAGAATGTTTGACGGGCGAGATGGGGTCAACAGTAGTAGTGGGAATGATGGGGGAACTGTCCATGCTATCCTCTGAGTATACCTGGTACATATGATTGAGAAGAATTCGCACGCGAGCCGCGAGATTGGTGTTTGACCACAAGCTCTCGTCCTCGAAATATGAAACTCTCATTCTCGGATGTAGAACTAGAAACAGCAATATGATTACACTTCTGATGTGAAAAAAAAAAACACTCACCAGCACCCAACAAAGGGTAATCAGATACTAGAGCCTTCTCCATGTGAATCCGAAGTTTGTTGAGGCCAGCCACGAGTGCATCTTCGAGTCCGTGAACATCAGTTTCCTCTGAGGCTTGACGGCAATAAGTGTCCATGTGCAACTCAAGCTGCTTGTACAGCGGGAGTGTGTAACATATGGTAGGGACGTGTTTGCATGAGAGGTTGAGTGTTGAAGTGTAAAACAGCTGGAATGAGTACTGTGAGTTATGAATGAGCGAAAAATAAAAAATAAAAACACACAACGAGAATTGAGGAAAGGCGTTTGAGGAATTCCCAGTCACTGACGCTCAAATATAATTTCTTCTTCTTGCGGATTGCGGCGCACTTCTTTTTCCCAATGAGACATGCATCGAGTTGATCAACCCATTGGTTGATTGCCTGAATGATGTAAGCTGCCCTGGTCAAGTGAGTTGATTGCAAAACTATGTACTGGCTTAAGCTTCATAGCTCGGTCAATTTCTGCAAGTGTCGTGTTCCACCGAATGGGCATGCTGCGAATGGGAACAAGCCCCTTGTAACGTGCATCACATAGTTGACAGATAAGTCGGCGCATCCGTTTCCGACAAACCTCTGAAGCGAGAATGTCAACTACAATTGCATGAAGCTGAAAGCGGCATCAGAACTGACTCGGATAGCAAAATACACCTACCTTTTCAACTGCAGTGAGATATTGATTCTTCTTCACTTTTTTGGCACTCTTACTCATGGTCAGAGCACCTTCATCATCACTGGAAACATAAGCATCCAATTCATCACCTTGGTTCATTTTGTCATCCCCATCATTTTTCTTTGCCTCTTTTTGCATCTCTTCCATTTCTTGCTGGACTTCGGGGTCATCATCAGGTGAGTATGTAAGCGGGAACTGTCGAGCACTCTCATAGAGGTCTTCCTCATCAGGGTTTGGAGCAGTGTGAAGCCCGTGCAATATTGCCCTGCCAGTATTATACTTCATCAGTCTTGTGAAAGGTGAATATCACGCTACATACTGCACAACGAGATTGATGACATGAGCTGCACAGCCAATTTGCATATTCGCACGATGCAAGTGGGAGCCTTCGTCAGCAATCTGTTTTGTCAGTGCCTCGTTCATTGTCATGTTACTCGCTGTGTTGTCTGTAGCATGTGCAACTATTGAGAGATGAGTGACAAATCTCCGTGAAGCTGACCATGAACCCACTGATCTTGCTAGTCAGTTTTCGGTGCTTCAGCACCTTGAACAGTAGCTTGCCAGATACTTTCCCTGAGTGATCTCCATCAAGTGCAATAAGCTCAAGGGGAGATTCCATGAGCTCCCACTCGTCATTGATCCAGGAGACTATGGAACCAAGAAAAGCATAAACTGAGTTTTTGCTGGTCCATATATCACTCGAGAAGGCAAGCTGTGATGTGTTTGACTACAAAATTTGTTAATCTATACTGATGTCTGTCCGAGCACGATAAATCTCACCTGAAGGACTGCATTGATTTTTTTATTCATGCCCTCATAGAGCCTATCAATATCACGACAAACAGTTTGATGTGAAGGTAATGAATAACCTGTTGGAAGAATCAGCAGTGAATGTTCGCTTCATGCCTTGTTTTTCAACGAGCGAGTATGGAAGGTCATCTTCAACAATACCCTTCACCAGAGTTTCACGCCAAGTCCTTCTCAGTAAGCTGCTTGGCAGGATGCTCGATTCCTCACTGCACGAAATTTCGCATGATCTGCCTTTGAGGACCAGGACCAGGAGTTTCCAGTGGTGACTTGCACTCTGTTTGATTTCTGTGCACACCACGAGTCGAAGGAATGTTCTGTTGGCAACCTAGAACATTTTGGCAGGTGCGAGATAAAATTACTTGAAGGGGGTGCCTTAGTAGTTTCAGCATCATAGGATGTGCATCATGGTGTGCGAGCTGATGTTCCGAAATGTGCTGGATAGGATATGAGTTCGTAGTAATGTGCCTGCAGTGATGTAATTGACAACTTACTCGCACCAGTTACACTTCCATTTCCACACAGGGTCTCCTTTTTTATTCGTAGCAACTGACGGAGCAAACTGTAGCATTGCCCATTGTCCTTTCAAAGGATTCCGTCCAGCATGGACCTCAACCTCCTCTACATCAATCTCACTTTCAGACTTCTCACTTCGTACGGGAGCCTCGATGACTGAGTTTAGTGATGTGCAAGGCCCGGCTTCAGGCCGTGGGCCGGGCCCAGCCCAGCCGACTTAGGCCAAGCCTAGCCGGGCCTTAGGGTGCAGCCTATGTAGGCTCAAGGCTTGGCCTCAGGTTTGTTCAAGCCTGGGCCGGGCCTTTGAGCCCTGGCTTTCAGCCAACCAAATCTAGTATCTATGACCTGCAGTGATATCCGAGAAACTGCATAGTTTCTTCAGTCCATACTACAGGATCACCCCTCCTTTTTTGCTGATCGCCCGGCTAACCTTATTTTCCAATGGTGCCATGCATCAACTCCGACACTGAGGAAGCGCCTGCGCCACGTCCTAAACGGGTTGCTGTGCCATCAGCAAAGGTGATTAGTGCGGACAATGCAGCTGATCAAGAGCTTCTTTCCCACAGAATAGCTCATATCACAAATCGCGCTGCTGTTATCTTGGACCCTACTGACTTAGATGGGGCCGACAACGACAAAATCCAGCTGGTGAGCCCCCATACCAACAAACGGCTCATCAAAGTTAAGTTTTTTTTTAGTTTTATGTGCTTTACTAACTGCAACCCATTGACAATTCCTACAGGACGAAAACAGGTTGCACAAAGTCCTGATGCCGAGGATGTCGACCTTGCACAGCCTCTTAATGAGCTTTCCGACGGTGATGAAGATGCACTCAACGGACCAAGCCAGGATCCACCGACTCTGTCTCGCACATCCTTGGCTTCACTTTTTGACTTCGCGGATCCATCGAAGCCGTGGTTGCATGACTTTCACGCATACTTGAACTCAAAGGACCATCTCGGAGGGATGTCCATTATTCAATGGTGGGGTATCAACTCCCCACGCTACCCTGTGTGGGCATCACTTGCCCGCGACTTCCTTTCCATAATGGCAACCTCTGTATCAAGCGAGCGAGCTTTCTTGTCTGCAGGGATCACGATTAGTAAGCGACGTAACCGTCTGAAACCTGATATTGTTGAGGCACTTCAGTGCCTCAAATGCATGATCAGATGAGGGTTGTTGTTTCGCGAGGATCCTTCCATTGTTACTGAGGGTGATGGAGACTTGGACCAGCCTGAGCCTCAGATGGGTGACTTACTGGATGTATTGGGCGAAGAATTGGATGATGAAGAAGTGCAGCGAGATTCTGATGACGAAGATGTATTTGTTCAATCATTAGTCATGTTGTAGCACTATTGTGATATGAAGCCGAGGCCTGAGCCCTAAGCCGAGCCTGACCAAGCCTGAGCCATTGGGGAGGGCCTGGCCTGCAATCTGAAGGAGCCTGAGCCCTATCAAGCCGAGCCGGGCCTTGCACATCACTAACTGAGTTAGCATGGCGAGACAAGAAATTTGTAAGAGTGAAGTCACCCAAGTCTTCTGCTTCTTCTTCTTAGGCTTGTCACTCCCCTGCATAAGAGTCAGTGTCAACATATTGATCCAAGTTACCATCATACCTCTGCTGGAACCACCTCAGTGTCACTCATACTGTTGTCATCGGAAACAGGGTCTCTACACGGTGGAACATAGTCGTGATCATCCAGATCACTCTCAGCATCTTTAAATTATGTTAGTGACATATACGAGTATAACAGAACCTTCACCTTTAGCCAATGTTCGTTTGATCCGGAGGACAAGGCCACTGGAAGCCTTTTTTGAAGAACTCATAGGAGCACTGACATTATAATATTAAATAGCATTGCGCGGAGGATACAGGAAATTACATACACGTCATGAAGCAGTTTGATAAGTGCTTTGATGTGCTCGTTCATCAAGACGAGTCCATCGTGTTGCTCGATGTTCGGTAGTGCAGCAAAGTGCACAGCAAAATTGTGTGCGAGAATGACACCATGTCTTCCTCGCATGACCAGTTTTTGCTGTTCATTCTCAGAGTGCTGAAACACTCGTTCCCAGGCACGGTTGAATGAGTAAAACGGACCTTCATCTTCATCAACGCTGAAATCATGTAAGTGATGGCCAATTGGACCATCCTCGGCTGCTTCTGGCAATGAACCAGGGAGTTCGGCTATAACAGAATGAAGATCAGCAAGTGATTGGGCAAGCTATTTTTGCTGCTCGCCCAATTGCGCCATGAAGTTGTGCTGCCCTGATAACAAGAAGCGCAAAGATATTAAATTCTGCGCTGAGCGCTGACCACGGTGGAGCGTGGGAACTACTACTGCTCCAGCTGTACAGTTTTCACCTTATCCACGTCAATCTGATTGCTCCATTCAAAGTTTAAAGATTATGATTAAATACACAGGTCATACTATAATGTAATGTACTGGATTGTACGGTGTATGCAGAGCCCCTCCGCGAGCCCGTATTATAATCAAGATAATGATTAATAATAATATTATATTAAAATATAACCTGTAATGTGGACAGCACTAACACTCGGGAGCTCTCAATCATTCATATTGACACAATCGTTCAAGCAGCTCACTTGTTGCCCATCTTTGGCAATGAATTTGTCCCAGAGAAAGCTACATTCCATGAGACTCTAGATATTTACTGTGCGTTCTATGTTAACAAATTCGCAGATCATCATTCCTTCGAAATAGCATCTTGAGCTCATTATTTGAACTTGGTCACTTAAACTACTTGATTATCTTACAATTTTTTCTCAGTCAGATGCCTAAGTAGTGTCAAGTGAAAACGAAGTAACTTGATCGTCTTAGCTGACTTAGCGCAATTTTTACATTTTTAAGTTCGGTTAAGTGAAGTGTAGATTTGCTGATGAACACTGGAAGCGTGGATATACACTGGCATATGAGGAATCGGAGCACCCTCGAGTCCATGGCTCGTTTGGAGGACGAGTACTGGGAGGTTCCAGTGATTAGCAGTAAGTAAGGGTAGTTAATGCGCACTCACGAACACCGCAGCAGTGGGTTGTGGCAGCAGTCGCAGCATTTTCACAATGCCCGTATCACGTGACATTATATCCGCTCAGCGCGCTCCTGCTTTTGACTCGGAAGTTGTAGACCAATGCGTCGCGCCTCAGTCTGGATTTTTTTAGCTTACCTGTGTACACCATCATTTGCTCTATATCGTGGTGAAACTTATAGGGAAGATCTCCAAATAAAATCACTTAGGGATGGACGAGTATCGACGACATTCTCTTTTGTGACTGTTCTAGAGGATGCAGTTCCGCGAAATCCGAACGCTTTAGGACAACGAGATGAATGTGAGTCTACCATCGTCATTTTTCACTCCTAAAATACACAAGCTGCGCAGCCCAACACTACGCCCTGTTCCCACTGACTCTTGGTCAAATCCTACGCGAGTATGCGGTCACCGAACTGCACCTGACTCTCAACGCTGGAAAATGGAATTATGACAACTGGGGGCATCCTCATGAAGCTGGGGTTGGCACTGGAGCTGATCTATGGGCTTGGATGGGTGCTAGTGAGGCAACGACGTGTGTATGCCCAATCAATAGCTATGATCACCTTCACTTATTCAATCTGTCAGAGTGGATGAACGATGGTCCGGTCTCCGAAACGCACTTTCAGGACTCTTTTGTGCTTCTCTTGGGTCGCTAGATTCCAGACGAACATTGTCACCGACGGTCGCCTTTCCTTTATCTGGGTCTACCCCTACTTTTTCCCCACACGAACTTCGGCACGCCTCACTTCCTTCAGAAAACGTTTGCACGGAGAACCTAACACCCTTCTTGAAGCAACTTCCGTGTAAGAACCATGCAGGGCTTGCTGCACTGCTCAATCCCCAGAAGGTGTTTGATGCGGACTGGCATGGCATGGGGGTTCACGTTATATGGAAGGAGGACACTGGTGTTGAATTAAAGCTGACCTTACAAGCGGTATTCAATCCAGTGCGAACCAGCGCAGGGAAGAGACGAGGTAAACTAGTCACCGAGTCATGATATAACTCTCACTGACAATGCTGACAGACTGGAATCTTGAATCACTGTTCGATCGTTCTATTGAACGATCATGCCCGGTAGCGAGCTCTAGTTCCATCACTGTTACTCTACCGGAAGGGAAGGACCACAAAATAACTCCTGAAAATCCTGCCCATGTCGACGGTTCAGCCATTTATAATTTATCCTCCTGTGCGTCGTACAGGTATTTCTCTGCAATAAACTTGAACCAATAACATGTTTAAGCATCTAATTTCACAACTCCGTTCAACATTGCCATGTACTGGCCAAATGAGCATAGCTTCCAGTATCGTAAGTCCCTCTCTGTCCGTACAACCAGCTCACTGATGATTTATCAACGTAGCACTGCCACCATTAACACCGGTCACTCCGCTTAGCGTAAAGCGAACAATTCATGGTACAACGCAAACACGAGGCGTTCTATCTGTGTCTGTGACCAACGATTCTCCCCAGGAGATATCGGTAGGTTATCTGGAGATGATGCCTGCACTCCTCACGTTGTGGATGCACACCCTGAAAGTCGAAATAAACTCACAGATACGAAGTATGACCTACGGCTATGGGAGGATTGTCTTTACTGATTATCTGGTGTATCTAGGCGACTTACTTTTAGGATTGAAATATAATCCACCTTCGCTACAATCTAATGACCACTTCTCTCCCTCGATGTTGCAAGCTGTCCTCACAATTCCACCAAAGACCACGCTCAAAATATCCATGGAGGTCAACAAAGCCTTCCTCAAATACACCGAACATCCACCTGATGCGATGAGAGGCTGGGATCTACCAGGGGCCGTTTTTTTCCCGCTCTCTCAATCGTCTCACAACACCTCTTCGAGTTATGATTGGGAGAGGATTTATACCCCGAACCTCCTCGTCGATCTCCCCACCCCAGATTTCAGCATGCCCTATAACGTCATTATCCTCAGCTGTACGCTCATGACATTGATTTTTGGCAGCATCTTCAATTTGCTGACACGCAAGTGGGTCGTGCTGGAGATTCAAGAATAGTTGAGGCGACCAATGTAATCCCATTGTACTAATTTAGTACCCATGCAAACTGCTGTCCTTTTCTGGGTCGCTCTATGTCTTGATCCTTGTTATCGCACCTGCCGACAGAATCAATTCATGTATATGTTTCGGTAGCATCTGCCCAAGTGCCTGCAGTCCGCAATATGTTCTACCACCAGGGTTCATTCGAAGTTCTATCGCAGTGATCCTTGTCATCCGTCGGAAGGGAGTTCGGTCCGAGTTGTGGTGTGTGCGGTGGTTTGCCCCGTACATAGGGTTTGAATAGGTGATATATACATGATAGTGTAGAGTGGTGCGTTGCGTACTCACGACGTCTTCGGCCCCGCGAGCATGATTATTACTGGTTTGTCGTTGGAAACTTCTTGCAATATTAGTGTGTCTGGTGTGTGCACTGCACGTCTTCCAGTTCTTCTTGGATTAATCATCTTTTATAGTTATCTTCCAGGATATCTAACAACTATTAGTCCTTCAAGCGTGTTTTGTTGACCTTAGGTCACGATCATTCTTGGCTGTCTAAGCATGCCCGTACGTTGTACAATTTTCATGTTGGTTCGTTTTCCTAACGTAAATTTCGGAAGGCTTTGCGGAGAGGGGCCCTGATATAATTTCCGCTATAAGTTGCTTGCAACATCAGGGGCATATCGGCAGTAAATAGAGAACACAGAGCTTTGACACCAACCCGATTTACGCAGTGCTTCACGGGCCTATCTACTGCCAAGGGTGAGTTTCCACCATTGGCGAGGCATATATCAACCGATCATTTATGTCTTAGGCGGAAGGCAGGCTGGTCTGCACAGCGCGTCATCCAGAAGAACGACAGGTTTGTTTGGGGAAAAGTGAGGCCCATGTCCGATGATGTCCCCATTACTTCACGGGGAGATGGTACGTCCATGGTCATTCAAGCTTCTTTCAGATGCCGAGATTGGATCCATGCATCGACAGATATTCCCTGGCATATTCGAGGACTATCATAATCTACGTCCCCTGCGAGGCGCGGCCGAACTGTTGGCTTATGATGAAGACTGGCCTATGTTGTACGACAAAGAGGCCCCGAAAAAGAACCAAGTAAAAGTAAACGCTGCAACTTGAGTGGAGGTTGCGATTGTTAATGAGTTCGGCTTAATACCAAAACCATAGCTATTATGATGACATGTGAGTATTAGTAACCTCCCTTTGACCACTAGTTGTTGTCGCTCATATGAACACTTTTAAGGTATGTCTTGTGCAACAGGCAACATCTGTCATCGGCAACGTGGAACAACTCATCACCAATCAGAGTTTCCATGACGGTATACGCAAGCACATGGAAAGCATTTTAACTGCCCTTTTTGAGCTGTCTAAACGGGAGCGCCTGCGCGATTAGAACAAATTTCCCTGAAGCAACGAGTAGCCTGTGATGTGGCATTTTGGGATCGAGATAGTATAGGGATGATCTTTGCTGCTGGATTGATGGAATCTACAGCCATTGCGTAAAAGCTATCTTTACTCGTACTGAACGGCAGTTCAGGAATCTGTCAGAAATCAATAGAAACTTTCAAAATCAGGTCATGAACAGAAATGTCGACTCCCTCGCGAATTTCAACACCTTTAGTATCAATTCCGAAAACATAACGAACGACTACTTACTCTACGATGTTCCTATCCTGCCAGGGTCAAGCTCTTCATAAGCACTGGGTTTCGGTGCTGCATGATGAGTAGGATTGCATTCAACGCCCTTAGGCAATTCAGACACGTTCATCGCAAAGTGTGTCTTGTCACATGAGATGTTATGCCAGATCGGTGTTGTGCAACTTCATTCTTACCCACAAACCATCAGGATTTGCACCTTAGAAGCGACCACCCCGGCTCCGAGGCAAAAAAACTGGAAGATACGAGACTCAAGTCAAAATTGGGTATACATATCGTGTAGGTATACAGTCTCAAAGTCCGAAGTCCTTCGCAATAGGTTGCGTAGCCATGACTAGATGCCAAGTCGTCAGATTGTCTCGAGAATGCTTTAATCAACAAGGTGGGAGGACACACGGAATTGATCATATGCCAATATGCACGAACACTATGCGCTGGGCCAAGGGTATGTCTCTGTCTTTAGCCAACAACTGGACCGCATGGTGCAGCGCTTGGGCAGCTCGTTTGGGATTCATTGTGCCACCCTGGCAAAACCTTTCGTAGAATGCCTTGACTAAGCGCTGCACAGTATCATCGTTGACCTTCCACAACGTCCCGACGACACTCCTAACCCCAGCAAATTGCAGGCCAGCCGCTAGGTGTATCACTTCGTCGGGCGTACTGAAGTCACCGACCGCGGTTTCACAGGCAGAAAGAAAGGCAAAATGATGCCGAGAAAGATCCATCTGTGCAATATCAAGGAGCAAAAAGGCTGGTCGCGCATAAGAAAGGCTGAGTTGAAGGGTTCGTCAAATCTCTGCGTCCCATGACATGCGAGATGGAACCAAGTATTTTCTCGCAATGCGCACAGTGCTCTCGATTTTGTGGCATCAACGCTGGTTATCTTGGAGAAGGAGACAGTTGGGTGAGGAGGCAAAAGTTCCCGCACCAATTCCAGCTCAGGCTCCACAGCTTCCAAAGTGAAAGAGTAACCGGCTGGGCAATTCTGACCGATGGCGACGAAGGGCACCGAGTGGGTCTGTCACGACTTGCGCGAGCCTTGATCAGCGCGGTGAGAGATGGGGTGTATGAAGAGATATACTGCTGCGAAAGAAACTTCCCCCCCTCTCTGTACTCGCCAGCAGCATGCAACGGCAAGAAATTGAAGAGAGACGTCGGGCACCACCATATTCGGCAACCTGGTCGTCCCAATCCGCCCAAATTTTCGACCACTGGGGCGACGACATTGTTCCACAAGTCGTTCAAAGCTCCCGTTAGCGCTCGTTGGTGCCCAGTCTCTTTGTCAACTGCCTCTCGGAATGTGAGTACCAACTTCTCAAGTTTCTGAATATCAGTAGGAAGTTGAATGCTGGTGGGAGATTGCTTGTGCGGGATAATGATAGCATCGCAAGACGATGTGCTTGCGATGAGCATGACGACGAGTCCATCACGAGCTGCATCTTGAAGATTGGAGAACAAAGGGGGAAGCAGGAAGCGAGAGAAGCCTTCCATCTTCCTGATCTCTTCCACAGTTCCATTCCAGTCCTCCACTAGACGCCTGTACCGGGTGGCTTCTGCTTCCACATCGACTCTTTGAGTCCCTTCTGGATGACTTGGAGGTTTATTAAGGAGGGAACTGAGCTCTGTGAATTTCTTCATCAGAGCCACTGCATGATCGCCGCAAGTCTGGAGCCCGTCAAGAGGCGCGCGGAGTCGAGTCATCTGGGTCCAGATGATAGTCCTGCCTTGCTCCAACAACTCAACAGCGCGACCCACTTCACCACTACGAAGAGCACACGATGCAGCATCCACGGCGAGTGTGCTTGGGATTCCCTTCATGGCATTATGACGAGATGATACGGAGGCCGTCGCAGACATGTGAGCATCCAGAAGTTGCATAGCAGACGCATAAGCCTCCATTTGAGTACCATGTGAATGTTGACCAGCATGGCGTACCCAAAGTAGACTTGCCTGCAGGCGGGATAGCAAGCCTGCAGAGACGATATTTGTTGCTGCCTTAAAATGATGCATGGCAGCATTCAGACTATCTGTATTTGAGCCAGCGCCGGTACCGTCAAGCTCTGAACGATGAAATAATAGATAGACCTTGGCTATAGATTCATGGACTGTCAATTGACGAGGATCATGCTGCGTCAACAACGTCAATGCACAGAGTAGGTTCTCTCGTGCCTCATCCAAGTCTTCGCTGGTGGTCAAAGCGGGAGGAGAGTCGATTCGCGAGGTTGTTTAATGATGCAGACCGATCTTTGTGACCGACCGGGCGCAAAGCCAGCGCTTCCCTGTGAAGTGCAATAGCCTGATCCAAGTCTTCGCCGTTGCCTCGGTGGTCAAAGCGGGAGGAAAGTCGATTCGCGAGGTTGTTTAATGACATGGACCAATCTGTGCGACCGACCGGGCGCAAAGCCAGCGCTTCCCTGTAAAGTGCGATAGTCTGATCCAAGTCTTCGCCGTTGCCTCTGTGGTCAAAGCGGGAGGAGAGTTCATCTGCGAGGTCGATTAATGACATGGACCGATCCGTGTTACCGACCGGGCACGAAGCCAGCGATTCCATCTGAAGTGCGATCGCTTGATCCAAGTCTGTGTCATTGCCTCGACGCTTGAAGCGAGTGTGTAGCATTACAACTAGATTATCTAGCAACTGCCCTCGGCAAGCATGCTGGGCGTTGTAGTATCCCAGTGCATCATAATGAAGGAATATCACTTCATCTAAGGCACTAGGTTCATCTCTCTCCAAACACCGCTGTACTTGATCAGCAAGTTGATTCGGCGATAACGGAACGGATGGGGCGTGCCACTCCTGCCCGAGATCATTTGCATTAATCCTTCTGGCAGAATGTAGAGCGCATGTTTCCATTGCGATCGCAGCCGCTCTGTGAGTGTGGCTGTTGGCGTGGCAGACATTGACGACTTCGCTCAGCAACTCTTTGGCTGCATCAGCATCCGTTTGAAATCCCCGTTTCGCGAAGCGCAAGAGCAGAGCAATGGCAAGATGCAGCTGCGTGACCGTTCGGTCCGGATGATCGGTGGGACGCAAGTCGAGGGCGCCTTGAAACAGAGAAATAGGGACGTCGAGGTCGAGATATCTTCCCTCAACTTGGCAACTAACAAACTTTGCGGTGGCGAGATTGAACAGCACTGCAGGGCGGCAGGGATGATCTACGGGGCAGATATCTGAGGCGTGTTCAAATTGGTTTATGGATTCCTCGAGATCCCTGCTGTTCTGGGTTCTACGGTATTGTGCGAGAAGACCATGTCCGGCATCCGTCCCCAGCACTAATGCATCCATATCGCGGGATGCAGGCTGCACGTTACGGCTTTCAGTATTAGAATGCCAGACTGCATTGATCGCTCACAGTAGTAAGGGGGCAAAGAATCACGGCATCGTTTTGATTAGAAAGTTGCTGCTCCACTGTCAAGAAAAGTGAAGTACAAGCGGATACGACTTCCTGCTCCTGTGGCTGAAATACTATGGCTGTGATACCCGTCAGCATCTGTCAGGCATTGTGTGCAATGGACAATACTGACGATAGTATTTTTCGCTGCGATCCAGTAATTTTCCTACCGAGATCTCGAACGTGCGGAGGAGCTCTCCGTGACAGAGCATGGGGCCCAATTCGAATGAGGCATACACGCTAACCCAGACTTCCGAGCGTGGCTCGCACGGCCTAGAGTCTTCCTCAATACCTGCAGGACAGACGGGTTAAAGACGACTTACAGAGGAATTCATTCGTGCCATTCGACGACAGCCTGGTCTACGTTTACAGATAAATTGCTTGTCTGGTATTCAACACTGTCAGCCTTGATCACTGCATGGAAGCCAGCGGGGATCCGTCGGAGGCCAAGAGTGAGATCAGTCGCGCGAATGACTTGAAGGAAATGGTCAATACGAGCGGAGCGGAGATAGATATCGCGTACCAGTGATGATTGGTTGCACTCCACTGAGGTGCATCTCCGCTGGGTCCTGGGTGTGGTCTGGGTGGTTCGCCTCCTCACTAAATAATAAGCACATTGTCAGGCGTTTAGATGAACAGTGCTTCATATACTTACTTATCTTGTTTTTGCCTGAAAATGCGAAATTAAGTCCATAGATGTGGTGTACAACGCAGCGACTTACGATCGTAGACGTTTTGAACTCCTGTCATCATCGCTGCCTGACGACTTACGCTTATGTTCTATCCCTTTCAAGGGCTCGGTACTGGAACCGGATATCTCCACTGGAGGAGTTTGGGAAGTTCTAAGCGATGATGCTGAAGAAAAGTCTGATTCTGATGAGGTTGAAGAGACGCATCGACGATGAGCCATGATGAAAATGATGGCTGAGGGATGTATTCAAACAAACACTGGTCATGAAGCACTGCTGTGCCTGTAAAGTTTTGAAGGATTATAAAGAAGGGAAACGCAGCATGCACATGGCATCCACCCTATGCATCGCCGGTGAGTCAACAGGATACAGGCGACTTGCAAAATCTCGGGCCTCCCATAGCCTCGTTTACGATGTGCGTCAGATTTGTACAGCAGTCTAATGGCACGATAACCTAGGCTTAAAGCGGCGGACACGAGAAGGCTGCGAGGCTGAAGGGCAGGGCATTCCACACTTTCGTTAAGAATTCGCACATGGTACAGCCTGTCCTACTGTTGGACAATATGTTGCGTCGAGTGAAGGAAGGTACGAAGTTCCTTGGCCATCATGCACGGCGTGTAACAACTGCTGGTTGGAATCAATTAATGAAACTCCGATCATTGCTGAATGCAGTAGTAAGCGTGTCATCCAGAAGAGAGAGCATGAGTCTAGCACACTCGAGCTCAAGCACTGCATGCATATGTATAATGGAACTGTCGGAAGTGCCGGTGAGGCCTAGGCTTCAACGTTCAACTGTCGTGATTGTCATAGGGGAGGAACTTCGAAAGTGAGCACATGGTCATTTATTATTGGACATCCATTTGATTTCGTTCAGGTTCTCGGAAACAGAAGGACGGGAAACGTATGGGCCGCGCAAGGCGAGAGTAGTTGTATGGTATGTGTTTTTCACGAAATGGTTTTATATATCCTTCTGCATATAATACGTCTGTTTCGTCCTCTTCATATCACGCTCAACGTGCCCTGTTCAGCAATCGATATCATGTTCTGTACGACAATGTGTGAGCATCGTCGTTTGGAATATTGCGTACTCTGTCCGCGATGGACAAGGCAATGTCATTCTCTTGGAACATTAATGGCTGGCCGCTGCCTGTGAGCAAAATCTTCACACTGGCGATGTTATCACTACAAAGTTCTGGGGCGATTGGTTGTTTGACTATCTTCATAAACGAAACATCTGACCTCCCAAAAGGTGCAATGGCAAACAATGGCTCCAGGAGATGCTGAAATCCATGCAGTTGTTGCATCCATCAATATTGCCACAACATTCGCCAATGACCGCAAAGGCAAGCACAAAGCTATCGACGAAGCAGGGGAAGATGATTCAAGCAAGAAACCTGTAGATGACACGACGCTCCGGGTAGTCCGCATGCGGTATTCAATCGTCGAATGTATCCCCTTCATTCGTTTTTTCGGTCCTGACCCTATTTTTATCTTATCAGAGTTACCTTTACCTTCGGAAATGATCCTTGCGCTATCTTGCTATCTATGGTTATCTTGTGATTCTTCCTCTCAACGATCCTCCGATTCATTACATACCGTGTAACGTTGGTCCTCGCACCTGTCCCCGTCTCTCCATTAAAACCTAAAAATTGTTTACAGAAGTGTGTAATGTTCTCCTACATATTTTTCACTAGGTACCCTGTCAATCTTCATATTGTTTACCGATTATGTTGATGTTATTGTAGAGTCGAGATCATGATGTTCACTTTGGCATTTCCAAGACAATTCTTCCCGCTACTTTGCCTTGTGCAAGTGCGTCATAAACACTGTGTATTGTATCAGCTGTGTGTCCTGACCATCGCAATCTACTCACCCTTTGAGGATCTGAGAGGCCCTTGCACTCATACTTCACTACAACCTTGCCTCTCGATGCGATCTCTAGAGCCTCGACAGCATCCTGACGATTACCAACATATGAGCCAAGGATGTTAATGCTCTGCAATGATTTTTGAATAAACAAAACTCCAATCTTTTTTGCAGAACCCACCTTGAATACAGTGAAAAAGATGGACGCCTCGAGCTTTGCTTCACCCGGTAGCCCCACTGCCATCAATGTTCCTCCGGGTCGAAGGTAATCGACAGCTTGCGTATACCCAGATGGACTCGCAGTGGTAACGACAGCACAGTGTGCGCCCTCGCCATCGCAGGCATCTCGTACAGCCTGGACAATATCTTTTTCCTGTTGGAAGTCAATCCATTTTTCAGCCCCAAGCTCCAAGCACAAATTCTTCTTCTCGAGTCCTGTATCTGAACGCGACGACATCAGTCCCCTCTCAAGTATGGATGGGCAGAAATACCTATCGCTACAACACGGAGGCCCATGTTCACTGCGTATTGAATCGCTGCTCAGAAGTCAGTGGTCGGAACATTAATATCAGTAGTGGGACAGACCTAGGTGTCCGAGGCCACCGCCTGCACCAGGTAAGACAACCCACTCGCCGATCTTTGCACCGCTGTATTTGAGAGCTCTATATACGGTAACTCCCTTGATGCGTCATGCAAGTGAGTTATAATCAATTGGAAAGGCTATATATAACCTTACCGCACAAAGTATCGAAGCCGCAGCGCTGCTGTCTAGATTGTTGGGAATAGGAGTAACATGATATACGTAGGAAACCTAGCGAAGCAAAGTCAGAAACATTTAGAATATATGCATGGAGGTTGACATACCGTGTACTGCGCGAATGTACCATCAACGCTAAAACCGCTTAATTTCGCCTTTGGGCAGTCTGAATGTAAAATTGAGCGTCATATTCAACCTTCAGACGTTCAACTCACTCTGCTCCCGTCCATTGCGACACTGCTCGCAGTTCAAGCAAGAGTACGCAAGCCATTTGATGCCAACGCGATCGCCAATCTTCACGGGACATTCGCCAGTGTTTGCTCCGATGGCAACGACCTCCCCTACACCTTCATGCCCACCAACAAGTGGTGTAGTAGCATGAAGTGGCCAGTCGTCGTGGCTAGCATGCAAGTCCGTGTGGCAGACTCCAGTGCAGTATAATTTGATGAGACATTCACCCGGAGCAAGCTCAGAAGGTTGCCTGACGGGGTGGTCGTTCCTTATTTCAAGATCAGCTCCATGGAACGGCACCACTGCAGCGGTTTGTGTCGTCGGAATGTTTGACATGATGATCGTTGTGATGAATGATGATTGTAGGGATAAGCCTGAGGCTCCTGAGTACTTATAGGGAGGGAGGGGCTGCCAAATTCATGCTGAAAGAAAACCTGAGGAAATACATGATATCATCTGACTGCGTCATTATCGCATGAACAAGCCCAGATGAGCCTTTGGACCCTGATACCTGTGAGTCGACAGGCCTAGAGTTGGCCTAGAGTCGTCAAGGCCCAAGATGATAAGGACAAACTGGGTAGTATACGTACATTCGGAATCACGTGTTCAAAATTCTTCTTGTTCATCGGACGTTGACCACGGACTGTAGTGCCGACTACCACGGGTGCCAATCGAATACTAGACCGTTGCATCATTCACACCATGTCGACCGACCCGTATCATGAAGTCCAACGGGAGATTCAATCTTCACTCCAGACAGCGTCGACATTACGCTCTTCGTTCCTGCGAATTCGCAGCCTCGCTCGGGATGGGAGTGAAGAGCTTGTGTTGGCCCGAAACGAAGTGAGGTTATCTCCGACACACTTTTCGAACGACAAACTGACATAAGAATATAGTTGAAAGCTACGCTTGCTGCTCTGTACACAGACTTGGAAGATTTAGAAGAGAGCGTCAAGTAAGCTTGGATTATAGTCCGCAGTTCAAGGAACTTATTTATCTCAGGATGGTGGAGGACACGGGTCCTAGATATTTTGGACTCGATGATGCAGAGGTCTCTGAGCGGCGGAAGTATGTGAGTCACGTACGTCGTGAAATTGAGGTCCGTCACAAATGGCTTGAAGCATGCACACCCTAACTCAGATGACCAACCTAAGGACAGGGTATGAGGGCGGACGTCGAAGGACGAAATGTCAGTATTTATCTCCGCTAGATATACAGTTTCTGACGCGTCATTAGTCGTCGTCTGCAGGGAAATCATCGTCTACTCCCCTTCAGTCACAATTATCGTCGCCCAGTAGTTCGCGGTCACCCATACAACCGGTATCTGGCTCGCAATCAGGAGAGCCCGATGATGACCAGGCAAAATGGGCTCATGAAGAACAACAAGTATGTTTTCAAGCGTTTATCTCATAACAGGGGAGACCAACAGAAGAACGTGCGAAAGTTATTGCTTCAGGAACAGGATCGTGCTATGAATTCGATATCAGGGACTCTGAATACTTTAGCTCAACAAGCAGGCCTGATGGGGCATGAGATTAGCGAGCATGTTGAGTAAGCCAATGTCATTCACTACCGCTAGTTCATACTAAGATTTTCCACCAGAATGCTTGACGACCTTGAGGCAAATGTTGAGCGGACAGATTCCAAGCTATCAAATGCGATGCGGAGAATGAAGAAATTTGTACGAGACACAGAAGGCAAGTTTGAGCCATTTGTGCGGTCCTTATGACATACTGATGTTTTCGGAGTAGAAACGAAGTCGGGATGGTGCATAACTATCCTTATAATTGTGCTGATTGCTTTATTGTTGGCTGTTATTCTCGTGTAAGAGCTGCGAGATTTCTGCACGATACCTTATCCTTCTGGTCACCGCGGCATCCTTGGCCGCGCGAGTGCAACACAACACTTGTGCTTCGTACGAAGTGAGCTAAATGTTCTATCAGCAAAAAGGTGAGAGGGGTGAAAGTGCCCAGAGTCTCTGGCCATCCCCCCCTCGAATTGTGCCGCAGGATGAACAACTCCCTGCCGGACCTACATATATGTTACTATTCCTATGGATATCAAGGTTTAACGAGCATGGTTCTTGATCGATGATCTTTGATTCTTTTGGTGATAAATAATTTGCTCGCGTCCCCGGCGAGTACGAAGTCAGCCCGATATGCTATGGATTTAAACAAGGCTCGGGACTTGTTCACATATCTTGACGGATGTAATTGCTTGCCCGAGTCGAGCTCACGAAGCAATTGATCAACTGCGTTCTTTTTGAGAATTACTTTTAGGATGATATAAGACCCACAAGATTGTGAAACATGGCGTTATGCACATGTACCGGTGTGGAGGGAATGATGGTACGTGTGGCGGTTTCTAATATTCGCCAGCAATCAGTGTAGCCCTCACCCCCTAGACAGATCATCATGCAGAACAGAGTAATCAAAGGAGCAAAGAAGGAAGGTAGTCACCCTGTAGCTCGGAGAAGCTTTGAGCCTTAAATTTAAAGCTTAAGGGCTGATAAACAGGCGCATTACGGTTGTTATTAATAATTATGGATATCCCAAACAATTCCATCATCCGAAGTGATTGATCAGTGACCTGTTGTTTGACGAACTATATCCAATCCATTATCCCCAGCAAGTCCTCTTGAGTGACATCGGTAACCCGATCAAGGCAAGACCTTGTGGTGCTAAGTTATTAGTGCCGTTCGAGCTGCGCTTCTCACGAAAGTCATAAGCACGATAAATCGTATTGAGCGTTCAAGGAAAAAGGAAAGTACACACCCAGGAGAGCATACGAGCTTATCTGCGACGCTTGGGCGGTGGTCGGCGAGTTCATTGAATTTTGAAGGGGAAACTACATATGATAGCAAGAACCGATAATTGATTGTTGATCATTCATGATATTAATGACCACTATAAGTATAGTACGCGTATATAGGACTTGCTCCCCTAACGGAACTCTGAATTATTTTTGATTCTAAACAACGCTGCGGATACCTCATTTCCTGTAGCGTTTAGGGACACGAGACTTGATTCAGGAGCACCGTCCGTCGCAGACTCGGACCATATGATGCTATTATTTTATAAATTGTAGACTAAATGTATGTGTTATGAATTGGACGTGTAAGTCGAGTGTGAGTCCAGATGTCGATATTAAATTGAAATCACTGAAAGAAAGGGGATAGCGGCGACCACAGCGCAGCGAATCATACTCCTGCAACATTACCACCCTTATCAACGCCTTCAGACGGCGTCCTCGTCCTCGCTTTAGCCGAGACCAATAGCACAACCCCCGTCGCCATCCTCATAGATATTCTTCGTAAAATACCGCATGTGTTGTCTACTATAGGACCCCGCTCCGACGTCCAGGAGACAGTGCTAATAAACCACGTGATTTGTTAACCTACATGTAGGCATGTACTACACTTCACCTGCACTCGAATCGGAACATGTCTGCTATTATAACAGTGTCGACCAATTTGAATGGCCTAGTGAATCAAATCATGCAGCGAGGCACACAATTCAAATGGGCAGTTCCGCACACGATTTCGTCATTCTTATCTCATTCAATTTCATTCGAGACATGCATTGCAATTTGCAGAGGTGTTCAACGTTCAGATGGTATGAATATGAATCGTGATGTTGTGTAAAAACCGAGTCACCCGATTCATAGACCCATCCGTGATCAGGTGAACGTGAGGAACGTGTCTCATGCGTCGGGTATATCTCCGTCATCTGGGACGATTGCCTAGCCTGTACGCCTCAATGGATAAGTTTTTCATATATTATCCATAGGCCCACGAAACGAACGCATATTTATTTGGAGGTTTGAACGTGCGTAGTAACTACGTAGAGCAGGCAAATTAATGAAATTGAAGTGATGAAAAGTCGGGCCATGCCTGATTGTTTGTGTCTGTTATGTTCTTGTTTTATTTTTTGCATCATAATGTAGCAGCCCCGTTAAGGCATTTGTGGTCATTTTAAGCCAATTGTAGACTAATTTTGATGGATTTGCGTGACTGCTCAATTATAATGCTCAGGCATTTTGATTATGACCCTAGACATTATTGTCTGCCACTTGATGATTCGTTATAAAAAATCCTGTAACAATGTGGTCGCCTGCCTTGTTTCGGGGAAGATGTTCTGAGACATGGCAGCTGTGCGACGACTCCGGATAGTGTGCGTTTTCTGTGTGTCAAAGAACGGAGGTGCAGCGCCGATCCAGGCGAGGAGTGAAGCAGGAACATTGGCATCGATCATGATGACAACATGTAGCATAGCCTGAGGGCGTAGGGCTTAAAAGCTTAATATACCACAGGCACCATGTACAGTCCTCGGGTAGACAGAAAATCGACTTCAGCTGTTGACAAGGGCTGCGTATCCTGTCCGGCTCTCTGCCCACCTGAGCTCCCGCAAAAAAGACGCGTATAGGTTGGGAGTCCGGGACATGCGGGTTTTTCCGTGGAAGCCGATTGATATATCATAATTTTGTAGTCTATTGTGATGTCGTTGCTTCTCCAGCACAGAACTTTATGGCTAAACATTTATCACTTGCAAGGCACGTAGTATACCGCACGTTCCTAAAATGTACCCAGAATTTTCCATGACGGACTCACGGAAACTTCAAACGGTGCAGAAGACCTGTGGGTCAAACGCGCCTACTTGCCCATATCGTCATTTCGGGGTTTTCAACAGTCGTGAAATTATCGGCCCGTTACCTCTGTGTATCCTGTAAAGATTGCTTCTAATACCACACGTATTCACGCAATTGTCTCAGTTCCCCACCTCCGATCTGTGACGGTTTCTTGAGCAGTATTTATCGGATTTCCCCGAAAACACGTATGACATAGATGGCGAAACCATTTTGCTGCTGGCTAATCTCCGCAGGAACTATGATTCTTTGCTAAGAACCTACAACCGAGAAACATTTTTGGGGGCCTTGGCTTTATCCGCATGAATTTAAATGCAACAAAGATTGAACAACATAATCCATAGAACTACCAGGACTCCCGCTCAAGTGTTATAGGTAGTCAACCCGCCTATTGAACGGACCTAGGGTCAAAAGCGGGGATCGGGTGTTCAATTATTGACTTATTCTAAATCCGGGAGTAAGCCTCCGAACACTTGAATAGGACTGTTTTTTTTAAAAAAAAATATATTCGAAACTAAGCAGAGTGCTCACCGTTCAAGTGCGTGCTAATAATGAGAAAGAAGAGATCATCTGTTCCTCAGCCGCGAGTCTCCTTGAACCTCTACTCATCATCTTCTGGACGAAAGACAGTCTCCAGAAAAACCTTTGACCGAAAAATAAATAAATTGTCTTTCAATACCGGTGCTCGCTCGTGCACTAGAATCATGGCAGAAGTGTACCTGATTGCATACATTACAACCAGCCAAAGGGTCCAACAATATCGACTTGTCCTATCTGAGAAAGGGGTACATTTTTCATATGCAGAATTTATAAATGTTACGTACCTAAAGTTCATGTAGCGCCGCAGCCACGCGCTGCTTTTCTTCAACCTCCTGGTCCACCGCATCTGCCAGATCACCTAAAGTTTCAAACCTCCACGTCCAAACCCCTCGCTCCTTCAAATCGGGATTGGTTCCGATAATATTTTTCTCATGGCGCGAAATCCACACGCTGTTAAGATTGTGAAGATTTGCAGGCTCGATGTCATGCAGAAGCGAGTTTGCTACTACAAGCACCTCACGTTCCTCCACAGCCCAGGGTGGACTGGGGTGTGGTAAGAGGGAGCGAGGCGCAGATGAGACTTGCTGGAGTGCAGTTTCCAACACCCTCAAGTCTGGTTTATACGCATTAAGTTGCTGAGCGGTAAGGATGAGTGAGAAGGGGGAATTAAGGGTCACCGTCGGGTATCTGCTATTGGGGGATTCATGGGTTTGAAGTTTCAGCAACTCATGGGTGCCGCCAAAACTTCTGTCATCTACGTTTGAGAGAACCACTAGCGCAAAGTGCTCCTTCAGTCTGTGGAGGGCTTGGACGGTGTCTCCAAATGGCTGCCACGTGGATATGGAAGCTCCGAATCGCTCAGCATCACTTGCTGGTGGCGTTGAGGAAGTCAGATCTAAGTCTTGTTGAGCGACGGCTGTACTGGATACCTCCCCTTCTTCCGTGACTACAGCTGGTCTGCCACGACTAAGACTCGTGTTAACTTGACCACTGAGCTGAACCCAAGCAAGATCAAGGATCTTTGAGTATGGTACACTCGGATCTTTCATTTGAAGATCTAGCTCAGCAAGAGCATATTTCTGCAACACCTCCTCTCTTGGAGTATCCTTTGGAAAGAGCGTCTTGAGACTGTTGTATATTCCAGATTCCCAATCAACGAGTGTCCCATAAACGTCAAAGATCAACACTTTGTGAGACGTCAATTCGATCTGAGTATGATGGAGAAAATGACGAGTCGTGTGCCATAAAGTTGATTGGACGAACTTGTTTCTCCATAGGGGAACTCCAGTGGCCACCGACAGAAATCAAGGAGGTTCAGCCACGTTTGCTTTATTCCAAGGTCGTGTGCCGGAAATTGGACGTGTCAGAAGTTTGAAAATTGCGGTTGTATATTTTTACCACACAAACCCCGAGTGACCTGTCGCCACGATCTCGTCACCTATAGACTTCCGGCTTGTCGGCGCCTACCCATGGCAGTTTTAGTAAACTAATCAGTAATTTCCTTATGTCAATCCCATTCTAAGCTTTTTGCCAGGATTTCGGTGTCCATAAGATCCTTCAGATGCTAACCTGGCACCAATTCACGTTCCTGGAGCTATTTAACAGTACTTTCCTTCCCACTTTCGTGTCATTCCAAAAAATACCACTATCCCTTGCGGATAATACGACTCATCGTCTAGCATAACTTACCCAAGTTCAGTAGCTCACAAGTTGCAGGACAGTGATGAAGTTTGCACAGTGAGTCGATACCCAGATCGATATACGCTCATTTCATGTGACTTCTTTGGACTGCAGATATCTTAATGATACACAAGTAAGTCCGCTAATTCAGACTAGCCAATGTTATTGGTGATGTATGTACTAATATCTTGTTACAGACTCCCGAGTGGAAAAAGGCATACATGTGCGTCCCAGCTCTGTGCATGCTGGCTATATGTTGTTCATGCGCTGATCGATCACCTCCACTAACGTCATTCTCACTTTTCTTCAGTGATTATCGTTGCCTAAAGAGGTGTATTGGTGCAATCCGTGCAGAACATATTGCTAGGCAGAACTCCACTGGAACCACCGATGTCGATCTAGTTCATATACAAGCCAAGGGACATGAACAGTACAACGGTATGTTGGTTATTCTGAATACATTCTCGCCAACTCATTTCACTTCCACGTTCTCTTTAGAGACGTCCATCCTTCCACGGGCTGATGCTCCAATTGAAAGGGCCTCAACAAGTCGAATCCACCAGATACGTAAGCCGTTTCAGCATCATTTGTCGCGTTCTATTCAACGGAGGGTTTTGACAGGTCCATCGCTCAGAATTACAATGCATAGTTTTACGTCTCCGCCTGTTATCGCAAACTCCTCATCGCAAGCGACCCCCTTACCTCCGAAGAGTGCGCACTCGCCACCCGTATTTCCTTTTTTCCGTGATGCAGGTCAGTATAAACGTTTCCAGCGTGTTACATAGAAACCTTACTTGATCAACAGGTTCTCTAGCTCCTCCTGCCTTACACACGCTTCTCCCTTTACTACCACCGCTTCATGCAACTTTTTTTCAGCTATTAGATTCTGAATTGGAGAAAGTCGACTCATTTTATTCTGAACGAGAAAAGGAAATGCGAGAACGCGGCAAGAAGCTCAAAGAGCAGCTTAATGAACTTGGGTTCCATCGTAAGAAGTACTATGTCAGTCTACCGTTCAGCATATGCACTTCCTTCTTTTTTGAGACATTCTGATATGCAGGAATCTGCAAATGACACAGCGCCGGGCTGGGCTGCACGAGCTTGCTTGCTCCTGTCAACGACTTTCCTTTCCAAAACTCAACGTCATACAGACAAGAACGATAATCAACCAGGGTTAGTAGCTTCTGAGTCGGTTAGGGGAGGTAAGTATTTATCATTATTGCAGTCGAAAGGGCATCAGAGCGGACCGCTAATCTTAGTGCCTGCGGAAACAGGTCACTCGGCCACCCCTGGAGACGGCATTGACGAATACAAGACCATATCGCTATTTCCTCCGTCTACCGCAAGTGATTCAACCAAAGTTGGATCACTCAAGAGCAATCGTCCAAGCCCGCCTACAAAAGCGAATGGCAATGTCCCACTAAGAAAGAGCAGTATGTCCTTCACAAGCCTACAGGATTACCAAAGTGCGAAGAAACGTATCAAGAAAGCTGTCGTGGAGTACTACCGGTATGTCCCGTTTGCATCGCCGGTTTTCGGGACTACTCTGCTTTCATGTGGCAAGGGCGCGAGACTCACTGTGTTGGAAAATGTGGATCCCTCGTGCCAGCCAGTTTCTCTTTCCTTCTAATGATCACATGCCAGTACAAGCTGACTTCTTTTTTGTCCAGTGGCCTCGAGGCACTGAATAATTACCGTGTACGTGGCTGATCCCATCATGCTGATCATCTCGATCATTTATGTTGTCATCGGCATTTGCATACTACATCCGTTTTCAACGACTGCACGCCTCTCACTCACTTATCGCCGTATTGATAACCGATGATCCCGAATCAAACAGATCCTGAATCTCACCGGTTTCCGCAAAGCTGTCAAGAAGTATGAGAAGATTACACAGGTGCCTGCTCAAGCAGCTTATATGAAGGAAAGGGTAAAACTTTTCCGATACCTATTGTAACATGTTAACCTTACGCCACGGTCAGGTTGAGCCCTCGGCTTTTGCTTCTGGTGCGATGGTCAGCTCAATGCTTAAAGAGATGGAAGAGCTGTTTGCCGCAAGATTCGGTATGTCGCTCCAAGCTCCCAGCTTTTGTTCTTTTTACATGTTATCGCAGAACGTGGTGACAAGAAGAAAGCAGTCACTCATCTTCGTGCTGGCACGACCCAGAAATCCCATCACTTCAGCATGTTTCGCACGGGTTTATTGCTTGGGACATCTATACCAGCGACGGTTGTCGGTTTTATAGCATGTAAGTCGTGTTTTCCTGATACTGACGTCTACAAGAATTCTTATTTCACCTGCAGATATGCGTGAAAGTACCTCATTGCCGTGGGATATCATACTTTTTATCTACTCTATTTTGTTGATTCCTACTTTACTCGCTTTGCTCGTCGGGTTGAACCTCGTCGTATGGGCCAGAGAAAGGATCAACTATGTGTTCATTTTTGGTGCGCATAACCTGTCTTGTTTATCTCCCTCATGCTGACCTTCTCGAAGAACTTAATGTACGATCTCGCCTTGACCATCGCGAGTATTTTGAGGTTTGACATCTTGTCATTCTATGAGCCTCATTGATATAATTTCTACATTAGCTTCCTGCTTTCCTATTATGTGCGCTAGCACACTGCTTTATGCTTTCTTTCGTTCATGTCGGTCCTCCACTCGTCTGGCCGCTGGTGTGGCTTGCCCTTGTGGTTATTGTCATGCTCAATCCCATTCCGGCAAGGTCACATTGTCTGTGTCGACGATTCGAGCTAATATGTTCTTGAAAATGTATAGAACATCCTCTGGGGTCCTTCGCGATGGTGGTTTGTGAAGAGAATTGCAAGATTGGGCGCTAGTGGTTTTTGGACCATTGAAGTACGTTCTTATCTTGTGACGCGTAACATGTGGTTGACGCAATTGACAGTTCACAGATTTCTGGCTCGGGTTAGTGTCTACAATTCTGCGCGATTGTATCCTTCATCTCACCCTTCACAGCGATATGTTTTGCAGTCTTACCTATAGTTTATCGAACTTATACTTTATTGGGTGTTTCTACTCCAAATACTTTTCTTATGTCCCCAGCTTGTGGTCATCGCACCAAAACGCTTCTATGGCAGTTTCAACGCGCTTCTTTTCCTCTCAGACGTTGAGTTTGGTGTCAAGGAACCCGGACGGCCCTGCTATTCAAGACGCGTGGACAACTTGCGCAACGCCATCACATTGGGGTCCTTCCTTCGTACTTGCTATGCTACCGTTCCTAGTGCGTTTTATTCAGAGCGTCAGACGCTACAGGGATTTGAAGTTACCTACCCATCTCATCAACGTAAGATTTTACTTTGGAATAGAGGTATCCAAAAACAGCTTACATCTTGGTTGAATGTGCAGGCCGGCAAATACGGGATGGGTATGACGTACTACTTCTGTTATTACCTTTGGAGAAGTGACGGTAGGTTGACTCCTTGCGTCCCTGCTCTTATCTGATCTTCTACAGGAGAGGGTGGCCGTGGTGCTTCTTTCGTTATGTGGTGTTTGTCGGCAGTTATCTATTCACTATATGGGTGTGCATGGGTGAGTTGACGAACAATCAAGGGTGGATACACTCTCAACACCACCCAGGACTTCGCGATGGATTGGTCCATCTGCAAACCGCGCGCCAAATACTTCCTCCTCAGGCGGGAGTTGGTGTACACATCCCAGATTCCGGTGCGCTCTACCCTTTACTGAATCAAATATTCAGAATTTTCATTCTATTCAGATGTACTATGTTGCTGTGGTGAGCAGAATATATACTTGTGACTCCTTTCATTCTAGATCTGCTATAGGTCACGAACATTTTGATTCGTTTTCTCTGGGTCTTCTATATACCCAGTTGGCCACGGTTTACTCTCCGGTCATTCATATTCAGCCTAATGGAGATGATAAGAAGGGTTGTGTGGAATTTCTGTCAGTGTCTTTACTTCAATTTTCTTTCTATGCAACTCGCTAATCCCCGATGTCTGACAGACCGTCTTGAGAATGAACATCTTGGTAATATGGATCAATATCGAATTACGCGCGAGTGTCCATTGCCATATTCGTCCGACAATCTCCAACATGAGGACGAGGAGGACGATGAAGAGAAAGCTTAGGCTGTACCTGAAACAACATGTGAGAAGGCTGAAAGACATCATTCCTTAGGCACCAATTGCACTAATTTAGATGCGCATGATATACTGGTAATAGAGTTGATCACTGGACTAGGTTCCATGGGCGGGGGCTGCGCATTCGGGCTCTCCACGGCCTTTTCCGCAGCTCAGTCAGCACGTAGACTAGGTTTCATCATGTTCGTAGCATCATCCTCATCATTTACAACTTGTCTGCCCCTTGTGACACTTTATACCACATTTGTCTAGAGTAACGCAACGGCGATGATTAATCTTGGTCGGCTATTGGAATTTCAAAAACTATACTGTTATTTTTGACTAGAGATGTTGACGCGATTTAGCAACGCTGTAAACAGATTCAAAGCTGTGAATCAGCACCGACTTTGACCACCCCCGTTGCACTTCGAGATCTTGATGTACGATTCTTCTGATGATTGATACTGACAAATTAGAGGGAACTTGTTTATTCTCACACCGAATATTCTTTGAATTGAATCAGTTCTATTCTACGTATACATACTTGCATAATCCCCACTATACCCCGCATCACAAGCAACGTGCCTGACCCGTCGGCTGTTACCCTGCCTATATACATTGCATGGCAAGACCCGCCAGTATTTGGTTCATGAAAATCAACTCACACGTGCGCACCTATGACGCTTCAAAGCGAACCTAAATAATTGCGCGATCGTGCATGCTGCAGGTGCAATTGGAAGAACCCGGAGTTATCAGAAAAGAACATGGTGCCAGCGGCTTGTGATGTGCGGGACTTGCCGAGGATATTTCCCAAAGCGCTGGTCACGTGTTTTCCAGTTTAGCTTAGTCACTACTATACTGCAGCTTGGTTCATCATTTTAGGCATGACTTTCCGGAAAATAATGGCGACTGCATCAAATCACGGATAAGTTGGGGACACCAAGATTTCTGTCGTCCGAGCCATGGCGCAGCTCAAATACCCTAGGGCTAGGGCACATAATCGGAAAGCCATCCTCGTCAAGATCAATCTATCATGTCATAGGCTTCATTGAAGATTGAGTCGGCATAGGTCTCTGCAGGTCTCTGCTCCATCGAGGAGCGGGCTTCGTCTACAGCGCAATGGATTGAGTTCTTTCACTTCCTAACGCGCAGTGCAGAATTTATCGCCTTTTGAAAGGAGCGTCCACCTTCTCCGTTTATACCTCTCGCCACTCGGTGGCACTTACCACAGCCTGAAATCACTCATTTCACTTTCAAAGCCGTGACTGGCTCCACTAGAAGCTCACCTGCGTCTAGTTCTTTGGTGCGTCAACCAATTTCTTTGTCTATTTTGTTCAGTTCTTGGTTCAGGCCCTTGTTGAAAGTCCATGCTTTTGCTTGTTGGGAGAGCCTGGCAAGACCTATCCACTGATTTGCTTCTATTGTTTTCTAAATATTCTTCGTCATGTCGTCATGTCGCCTGACTTCATAGGATCTTTGCGTGCTATCCGTGACCCATCATTTCGTCGCACTAATACCTAGTCTGAGGATTATTTTATCGGCGACCGTGAATATTGCCGTCTAATCTCTTGTGTCCTACTGCCATTTATTTAGTATCTTTCTAGTAATAAGCTTTCATTGCCTACACCTTGCTATCCTGACTAAACTCTTCCTGCTGTGATACAAGTTGGTACTAAGGTTTGGAGCACGACACTCGTGGGCTGTGCTGCACACTACCCTATGTCGGACACTGATATCTAGTCTATAATAGGCCCCCTCCCTTTACCACACCTCTGGAGTCGCAAATGCCCCGATGCGAGGGCTCTGAGGAGTCCCACACCGGTCTGCCATGCTCTGATATGTTGTGTCGTGCACTCGTGTATTGCGCACTGCCCGTCGAGCTTTCAAGTTTCACACGATGGCATCCTTCATGTTGGACTGTCTTTCGGAACCGACACTGAATCATGTTTAAATACCTAATTCTGACTCCCTATTAAATACAAGTGTTATCGAATCACCAATCCAATGACGCATTTCCACCACTGCATGAATTTTGTCCCCCAGCGCACGCGGACCCACTTTCAGATAGACCGACTCCGACATCGGCAATTTCGATCCCTTCACCACCACGTGATGAAAGTTCAGCCGTTGCTTGTTTGACCATCCATTTACTTGTTCCAATGACTGCATCCAAATTGCCTGAATCGGGGAGAAGCACAAGGAGATCGTCGCCTTCTTGCTTCACATCAAACGGTATGATGGAGAAATCTTCGTCGTTCAAACATTTACCGTCTGTAAGGCGAAAGTTTCGTTTGTGCAAAGGACCTTAGTAGGAACGAACATTTCAGAAGACTAGTAGAAGGCGGGTAAGACATGGCACTTGCATGATACGTAGAGGTTGCCATCCAGGTCGTCGCCAACAATTCCGTGATCGAGCACAAAAGCCCGCTTGTGTGGGCACATCTACAAACTTAATTTCGGAATATATTCAGAAAGGGTGCGAATTGGGCTGTACCTGTTGCGTGGCAAAGTAGCCCCGTCTGGGAATGTGAAAGATAGCCAACTGCGAGTCACCATACTTGACAGCAGCAGAACTGAAAAGGCGGAGTCTCAATATCGGGCGAAGCAATGCATGTAAGAACTCACGTGGTAGCGCCATCAGTTGGCATGAGATCGTGGACAGTGGCCAATTTTCGCCACTCCCACTCAGATTTGGGAGTAGCGATGGCCGATTCGCCAAGTTTGGCGGGAGGCAGTTTCGTCGGCCAGTCTGCTGGGCGTTCCTGCCCTCGCTCTCTGATGACTTCCGTTTGAGGGCGACGTTCATCCTATACGTAAGTCATTAGTATCATAGCATGCGCTCCCCAGTCATACGGCTTCACTAACAGTGTTGACAAACTGACGGAACTGACGTCTCCTTGCAGGATTATTGACCACAGCTTTCCATTCATCTGCATAAGATCCGACAAGCTCTTCCATTTCCCTCTCCAGATCCGCACAGATGCCGAGCTCGTCATCAAGAAGAATTGCTTTGAGTCGCTGCATAAGATGGTATCAATAAGCATAGAAAATATTACGTGATGCTCATGTGACTGACCTCAATGCCACCATCAAATTGTTCAACCCATCTCGCAGTTCTCATGAGCTTGTCCGCAGTGTGGATATAGTACATGATAAAACGATCGAGGATGCGGACAACCTTTGACGGAGGAACATCTGTAGCAAACAGTGTTGCATGTCTCGGATTTGATCCACCATTTCCGGCGATGAAAACTGATGTAGATTTTGGTTCGTAAGAGTCACAATTATATAGCGAAGAGTACGCACTGTTCCATCCTTTGTCAGTTGCGATCAAGCCGAAGTCCTTGGACTGTGCTTCGGCACACTCTCGAACGCAACCGCTCACGCCGCCCTTGAACTTGTGAGGCGAACGAATGCCCTTGTACCGCCCTTCAAGGTGAATGGCCACTGTACATCTCATTTAGTTGATAGATCTCAATATACACGGGATTACACGAACTTCCGACAGAATCACCAATTCCGTAGCGGCACCATGTGGTACCAACGCAAGACTTTACAGTCCGCAAGGCCTTTCCTGAATCATGGATGATCAACATGACAGACTTGAGTCAACTGCTAGGTTCTATCGTACCATAAGCATGTCCACTTTCAAATCCTGCAGTGACAAGTTCCTCCCAAATGTCCGGGAGATCTTGCTTATGAGCCCCAAAGAGATCGATGCGCTGTCTGGTACCGTAAATATCGAATGTTTCATATGTAACACCTGCACAATATAATGTACTCACCCTCCTGTGATCTTGGTGTACAAGTTGTCTGCCAGTATATCGTCAGTGCGTGGAAAACATGGAGCAAGGATACCCCACATTTGTTTGCGACTTGTCCGAGAACAATGAGTTTGTCCGGCGTGATCTGAAAGTAGCAAGTAAACTTCTACCCACAAACGGAAAGAAATTGTACCGACTTCTCCTCCAGCAATTCGAGGAACAACAGAAAATGTACCTGACAGCAAGATTGAAAATTATTCATGTAATTGAAAGGGAGATATAAACGCGAGCATGAAGAAACAAAGACTCACCATTCCTTTGAATGTTAGCAAGATACTTGTCATTGGTGTCTTGGTTAGCGTGGTGTACAGGTGCGACCACGAGCTCGTTATACAGTGACGACAGGATAGAACCTATGCAGGCTGAGCATTCTATGGACAAACGCCATATTATTACCTACCGATGACCGGCTTGCATATCTCGCATCCAAGTGAATCTTTCTTCACACCGGCAGCCTCCATGATCTCTGGGAATGTTTTCAACTTGCGTATCCTAGCGAACGCGATCAATTAGAGTTTCGAGACACAAAGCTATAGCCACACTTGATGATGCTGAAGAGCTCTTGTCGAGCCATACCAAAGTGGGGACAAAGGTGGTTCGACACAGCATGTCCTGCTTTCTTCATCTCGGCCTGCAAGTTGTTCGGTCACTGAGGATGTTTGTAATGAAGGGAAAATCAATATACCTTGAATATGTTTGTAGCCAAAGGCAAACATCCACCGCATCCAGTACCAATTTTTGTCTTCGCCTTGAGGTCTGGCAGAGTGGTAACACCTGCTTTCACAGATTCGACGATCGCGCCCTTCGTGACATTCTACAACATTAATCAAATTAGAATGTGTGAGCTTAGTGATACAGAGAAGAGGATACTTGCATGGCAACTACAGATTTGAGTGTCATCGTCGAGGTCAGCGCCGGTGTCCGGGCCTTTGGAGCCTGACCCGATAATGAACTTGGAAGGTGGCTCTTCTAGCACTTTCTACCTTTTATCATCAGCGGAAATACCAGGGCAATAAATAATTGTAAAGTTCACCTTCTTCTTGACTAAGGACACAAGTTTCACATAGTCGGATGTATCACCAACCATCATGCCACCCAATAGGTACTTGCCGTCGGCAGTAAAGATGTACCTACACTTCCGTGAGCGTTATATAACAAACATCTGTCTTCGCAACTCACTTCTTATAGACAAACGAGAACGGATCACGGTAAGTCAAACACTCGAGAGGACCATCCAGCGAAGCCTGTCGGCTTCCGCGCTTCATTTCCGTAGTGACAGTGTTGATTGCAACTTCGCCTTCCTTCACTCCATTGCTGCAATTGCTTCCCGAAGGACTTATTTTCCATACAGAGGGTTTCCCGTCGATGACTTTCTCAGCTTTGTCTCGAGTAAGAGGCTCTGCAACTGCCACCTTATGGGTGAGGATATCCCGTGCACTGCGCTTGTCGGCAAAGTAATCACCGAAGGAAGCAACCTAATATCGAGAAATGTAGAGCAGTGATAGGTGCGGAGTGTCATAACTCACATCGACTCCCATCAGTTTCAGCTTTGTTGAGAGGTCGGGCATATTCTGGCAAGTGTGAACAGATGGCGTAAACATATAAAAAATTGCCTACCATCACCCTTGGTTTGAAGCCACCAAGGCCAGTCTCGACTTGGGTGAAATTGAATGATAGGATGTCAGCCATCTCCACTGATGACATTATCAGTAGCAACCGATAGGTGAATGTAGGTGCTCTTACCCCCAGGTGCAATGAGACCATAAGTATTACCCTTCCAGCTCGCGCACTCGCCAATTGCATAAACGTCTTGGGCGCTGGTCTGCAATAGGTCGTTAATAACTATACCTCCCTTCTCAACACATTTCAGGCTAGCCTGGCGGGCTAAGTCATCTCGAGGAGTGATACCAATAGCATAAATGACCATCTCGGCCTTGAGATATTGATCGTCTGATAGACTGAGGCCAGTTAAGACTCCATCTGAAGTGATGATATCTTTGATAGACGTTCTGGTGAGGACTCGCACACCCATGGCTTCAATACGTCGAAGGACAATTTCTCCACCTTCATTGTCCAGCTGGCGCGACAGCGGAAAGGCCTGACGGTTGATGATCACGACTTCTGATATTGTTTCACTGTCTCGCGAATATTCAGTGAGAAAAGAGTTGGCGTTAGCGTGGACGGAAGAGTGTTACTTACAGATCAAACACCGCTTTTGCGGCCTCCAGTCCGATGAGGCCGCCTCCAACGACAACAGCCTGAGTGAATAAAGAAAATGAGTTCACCGCGCGGGCATGTCTTGAGTTATATGATACGCACTCGGCCACCTTTAACGTGTTCTTCTTCAGAATACGACAACATTTTATCGAGATCAGAGATATTTCTATAAACGAATATTCCTCGAGCTCGCTCAGCCTCGACTGGGGAAACATATGGCGGGAGAGTGCTTTCGGAGCCAGTAGCAAGAACGCAGTAGTCATAACTTATACTGCGGCCTTTGCTGGTCGTAACGGAATGCGCGTCAGTATCTAAGGAGGTAACTTGTTCTCCGGTGTAGAAAAGAAAGCGCTCCGAATCTTGTTGAGCATACCACTCCACTGTTGGAAGTAGACAGCGTGAAACAAACACAGTGAGCGAATATATATCATGAATGTACTATCAAATACGTCACCTTGGTTTAGATAGAGTTTCTCGACAGAGCGGTGTTGAAAATACTCCGTGAGTGCGACACGATTGTACGCCAAATGGGACTCTAACGAACGACAGGTCAGTTCGTATTTCATTCACTGTGAAATGATAGGTTTCTAAGATAATTTCGCTTACCTTCACCGCATGTCACCAATCGGTACCGTTTGGCTTCATCCAAGGCGAGCATCTTTTCGATAAACGCTTTACAGAAAAAGTATAAGTCACAGCCAACCCTATGCTATCTCTGGTTTCAACTTACCTATCCCCACCATCCCAAGACCGACCACGAAAATTGTCCTTTGTGCCTCCTGATTCACGGAAACACCGTGACTGTTCTGGTGTACGACTCGCTGCTCTGGGGAGTCCATCCTGGAGGTAATTCTGCAACTTGACGATACACTCTGATGATGGCGTTGGTGAGGGGCTTAGCGCCAGGACATACACGGTGAAGTCAGAAGTTCCGCTGGCTTTGATTTCAAAACAAACCCAGTGAACCAGTAATAAGTAGCCACTAGATCTCGTATGCCAGATACTGTGGCGAGCTTCATTTGCCTATAAATGTCCGAGTCTGACTACTCCGATCCCATGCCGCATCTAACTCAGATGTGATGTGATAATGATAATGAGCCTGTCAAGCCTGAGCGCTTTGAGAAAAGCCGAGTGAAAGTGACATACAAATTTGAGATAAGATCATTGACACTGTGTCACAAAATCAAAATGGTCGGAAAAACCACGACTCGGAAAAGCAGGTTGTTCGGAAAGTGCGGGATTTGGCCGGTCTGCCTAAAGTGTATGCATACAAGTCGCAGACGAGTCTGTAGGAGGTTCATTAGTGGTTCAAGTTGTGCGGAAAATGCCAACACAGATTGTCGCCTGCCGTACCGGCTGCCCGCCGCCGTTCATCCCGCCAATGGCAGTGACAATGACGGTGGCGTGAAGTGATGTGGATCAAGAAGGACCCCGGGCACATGAACTCAGCAGTAAATTTAAACCGTCCAATTTACGTAAGATGTACTTACTTTGCATCATACTGCCTTCTGCACAGATCACCTCAGTTGGCATGCCGAGCCTTTGTCCTTATCTTTTCCTACTATAACGTTCCGTTAGACCCGGATAATCACATGGCGAAATATTCAGGGTGCCTTCCTCGAGCCACGACAATATTAGATCTCCGTCACGCACCGCTAGGACAGCATCATAATTGACAACCGCATCAATGACTGTGTATTTGTTCCCATCCCGTCTTATCATTCCTGGTCTTTACCGAAGTATGTCTGTTACTTGGCACTGTTGGACCGATGTCTTAGCTTACTGCTAGCAGAGTTTGAAATAAACCTAAGAGGCTCACTCTCCATTTAAGATCTTGCAATTCGCCCTTCAACACTGTATTCAGTCGACTGCATCCATGCCTGCTCCGACACATTCTGGCATCAACAATGCTTGGTATGCCAGTCTACGCTACCCAGTGATCAATCCCACCAACCGCAAATGCTCCACGGTTCCTATTTTCTCGCTAAACAATCAGTACTCTAGAAATTTCCACCTGTACGTTTCTGTAGACTGCGTATGCGGTGTCATATCTTACTAGTGGCCATGCAGGTCGTGGCTTGGATTCTTTGTCGCTTTGTAAATGAGATTCACTATGAGATATTTCGTGCACGTTAATCGCTGAACGTGCTTCGTTTATACAGCTTGTCGTGGTTTGCGTTCTCCCCTCTCATTCCAGATGTCATCAAGACTGATTTGAAGTTGACATCTGAGCAAGTCGGTACGTAGCTTATGCGCTGTCAGTCATAATCTGAAACTTTGTTCAGGGAATTCGAATATCGTTTCGCTGTGCGCCACTCTCATTGTACGCCTTATATCAGGCCCGCTCATCGATCGTGAGTACATCCCGACACCCTATATAGCGCTTCATCTATACGATCTTGCAGGATATGGGCCTCGCAAAGTGATGGCGGGTCTCCTCATTATTGGGGCGATTCCTTCTGGTCTTGCTGGAACCGTATCAACTGCAAGTGGTCTTTACATTGTCCGTTTCTTTATTGGAATTCTTGGTGGCACATTCGTCTCTTGTCAAGCTTGGAACACTGTTTTCTTTGACAAGAACGTCGTTGGTAGAGGTGAAACTCTGTTTAAACATCCAATTCGCTGGGTATCCTAACACAGCCGAATTCACAGCGAATGCCTTAGGCGGAGGCTGGGGAAATTCGGGCGGCGGCTTCACATTCATCATCATGATCGCTCTCTTCAATCAATTACTTGCTGATGGTATGAGCCCGCACGTGGCCTGGCGAGTGGCATTTGCAATTGTTCCTGTCCCCATTCTCCTTTCCGTTGCTGCTGCCGTTCTCATTTTTGGCACCGACCACCCCGCGGGCAAATGGAGTGATCGCTATACTGCTGTTTCCACTGCGCTTCCTGCATCTGATAATGAAACGAGCATTATCAATAGCAAAAATACAAAAACAAAGTCAAGTGATGATATCGAGGGTGGAGAAGAAGACGATATCAAGGTCACTGTCACGGCTATAAGTTAGTTCTTGTCGTTCTCCTTTTGATTTTGCTTGTTCGCTTAACCGAATGTCATAGACTTGGTTTCAGAATTGGATGCTGCTGTCAACAAACCACTTTCCCTGAAAATGGCATACGAAATCATTTTAGACCCGCTGACCTGGCTGCCCTCGTTAGCTTATATGACGACTTTCGGCTACGAGCTAGCTATTGATGCCAACCTGGCTAACGTTCTGTATACCCTGCTCAAATCCCCCACTTTTGGGCAGACTAAAGCTGGCTATGTAAATCTCCTTAAGCACTCGCTACGACACATTGATGACAGATTAATTAGATTGCAGGCATCTACGGTCTCCTTAACGTGTTCTCTCGGCCGCTTGGTCAGTCATGCTCTTTGTAAGCTAAATTATCTCCTCATGTCATTGCAGGTGGATATTTCGGAGACCTCATATATGTCAAATTTGGTGTAAGTGCTATTGACATCGTGCGTGAGGCTTGTCTGAAGAGGCTCTGCAGGTGCCTGGCAAGAAGTACCTGACCATCGCTTGTGGAGTCGCTCAAGGGCTTCTATCGCTTGGTCTTGGTCTTTACATTGATAACCACTCTCATCCATCCCGTGAGTTTGGACCCTGATCTATTATTGATGGTCTGACAGCAACAACATCAGTCACGGTCATCATTGCGATCTTTGTCATTCTCGCAATCTTCAACGAGGTCGCCAATGGAGTCAATTTTTCCCTTGTTCCACATTGCAACCCCAGTCCGTGTTCAATGTACTAAATCGTCAATTTTCATAACTGATCCTGTTCTAGACTCTAATGGATTTATGGTCAGTGTCACATCGCTTTGTGTATGGTAATGGCACAAAGATTTCAAACTTCTCTAGAGCGGAATTGTAGGCGCCATGGGAAATCTTGGAGGGATACTCTTCGCAATTATCTTTCGCTTTGAGCCATCTCCTCCTGCCAAGGCATTTTGGATATGTGGCATTATCACGGTTGTAAGTAGAAGGCATGTTTATCTTGTGCAATGTATACTGAGATGACACCCCAGGGCGTAAATCTTATTCTCTGTATTATCCGTGTACCTCGTGTCTGAACAAGTGATCTTGGGTGCCTAAGTAGTTTTTTTTTTCTTTTCTTCTGACAGAACCTTTCTTTAAGGAATATGTTTTTGTCTGTTCGTATCGTCCAACCAAATGAGACTTTCATAAATTGCATCTTGGCTGACGTGGAAATGTTCTTGTTCTATATGGTAGTGAGAATAATAGGTGAGCACTTCCAAATGTCCATCTGAATCACAGGAAAGCTGCGTCGATGTAAAAGTGGGCGAGTATCGACTTCGGCCCAGTCCATGAGTGAATTGTGTCAGTCAAAAAGGCATGTATACTCAGATGTGTCTTGATTAAATTACCAGACATCCTGAGAGTTGGCGTCACGGCGCGAGTCTGGACTACGTCTTTGAAAAAGTTTTTATTGCCATTACAATTACTGGCTTATCGATAAACCGGATTTCATATCGTAATTGGGGCTTCTGCTTACTACTTGTGATGTTCGACAAACAAAAGGGTCCTGCTTGTTACAGGACGCGTGAAAAATAGCTGCTCAGAGTCCCACCTGACATGATTGTAGGAGTCAGACATGGGATCCTGCACTCGACCTACAGATCTTATACACGTTACTAATCAGTGTGGGGACTTGAATCGGTCGGATCATCATTGCGATATCACCAAGCCAGTCATTCGAAGCCGTCGTGCTAATGACCGGGGTAAAGGTTGCTAGCCCTGAGTGGAGCGTACCAGAACGCTGGACTTGCATTGCTAGGAATGATTCAGGACGGTCATGGTCTAGTGGTACATCACCGTGATGTGGTACCACAATATTGTCAATCAGTCGTGTGCTGCGAGAGGCGACAGACTGACTCGGAGACGCGCAGGGGTGTTTGTTGAGCAGTACCTGAACAAAATGAAATCCGGTTAAACTTGAGCTGTACTATATATAGATGTGCTTCTAGTTCCCTCATAGGACCCCGAGCACCGCCTGCTTAATCAATGTCGAAAAATTGGTTGCCCGCCACAGTGTGACGGAACCAAATCAGCCTGAGTGTCTGGACTAACCGGTTTGACCATGACAGCCACGGGCCACGGGATGGTTGATTCTCTTGGGTACACTTGGGGAGATAACAGCATGACCTAATATAATATCTGGCTGCTTCTACTTCGTCTCCCGAATCAACTAACAACTTACCTAGCCCATTCAAGTACTCTGTTTGTTTTAATGTCCTTGGCACGCTCCCCAGGTCCCACTGCTCATCAGAAACTCCAGGATGGTCTACCTATGCCGTTCTTTCCCGCGTCTCTGGACGCGCCCGAAAGGAATGGTCCTCAACTTCCCCAGTGCCTTCCACAGCTGCCAATCAATGCTACCCCGACGGACGTAGCGGAGCAGGTTCTGCTCTAGATTTAAGCGCCAGATCTTAATTTGACATTTACATTCACCAGGATCTCGAAACGCCAGATAAATGGATCAACCGTGTAAGAATGGTAAATCAATGATATCTGCGTGAATTTTGATGAGATTCTCCGCGCTCAGAATCCAGAACTCGTTCGACTGACAGGAAAACATCCGTTCAACTGCGAAGCGCCACTCGATGCTTTATTTGAGTCTGTATGTATCTTGTTTCCGCTGTCATGCACGGGACTGAGAGCGTCTTTGCAGGGATTCTTGACTCCAGCTCACTTGCATTTCGTGCGTAATCATGGTGCAGTGCCACAGGTCAATTACGAGATGACTGCCAACTGGACAATTCGCGTACATGGTCTGGTGGAGCGAGAGGTTACATTTACTCTGCAAGAGCTTCAAGAAAGGTTCCCCGTTGTTAGCCTTCCTGTAACCCTCGTATGCGCCGGCAACAGGCGGAAAGAACAAAATATCGTCCGCAAGTCACTTGGCTTCAGTTGGGGAGCAGCGGGAGGTGGGTTCCAGTTCGTGCTAATTCAAAGAAGTTCTCACCAACATCAATATCAAGTCTCAACAGCTCTTTGGACGGGCGTGTATTTGTCCGATGTATTGGATTATGTGAGACCACTTTGCAGACAAGCCAAATACGTTGTCTTTGAAGGTGGAGACAACCTTCCGAAACGGGCCCTATGGAACATCGCAGCGACTGTCATGGGCTTCCGATAAAGACAAGGGCATGCTCATCTGTAATTCGAATCGTTTACGGTGTTACGTTTCCTCCTGACCTTCTTCCACATTAGCATGGGCAATGAACGGTTTACCGTTGGAGCCTGACCATGGTTTTCCTGTGCGTGTCATTGTGCCGGGCCAGATTGGTGGACGGTCTGTGAAGGTAAGGTATTGTCCAATGACAAGGAGCCCATAATCAATGAGATGTCCCTTAGTGGCTGAGACGCATCGAAATAAGTGATCGTGAAAGCCAACACCACGTATGACAGTTCTTGTACAACTCAAATAAGCGTCGACTGATGATTTCGTTCACGTAGTTGCACTTTTGGGTATGTGTCGTTCACTTATCCTCGAGGGCTACATTAATGTTGCATAGGACAACAAACTGCTGCCAACGCAGGTCATGCCTGACCAAGCCCGTGCTGAGAAGCATTGGTGGTATGATCCAAGGTCAGCCTGAGCGCTCTGACGTTCCTTAAAAAGTATACTCACTAGATTGGGGATATCTCAGATATCTGATCACGTTGGTTTGATTTTGCTCTCTTATGTACCACATGTTGAACAAGAGTCTTCAGCGAGCTCAACGTCAATAGCGTCATTGCGAAACCGAGTCATAACGAGAAGCTCTATATCGATAAGACACCGAATGAAAATGGCACAATCGCATCATATCCCATCCGAGGATATGCATATTCAGGTGGAGGCCGCAGGGTGACCCGCGTCGAAGTTTCGCTTGACCAAGGGGATACATGGACATTGGGAAACATGTACGTCCACATACTTCTAAAATCGACATCTCTTTGATGTCGTGTCGAGAAGCGAGTATCCCGAGGACAAATTCAGAGAAATGCGTCACCAAGACCCATTTTATGGAACTCTTGATGCGACAGAGCGTGATACGTCCTTGTGAGCAGTGAGCATTATCGCTGCTGTGAAAAATGCTCAGATCCCGTGTAGCTGTTGGTGCTTCTGGACATTTGATGTCTCGCATGATGTTCTAGCAAGCTGTGATGCGTTAATGGTTAGAGCTATGGATGAAGGCCTCGCGTTACAACCAAGAGACATGTAAGGCAGGATCGTACCGTATGGACCCATTAACATCAACTGTCAACAGGTATTGGCACGCACTTGGCATGATGAACAACTGGTACGTCTTCATAAAACATGATATTCTGGGTCCTGCAGCGAACTGCTGGCAGGTGGTTTCGCGTTGCCGTTCATAGAACCGTCAACGACGATGGGAAATTTGTGTTGCAATTTGAGCATCCTACGCTTGCTGAGACAGGGCATACAGGATGGATGGAGGTGATACTCAATTTCTGGTTCCAGAGAACAAATGCTGATAGTGGTAAATCAGCGCATGAAAGTGGCCGGGGAGGATATTACAAAGCCCGTCTTCGGCGAAAAGGGACGGGACCTCGCACCACGTGCTCCAAAGCAAGACTCCGATGAGGTCTGTTTGACCAAGCCTGGGATAAGCAGGAAGATCACCTTGAAAGAGTTCAAGGCGCAAGATCGACAGCAACCATGGTTTGTCGTCAATGGCGAGGTTTACGATGGAACTCCATTTCTAGAGGATCATCCGGGAGGCGGTGACTCTATATTGCTTGTGGCTGGCGAAGATGCATCTGACGACTTCTTCGCCATACATTCTGCGGAAGGCAAAAAAAAATTGGCTGACGTGAGTCCTCGTGATTCGCCAGCGGAACATCGGATTATGACCTTTCTGCAGCACCATATTGGTACCCTCGTAACCAGTTTAACCAAAGAAGAGCCCATTACAACGCAGTCGGATGAAACATTTCTAGAGCGCAGCAGGTGGAAAGAGGTCAAATTGTGTACCATCAAGCAGATCAACCACGATTCTTACTTGTATCGTTTCGCCTTGCCGAAAAGAGATCAGCTGCTCGGTCTGCCAGTTGGACAGCATGTTTTCGTCCGTTTACGCCGACAAGATACTGGGGAGATGGTACAGAGAGCGTATACTCCAGTATCGCAACAAGGCACAGTAGGCTTCATCGACTTTCTCATCAAGTCCATATTCTCCATCGCATGCTTTTCGCAGCTTGACTGACTTCTTCATTAGATTGTATCTTCCTTCCGCTTTGATGCCCACTGGAGGGAAGATGACCACTGGCCTCCATCAACTACGCATCGGAGATAGCGTGGAACTCAAGGGGCCGTTAGGGTCTTTCATTTGGGATGGGCCAAGTATTGCACTGTGGAAGGGAATAAAGAGGTCCATCAAGGAAGTCGGCATGATTTGCGGCGGAAGCGGTACGACTTCGATTGCGATATCATCAGAATTGTGCGAGACTAAAGAAAATTGTGCAGGGATAACGCCGATCCTCCAAGTGCTTCGCAGTATCCTCCAGAACGCGGAAAGCGAGACCCGGGTGTGGGTGGTCAGTGCAAACAAAACTGAGCAGGATATCCTCTGTAGAGAAGAACTCGACCTACTCTTCGCATTGCATGGCAAGGGACGTTTTAAGTTGCACTACGCGCTCAGTGTTGCTCCTGAGGAGTGGCCATACAGCGTTGGGCGAATCAATGATGTATTATTGTCGGAGCACATGCCTCGGCACTCTGAGCATGGACTCATCCTGGCGTGCGGTCCTGATGCTATGATAACGCATGCCGTCAAGCCCGGACTGCAGAGTATGGGGTGGGATATAGAGAAGTCCCTGGTGGTGTTCTGAAAGGACAAAGTTGCCTGAAGAATGGATGATGATCGTGGTATGATAAACCACCTGCAAAGTGTTCGTTTATAAGGCGTTTGTGAGTTGTGAGAGCCAGCCCCAGTCATTTTCCATTGGTTTTCGCGGGGAATATAGATAGGGCAATGACGAAGTCCGTGTATAGTTGCACATAAATATGATGTAGAACTTGAAACACTAGATTGTACCGGAATTCACGGAAAGTCCACATTATGATGGTCCGCAAAGGTTGTGAACTTAAGAGAGAAGTTGTTGCAAGGTTGATCGTCATCGCGTTCATCATGTGAACTTGTGAAGTTCTGAGTTGGCCACAGTGACACTACCTATGGTTGGACCATCCAAAAAGTCACTTCCTAATTTTGTCCGTTAGTGTGTGGAAAATCATGCAACAAATCCAGACCATGAAACGATCGCGCCATCCAGAATCTCTTACGGTGATATGAGGACACGAGAACATTTCCATTACCCCAGCAGTGCCAGTGACGGCGGAAAAGGTGCAGGTAGTGGTAGTTGAGGGTGGAGGTAGTGACTACGATGTTGAAAGCACGCCCTGAGTTACTGCGCTAAGTTGCTAGTGATATGAATTTAAGGAGGCGTGATAATTTTTCTGCGCGAACAAGGGGCTGGTGATAACGGCTCGGAATATCTGAAAAGAAAATGGTACAGGCTTTCCTGCTGTGCATGGAACCTCGATAATCAACGGCTCCCGCAATTCCGGTTCATATTGTCTGCGCAGCATGCCAGAGACAAGGTCTCGACTGCAGCTGAGAGGTGTCGAGTGTCGTGCTCAAATGCTATACGACACTTGGAGCAGCAACCGGAGCGTTGGCAGGGTGCGGTGATTATGATGCGACCCATAGGATGGGGATCAAACGAGTAAGTCATACTCATGTCACTAATAGTAACGAACAGTCACACTAGCCGAATTTCAGACTCCAAACCAGTCGGCGGGTCAGGCTCCCCCGATTCGAGTGTGGAGGGGCGAAATCTGAGGGCACTGGTTTGATGTTTTGATAAGTCACATGATACAAGAAAAATTCAAACCCAGCATAACCTTATTCCCCTCACTCTCACTGGGGGCTGGAAGATAACATTAGTAAACAGAGGTCAGCCACAGTGACGGTGACTGCAAACACCATGCTACTTTACACCTAGCGTAGGGTTACAGTTTTTCGAAATCATATACTCCATTTTCTGCCTCAGTTAATGTTACACCCACTTCCATATGGGAGATGACAGCTCCTAATGTCCATGAGACTCCGCCAATATCTGAAATCCGTCTCCGGACACAGCAAAAATTCGGCATTCGGCCTTGTCTATGGCAACTTAAAGTGGCACAGGCGCTTCTCAAAGGCAACCAGGATGTATTATGCATTGCAGGGACTGGGATGGGTAAGACACTGGGCTTCTGGATTCCATTACTGTTCCGCATCAATAGTATTCAGCTCATTGTCACCCCACTCAACTTACTTGGTAAACAAAATGCCACATCTCTTGCGAAGGCTGGAATCCGCGCCATAGCAATAAATGCAGAAACTGCCAGTGCTGCAAATTTTTCGGTCAGTGTTACTTTGATATCAACAGCAAACTTAACACCCACATGGCAGCAGGCAATCAAAGCCTTGAAGTACTGCGCCATTGCAGTCAGTTACTGATCGTGACAATTGCTGTGTGCTGCTTGGTTTGTTTGTTGCCGTCTGGGGTAGTGCCTGACGAGAGCCCATTGATCAAACCCTCAAGATCTATGTCATCTAAATCATCCCAATAGCTGCCATATTCATCAAGTGCTTCATCCATGATGATATCTGCATCTGCATCCTTTGCCTTGCATGAACTATCAGCTCCGAGCAGAAACCCAAGTAAATCCCACAGTGCGGGTGCACAAGACTGCATTTCTCTGCCCATCTCCTCGATATCAAAGTCCTCTACCTGTTGTGTGGTTGCATATGACAGTCCAAAGTGCCAGCCTGCTTCTTCTGATGAGATTGATTTAATTTCTTCGATGTATTGTTTTCTCATGGCTTGGTTCGTGCGTTGCAAAGTTTCAGCTCCACAAGAAGGATGGTCAATGAAAGCATCAAAGATTTCATCACAACGGACAAGAAGGTCTTTGACAACATGATGTCCGTTATATTGTTGGCTTCGCAGAATTGATATAATGAATTGTGAGGCACTTAGGTTGCAATCGTGTAGCGCTGCAATCACTGTGTCCATATCAGAGTGGGTGTAACATTAACCGAGGCAGAAAACAGTATGTATCATTTCAAAATACTGTAACCCTACGCTAGGTGTAAAGTAGTATGGTGTTTGCAGTCACCATCACTGTGGCTGACCTCTGTTTACTAATGTTATCTTCCAGCCCCCGGTGAGAGTGTGAGGGGAATAAGGTTATGCTGGGTTTGAATTTTTCTTGTATCATGTGACTTATCAAACCCTCAGTCAGATATTGCCCCTCCACACTTGAATCGGGGGCTGGGAAGGAGCCTGTCAGTGGGTGTGTAAGAGTCTCATACTGTAACTTAGTGCCACAAACCAAACATGTACAACATTATTTCAAACAGCGCAACTTTGGACTCTACACACCCAGCTGACTGACAAAACTTGTAGTGGTGCGAGGTTTGTTAGTATTTGTCCCACCAAAAAGCCTTCTGAACATGCTGACACATACTATTGGTTACCACACCTTCAGTCAAGTTGCCGCTGGTTCGGACAGTCACACAATGTCACATCTGCCAAAACAAGCTCCGCTCAGCATCCAGTATCAGCGCATAGGCCTCATAACAATCATTACTCCAAGTTGAATAATTCAAAACATTTTATTGAATGTGCATGTGCATTACTATGAACTGGTAAAATTTTATGAGGGGCTGTAGGAACTATGTAGATGACTGGGACAGTGTGATACAAAATAAGGTGCTGCAAAAGAGTGAGTAAATGGTGCTGCTGATGTGTAAGATCCACAGGACATGATATTAGCTGACAAGTGTGATGATATTGTAAACTTGAAGGAGGAGTATACAACACGTGTTTTGAGTCCTGCAGATGGCAGTGGGACTGGGAGCAATGAGCCAAAGCCAAAGTGTGGTGCAGGGTACAACACTGTATGACTACTAGTAGTAGTATTGATATTAGGCATGGAGTCCTTGCTGAGTGGGACACATCTTGAATATTAATGTGTGCAACACTTGTGCAATGCTTTGCACAATGCAGAAAATCCAGCACCGGGTGCACCAATAGTGATCTGAAACTCCGCTATGGCAGACTCGGCTTGGTGACAAGCAGACGTGATCTTCAGCTCTGTCACACCTGAACAAGGATCTCAATCATTTCTCAACCAATTTCAATTATTCTACTTCTCAGTAGTGTATTATAAGTGTATAATGATATGTGGTCAAACAGAATATGATGTGAAGCAAAGTTGAGTGAGATATTGCAAAGTGTCTGAACCAGCGGTTGACTGAAGCCGATAGTATGTGTCAGTGCGTTCGGAAGGCTTTTTCGGTGGGACAAATACTAACAAACCTCGCGCCACTACAAGTTTTGCCAGTCAGCTAGGTGTGTAGAGTCCAAAGTTGTGCTGTTTGAAATAATGTTGTACATGTTTGGTTTGTGACACTAAGTTACAGTATGAGACTCTTACACACCTGCCGACTGGTTTGGAGTCTGGCTGAATTTATGTAACACTCCATTTGGCAGACTCTGAATTTTGGACAGTAGGACAGGCTGTACCATGTGCAAATTCTTAACAAAAGTATGGAATGCCCTGCCCTTCAGCCTCGCAGCCTTCTCATGTTGGCCACTTTAAGTCTAGGTTATCGTGCCATTACCATTACTGTAGTGTTTTGACATTAGGTTCATCACAATGTCACTAGCCTGACGAACTGAACCTATTTTTTGTGACAGCTACACAAAAAATGGGTGGACGAACCTAAGTTTGTGACATTATGTTCGTATGCAATTTTTGTAGAAAATATGACCTATAACCTATACTAATGCTGCTCGTATGGACACCTCTGCTTTCCTCTCCCGAAGACCTCAGGTTCCCCAGTGACAACAACTTCTTCGAACATGTCAGCAGCTGTATCAATGTGAAGTGACCCATTTGCATCAGTGATGTACCCGTCAGGTACACAATCCTTGCCTGATGCGATGAACTCCAGCAGGAGTGACAATGGGACTTCATCACCAGGCTGTTCATCAACATCGGCAACATGGTCTTCATCCAAATTGGTGTCAGCATCACCTTCTGCACCATTGTCAGCTTGTTTTTGGTGAGGCTGAATACTCTGCCACATCTCTGGATCTGTTTGGGGAAGGTCATAAAGCACCCGGCATGCTTCAACACTTGCAAGGCTCTCGAAAGAGAGGTTGAATGGAGTATTACCAGCCTTGCAGAGCGAGAAAGCCTGCCCTCCACATCAGTGCTTGATAATATTGATCAGTGAGAATAGAACACACTTTTTGCACAATGTCAGGTTTGTTGATGAGCTTGTATGCCTCGACAACTAGGGATTAGCATGGGTATATGAAACCCACATGGGTTGTGGGTGTGGGTATGTTGTGGGTGTGGGTTTAGTAAGCAGATATATATTTTACCAACTCCAAAGCTCCAAAGACATACAAATAGTATTGCAAGCTCTAACTCTAAACTCTAAATCACGAACACATCCTACTGTCATGCAGCCAAACCCCTTCCATTCTGCCACTAAACGGATTACCAAACTAACTGGGAAAGCCAAGGCTGCACTTGACGAGAAGCTCAAGGCCAAATCAAAAAAGAGAAAGAATGATGACAGTGCCAGTGTGGACAGCACACGGCCAAAGAAGGTAAAAGCAACCTACTTGTTTTGAATGATTTCTAACATTGATCACAGCTACTTCAGTAGATGTTGAACGGCTCTTCAGCCATGGCCACCTCATCCTGTTGCATGTCCATTCTCGCTTAAATGTGCAGTCCACTCATGCCCTCTTGTGCTTGAGTTACTGGAGCCAGCTGGGTCTGGTGAAGAACGAAGACATTTTAGCTGTTAGCAACCTCGCGGATGTTGTAGGTGACGAGGAGCTAGAACTTGAGGAAGGATGGGACCAAATACAGTTAGGGTAGCTACAATCGCTGTTTTCATAGTACTAATTCAATGACACCCCCAGGCATACCCTCCATGGGTACGGGTATGGGTGTCTATCTTCAGTACCCACGTGAAAACCCACACCCCTGGTATGGGTGTGGGTATATTGGTGGGTGTGGGTGCGGGTGTCAATGCATATACCCCGGGGTATACCCATGCTAATCCCTATCGACAACCCAGCACACAGACCAATCACAGAGTGTTCCTTTTGTGACATCAAGTCAAATTTCATCAGCAGTCCTATCAGCTGTCAGTTGAGTCAAGGTTTCCGCAACAATGTCTTCATGTTGTAATTCTTTGATAGCAAGCTTGAGGGGGCGTTGGATGTCAACATCGCAAGGCTGTGTAACACCAGTTGTGCCTGCAGGGACAGACCAGTAACAGATCAATTTATAGTTGATGTCGAGCCATGTTCGGAATGCAACAGAGCAATGAACTGACCAACAATCGAGCTAAAGAATGCATGGCTGTTTGAGTGGAACCCCTTGCTGCTGTTTCTTCTTGATCCAGAATGGTACAAGAATCCCAGTGACATATGTACACATGGTCTCAAAGGTGGCCCAGTATGTGTCTGTGTTTGAGAACATGAACTGAAATTTTAACTCGAGTGCTTCATTGTAACATGGTGCATTGGGGGATGGTAGCGAACATTTCGATTTTTTGTCATGAACAATATGAAATGGAAGGAGATTGCCAGCTGCAGATATCCTAACAAGAAGCATAAAAGCACATTTTTCCTCCTGGCCAACTAAGGTAGACCTCAAACAGTTCCATCAAATGTCATGTGATTGTGACCGACTGTGACAGTTGAAGGATAAGCTAGGATAAGGTCAATGCCAAGTTGCTGAAAGAGCTATGCTAACGAGCACAATTATGTGCGACTAGTACAGGTAGGAATATAGTGGAAATGTGATTAAGTAGTAGGAATTGAATAGATAAAGTTATGTGCAATGACCAGTTGAGAAGTGTAATTGTGCAGCTCACACTTTCATTATCTTTGACATGGTGAACTTTTGTTGCTTCTTTGCTCAAGCTTTCTCTAAATTGCCACTCCATGTTTTTTGAAGGCGCTTGAGCTGCGATGGATTCTTGAAGGCCATAGAACCTTAGCGCACTGTCAGTAGTAGACTTATTAGGTTGTCAGCAGACTGTTTGTCATGTTTTGCTGCTTCGGCTGTAAGCCAGTTAACACCCAAAATACCAGAACATCATCATCTGAGCTCATACAATCAAACAGGAAAAGCGAAAAATTCTAATTCTTAATTTCAAGATTTTTTGTGTAGCCATTAAGCCTCTTGCTTAGTTGTTGATTAATGGCCAAATTACATGCAATTGTCACGCTTTGTCACATGACATAGGATGGAACTGCTTGAGGTCTACCTTATAGCCACTTGTTTCGAGCCAATGTGCTCATATGTACAGCCCTTTGTGGGCTGGTAAATGACATTAGTCTGGTCAATATTGACTAGAAACTCCGGATATGGGATGACATCGTTGCGGATTGTCAGAGAGAGTCAAAGAAACTGCTGTCGGCAGACATCATTAACATTTGGGGGTAACTTTTGTGCTACGCGTGTTCCATGGCGGATGGTATACTGCAGGTAATCATACAGGAATGCCTTTACCCATGAGTCAGAGCATTTGAACATGGAGCCATCTTTTGCTGCTGTCGAGAAAATGTTAGGCAACTCATGATGGAGAATACCAACAATGATACCCCAACAACGAGCAGTGCTGAGTGCAACACTGACCTGACGAAGAGTTTGTATTTGGTGCACAATTTTCTTGATGACATTGGGATAGGGTGTGAGGATATTCGTTTGTGTGATGGTACTTGATGCCAGATTGCCCCGCTTCGCATGTTCCACAACAGCATCTTTCCATCTAGGACATGACCCATTGCAGTCAATCCAACGACCAAGTACTTGGGGTGTAAGAGCTTGACAGCATGGATCGAGTTGTCGCAGATGATAACAAATGGTATGGGGAACCATTGATGGGCCAGCACTGAGACTCACTGCTCTGAGAATTGTTGGCCAAAAGATGGGGCTCTGCCAGTTAACACATTGGGCATCAACAGGATCATGCACTCGTTTCCGACCACTGTTTGACAGCTTCTTTGTTCAAAGGTCCTCTTTGATAGAACAATGGGGCCATGTGAGCTCTGCAAGAGACAGACTCGGTTGGAGCAATAATGTATCAGTAGCATTGCCGACAGGCTTTGCTGACTGCTTTAACTGCCAGCATGGTCAACATCCATATTTTATCAGTGACATTAGCATCAGACGTACCTCTTTTGTACAAGCATGATGTGCACACTGGCAGTCTCTGTCATAGAGCCTTTTCTCTGCTCCACTTTGTTGAGTGCTGCTGAGAAATTGTTGTCATGCTGTTTGTCTTGACACACAAGGTCACACTGATGGATATCTGCAAGATAATCCTTGCATGAAACAATTTTGAAGTGCTTTAGGAGCCCTGTTTTGGGCTCTGACGATGAAATGCGATAGTTGAGTGTAATTTTTGGATGTGATGTGATGACCCAGGGTTGCAGGATATCCACATTGATAGGGGATTGCACTGGAGGCACAATAGGTGCCGTGGATGGTGAGTGAGACTGAAACAATACGAGAGATGAAGTAGGTGATGATGGAGAATAATCTGAAGCAGCTTTTGATTTGTCTTCAGAAAAGTGAGCATGGAGCAGGAAGATAAGCTCCTGAATGCGAAGCAGGTCTCTTTTCTCATTTGTGAATAGAGGAGTACCATAGAGTTTGTGGTGTATAGTGTTAATCATGGCAATTGCACAGGAGTATACATCCTGTTAAAGACCATGGGGAAGTATTGCACCTTTCGAAAAAGTTCTAAAGCCATGCTCGTGTAGCCATTGCTGAATGCGATCAACATCTGTATTTGGCCATGGCCAGTCCAAAGAATCACCATAGCATATCTCTCCCGCCTTCGCATCCACCAAAAAGACTGTCCAGTGTGCACCATTGATATTAATGGGAAATATAATGTATTCAAGCTCTCCATTACTTAACGAGTCACCAAGTTGACATAGCCTTGTGAAGCCCCTGTCAAACATGTACTGAGACCACTGCTTCGGCTCATAGTGCAGGGTTGAAGTGAATGTCAGCTCCTCAACAACAGTTGATTTGAGGAGCTGCAAATCAAGCTGAATTTGGCGGGAAATCCCGTTAACCATGGCATCAACAAAGCGACCCTTCATTGGCATTGAGGCAAGAAAGTCAGCAAGATCTGATGTTTGAAGAAATGCCGCAGGACCATGCAGGTCCATATTCCAACCCAGAGTCTGCAAAGCACAGGATGTCTTGTTGACAGCAAGCAAAAGTTCTTTGTCCCCACTATCATGGCCATGCTGTGCCAACCAATGACATGCCATTGACTATTTTTCCTGGGAGGCAACAGCATGGCCTAAGTTGTGCCAATAGGTAAGTACCCAGCATGGCAAATTGCCTGAAAAACAAGGGTCACAAACAGACTTTGCTCCGTCAAGCAAAGCCTGGTTGAACTCGTCCAAGAGTTGAGATGACAGGGCAAGTGGTGGGATGGAGTGCTCAAGGAAGTCACTAGCAACATCACAAGTGGTGCATTCGATTGAAGAAAAAAACCGATGAACATCAAGTCCCACAAGTGCTGGATCAAAACCAGGAAGTACTGTAAAGTTGACCAGGGCTGATATTGAGAGATCGGGAAGAGGGATAAAAGATGCAAAGTAAGGGGGTGGTGTCAACAGGTGATGGTGATCCTGCAAGACAGGCAGGAATCTGAGAACTAGATCACTATGAGGAAACATGATGAGTAACAGTGAAAAACCAAATTGCAGGAAACATACCTGGCAGTAATGTTTATATTATTCAAAGCGGCCTAGGCAGATCTGAAGTCACAACAGAAGTGCAACTCCTAGAGCACTAAGCGAGGACATTGATGGCAAGCATTGACGACTCACAGAAGTGCAAATCCTAGAGTACTAAGCGAGGACATTGATGACCGAACTTGCAACTTGGAGGTCCTTGATGCATAACTTTGGAGCCTTGGATGAACCTAAATTAGGTTTGTCGCACATTGCAAAGGTCGATGAACATGTCATGAAGCCGTTACATAATGCAGTGCATATATTCCCATGAACCTAAGGTCAAAACGCTACAGTACACTGCTGTACAAATCTGATGCACATCGTAAATGAGGCTATGGGAGGCCTGAGATTCTGCAAGTTGCCTGTATCCTGTTGACTCACCAGCGATGCATAGGGTGGATGCCATGTGCATGCTGCTGTAGAAAGCTGATTCCTGCTGGGCTCAGCAGAAATCGTACTACCTAGACAACAAATATTTAGGTAGATCTTAGCATGACCTAGTCTGCTATACTTGCAGTGCAAGTGTGTTCAATCCTAAAGGGATTGCTAATTGGTATTAGTAGTAAAAATGTGTCAGTAATGCAAATAACAAAATGTCTGATGGTGCGAAACGATGTCTGAAGGTACTTATCCAATGTCCGAAGCCAAAGTGCGATGTCTGAGATTTCGGACTTTCTGACTTCACAATAATGAGTCGGAAACTTTATAACGAGTGTCAGGTTGCGAGCGGTATGCGCGAGTATAATGAGTGACGGAGTATGACAGTGAACGAATGGTAATATTTTGCAATGCAACTAAGAACTACGAGAATATTCTGGGTGATCCGCAGAGTCAGGAAACAGCTCCTAACTACTGGATGATCATTGCTACGGGTCACTACAGAGTATTTAAGTAAGTACGTAGAAATTCGGAAAACTACAGGTGAAGATAGTAGCGATATATTTCAGGTCCAATGTCCTATGTAATAAGACATGAGGTGCTGCAGACATGTAATAATGCGGTACAAATGTCAGAAAATGTGCACGGGAATAACTACGCACCTAGTGAGGCTAGTTCGGATGGACAGGACATGGGATGGACAGGACATGGGATGGACAAGTGCACGCAAAGTGCGATCGGCCGATGCAATGTCTGAAGGTCCGATGTGCCGGATCCAATACGGGGTGGCTCAGACATGTGCGAAAGTGTGTCAGACATGTGCGCATATGTTTCAGGTGTTGATGTGAGTATGGAAATACGTGGTTTTGAGCCCAATGCCGCAACCATTGCTACACTGCCTCCATGACCGCCTCCACGACACCATTAATGCTCTTTGTGATGAGGCTAAGAGGGCTCGCATACTCCAGAAGCCTGATGAGCCTCCCATATGAGCACCTCAGCTTCACATGCTGGTTCATTATAAAAAACACCACCCTCACTTGTTTCAGCAGAAACTTCATGTTAATCCCAAGATCTTTGATGATGTCCTTGATTTTATCTCTGATCATCCCATCTTCCAAAACCAGTCCAACAATCCCCAGCTCTCTGTCTCCATTCAATTGGCTATTATTTTGAATCGAGCAGGCCACTACAGAAATGCCATTACTCTTGAAGATGTTGCTCAATGGGCAGGTGTGAGTGTTGGATCCATAGTTAATTGCACTAATTGTGTAATGATTGTGGTGCTTGATGCTCATAATCAGTTTATCTGCTTCCCAGCAGATAATTCTGAGGATGCTGATCTGGCTCGCAAATTTGCTGAGTCATGTACCTTTCTCGCAATCAATGGCTCAACTATGAATTTTTTCACCAGACCTGGTTACTTTGGTGAGACATTTTATGATAGGAAATCTAAATATTCCCTTGGCTGCCAGGTATTTTTTTAAAAAAATCTTCATGTGCAAAAATTAAATTAATTCTAGGCAGTCATTTTACCACATAATCTTCTCATTGTTGATTATGCTCTGGGTCATCCCGGGAGTGTCCACAATGCATTTGCTTTTCAATCCACTTGTCTTTATGAAGAGCATGCTGGCCTTCTCCCTGGTGGCCATTGGGTTTGGGCAGACAGTGCATACCCACTGGAGCCATGGTGTATTGCTCCTTTTAAGAAGCCTTGCAATGGGAGGTTGACAAAGGATCAGAAGTCCTTTAATTATCATTTCTCTAAGGTATTTTTTTGGAGGTTTATATTTCAGTGAATCGAATTTTTTTAGATCTGTGTTCATGTTAAACACACATTTGCTGTTTTGAAGGGACAGTTCCAGTCCCTTCAAGAGCTCCGGTTCAGAATTCAGGCTGAGAAAGACCTTGAGTTCGCTGTGCAGTAGATCAAGTGCCGCATCATCCTCCACAACATGATTATTTGCTTTGAAATTGAGTGTCGCAAGAGGGATGGGACATATGAGAGCTCTCTAAAGTGAGCTCATGAAGAAGGGGAAGATTGCATTGATCAAGAGGTTGAGTATCCAGATGATGAAGAAGTTGTTGGTGACAGGACTTATGAGGGCACTCCAGGACAAGCTGCTCAAGCAAGGCTGATGGATGCACTTTTTGACAGTCCTCACTCAAATGCTCAATATAAGGAAGGATGACAACAATAGTACTTGCATAGATATGTACTACTACAAATACACTTGTACAGCAAAAGAAAACAAACATAACAATGACAGTAACAACAACAAAGGCAAGCATAAAGCATAGTGACAACATCAGCAAGTAAGAGACCATGAGCAACAACAAAGGCAAATCACAATGAGCAGCAACAACCAGAGACAATGAGATAATGATGACAAATACAATGAGATGGCTCACCCAACTCCTCCATCTGATGCCACCTTGCTGGCCTGCACCATTTGGTGGAATTGAATTTTGAGTCGCAAAGTCTCCGCTTCCTTGTCAAGGACCTCCAAATGTGCTTGGTGGATGTGAATGTCCATCTTACGAAGGCGAATCTCAGTGGCTTTATCCTCTTGCATGCACTGATGGGTGACAGCGGCTTGGGAGGTTTCGTACTCGTGGGTGGAATGGAGCCATTTGTATTTTTTAGTGTCCTGATTATGCTCACTTTTGACCTTGAGTTTTGCGAGGAAGTGGAGGTGTTTGCTGTCATGGCGCAACATTGTGTCCAAGTGCATGCTCTCAATCTCATCCCTGACCTGGTCCACCTACTATGACACATCTGATGTTGCCTTCTTCTTTGAGCTGCCAGCACTATGCGGAATGGAGGTCTCAGGTGTCAGGGACATATGGAAGTCTGACACCAAGGTAGTGTTGCGCATTTTCAACAATGGTGTTGATGCACTGCACAATATTTCCAATGGCAGCCTGCAGTGGCCCTCACGGCTCAAGGCCTTCTGCACCCTGAATGCCAAACAGCTATGGTAGGCTGACACCAATTTTTTCAACAGCATATCAAATGGTTCTGGGAGGTTGGGAGGAGGAGATGGCATTGAGGGGAGCTGATGCTTCTTCCCCACAACTGGGGAAGTGTTGTCAAGCATGATTGCATCATCATCGAGCATCATGCCATTGTCCTTGGAAAGATCCCAATTGTTGGCATCATTGTCATCTGACGGAAGGCCAGGAAGATGGATATTGGGGGACATAGCGCAGGAGGAGGGATAGGATGAAGCAGGAGGGGATTGGTGCAGCGCAGGTGGCGGATACTGGCTGCTGGCAAATACATGCATGTTAGGAGGTATGGGGGAATGTGATTGCTGAGCACTGGGGGGATGCAAGTACTGCTGAGTGTTGGGGGGATGTGACAACTGCTGAGTAGTGCCAAAGTGAGTGGAGGGACCAGCCCCACCATGTGGCTAAACAAGGGTATATAGGGCACCAGCATGATCAACGCCAGGTTTTGAGGAGTGGGTGGTTGCGGCCATGGATAGATTGGAGTGCCAAATGGTATCTAGATCTTTGTACCACGGCAGCTCCAAAATTGCCACATCTATAGCAATAAATCAGCTGATAACAAAAGAATTGAGACTGAGGACTCACCCATTAAGTTTTTTGCCTGACTCCCTTCAGCTGGCATCACGCCAGCACCTGTGCTGCCAAACATCACTTTCACCTTCTTGTATTTATTCCTGAAACTGCGTGAATTTTAGTATTTCTATTGATGGAACAAAAAAATGAAAGGACGTACATGTTAATGCAACTGCCAATAGCATCACAGAATTTTTTAGGATTAGACAAGTATGTGGCACCATACTTGGGGTGATCTGTGAAGATGATCTTGGTGAGACCACCATAAATTTTCCCCTTGTCTGAGCCCAGGGGACTATCAGCACCAGTAGCAGCCATGGGCTTTTTGCTGTCTGAATAAAACAAGATCTTGCAATTAGTAGGGCGAGTACTTAGATAGTTCACTAGCACATCAGTAAGTTCATGATCATTGTGCCACTGGACAGCAAACTGGGGTCCAGTTGATTCCTTGGCTGTTTTTGAGTGAGGCCATTGGTCGTCCATTTTTCTCAAACAAATGAGAGTGTTTGCTCTAAGGCATGCAGAATGACAAGCAGGAGGCATGAAGATTTCAAGCTCCGCCTTACCATGCCAGTCTGACCTTCATCGGCTGAGCTTCATCAGGAAAACCCTCCTGAGGAAAAAAATGTTATAATTTTCACAAAAAGTTGTGATTCAGATAATTCTATCTAATTACAAGAATTAGGAATAAAATCGCTAGAAGACGATAATGTACAATGTGAATATCACAAAATATTGAGAATTACTTGAATATACAAAAAGTGTATCTATTATTGAGCACAGTGTTTGGAGCCAACAAGAGGTTGAGGACAAGCTGAGTGCAGAGAAAAAACCAAACCTTCTGAGCATGAAAAGGTTAGTCTCGAGTTGTGGGAAGAGGGAAAAGAAAACTGCAAAAGGCACAAGGCAAGAAGAATCTGAGGATCTTTTCGAAGATTGCGCACCTATATGTTGATGCGCACGGACTGAAATAAAGCAGCTTGTGCTTGGAGAGTATTTTGGATCGACAGAGACAAACCCTCGGAGTGTGTCGAGTCCAAAAAGTACGTAGACCGGAGGGTCCGAAAGGAAACACTGATACAGACCAAAAACACGCTAGAAGTAGTAGAAAGGGAGGTGCGTGCATGCGAAAAAACGAGAGAGCAACGGGCAAAGAAGATGGGCGCAGAGAAGAAGAGAGTGCAGGTGCCGATTCTCAGGTCAGGTCCTTTTGACTGGGGCAAACTTGGACATGTGCTTCAGTAGGATAGAGGCACACCGGTGCAGGTGAATCTTCATATGACCGCTTACAAAGGCCCTATTTTGAGCGTCAACATGTCAATGCTTGCAATTCGCTCAAAACGGCCATCCATGTAGTAGGACAGTTTGACGGACTTGGTGATATCTGATGTCAACAAGGACAACATGTGTAAACAAATAAACAAAGAGCACTTGTTGAATATTTGTGCTTATTTACTCTCACACTTGTTTATCACATGGTTCCAATTTTTTTTTCACTCACATTCTTCCACCACCACCACATCATGTGAGTGTGTCAATCCTCCTTTGAGCTTGAGCCATGCTGATCAAAGGTGTTGCCCACCATTCGCAGGAAGTGAGTGTGTCGATCCTCAATCGAGCTCAAGCCATGCTGATCCAAGTCGTCGCCCGCCATCCACAGCATGTGAGTGTGTTGATCCTCATTCAACCCCTAGCCATGCTGATCCAAGTCGTCGCCCACCGTTCACAGGCTGTGAGTGTGTCGATCCTGTTCCTTGAGGACTTGAAGAAGGTTGCACCTAAGAAGTTTCACTCCATGATGGCAGACATCTATGAATCTGTAGAGTAAGTTTCACTGGTGTGCATGGTGCTACTTTGACTTGGGTATTGACACTACTGGCAGGGCCTTGAAACAAAAGGGTGGCGATAATCAGGCTGATGAGCATCGAAAGGTGTTGGTGCTACTGGACCTTGATGGCATGGGTGAGGATTAACTTCTAGTATGGCGCTGATCTGTAAATAGTGCAGATTTGTTGATCACTCCTTTTCATATACCCTGGTCTCTGGCAGCTTGGTCCACATGTTTCTAGTTACTTTGTATACGTCTTTTAATCAAATGCTATTTTTTTTCTTGTAACACCATCTGAAATGCATGATTTGCACATCGTTATCACACATATTCTTTCTGAAATTCACAATGATTGCTTGTGATATCAACTAATTATTGACAATTATACATTATTCTCAAGGGGGTAAAAAAGTACTTCTATGCGCCATAATCTTCCTAAGGCTGATAATTTCTGATAATAATCAGAAATTATTGATCGTTAGTGTGATTTAACATAATTTGTCTCGGGAGGCTTTTCCTGATGTTTCTGAAATGCTTGTTGCCGAGAGTTGAAAGTGTGTTAAGCGAGTTAGGCGAGTTTTCAAAACCTATTTTGAGTACCACTATTAATTTCAATATCTCGAATATTCTCAACAAAATTTTAGTTTTCGGATTGGCTACGGGTCATGTGACGGCTCCAAAGCGTGCATTCAAACCCAGATTTACCAGTCCGTCTATCGACGGCTTGCATTAGACGGGCTGGTCACCAGTCTACAGTCTCATGTGGTTGGATGATATGAACAGACAGAAACACATTTCTCAAAGAAAGGTTCTGTCAGAAGAAAAGAAAAGAAAATCTATTAGGCACCAAAGATCACTTTGTTCAAACACGAGGTACACGGATGATACAGAGAATAATATTTATGCCCTGGGGTGTCATCTCAGTACACATTGCACAAGATAAGCATGTCTTTTACTTACAACCGTGATGATGCCAGAAATCCAAAATGCCTTGCCAGGAGGAGATGGCTCAAAGCGAAAGATAATTGCGAAGAGTATCCCTCCAAGATTTCCCATGGCGCCTACAATTCCGCTCTAGAGAAGTTCAAATCTTTGTGCCATTACCATACACCAAGCGATGTAACACTGACCATGAATCCATTGGAGTCTAGAACAGGATCAGTTATGAAAATTGTGAATTTAGTATATTGAACACGGACTGGGGTTGCAATGTGGAACAAGGGAAAAGTTGACTCCATTGGCGACCTCGTTGAAGATTGCGAGAATGACAAAAATCACAACAATGACCGTGACTGATGTTGTTGCTGTCAGACGATCAGTAATAGATTATGGTCCGAACTCACGGGATGGATGAGAGTGGTTATCAATGTAAAGACCAAGACCAAGCGATAGAAGCCCTTGAGCGACTCCACAAGCGATGGTCAGGTACTTCTTGCCAGGCACCTGCAGAGCTTCTTCAAACAAGCCTTATGCACGATGTCAATGGCACTTACACCAAATTTGACATATATGAGGTCTCCGAAATATCCGCCTATAATTAGATGAGGAGATAGCTTAGCTTGCGAAGAAAGTGACTGACCAAGCGGCCGGGAGACCACGTTAAGGAGACCGTAGATGCCTGCGATCTAATTAAGCTTTCATCAATAGTTGGTAGTGAGTATTTAAGAAGATTTACATAGCCAGCTTTGGTCTGCCCAAAAGTGGGAGATGTGAGCAGGGTATACAGAACGTTAGCCAGGTTGGCATCAATAGCTAGCTCGTAGCCGAAAGTTGCCATATAAGCTAACGAGGGCAGCCAGGTCAGCGGGTTTAAGATGATTTCGTACGCCATGTTCAGGGAAAGTGGTTTGTTGACAGCAGCGTCCAATTCTGAAGCCGAGTCTATAATATGCGGTTAAATGAACGAGCAAAATCAAAAAGGAGAATGACAAGCACTGACTTATAGCCGTGACAGTGACCTTGATGTCATTTTCTTCAGCCTCGATATCATCACTAGACTTTGTTTCTGAATCTTTGCTATTGATGATGCCCGTTTCATTGTCTGATGCAGGAAGTGCAGTGGCAACAGCAGTATATCGATCACTCCATTTGCCCGCGGGGTGGTCGGTGCCAAAAATTAGAACGGCAGCAGCAACAGAAAGGAGAATGGGGACAGGAACAATTGCAAATGCCACCCGCCAGGCCACGTGCGGGTTCATACCGTCAGCAAGCAATTGATTGAAGAGAGCGATCATGATGATGAATGTGAAGCCGCCGCCCGAATTTCCCCAGCCTCCGCCTAAGGCATTCGCTGTGAATTCGGCTGTGTTAGGATACTCAGCAAATTGGATGTTTAAACACAGTTTTACCTCTGCCAACGACGTTCTTGTCAAAGAAAACAGTGATCCATGCTTGACAAGAGACAAATGTGCCGCCGAGAATTCCAATGAAGAAACGGACAATGTAAAGACCACTTGCAGTTGATACGGTTCCAGCAAGACCAGAAGGAATCGCCCCAATAATGAGGAGACCCGCCATCACTTTGCGAGGCCCATATCCTGCAAGATCATATAGATGAAGTGCTACATAGGTGTTGATATGTACTCACGATCGACGAGCGGGCCTGATATAAGGCGTACAATGAGAGTGGCGCACAGCGAAACAATATTTGAATTCCCTGAACAAAGTTTCAGATTATAACTGACACCGCATAAGCTACGTACCGACTTGCTCAGATGTCAACTTCAAATCAGTCTTGATGACATCTGGAATGAGAGGGGAGAACGCAAACCACGACAAACTGTATAAACAAAACACGTTCAGCGCACGAAACATCTCATAGTAAATCTCATTCACAAAGCGACAAAGAATCCAAGCCACGACCTGCATGGCCACTAGTAAGATATGACACCGCATACGCAGTCTGGAGAAACGTACAGGTGGAAATTTTTAGAGTACTGATTGTTCAGCGAGAAAATAGGGACCGTGGAGCATTTGCGGTTGGTGGGATTGATCACTGGGTAGCGTAGGCTAGCATACCAAGCATTTTTAATGCTAAAATGTGTCGGAGCAGGCATGGATGCAGTCGACCGAATACAGTGTTGAAGGACGAATTGCAAGATCTTAAATAGAGGGTGAGCCTCTTGAACAGGTTTATTTCAAACTCTGCTAGCAGTAAGCTAAGACATAGGTCCAACAGTGCCAAGTAAGAGACATACTTCCAGAAAACACCAGGGACGGGAACAAATACATATTGATACGGTTGTCGATGCTGTCCTAGTGGTGCGTGACAAAGAGTCGGTCGTGCCTCGAGGAAGGTACCCTGAACATTTTGCCATGTGATTATCCGAGTCGACTTACACGGTCACAGAGTCTTAGCAGGAAGGCCATCAAAAGATAAGAGCAAAGGCTCCATAGGTGGACCGTGGCATGCCAACTGAGGTGATCTGTGCAGATTCTAGACATGTACAGTATCACACACCGGCGGTTTCGGAGTTTTACCTCAGCAATAAATTAGACATTTGTACTTTGGATAAATAAATGTATAAAATATTCGAAGTTTTTTCAACATATATTGGCTCAAATTTCAATAAACTTTATTTATCCAAAGTAAATGCCGTGCAAAAAAATGTCCCGCAAAATATTATATACATAATGGCGTGTAAGTGTTGTGGCCCACTCCGGGAAATTCAGAATCTACCCTACAATTAAATGAGGTCAAGAAAAATTCAAGCAATGGAATTATAGCAGGCATTCATTAACATTTATCACGCATTCGTCGGGCATCGTAAATAGTATGTATGTAACACGTGACTTCCAAGACCGTCGAAATTAAGCTTCAAGACGTTAATCCTGCTTTGATTACAGCTGAAGTTGTTGGCTGAAGTCGACGCACGTGTAAGTTGTCGGTATCGTTAACTCCGTGGGTAGTTTTTAACGGAGCCCTTACTGAAAATGCGATCTCTACCAGTTCCCAACAGACTGGGATTTGTTTTGTTTCGCTTAGAATATGTTAGCACAGTGTATAGAACATACCCAGTAAAGTGGCTAAGTAATTACTTTGAAATTGAGTGCTGTGCACAAAAATCACGAAATGGTGGCTCGTCACGAATAGACCGTAACGGATAGTGTGCCTTTCATGTCAAATGTATTGCCTCTCGCGCCATCGTAGTGAGATTCACCAAATTTCAAACAAACATTTGTTGTAAAACGTATAAATCAACTATTTTAAACAGCGAGGGTGCACGGCCTCGCATGTTGGTGCCTACCCTCGCATGCCTCTGGGAGTATGGAGACAATACACAAAGGAAAAGGCGTGCACCTCTTGCGGCAATTACAGGGAACCTCCATAGCGAGGCATACCTCACGAATGGATTTCCTGCGACATAGAAACCCCACCCGATAGATCGTGAGACTGGCGCGCCGCTGCCAAGGGTGGGTTTTCTATACCTTGCATAGGTTCCGGTGACCTTCTCACTGATTGCCAAGCCTGGCGGGATCATAAGTTGGAATAAGTGCTACTGATAGACAGTCATCACACTGAACACACGTTTAATCCAGAAATTTCATGCACAATTTGAGCGGGAACTGCACTTCTGCTTCCGACCGTTTCAAGTCCATGCATAATTGGCGTCTTCCGCTTACAACCTTATAGTACCTAAAATTCAGTACTTATCGTGATTGACCATCAATTTTTGCCTTGTATCATCACATTACCGAACATGTCTCCTGTGTTATTTCTAAACCCCACACAGCATGCGTCGAATTAGTCGTTATCGTATATTCTCAGTATCTTGTTACCTCGCTTGCACTCCTGAAATTTAACACAATTCACAGGACTCAGAAGGGAGTCTGGGCAGGGCCATCGCATTCAAATCGGTCCAAATCTACCAATGGTCCAAACAATCATCAGAGTATTGTGCGTCTCTCACTTTTAGATAAAAGAACAAGTACACACATGGACTGTCCTCTTCGCGGGCTCAGACATACCTTCAGCGCGGATATTGGATACTAACACCCCGTCAAATGCATATCCACCCCTCACGCAGCTTTTCAGGCAGACTGGTAGCACGCCAAGCACATAGTACCCACCTGAAACAAAAAGACCACGGTAGTACAGCGCTAGAGAAAAATGAGCGTATTCACATACGAATACACACTACTAAGTAAGTGGCACCATGTTCCAGAAGCCTTCCAGCCGCGCGCTACCTGTGACACTGCTTTTGTCGGCGCTTGCCAAGAAGTTGAGCTGGTAAGGGCCCAGGCACAAGAGACTCATTGCACTCAGGCTTACCATGACAACGCGGCATCACTTACAACTCCCCCCGACTGTGAAGGAATCCCTATTGCTACCTGTGAATATCATCTCGTCCTTGCTGGGGTCCGGTGCGAACGCAGGTCTCGATATGCAGTCAAACCAGTGGTAGAATGAAACTAAGGCATACGTTGAATAAAATAAAATAAATTGCAATACTTGAAACAAACAATGATCAGACATTGAAAATTCTTCCGGCATGGTGGCAAATTACCTGCTTTGCGCGTACTCACAACATTTTCCTTTCGTCTCCCGCAACGCTATACAGATGTTTCTAGCTACATGTTTCTTGTGACAATGTGGTATGTGAGAAACCATTCCATTGCCTCTCGTAGCCCTTAGTGTCATTTGCAAAAGAGAGATACTGGGTGAAACACATGAGGCGGCATTTACTCTACTATACAGGACTTAGTGATTGTACTGTAATTAGATCGTCCTCAGATATATGGAAATTGAAAAATTATCAGCATGTACCAGACCCTGTATACGTAAGTATATGTTACATGTATATTATACACATTCAAATTGGTTTTCGTCAATTACCCAACGTACGATTGGTCGTGTAGTATGAGACTCTACGCACGCCGATGGTTTGGAGTCTCATCGGTGTCTGGACCGACCGGTTGCATTTGAAAGGACCATGATAGCCACGGGATAGTGTATTTTCCGAGGTGCACTTGTCAGAGACAGTATGAGTATGACCCTTATAAAGCATCTGGCTGCTTCTACCCGAATCGACCAACAACTCACCTAGCCCATTCAATCACTCCGTCTATTGCTTTCATGTCCTTAGCACACTCCCCAAATCCCATCTATCAGAAATTTCAGGATAGTCTATCTAAGCCGTCCTATCCCGCGTCTCTGAACGCGCCCGAGAGGAATGGTCCCCAACTTCCACAGTGCTTTCCACAGCTGCCAATCAATGCTACTCCGACGAAAGTGGCTGAACAGGTTCTGCTTGAGATTTCAGTGCTTAACGTTAATTTGACATTTACATTCACCAGGATCTCGAGACACCAGATAACTGGATCAACCGTGTAAGGATGGTAAACCAATGATATCTGCATGATTTTGATGAGATTCTCCGCGGTCAGAATCCAGAGCTCGTACGACTGACGGGAAAACATCCTTTCAACAGCGAACCGCGACTCGGTGCTTTATTTGAGAGCGTAGGTATCTTGTTTGCGATGTCATGCACGGGACTGAGGGCGTCTTTGCAGGGATTCTTGACTCCAGCTCACTTGCATTTCGTGCGTAATCATGGTGCAGTGCCACAGGTCAATTACGAGATGGCTGCCAACTGGACAATTCGCGTACATGGTCTGGTGGAGCGAGAGGTTACATTTACTCTGCAAGAGCTTCAAGAAAAGTTCCCCGTTGTTAGCCTTCCTGTAACTCTTGTATGCGCCGGCAACAGGCGGAGAGAACAGAATGCTGTGCAGAAGACACTTGGCTTCAGCTGGGGAGCAGCAGGAGGTGAGGTGTCGGTTCGTGCTAATTCAAAGAAGTTCTCACTAACATCAATATCAAGTATCAACAGCTCTTTGGACGGGCGTGTATCTGGCCGATGTATTGGATTATGTGAGACCACTTCGTAGACAAGCCAAATACGTTGTCTTTGACGGTGGAGACAACCTCCCGAACGGGCCCTATGGAACATCGCAGCGACTGTCATGGGCTTCCAATAAGGACAAGGGCATGCTCATCTGTAATTCGAATCGTTTACAGTGTCATGATTCCTCCTGACCTTCTTCTACATTAGCTTGGGCAATGAACGGTTTACCGTTGGAGCCTGACCATGGTTTTCCTGTGCGTGTCATTGTGCCGGGTCAGATTGGTGGACGGTCTGTGAAGGTAAGTTATTGTCCAATGACAAGGAGCCCATAATCGATTAGGTATCCCATAGTGGCTGAAACGGATCGAAATAAGTGATCGTGAAAGCCAGCACCACGTATGCCAGTTCTTGTACAAATCAAATAAGCGTCGACTGATGATTTCGTTCACGTAGTTGCACTTTTGGGTACGTGTCGATCACTTATCCTCGAGGACGAATTGCATTAACGTTGCATAGGACAACAAACTGCTGCCAACGCACCTCATGCCTGACCAAGCCCGTGCTGAGAAGCATTGGTGGTATGATCCAAGGTTAGTCTGAGTGCTCTGGCGTTCCGTAGTAAGTCCACTCACCAGATATATCAGATATTTGATCAAGTTGGTTTGATTTTTCTCTCTTGTGTATCACATGTTTAACAACAGTCTTCAGCGATCTCAACGTCAATAGCGTCATTGCGAAACCCGATCACAATGAGAAGCTCTATATCAATAGGACACCAGATGAAAATGGCATAATCGCATCATATCCCATCCGAGGATATGCATATTCAGGTGGAGGCCGCAGGGTGACCCGTGTCGAAGTTTCGCTTGACCAAGGGGAGACATGGACATTGGGCAACATGTACGTATACATGCTTCACAATCGACATCTCTAATAGTGTGTCGAAAAGCGAGTATCCCGAGGACAAATTCAGAGAAATGCGTCACCAAGACCCATTTTACGGAACTCTTGATGCAACAGAGCGTGATACGTCATTGTGAGCAGTGAGCATTACCGCTGCTGTAAAAAATGCTCAGATCCCGTGTAGCTGTTGGTGCTTCTGGACATTTGATGTCTCGCATGACGCTCTCGCGAGCTGTGATGCGTTGATGGTTAGAGCTATGGATGAAGGCCTCGCGTTACAACCAAGAGACATGTAAGGCAGGATCGTATCGTATGGGCCCATTAACATCAACTGTCAACAGGTATTGGCACGCACTTGGCATGATGAACAACTGGTACGTTTTCATAAAACATGACATTTTGGTTCCTGCTGTGAGCTGCTGGTAGGTGGTTTCGCGTTGCTGTTCATAGAACCGTCGACGACGACGGGAAATTTGTTTTGCAATTTGAGCATCCAACGCTTGCTGAGACAGGGCATGCAGGATGGATGGAGGTGATACTCGATTTCTGGTTCCAGAGAACAAATGCTGATAGTGGTAAATCAGCGCATGAAAGTGGCCGGGGAGGATATTACAAAGCCCGTCTTCGGCGAAAAGGGACGGGACCTCGCACCACGTGCTCCAAAGCAAGGCTCCGATGAGGTCTGTTTGACCAAGCCTGGGATAAGCAGGAAGATCACCTTGGAAGAGTTCAAGGCGCAAGATCGACAGCAACCATGGTTTGTCGTCAATGGTGAGGTTTACGATGGAACTCCATTTCTAGAGGACCATCCGGGAGGCGGTGACTCTATGTTGCTTGTGGCTGGTGAAGATGCGTCTGAAGACTTCTTCGCCATACATTCTGCGGAAGGCAAACAAAAATTGGCTGAGGTGAGTCCTCGTGATTTACCTGCAGAACATTAGATTATGACCTTTCTGCAGCACCATATTGGTACCCTCGTAACCAGTTTAACCAAAGAAGAACCCATTACAACGCAGTCGGATGAAATATTTCTAGAGCGCAGCAGATGGAAAGAGGTCAAATTGTGTACCATCAAGCAGATCAACCACGATTCTTACCTGTATCGTTTCGCCTTGCCAAAAAGAGATCAGCTGCTCGGTCTGCCAGTTGGACAGCATGTTTTCGTCCGCTTACGTCGGCAGGATACCGGGGAGATGGTACAGAGAGCGTATACTCCAGTATCGCAACAAGGCACAGCAGGCTTCATCGACTTTCTCATCAAGTCCATATTCTCCATCACATGCTTTTCACAGCTTGACTGACTTCTTCATTAGATTGTATCTTCCTTCCGCTTTGATGCCCATTGGAGGGAAGATGACCACCGGCCTCCATCAACTGCGTATCGGAGATAGCGTGGAACTCAAAGGGCCGTTAGGGTCCTTCATGTGGGATGGGCCAAGTATTGCATTGTGGAAGGGAATAAAGAGGTCCATCAAGGAAGTCGGCATGATTTGCGGCGGAAGCGGTACGACTTCGATTGCGATATCGTTAAAATTGTGCGAAACTGAAGAAAATTATGCAGGGATAACGCCGATCCTCCAAGTGCTTCGCAGTATCCTCCAGAACGCGGAAAGCGAGACCCGGGTGTGGGTGGTCAGTGCAAACAAAACTGAGCAGGATATCCTCTGTAGAGAAGAACTCGACCTACTCTTCGCATTGCATGGCAAGGGACGTTTCAAGTTGCACTACGCGCTCAGTGTTGCTCCTGAGGAGTGGCCATACAGCGTTGGGCGAATCAATGATGTATTATTGTCGGAGCACATGCCTCGGCACTCTGAGCATGGACTCATCCTGGCGTGCGGTCCTGATGCTATGATAACGCATGCCGTTAAGCCTGGACTCCAAAATATGGGGTGGGATATAGAGAAGTCCCTGGTGGTGTTCTGAAAGGACAAAGTTGCCTGAAGAATGGATGATCGTGCTATGATAAACCACCTGTAAAGTGTTCATTTATAAGGCATGTATGAGTGGCGAGAGCCAGCCCCGGTCATTTTTTGTTGGCTTTCGGGGGGAATATTACATATGGAAATGACGAAGTCAATGTATAGTTGCACAACTACGATGTAGAATTTAAAACAGCAGATCGTACCAGAGTTCTTGAAAATTCCACATCACGACTGTCCGCAAAGGTTGCGAACTTGAAAGAGAAGTTGTTGAAAGGCTGATCGTCATCGCGCTCATGAGGCGTACGCATGTGAACTTGTGAAGTTATAAGTCGGCCACAGGGCCACTACCTACGGTTGGACCGCCCAAAAGGTTGCTTCCTAATGTTGACCGTTAGTGTGCTAAATTGTCATGCAGCAAATACGGACCATGAAACGTGCGCGCCATCCAGGATGTCTGAAGGTGATATGAGGATGCGAGACTATTTCCATTGTCCCAGCCTGAGTCACTGCGCTATGTTGCTGAGTGATATGAATTTTGGGTGGGCGGAATGAACTTTCTGGCATAATAATTTTGCAAGGGGCTGGTAATAAAGGCTCAGAAGACTTGAGAAGGAAAAAAAAACGTACAGGCTTTCCTGCTGTGCACGGGACCTCGAATTGGCAGATCCCCGAAATTCCGGTTCATATTGTCTGTGGAGAAACTGAGGTCAAGTGTCACGCTCAGTTACTATACGAGGTTTGGAGCAGCAATAGGAGCATTGGCGGGGTGCTGGACTGTGGTTAAGATGTGACCGATAGGATGGGGATGAATGGCCGCATAATCACCCAACTGACGACATATTGATACAGAACTTCCCGTTGTGATCTACAGAAAGGGTCAGGAAATACATTGTGTTTTCATGATAGAGTGGTGAGCTGATTGGTTTCGAGGCTCCATAGTGGCACGGCCATACTGTATGATTGAAAACAGCACTGGCAGTTTCTGTCCACATCACCGTGACAATGTCGAATTTGCTGATATTGGTATAAGTGATTTTCAAACCAAGGTTCACGCTAGGCGCTATCTTCCAGTGTTGTGAGCAATATGCCTGTGCTGGAATCCCAGACTTTGACCGAGAGCCCAGCGGTGACATCGTATCTTGCCATCAGGTGCTGAGGTGATTTAGCAAACTGAAAGAATTCCCCCGCCAATTCAGGTCACAAGATTATGTAATCGAATCTGTCTGGACTCCACTGGCAGCAGGATGCATTCCGAGTCTGTTATTCACCGGGCAGGTACCGGCATGCTGTCAATTCTACCGTGCAACGGCATGCTTCCTGTTGCTCGTACGAATACCACCGTGTCCAATACTGTCACGGTCACGACTGAAATTATCTGAAGTCTGTGGTAAGTACAATTATGCGTTCCTGATTGAAAACGATTATGGTAATCGCACTTTTCGTAGCCTGTCGCACGACCGTAGGCAATCACTACATAGCAATTCCACAAAATGAGATCTGACAGAGATTTAATCACAACTCCCATTATAACCGCCATCCAGCACCCGTTTACTTGTAGATTTGGTCTCGCACCTGCCACGTATTGTCATACCAACCCACTTTCTCGAGAACAAGATATTCCACGACAGCATGAGGTTTCGTAGATTTAGCCTCTACTGGCTGGCCCTGCTTGGTGAACACCTTGAATTCCTGGAGCAGCGTCAGTTCGTATACAATTTACGCATACTGGAGAGACACTTACCTGCGTAGTCTCAAACTTAATTAGTGCATGTATCACCAGTCGGTTGCCGCGCTTCGGGGGTTCCTTCGCAATATAAACCTCACCAGAACGGATAGATACGATGGTAGCTCCTGGTGATGTGGCAAGTGGACGGGATACTAAATTATTGTGAATCAAAAAAAATTCAGAGATCATAACGTCGGTACTTACAGCTTTTCTCTTGAAATAGGGCTTTATCTGAAACGTCGTTTAAAACCTTCCATTGCCAAACCTCGCTAGGTTTACGAGTACGAACAATCTTGTTCACCTTGGTGGCATGGTCGGCTGTTGTCAGTGCCTTCAGGGTGGCTTCATCCTTACTGTTGATATAATTAAATATAATGGGGGGCAGTAAACAAATACACGCACTCAGCTATGGCACGGCCCATAGCCAGATAGTTATCCATCGCAATGCGTCGCATTGGTGCTAGCCAGGATGTTGAAGAATGTGAGGTTACATTGCCTAGTTGACGCCATGTGCGTGGTAGGAACAAGTGACTGAATCGAAAATCACAATCTACTCCCGTAAAAGCGCGAGCTTTGGCGATGGTATACATGCTGCATAAGGTGCAAAGGACGCTTAGAGGGGCAAAGAAAGCATGGATCATTAGACGCGAACCTGAACGTGTTCTTCAACCAATTGGAGAAATTGTGCTGTTTCGCATGCCAAAACGCGACTGGGTTTGTGAAAAGCATACGCAGTGGAGCGTCGCGCGGTATTTCAACGTCTGAATGGGTGACAAATTGAGTTCGACTTATCCTTCTATAGGGAATAATACACACCGAGAGTCACTAGCTTAGTACCCCACATATCCATGGTTGGAAACAGGTTCGACGTATTTGCCATGCTCATCATGCTTTCTATTTGTTTGAGCTGTGCCTCCGTGCTGTCTGTAGCAGGGAGAGCCCTTTTCGCTTTCTTCTCATTCTTAGTCGCAGATTTTCTTGAGACATTGGAGGAGGTTGTGGCAGACCCTTGCCCACTGGTAGGAGCCTTGGACGTTGAAGGGGCAGGGGCCGTTCGGGTAGCAGATTTTAAAACCGAGAACGAGCGTTGTGGAGAGAATAAACACCTCTTCTTCAATTGAGACCCGAAGGAAACACGCGGCACCTTCATCGTCGCTATCACCGTCGCCCCTGCTGCTGTAACTTGTCGTGTAACAGAGCTTTGAACTTGAGCAAAGACTTTAAATTTCGATGTCGATTTCTCAAAAAGGATGTCACTGGAATCTATGCGTGCGAACTTGTGCGAACAAACTCGGCAGCCGGGGACGCGTGTGTTCGAGCCGGGCAAGATAGATATAAAAGGTTCGCTTCGCCGGTAAAAAATTCCATCCAGTTCCACCCGAAGGCATCCTTGCTCTTAACCGCCATCTCAATCATCATGCCTGTAAGACATCTCAACTAGTTGTATTTTGCCGTGAGCTCAATTTTTTCTTTCTTTTCACAGCGTTCTTCACGTTCCTCTCGTCCAGCTGCTAAGCCTGCAGCTCCTCAGCAGTCCCGCGGTGCTCATACGGCCGCGATGCCTCCTGCTGCAGCCCACGGCAACCCAGCACACGCCCCTGCACCACCTGTCCCCGCTCAGACATCTAGCGGTCCCGGGATGCTTGCGCAAATGGCTGCAACTGCCGGTTCCGTCGCTGTTGGATCTACCATCGGTCATGGTATCTCCTCTATGCTGTTTGGCTCCAGCTCATCTGCAGCACCCGCGGAGACAGCAGCGCCCGTACAACAACAACAAGCATACCAAACAACTGGCGCTGCTTGTGAAGTTCAAGCTAAGGAGTTCACTAAGTGTTTGGACAAGGCAGATCTGCCAAGTTGCTCATGGTACCTCGACCAGTTGAAGGCTGTACGCATTCATTTGATCAAATGCAGTTTTGTGACTGACTGTTCTGATTGTGTTTCCAGTGCCAAGCCGCTGCTGCTCCCTATTAATTTAGCGGACTTTGACAGTATATACTGCTGGCAAATACTATCACATGTTACTTTCCATTTGTCTCATCCCACGCAACTATATATCCCTGCGAATGAATCAATACATTCGGAATCCATCAGAACGACAAATACAACCTGTCATCTGTGATAATCGAGATGCCAGGTTACCAGGTATAGCGCGCTGTAAATAACATCCGTATTAAAATCCCCATGTGACCGTTGGTGTCTTCCTGTCAATCCTCTAGATGCATCCGTTCAAAACATGTAAAATAAGTACACTTTAATGGGTAAAGACCAAGATGCCATTTTCTGCGGTGTGGACATTTGGTAATCACACTCCAGCCAGATTCTTTAACATCGCAAATTCACTCTCCCCCGTTGCCTCACACAATTCGTAGAATTGTGACGAGGGGTCGGAAAGCAAGTGAGCAGGTCTGAAGGCCTTAGTTAAGTTTCTACACCATATATTTCACAATGACTTACTGGCCGAACTCGACGATTTTGCCTTGGTCGAGGAGCATCACCTGGTATTAGTTCATGAGTAATGCACAAACCACACGAGCTGGATTTAGTTACCCTATCATAATCGATGACGGTACGCAGTCGGTGCGCAATAGTAAGAATGGTGCTATTTGCAAATTCTCTGTTGGGCGTGGTCAGTGTCTCATGAGAGGGTTATCAATGCTGCAAAACGAACTCTCTGATCGTCTTTCCAATGAGCTCGTCAGTCGCGTAGTCAACGCTGAAGTTATGTTACTTGAAATCCAAGCTTCCATTATACGATCGACATTACCTTGCTGTTGCCTGCGACGTAGCCTTGAGTAATGAAATACGAGTGAGACAAGGAAACGTACCTCGTCCATGACCAAAAGTTTCGACCGCTTCAGGATTGCTCGAGCCATGCATAGAAGCTGTTTCTCGCTAGAAAATTCGTGAGCAAGGTCATTTGGTGACGTTGACAAAGTGCTAACCCCGTAGAGAAGTTCTCGCCTCCCTCCGATACTGGCGACTCTAAGTTTCGGAAAACATTAACATTGACCTCGACACCATCAATTTCAACAACATCAGCAGCAGCATCAGACGGAATCAAATGCACGCGTCGAAGAGCCTCAAACTAAAGAATAGTGAGTATAACTTTAAGGTCAAGTAATGTAAATGTAAACCGACAATTTCCGCGTCTTCGTACTCCTCAAATACATCTAGTGTGGATCGCAAAGTGCCGCTGAGGATGGTAGGGTCCTCTGTTCGGTGTAAGTATGATAAACATCATTTGTCAGGACACGCACGAGGAATGATGGTGAGTTTGCTGCGAAGGTCCGAAAGTCCCATTTTGGAGATGTCCAGATCGTCGATGACGATGCGACCTTCTGTTGCCTCCACGAAGCGGAAGAACGAGAGTGCAAGAGTGCTCTTTCCGGAACCCGTGCGGCCTAGGATGCCGACCTAAGAACAAAACTCAGTTGCTGACGAAGGAGTCCTCGCATATCTAGCACCTTCTCTCCAGGGTGGACCTCAAAGTTCAAGTTGTGAAGAACCTCGGGCAACTCAGGCTATGGGAAGGTTATGAACTGACAAGGTTTTCACTGAAACCAGCTTACCGCATAACGGATGATTAAGTTCTCGCACTTGATAGCACCTTTGTCTGGCCAAGAAGCTGGCGGACGCGGCTCGATGTATTCAGGAGGCTCGCGCTTAAGCTCCGAATACTCCTTGATACGCTCCAAGGCGACCTGTTGATGGTTCATCAATGACATCGTATGTCACACAATATGCTGAGATACTAGCCATGGATTGTTCAAGGCCGACGAACCGTCGCACCTGAGTTCGAGATTAATAAGAGATCTAGACAGACACCAGTCACCTACCAGGAATAACAACTGCAAGCAGTGTCAGCATATTTTTCCATAGTCCATGATAAGCATGGCACATACTGTGAACGTCATGCTTCCAGCAAATGAAAGAGCAAATCCAGCGAGCGCAGCCGAGATGGTCGGGGTGGAAACGGCGATAAGACCTGTTACACCAACGGTCGCAGCGGACAACAGATCGAACCGAGCGGAGAGCCAGCGATTAACTGAACACATCAGCCAATGTTAACTACTCTCGAAAATCAAACGACCGCTCGACATACCAGCCCATTGCCAATAGTTCGGGTTGATATTCTAGTATCCATTGATCAGATAAAGTGAAAACGAGTTCTGCTTGGCTCACCGTATCGACGCAGCGAAGCATGTCTCGCAAAAACTTTGATGAAGCACCGAAAGCTCGAAGGATGGGCGCTCCGGCAATGGTTTCACCATACATCGAATAGAGGGGAGATCGTGCCACGGAGTCTTAAGGTAACTCGAGTAAATCGACCGCTCGTGAATATATAGAACGCTTACCCAGGCGACGCATATCTCTAGCAGCTTGTCCATAGTACTAGGCACTTAAGCATTCCCTCAGATAAGAACATGACGGAAAAGTACCTTTGAAACTAAACAGTTCAACAATCAGCGCTGATGTAATTGATGAAGAAAAAAGTCGCAGACCATCAAAGTAAATGAAGCCCAAAATAATGATAGCAATGAGGAATGGAACTCCGCCTGCAAAAGTAACAGACACAATCGTAACTAAGACAGAAAATGCATAGACGAGACTTCGCCCAAAGTGATCCGCGAGTCGACTGTCAATGCCTATATTGTTACATGTCGTTGTGTAAGTCAAAGAAAAGCATTGGCTTAGAAAACGGACCTTCGAAGTCTTTCCCGAATCGATTTAGGAGTCTCCCTCGCGACACAGTATCATGAAACCGAATGTGCGCAAACAATACAGTTTCCAAGAGTTCTATCACGAGTGGTGTAAGTGAGTGGTCAAAAGTGACGTCTCGATCTCGACCCACGTTGGTATAAAACGGTCGACGCGTGGATAGAGCCATTATCTAAATGAGATGTTTCAGTAGTGGTTCAGGAGAGTGGGTTTAGTTTGCATACATAGTACGAAGTATCTGTAGGTCGAAATCAAGACACCTGGAAAATGATTAGCACTGTGTGTCACAAGCCAACCCCATTCAAACCTGTGAGTGTGACCTGCGAGGATGAGAGTCAGGATGAGGGGCAGTACTGTAGAGCCGTGCTTACTGCAGCATAAATGGCAATGTAATACACTGGTCCTTTAGCCTCGACCTCTTCTGTGCTCGATCCTGACCATGTCCTACAGATGCCCATGTCAATCGTGTTAAGTAAACTGTCAACATTTTAAACTCACTTAAGCCACAAGTTCTCTGCAACAGGACAGAGAGCACCCAACACGAGAACAGACAAGAACCATACCCAGTACCTGTAGGCGCCGCACGACTTCACATAAAGTTTCCAAACATCACGATTGACGCGCCCCACAGCGCGTTTCTCGTCTTCTACAACTTTCCTAGGTACTTTCCGCTCCACACTCACTTGCGGCTCATTGACCACGGTGGAGCTCGTCTCGGATGTTGGGTCAAATTCCACATCTTGCACGGGCGTAGAAACGGGAGAATGGCTTGCGGACACCGATGGATCCTTCGAAGTACTTGCCGCGGTCTGCCTCTTGCTAGCACCGGCCATGGTCTGCACCAATGTCCCCTTCACAGGAGATGCTTCAAAGGCTTCACGTTCACCAGCGAATAGTAGTTGGCCGTTATCAAGAGCGACGACATATGCAGCACCACTCAAGCAAAGTTGAACATGGTGTGACACAAGGATCACCGTTCGCCCATGCATCAACTCTCCTTTAATGCACTTGAAGTAGATGTGATGAGCGGTGTGAGCATCAACTGCACTGAAAGGTTGGTATTTAGAAGCACGGCGCTTAGGACGGACGCACCAGCAGACAGAACGTCGTCGAGCAACAGTATGGATGCTCGGGAGTAAACAGCCCGAGCCAAGGAAACTTATGAGAAATTCAATATGGGTGGCAAGTCAAATTTCAGTCCACCGACCTCGAGCTTTTTGTCCACCAGACAAGTTCACCTGCAAGTGCAACCTCAATCAGTATGCATGATACTGATTGGCAAAACGCAACATACGCCACGTTCGCCAATTTCAGATTGGTCTCCGTCCTCAAGAATCTTGAGGTCGCTTATAAGTGCGCAGATCTGAGGATGCAGTCAGTCGAGCTTTTATTGACCATAAAGTGTGGTTGACCTCTAATGTCTTTTGGTATCGCTCTTCGTCAAGCGGCAAACCGAACAAGATATTGTCTGAAAATTGCGATAAGCATACTTAAAACAGTTGAACGTCTGTGGCTCACCCTGAATAGAAGCATTTCGCAGCCAAGCAGCCTTGAAGTATTCAGTTCTTTAATTCAAAACACACCCCATCATCACTGCCGCTCACCTGTGGTACGTAGGCGCAAACGCCGGGCACTATCCAATCTTCTTGTGTGACCTTCTGATCGGCAAAGGAAGCAAGTGCGTCTGGTGGTGAACGCGGACAAATGACCTGGCCGGTGAGGACGTCCGCCTCACCGAGTAAAGCTGCATTGCCGTGACACTGAGCAGTATTTCCGGAATTCGCTTTATAAGACGTACCCAATAACAACAGGGTCTTTCCACTGCCCAGCTTACCACAGATGAGAGAAAGTTGTCCTTCAGGGAATTTCAAAGCAAGATCAACGAGCATGAACTTATGCCGGGGAGTGGAAGCTACGGATGAGCCTGCAGAACGATCATAAGGCCATGTGACGGTAGCAGATTGAACAGCGATGGTGTTAATGACTGGTGCAGCCGAGAGCGGAGGTACAGGTGCTACCTCGGTTAGTTGGAGGTACTTCCCAATCCGCACGAGGGAAACGTGAACCTGAAGCAGATTAATGAAAGTTTCTGGGAGTGCATTCATCGCAAAGCGCATTTCGTTGAAAACTATGCCAGGCTTGTTAGCTCAAGTACCGTGCAGATCATACATGCCTACCCATCATCTAAGCGAGGCAATCTGTAAGCATAGAGTGGACTGATAAGGAAAGGCTTACAGATGTGAAGGCGATAGAGGGAGTCAATGCCTGTTGACGCCAGACAGCGAAGTGCCAGAAAGAAACCAGGGTGACAATGAGAGGAGACGCCTCCCTGAGCCCTCGATCAGATGATGCAGAGGAAACCAACATGACAACATACCAGAGAGCAGTGAACACGACCTAAAGGGTGGACACATTAGGAGTTGGATGACATGAGAATGAAAAGTACCTACCTCAATCCTGTAGTTTAACTTTTGGTATTTCAGTTCCTTCTCACGAATTTTCATCACGCGCTTTTCGAAGCTGCGCTCCCATGCCATGAACTGCAAATCTATGAGGGGAGGTTTAAAAAAAATGAAAAGGATCATTACCTTCAGCATGCGGATGCCACCCAGTATCTGTCAAAGGTGTCATTAGAGTCAGAACAAGGGACGTGTCAGAAGGTAATTACCTCGTTCATGAGTGAGACCCGTTCGTCCCTGGCTTTCATCAAGTTGTCTTGGGTAGTGATTACTACTTTACCTGCCAGGTGATTCAATGGCAAGAAAAGGCAAATGACCGCAAGACCAATAAAGCACGATACACCGAGCATGCTGTAGAGCAATGCCGTCCCTACAACAATTTCGACCGGAGAATCTGAAAGAAATCAGGCTCAGAACAATGACGTAATAAAAGAATCTCACCTGCAATGGCGAAAAGATGGTAGGGAAACTCGGAGACCCGATCGACATCAGTAGTCATCAAAGTCATGACCTGAGATTTGCTCGAAAACTCATTCTCTTCCTCGACCTTCTCTTTGTTTTCTCCGTCCGTAGTTTTCGATTTTTTATCATTTTTCTCGTCGGAAGCGGAGGTACCACTAGACACAACATCCTTCCGAACTAGTGTTTTAGCGAAAAGCGTGGTATTGAGCTGCGTCCGTAAGCGCATTTGGATAACGGTAGTTGCAAAGTACCACATTTGGGAGTTGACTACAGCACGTTAATGTCGATTTAGAGGTTGTTGCACTAAAAAAACTCACGCTGCGTGGCAATAACAATGGATGCAAACTGTCCAAAAGCATATACCCATCCCCATCCTTTATTGAGGCGGTCAGGATCATCTTCCAGGTATGCGATGAGCTTGCGAACGAAGAATGGGGACCCAAACCACATAGGAGCAGCTAAGACGGCCAAGATTACTTCTGCAGTAAATGCAAGTTTGTTGACACTGATAAGGCGCCAAGCGAGGTCCCATCCTGGCTTGAGAGGATTTGCACGAAGATTCATGCGCATCCTAAAGAACTGATAAGTCGCTCGCATCTTAGCCGGAAGGATTGGCAAGTCGCCGATTTCGACCGAAGCGGAACTTCCAAGATCAATGACGCGTGTCACGTAACTGAAAAACAGATAATCGATCACAGAGGTGCCCGGAAGGCCGCAGACGTTGTCGTATGAGTCATTGGTCGTGTCATCGATAGTTTTTCTAGAGTAGATAAGCGAAGGTGAAAAGTGCAACGGTGGTCCACGGGGTGTTGTCGCAATTATCGCAAAAGTCAAGGTATACAATGCGGTTATGCTATACCAGAAAGTGGGTGAGGGAGGAAAAGCTTGTGGATCGCGCGCCGAGGTAGAATCAGATGAAGGGAAGATTGCTACGCCGAAGTGAAGTACCGAGGAGAAGAAGGTCAAAGCAGTGATATGTATCACCGACTCGGAATGACGATTCGTGGTATATTGGCCAACGGAACGAAGAATTAGAAGGCCGACATAGAGTGCAAATGTGGTCCGAAATATATGTTCTGCAAGCACATTCTGACCATCTGGGTAGGCCGACAAGCCCAGGGAAACGCCCTCGAGCGCAAGGATTGCGGCTGAAAGCAATACAAGCAGTAATTTCCTGTTGCGCATCTGAACTAAGATAAGAACCTTCGTCATACACGGCCTATGACCATTAGGATGCTCACTTTGAACCAGAACGCATCTTCGTCAATTGGTTCTCCGTCTTTACAATCTTCCGGTTTGGTTACATTGAAAGGATCGTCCTGGTTCAGATCGCCAACCAAACTAGCATCTTGGGTAGTCGGCAAGCGTATCTTCCGCTGTTGAGAGTGCACGAGAAAAAGTGCGAAGCTACTGAGTAGTGTCGCCCCGACGAGTGCTTCTGCTAAAAGCAGCTGGTACGGAGGCATAATGTTCTACACTTTCGAGGATGATACCACTTTCAACTTGTAAAGGGAAATGTAAAACCACTGGTACAGGTAGCACGAGACACAGGTACACGCCAAACACAGAAATATATAAACGTCGAACTAGCGCTGTAGATTTTGTCATTGGTCATGATTTCGTCGGAGCCGAGTTTAACCATGCTGTACATGTGTGACTCCAACTCTGATTAGGCAATATTAATAGATCTAGATTGGTCAGCGTCAGTCAAGTTGCTGGCAATCTTGAACCACGAAGCATATGCTCCGCAGCAGTCCGCAGTACGGTCTCGGTCCACAGCTTCGGAGACTGATGACCTTTACCAGACCATTTACTTGGAGCGTCCCAGATGTTCTGGACACAGGACTACCACAGGCAATTCGCCTGTCGTAAGCTCATCAGTAAACTGGTGAGACCCACATTATTTTGTATCGTATGATATGTAAGTCAAGTCTCCGAGAAATAAAATGTCCAAGTCTGATTTCACCTCGTTTCCAGGACGGACTCGAAATGGAAAACGTGAATGATCCTGAGCCTCGAGCTCGGCAGTAAACAGTATGTTTGAAAATTTGTCATTGATTGGGAAGCGGATGCGTATCAGACTGATATTCAACTTCGAACCTATGTCCTGACATGGACGTTATGCGGACCCTGGGTCCGGCAATGACGAGGACGCTTTCTTTACCTATGTGACTCATGCAGGTCAAGCTCGTGGTTCCTAAAAATTTGCAGCAGTGGTCGAGAGACCCTCTCATGGAGCAGTAGATATGAATTCGCTGTGTCGCAAACACATGCTCGTCGTGCATTATTCTCAAACTTTTAGGTTAGGTGTATTCGAATGATGTATAATCACAAATGAAAGTGGATCTTAACAGACTCGAATAGTTTGTCTGGAAATTGGAGGAGAAGTGCAAAGAGCATGACAGTGTCTTTGACCTATTGTTGAAAAACGTAAGAATTTACTTCACAAGTGCTTGTAGAAAGCGGCTGTTTGTACTTATTGAATCCTAAAGCTTTCGGTGACTGAGACTCCGAGTCCGAGTCAGTTGGTACAAGCCGCTGCTCCTTTGAAAATGCATACTATCAATTCATCTTCTGGCTCTACTTCCATGGCATCCAGAAAGAAAGCAAAACTCAAGACCGTGAAATTAGACGCGTCTTCAGAGCCTCCGAACAAGAAACTGAGAAGTGTAAGTTTGTCATAATTTGGGGACGCGTCTTTGTCCAGTCTTATACTACGCATCGAAAACAAGCTAAATCATCCCTGCACTCACTGTCATATCAGTCCGTAAAACTACCCATTTTTGATCTGATAGGCTCTGTACCTCAGCCGCAACTACAAGAGCCGCTGGTGTTGTCGCAACGACCCTCACTTCTACAGCCGCAGATCCAAAGGAAGGACGTGAAGGGCAAAGGAAAGCCGGTTTTGCCTTCAGTTGATCGTGATGATGATAGGCTCTGGGTGGACAAGTATGAGCCAACGATTGAGGTCTGTCTCAGTTTATCTCTAGTTGTGCCCAGCTAAACGTTGGTGCAATTGTTCTCGCTGGATACCACTCACAGGCCGATCTGGCGGTACACAAGCGCAAAGTTGAGGACGTGCGGAGGTGGCTATCGGAGGCCTTTGAAGGAGGGCCGACTGGGAAGCTGCGAAAATATCGCGTATGTCTTGTTCTGTTGATTTATTCATGACTCAGTCATATCCCGGGTATCCTGTAACAGCGGATTCTGGTTCTCACTGGACCTGCTGGTACCGCAAAGACCACTACACTACGTGTGTTAGCCCGAGAGATTGGTTTTGAGATCGTCGAGTGGCGCAACAGCATGAGCGAACGCGGCCCGAGTAATTTGATCGACGATTCCAAGGACTTTGGCGGTAAGGACCATCGCAATGTACTATTTGTATGAAATCATCAACTCGTTTCTTCCAGATGGCTCTTGGATGAATACAGAAGCATTATTCGACAAATTTCAGGCATTCCTCACGAGAGCTTCTTCATGTTGCAACATTTTCGCGACAAGCTCTACAATTGCGTCAACGCAGTCACAATCTCACAACCAGTTAAAATTCATATCACAGCCATCCACGCCATCCCAACCCTCCACTTCCTCGAGCCACCCTTTTAACCGCCACTTGATCCTTCTGGAGGACCTGCCTAATATCTTACACCTTCCTACGCAAGCGCGATTTCACGATGCCTTGCAGTCACTCTGCGCCTCTTCTGAGTCCGGACCCCCAGTTGTGATCATCATATCCGACTCAGGTCTCCGCGGCGAGAATGCTTATAACGATGATGCGTGGGATGGCGCGGGCGGTGCGCACTGGTCCAAGAAAGAAACTATAGACATAAGAAGTCTTCTCGGAGCTGATCTTTCCGCTAGCCCATATGTCACGCGTATCGCTTTCAATCCTATTGCACCGACGCTGATGACCAAGGCACTGCAGGCGATGCTCACTAACCATTTCGCGTCTACTTCTGAAAAGCCACCAGGCAAAGATGTTGTAGATATGATTGTTGAGTCGTCGAATGGGGATATCAGGAGCGCGGTGATGGCACTGGAGTTTGCATGTGTAGTAACGTTGACTAAAGGTGGTGGAAAGGGAAAGGCCCGACGGAATACGACCGGAAGTGGGGGTGCACGGGCTATCTTGGAGGTTGTGACGCGAAGAGAACAGAGTCTAGTGCTATTTCATCTAATGGGAAAGATATTATATAACAAACGTGAGTACTCGTTTCACCACCATTTTGCGTTAAACCTGACGAAATCTAGGCAAGGGAGACCCTCCGGCAGCACATCTCTCCACCAAAGATGCCGCAAAGGAGCGCGAGGTAGATGAAACGCTCCTAGATCCATTACCCCTGCCAAAATGGCTCTCGGAACATGATCGGAAGGCGAGTCGAGTTTGCCTAGAGGTACGACTGTCTGTCATTGAGTGTGATACTAATGTATGCTGAATTACTTTACTCGGCTGGCAGACGATTGCATCAGATTCGCCCATTGACTCATCGCTCCTGGGATTGTACATCCACGAAAATTATACCATGTTCTGTACGGATGTCGATCAATGTGACGGGATCTGTGATGGGCTTAGTTGGGTTGACTGTGTCGGTGGTGTGAGTACAAACATCGTTCATATCTCTTCCCTCGTAATCTCCCTAATACAGCACCTGCCATCCACCACACCACACGCCTTTCCAACGCTTGTATTATCCACGCTTCATTCTCTTCCGACACCGGTTCCACGAAAAGGACAGAAGGTGTGCAAGCCCTCATGGTTCGATGTACGTAATAAGGAGCAGGATGCATCCGAAGGCGTAGGCGATGTCGTGACCTGGTTAGCACACGGAGGGGCAGACGGCGAGCGAGCACCAGGAAGATGGACACATGCGGACATTGCAGTTGAGCTAGGTGGCTGGTTGCGCGCTGTTGACCGCACTGGCATTGCTCAATTTCAGGCCCCGCGAACACACAGACTTTTCTCGTGCCTTCCGTGGGGTGCAGGAGGTGTTGGTGGGAATGTCCTTGGAGAAGATGAGTATGCGGAAGCAGATGAAGCTGATGGCGAGAGTGATATCAGGGTTTTTGGAGCTTTGAGAGATCAAAAGGAAGGAAAGGGCTGGTTGGAGAGCGACGATATAGAGGAGGCAGAGTAGTGCAGAAATCGCGGCTGGATCTGAGCTTGTACATTCAGTAATCTTTGCATCCTTCAAGTTGGCGTTCGAAAATATGACGCTGAGCTCATGCTCGACCACGTTGCAGGAACCACTATGACTTCGGTTGCCTTCCATGAGTATGTGTATGTGTCAACTAGTAGCAATATGTAGCACTGAAGATGCTGTATTTGATCGATCTTCGTGGGGTACCCTGTTGGGATGGGGGATTTGTTTGCTCCAACTTTCATCGTAGTTTTTGAATGATTTATTTCGTGACCCGAAGATGTGAAGGAGAAATATGTTTGGGTAACGCTCAACCCAATTACTATTGACCTGTTGTATTACTCGCTGCCTGCCAACACTTTGGCAAGCAGAAACCACGTGCTTAGATTCAAGGGTCTCGCAACCAAGTAAGTCCCTTAGCGCTCGAAGTTCGAACTGAAACTGGAAGGAGTGGAGCTCGAGTTAAGTACATATCGTTTTCAAAGTCTACCTGTGTGCTTTGCGACGAACCCTGACGTGTGCACCATACACAAGGCGGACCATCGAGTACACACTTCAGTTTAAAAACATCACGATCCAAATCCTTACACATCACGTTACAAGGAGAACTGTCACATCTTCAACAGACTGCGCGTCTAAAAATGCCTGCAAACTAGTGAGGATCACCCTCACGCTGGGTTATTCGCGGGTACATTGATTTTAGTGCAATTCGCCATGCGATCAGTGCCAACAATTAACATAGTTGTGGACTTGCGACCCAGCAGAACTTAGCTTAGTGGAGGCCAAGACTTACATTTAAATGAACCGATCAGGAAGGCGATGGCAGTGGCCCACTAGTCATCGAGCACAATAGCATTGTGTTGCATCCACGCTTTGAAGCTGCCCACAAAGCAAATGTCCACTAGGACTTGAGTATAAATGCAGGTCATCTATGGAGGACTCACACATACCCTCCCATCCTCGGACTATATCTCGTCTTGCACTCTAAGTGGAGACACTATCAGACAGTCTAGCGAACTGCGACTCCTACAGTCATTCTCTAATAATGTCTGGTAACATTTCCGTGTGCTCTACACCCACGGTGAGCACAATATCATGAAATCCAGCGAACTACAACTTACCCACCTCATAGACAATTGGCGTAACTGAATTCCATCACAAGATTGCACTCCTCCAGTTTTGGCGAGGCGAGCAAGAGTTCCTCAGGCCCTACCCACTTCACTGGGCGCTCTATGTCGAAACCAGTCCAGATGTCGGCAACACCTACGAGATCGTAGGCGATCAGAATACCTACACTTTTCGTATGACAGAAAACCAGCCCTTCGAACACAAGGGCTACCGTGGAGGCTGTTGTGTTGGAAGACTCAACTCGGAGGAGGAGCTCGCCTTAATGGGGGATATCCTCAAAAAAGTTGAAATCTTCCAAGATATTCCCACTTGGAACAGCCATAATTGGGTGAAGACAGCTCTGAGGACTCTCAGGCACTCAGGTTTCTGCATCGACTTGGATGAGTCGATTGGAAATCTTCAATATATCATGCTCCACCAGCTAGAAAGTTGGTTTGAAATTACACATGGAGTTGAAGGTGGAGTCGCCGAATATCCCGTCCAATTTGTCGGTTACGAATATCTCGATTGTGTATTACACTCGAGGCTCCGGATGTTGCAAAGAAGGGCGCATGTGGGACGTCGAGGGCTCTACATTTGGTAGGGTGGAGAATCGAAAGAATCCATAGTCTGTACGTGTATCATCAATCGGTGCTCAGCTGAGTTATGTCTCGCAGCTACCAGACGAGTGCAGAGTACGCTAGGATATATCGCACCGCAATCGATGAAAGTAGAAATGACGTCTTTGTAGACATGGTGGTCAGTCGTAATAGATACATCTGGCCCGCGCGCCAAAGACGATATGCGATTTATCATTTCGGATGCAACACCGCGACTCCTAGTCATATAGTGAGCAAAATCCGGCGCGTGAACTAGGTTTCGTTGAGACTTAGCAAATAAGGGAACCACTGATCAGAGAGAAGTTTGAGAGGTATTGGAGGGGCACAAGATCAGGAGCCAGAGACTGGCGCCGGCGCCGTTAGGATTGCCATTGTTTTATATTTCAAGTTGCACCAAGTGCCTTATGTAAGTATATCTGACAACACATAATATTCAACTTGCCTACTAGTAGTACGATTGTGACTTCACTATCTTTCTCGATGTCCGCAATTAGGGATGGTCAATGTAAACTAGTTCGACGTCTCAACTCTCGACCAGTGCGGTGCCAAGTTATTACCCGTCCAGCGGCATGTAGGAGGTTCTCTTCAACTGCACCACCACAAAGTAGTACAACCGGGGGGGTACGTGTTTCCAGACTTTTCACAGCGCTACTAGCGCTTGGGATTGGAGCGACTAGTCTTGGATTGTAAGTCTTGCCCTCGAACTTTTTGTTCAACCGTAATAACCTTCAAGTTGCTCTCCTCTAAAGATACGAGTTCTACACATCCTTTACCCTCTGGCCAGAACAGGTTCGCGGAGACCTTCGTGCGGGGATAAAGGCGAGAAACCAAGGAGATTTATCTCTGAGCGAAAGATACATCACCCGGTCTGTATTGTTGTATTCCTTGTGTTTATGAAATTCTGACCCTTAATTGTAGCGCATTCCAAACAGCGCTGTCTCTTCCTTATCAGACATTCGCGCCAGATCCGTATCTAAAGCTATCAGGCATAGCCTCTCTCCTTTCCGAAGTCGCCTCAGAGCGTCGCTCCAGAGAGGCACTGCAGATTGTGTGGGAGCTAGGTGCTGGTCCGAGCGAACAACATTCTTCCTTGCCAGACGCCGAGAAGACGCCGAATGATGCGGTAGAAGGAGCGCCTGGATGGTCAAGTTACACCTTGCGCAAAGAGGAACGCCTTCGACGGGTGGCTCTAGCGTACAAATTGGGCCAATTGGCAAGTGAACGGAACATGGATGAGGAGGAGAAATGGCTCATATGGGCTGTAGAGGAGGTTTTGAAGCTATCTGGACTGGGAATAACAAACGCCGATTCAGATACGAACACAAAAGCGAGCGCACTCGAAGATCTCGAACTCCCGACATGGATGTCGAAGACAGACCTTGGTGCACCACTGGAAGCCCTTGGTACCCTTTATGCAAAGAAAGGTAGAATTGAGTGAGTAACACTCATCCACTTAGGGATGTGAATCTCTTTCTCATGTTAACATTGGCCTTTCATTCAAAGCTAACACTTCTTCCGACAGGTATGCAATACCACTGTACCTTCAGGCGATCTCCTTACTCTTGCCACCCAAAGCAAATAACGTATCAATTGAAGACCGATGTCGAGGTGAGCAAGAGTACTGTTGGTTTCACTTTCTCTCATAATACCACAAACAAGCCGCTCAACTTATGAATAATCTTTCTGAATTGATAATGCGTCGTCCCCCCACACCGGAAGTACGTGCGCAAGCCGAAGCGTGGGCGGGTCAAGCATTGGGAATTATTGAACAAGCACAAGCGCAGCCAAGAAGCTCACAATGGTTCGGATGGGGACAGGCCCCTGATGATGGAAGGGAGGTTTGTGAGCAGGCACTTGGCGTGGTGCTCTTCAATTTGGGGAGCCTAAGAGAAGTAAGTCTTTTTCGAGTCATTAAAAATATTTATTCATGATCCTTGCAGATGACGTGCGACTTGGATGGTGCAAAAAAGTTGTTTGAGAAGAGCGCCGAACAATGTAGCAAGGTGGGCATTAGGGAGGGCGTTGTTGAAGCGCAGGAAGCATTACGGAGGGTTGAGAAAATGAAGAAGGTGGCTTGATGGAAGTACTTGTGCTATAATGTTTCCATTAGAAACATGTTTGCATGGATGTTGACAGAACTTAGTAGACATTACCACCAAAATTTATAGTATCGGACTGGAGGTGACGAATAATTAAATCGGGTCAGCCTCGGTCTTCGGAACGTTGCCGTATATCACGCCGCTCAGACTCAATTCTTCTCAGCTGATTCCCGAAGCATGCTTCATAGTAATACTGGAAGGCATAGCCGCATAGGACACTCATCTCACAATGTTTAGATCGCATTATGCATACTCGGCAAGTAGTTTAGCTATAGATCTTGGATACTGCGCAGCTAACCTTTCTGGGATTCAAGCACTCGATTGTAACATTTGGTCAGCCCGCCGCCCGCGCATAACCGTTACACCAAAAGGTGAAATACTGAAAGCTTAGCTTTCAGTATCAGCGACTCGGACGGTATATGTACTGATTATGGGAACTCAGGTAAGCCGGCGTGCTTACATCAATTCAACCTTCACGTCGTTGACTAAACTGTTCTTAGTGTCACGAACAAACATGAAAGAGCATGAGAGGGCTTAGACGGACAAAGGCCCACAAAAATGGAGGCTCATCGCTCTTCTCCTCTTCTCGACGGAAGTCTTTATGAATTGCATCCCGCATTTTTTAAGAAGCTGACTGGAATCGAGGACGATGCTCAGCATGAAGTATAGAGGGTACCGGTAAGTAGCCGCTTCGCGACAAATATCGATCCATACCTAACATAATCAACTTGTTCACTGCTACCAGTACTGTGTTGCTCCTTATGTGTGGATTCATTTTCACTGGTATGATTGTGTACAAGTTTGAGACACAGGCAGGCAGGCGCCACTCGCTGAACTCTTTAAACATAGACTGTCAGCGCTAACTGCTTATTATCAAGTCCTGCGCCTGGGACGCGAATACAAGACCCCAATTTTCCTTGACATTGGCTGCTGTTGTATGCGCTATGTGCTGCTCAGACTTTTTTTAAATTTGCGTCCATTGAGGATGAGACCCAATAATTTCTAACCTTTGGGACCCTCGTTGTGCTTAGACTTCATCGTCTACAGATGGTGCTCACTGATATGGTTGAAGTTGGCAATGACATCAGGGAAGCGGTTCTTGATGGGTTTCCTGTGGCCTGGACCATCAGATGCGATTTTTATCCAGATGGGCTTGCATACATTCTGATGCATGATTACCGAAGCGCTCAGACTTTTTCTATTGACAGATCTTTTAAATCTGGGGCATGCACTATTCGAGCCGACTACAGAAACTTTCCCAGCTCATTTTGTGGGTGGTGACGCCCTCGACCCCGAAGTTTTCGTATTAGCTCCACCCGCGCTTATGCAGACAGCAGGAGATTCAATTACCAACCTCAGCAACCTCACTTCGTTTCGCGGATGTGTTCCACAATTCACACAACAGCCCTCTTCAACCCGTAAAGAAGATTAGTCGCTGTATATGGTCTGTGCGCTTGCTGGCCTCTCCGCTGATACAGGCTTTAATCTCGGGGTGCATACAACTACTCAAGAGAAGGGTGTGATAAGTAGTCAGTGTTTGATGACATTATTAGTTGCCGTGGGTTGACACGCACTGCATGACCCTAGACACCGCGCGCTCGTCGTGGTCTCAGTGAGTCAGTGACGAGCGTAGCGCCCCGGCCGCCATTCAGTTATTGCGATAAGTCCTTGCAAGGCGGCCTATCCGCAATCTCGTGGACTTGGTAACGTACAAATTTGCCTTATTTAATCCGCCATCCTTAGATTCTGGCCTAGCTTGCGCACTAGTGATGTCAAGTGCTTAGTATTCGGGCTTTGATTAAGATTCGAAACACTTACCTGCATCAGAAGGTTGGAAACCAAGGCGAGCGGATGGCAACCATTATAAGTATGTCAATTAAATGTTAAGCATCAAATTTTATATTGATGAACGTCATGGTGTACACGGATGATACTGTAGTCACCAGGCGTCAGGGATCAGTACTTCAGTACTTGCCCAGTAACACTAAAAAATCAATTTATCTGATATCACCTGACTTGAACTTCGTGTCTGAAAATCCTACACATCACCGTGACAGTCTTAGTGCGCTCTTCAATCCTGTGCTGACGAGTCCATATGGGATGGGCGGCTTCAATACTAATAGGAGACTGACTAACTGTCAGCTCTTCGTGCAGTGTTATTGACTACTAGTACGTTTGGTAATTGATCGCTCTAACCCAGCAAGTACTAAGTCTTGATTTTAGACTACTAGTACTGTTGCGCAGTCAAATTCCTGGGCTTTAAGTACAGACTGTACAGTCATGTCGTCGAATAAAATCCAGCCATTTGGATACTGGTGCCGACAACGTGACATGATGAATAGAGAGCCTCCAAAGATTGAGGCTCAGCGCACTTTCCCTCCTCTTGACGAAAGTCTCTATAACTTGCGCCCTCGAGACGCTGCATTTTACAAGGAGCTGACTGGAATTGAAGACGATGCAGCCCTGAAGCAGCATATTTTGGATATTCAAGCCAAGGCATACAAGGTGTCTAGACCCTTGAACACGTTGTTCTACCGTAGTGAAACTTATTTGTTCACCACTAGGTTGCCCCTTACGGGTGCATCTATCTTTTCTTGTTTACCAGGTATTTTATTGGACGTTTATGCTAAGTTAACACAAAATTGGAACTCTTTAGACGCGGATTGTTGGACCTTCCCGCTTATCGGCAAGTTTTACGTATCGGACGTGAACGCAAGAGCTCAATTTTTCTCGACGTCGGCTGCTGCTGTGTGTACCCCCTCCATATTCTGCACAGGATGCTAATGGACGGTGACTATAGTTGGAAGTGACATCAGGGAAGTAATCCTTGATGGTTTTCCTGCAGCTCAGACGATTGGAACTGACCTCCATCAAGGTGAGCATAGCATATAACCTCGTACATGGCTCACGGAGTATCTCAGAACTCTGGGATCTGGGGCATGAACTCTTCAAGTCATCTCCAGAGACCTTTCTAGCTCACTTCGTACGCGGGGACGCTTTCAACCCCGAAATACTTGCTGTGGCTCCGCCTGCGTCCATGCAGACATCAGGAACTTCAACCCCTGACCTCGATAGCCTCACTTCGTTGAATCCATTACGTGGCTGTGTTTCCGTTATTCACGCGACAGCCTTCTTCCACCTATTTAAAGAAGATCAACAGCTGCACATGGCACGTGCTTTCGCTGGCCTTCTCTCTTCCGAACCAGGCTCCATCATTCTCGGAGTGCACACAGGTGCTCAACAGAAGGGTGTCATGAATCGAGTATATAGAGGCATCGAGGTTGACATGTTCGCCCATAGCGTCGAGAGCTGGACTGCCATGTGGGATGGTGAAGTATTCGAGAAGGGAACGGTCAAGGTAGATGCTCAGTTCAAGGAGGTGTCTGAAGGTGCGGAAGGCGATGAACGTTATCCACTGTTGTACTGGTCTGTGACCAGGTTGTGAGCATGTTTTTTCTTCCTCGCCATCGGTAGAGTCTAGAACAGGCTATGAAATACAATTCTCGAATGATCCGATCAAGTGTCTTGAGGCAGCATTCCCGAGAGAACAGTTTAACATGGTAACGAAACCATAGCCGATAATGATCATGCCAGCACATTCATATCACTCGGGTGGGAGAACTGTACAGAACTGTAGGTCACCAGCGAGTAGTATACTTGTAAGTGACTCGAAGAAGGTAACCTGACCAAGGATCTTCGAATATTGTAGCAGCGCTCGGCGCGCCAGTCCCCAACTCGTCCGGAAAAGCTAGCAGATTTGATGTCTGTGTACAGGTTTGGAAAGAGCTATCCTTTTGTAGCGAACACAACATCTGGTAGGCTGTAGCGCAAACATTCTGTCAATTCTGTCATGCAGATGAACTACTAGCCTCAGCTAGAACATGCGCTAGCAAAGTCTGGAACGTTCATTGAATTCGAGTGGATAAATTATTTGCTCTATCCTAATATATCCTTGATTCCTGTGCAACTTGAATGAGATGCCGTGAAAGTCATTGAAGCAGCCTCAAGTCACTGGATTCAACATCTTTGTCAAAGGAAACGACCCATCAGATCAAATTTTACGCGCACTGGCTAAGTTGACGTTGTTAATACCGTACTTCATCAGACTGCCATGTGGGATGATGAAGTGAAGGGGATGTGTAAAGGCAGTGTTGAGGCAGGAGACATACAGTGCACGAAAGGACGCCTATTGTAATTGCTCTGGTCTGTGACTAGGATGTGATCCGCTTGCTGCTAGTAGCAACCACGGCATTAGCCTAAAAAGTGGAATCTCGTAATCTGTTCTGGTCAGGTGAAAATCTATAAGCATCTATAATACGTGGATATAAAAATTTACCTTATGAAGGACACCCTCTTTCCTGTAAACTTAAGATACACTTTTGCAAGTATCTGTTTCGATTGTCTAAGGAGTGGGAATATCTGGATGGGTCGTTCAACGAAAGCATAACGCTACTAAAAGATCACAAACGGCAAGCATCATGGCGTTTGCCACTATTAACAAAAACTGCATGTTAACGTGCAATCAATTTCTGCTAAGTATCTGACACAAGACGACTTGGTCACTTGCAATTCGATGGTACTCTTGGACGCAAGACAGCAACCATCGAACCTTTGAAATTACTGCGCGAAGTGAGGGTATTCAGAGGGGACTCACTTCAGGTGAAAGGTAAACAATATGGCCGCCCATTAATGTGTGTTATACCTGTGGGATCTAGCTTTCCTGCTTTGCAAGTATTAATCCATAGTATTGCGATATGGGTGCCACGAGACAAGACTGAGATCGAACTTCTGAGTCCAAGAAATTCATGAGAGCGCAGATACAGAGGAAAATACGACTTCTTAGGCCAAGAAGCTCCCACAGGTAATGATGCTATGGTAAGTTTGGTTATGCAATCCTAGGACGACTAGCATCACCATAGCACACCACACTGTAGGACCTACTGGTAAATTAATGCTGCATGCGGTCACTGTCGAGAGATTGACCATGAAGGGAATGTCGATGGGTTGTATGAAGCTGTATCTTTCAAATTTCCGAGTTGAAAAGTGAATCCAGAGACAATCCCAGAAGAACTGAGCGGAGGTCTAGCTCACTGAGTCTCTTTAAGCGCCGACCGATTGACTTTATTGCTGACATAAGCACACCTGTCACTTTGTTAGACTCACTCACCTATTCGCAGTTCTTGTACCGCCTCCCTCAATCCCAGGCATCATACTCATTGCCAGACTAAATTCTTAGTTGTCAACCATCGTAAATGGCGTCGAAGGATGATACGCAGGCAAAAGCGCCACCAGAAACCCGCAACGTTGTTCAATTCCTCCGTAGCAGTAAATCTGGCATGAAAATACGGGTCGGTGCGTTGAATGGGAAACGTGTCGATTACTTCAAAGGTATCTGATTGCTTTGGAGTCAATTTTTCTACCACTGTTCTAACCACGGCCGTCATCACCACCACTACCAGGAAAATCTGCAGTGAAGGCCCTCCTCTCGCCCGCCTATGCAAAAGTAAAAAACGTACCCAAAGTCACTACGGAAGCCGAGGCCGAAGCTCTCCTCCAACAATCCATACCATACGCTTTTTACCTCCGCGTAGATCGCGGCGCACCTACAGGCTCATCTATATCCCCGCGCCACGTCACTGTCGTTCAGCAACAACAATTTGCCCAAGACGCGTACTTCGTCTGGCTTTACGAAGGTTCTCAATGGACTACATATGCCGGAGGACTTTTAATGGTCGCGCTTATGCTTGCGGCCGTGATGTTCCCGTTGTGGCCCCCAGTGATGCGTTTGGGTGTGTGGTACCTGAGCATTGCCATGTTGGGTTTACTCGGCGCATTCTTTGGGCTTGCGATCATACGGTTGATATTCTACATAGTCACCGTAGTCATAGCAAGCCCTGGAATTTGGATCTTCCCTCAATTGTTCGCAGATGTTGGTGTTGTGAGTTGTGATGTTTTTGTGTTGTGTATTTTTGGTCTTAGACATTTGGTGTAGATCGAGTCATTCGTTCCGTTGTGGGAATGGGATATTCCAAAGAAGAAAGCTGGTAAGAAGAAGAAGGCAAAGGCTCCCGCTGGCGCGAGTCCTGAGGAACAGCTTGCTAATAATGGTGGGGCTTTTATTGAGGAGGTCGGTGATGAGTCCCCAGAGCAATCGCGTCCAGGGAGTCGCTCGGCACGAGTCGAGGAGGTTCCAGATGTGGATTCGTAACAGGATGATTGCATGTTTTTAGGTCGTGTTTATTATGCTTTCAGTGGAGCTGATGGGCACGAAGGGACCCTTTGTACTCATCAGGAGCTTTGTCTAGACTACACGCTTCTCACACTCATTCCCTTGTCCCAGTTCATCCATTCACCATGCATAGTTCGCCTATACTAGCAGCAAATTGAGTGCAATCACACAACACAAATGATATCGGAGCTCGGAGCTCAGAACTCAGGCTGTCAGTAGCTCCACATGTCATCTGCCATCCTGCATATTGATTACGCAGATTTCGACAAGGAATCCAAAACAATCATGTTACATCTGACGGCGGAACATGCATACAGTATACGACCTGGCGTAATATGCCCTGGCCTCCACACAGTAGTAACTTGGGATAACCCATGTGTATGATGCATACCATATTCATATAACAGGTATAGCATAAAGTGGCGACGATAAACGACAAGGGGCACAAAGCTTACAGCTTACCAAGAGCAGCAGCCTTGGAGTCCTGACCAGCAGCCTTTGCACGCTTGCGCATCATTTGAGTGGATTTGTATCCACGGAGACCACCACCCCAGTGACGGCGCTGCTCTTCGTACTTGTCAGTGCTTTAAATTCACGTTAGCATTGAGGTATAGGTAGGTCGTGAAAAGGGAAAACTCACAAGTTGAGCTTGGCGGTGCTGACGAGAGTTGCAAGCTCGCGCTGATCCTCGCTCTTGACATCTTGGAGAGTGAGAACGGCGGCGGTCTTCTTGTGGACGACAGTGCCGAGACGGGCTTTACTCTTGACGATGACATAGGGGACACCCATCTTGCGGCAAAGCGCAGGAAGAAAGACGACCAACTCAATCGGGTCGACATCGTGGGCAATGATGACGAGCGACGCCTTCTTTGCCTCAATGAGGGCAACACAGTGGTTCAAACCGTACTTGACGAAAAGAGGCTTCTTGTCCTGTAGATCATCTCCATCAATAACCTGCATTTACAATGCGTCGAATACAAACCTTGGCAGGTTCCTTTTCCTCAGCGGCAGCTTTGGCTAGAGCCTCGAGACGCTCCTTCTTCTCGACCTTGCTCTCTGGGCGGTACTTGTTGAGTAGCTTGAAAAGCTGTGTAGCAGTGTTCTTGTCCAGAGTGTGGGAGAACTGGGCAATGGCGGGAGGAACCTTCAAGCGTTGAGAAAGGATGACCTTCTGGCGTTGGAGGCGAATGTACTCGGGCCACTTGACGAAGCGAGTGAGATCGGTCTTAGGACGAATGTGTTGACCTAATAAAATCTATCAGTTGATGATTTTTCCAAAGAGAGATGAAGCGAACCAATGCCAAAGTTCTTGGGCTTTGCCTCGAAGAGAGGATTTTTCGTGATTTTTGCGGCTTTGCCAGCAGCACCTGGTGCGGGTGCGGGCTTCTTGCGAGAACCGGCTTTGGCTTTGGGGGGCTGGTCATCGAGACGAGAACGAATTAGCATGCGAAGCAGAGCACAAAAGTGCCAGCCTCGTAAGCTGCATGTCTCGGAGCTCTAGCGCTCGTGGATGACTGTGCATCCAACGAGCCCAGCGATATAAAGTATCATCGTCGTACGTTACGACTCCACTCGACTTGATGACAAGGATCAAGATTTGCGCTGAACCGATTCTAGATGAATATGAGGATGATGTCCCATGATGTTATCTGGATGAAGGACTTGCCATCCATTGTCTTGAGAGATGAGGAATATGGATTGAATGGTGCTAGGGTGCTCCGATACACACAGAAAACGATGCTTGCTGGTAACTCACCATTTTTGATGGTCTTGAGGAGTAGGTCTTGAGGTTAAAGTGGTCGATGACGGTCGATTTCTGTATGTCCAAGTTCTGTTTACACTCCGCTTCGGCACCGCCCGGCACAGACTTGACTCAAACAGTAGTCAGTCATGGAACCGCATATGGTACGGCATAATGTCTTCTAATATTTTGAGACGCATCCTCACAAATACACGAGTTTTCTCGACCGGACCCCCGCCCGCTGCCCGTTCACCATACCGTCACCTCCGAACACTAGCCCTCGGCGGTTTCGTCGCCGCTACCGGCTACGGCCTTGGTGCCTTCTACCCGCACCCTTACATTACTTTCATCTCTCCTCGCCCAGCCCCAGCACCCCCCGACCCCGATTCCCCACAATCAATCATATACACCACAAATCTTGAACAAACCCTACAGACCCTCCCACTTCTCACGTCCCACCGCCTTCGACCTGACGCCCACGAGTGGTACGAGACCCGCCCTTATGTTAATTACCCAGAGCAGCTCCGCGTAAACAGCCTTACTGCAGGCGCACTTCGTGGCCCCGGAAAACTCGCGCTTCCACCCCTCGTTCGTGCCAGGAAGGATGAGAGTGAGGCTCTCGTCATCGTGCATGTAGGTCGGGGCGTGTGTGGCCATGATGGGATTATTCACGGTGGGCTACTGGCTACTATTTTGGATGAGAGTCTAGCGCGGACTGTGAGTTGTTTGTGCCGACCATTGAATATGTCTTGACGCATCGTAACAGGCGATCATCAATTTACCAGAAAAGATTGGCGTCACTGCCAACTTGTCCATAAATTATCGCGCCCCGACATTTGCGGATCAGGCAAGTACCTCTTCCTTTCACGTGCTTGCGTGCTTGACAGGCCACTAGTTCATTGTCGTCCGAATCAGTTTAGTCGACAAGGCAGGTCGCAAATCTAAAGTCACTGGCAAAGTAGAGGACCTCAAAGGCAACGTACTTGTCGAAGCGCAGTCAGTCTCTAATCTTTCGAACTTAATTCTTCTTACCTATCCTGTATTACACAGCGCAACTTTCGTTCAACCCAAATATGCTCACCTGCTCAAGAGCAAAGCTGTCCAGCAGATGATGGGCGACCCCGAACCTGTTAAATCAACTCCCGTGCTCCTCAGCGAGGGCATGCCGCCTCCCCCGTCCAAAGCATAGAGAAATTTATACCATTTATTAACTCATATAGCGCACTGATAGATATACCTGTATCGTAGACCGCCCCGCTGCAACCCTAGATGTAACTTACCGCGGAGGATGGGACAAAGCCGTTTCCATTCCCCAAAGCACAATCTCAATAGCTTCCGTGTTCCTTGTCTGTGCCATGCCAAAGCTACGTCACACCTTCCAAATACCACATCAAGCACCCGCGCTTCTTCTAACAGAGCCCCACCAAATTTACCTTCAACAAGCCAGTGCATTCGGGCATTGGAGATTCGAAGGAGCCTTGCCGACGCTAATAGCAACGCTACAGCAGTTAGCGACGGGCGTGTGCGACGTGATGATCACGGTGAGATATGGAATGATTTGAGCTGCATGAGAGCCAGCTAGTATTTAGCAAAGCGAGGTAAGTACTCGTCGTAAAACTGGGCCAGGGAACTCCTGTTCTTTTCGATCTGCGAAATCTGAAAACAAGGGTCTGCCTGCTTTCTCGCCTAGATCGGAGGTGGAAATGTTCAAACCAGCGGTAAATGTCATAATCCTGAACCCTGTCGTGTACGTGCACTCCTTCATTTGTTGTCATCCGCGGATTTTTTGTGATGCGCAGGCCTGGTGAAATCTTGCTGACGAACCAACTATGTAGGACAAAAACCGCATAATCCTTGGGGCTTCGGGGTTTTTGACACGCCTGGTGTCGTGATTCCCTGCCTCGTACCCTTTTTTTACCCGAGGAGCATTGTTCTATAGTAAGAACCCAGATCTCTGTGGACTCCATCATGTGTCAATACACTGTCACTGGTCAGGCTTCCGGGTTAACTATCAGGATGATCTGGGATGGAGTTAATGTTGATGCCCCCGCTCAGAAGCACGGTATTCATTAGCCTATGCACCACCCAGATGGCTTGCACCTGAACTGCTTGAATGACTTGCCGTAAAAATATTTTGGACACTAAATATACAGTAAATCACCACAACTCTGTGCTAATAGTAGTAGTCCCTCACTGTGTTCTTGAGCATTCAACAACTTTGTCAGCCTTCTGATTCACATTTTTGTCTATTTTAGTGTCTCTCTTAGTCAGTAGTATAGATGTTAATGTATTAGTTACTTTGAATATAATTTTTGTATTTTTGATATTTTGACCATTGTGATGTCCTGATATTATGTGATGTGCTGTAGGGCTGCTAAACTACATATCTGATGTATTGCATCTCTTAGAAACTGGCACTCTGAATTGTACACAAATAGTACCTCTGGGTGTCTGTGTTGCTGTTCACCACTGATTTCAGGCATCAGTTACTTATGGCCAACTTTTTCGCACAACACAGTGGGACGTCACGTCAAGACAACAAAAGTGAATGCAACTTTTTTCAGTAGATCTCTCGCCTCAAATTTAACTTTTTCTCAACTTTGAACAACTTATTTTATGAGACCCACATGAAACAGCACATTCAAACCTGTCTGAATTAAAAGATAAGTAGTCCAAAAGTGCAAAAAGTAGAGGCAAAAAGCTCTAGAAAGCAGTTCAAAAGCACAAAAAATAGAGACAAAAAGTAATCTAGATGTAGTCCAAAAATATGGAAAGATGGCTTGAATTACTGGAGATGGGGGAATTATGATGAAGATGCATTAATAAAATGATAGATAATGCAGGACAGAGGGACGAAGCTGAGAAGTATTCTGTTGGACACATGGTAAGTAGAGTACATATTAAGTAAAAACTATTTACAGAGCAGGACATGTCTGCCTATTGGCTTTAACTGAGAAGGAGCATCTTGGGCTTTCTGCCGCTTCCACACCAAGGCAATTGTATCCATTGTGTACTTCACCCCTCACCTCTTGAGGAATTTGTAATATTCCGATGTTGCTGAGCCACAGTTAGCCTCCAAAAAGGCTGATGCTGTAGTGGTGTCTTTACTGGTTGATTTGTTGTGCTTCAGGGGTGTTTTACAGGCCCTAATGCTGCCCTTCACCTGTTGGTGCCAGTGCTGAAGTCATCAGCAAAGTTTTTTGGCTTTGCAGCAAAATTGAAAGTGCGTTTGTGCTGCAAAAATAAACCATCAATCAAAGGTAAAATTAATAGACACAACCTACTGCAACAGCACTCACCAACAATTATAGCTTGCATGCCCTTTACTTGTAAAGTGCCTGTGTTGAGTGCCAGTACATTTAGGAATACAGCAGTTGCATTGATGTGAGCAGATTCAATCATTTCTATCATGAACACTAACCAGTAGATCTGGTTGGGGTCACAATTCTCTGGATCCTCATAGAGGAAAGCCCAATTCTCGAGAAGACTTGCTGCTAGTTCAAGTTCATAGTAAGTGTCATTATCATTGTCGTCAGTCTCGTTATTTTTAGAAGTAGCCAGAAAATTAGTGACAAGGGCAATTGCTGTTGATCCGAAATTGCTATGCCAGGAGCAAAGACATTGATTGTCACAAGTACCTTTAACAAACCATTATTCATTCCTGAATCTTCCTAAGCGCCAATACACAGCACCTAAGTCCAACCCTAACCCTACAGTAAAAGTGTCTACTAGTTCGGAGATTCCTTTAGTGCCCACGACACGTGTCTTTGATGTGACTGATGAAGAAGACGAGTTCTTTGATTGTGAATATATTAGATTAGATACAATAAGATAAGATATGGTCACATGATGCTTCTTTAATATTCTACGATGTTCTATGATACGATTCCCTTTTCCTTTTTATGATTGGCTAGTAGTTGTAGCTCAGTTTCAATCTCAGTTTCAATAGTTGTATATAGGTAGCACATCTTGGTCGATAGTTCTTTAGTTCAAACCTCTTGTATCTACACTGTAGCAATCCAAGATGTCCTTGCTCATCATCCTTTTGTTGTGATAACCTTAGTCTGAGTCCTAGTCTCTGCCCAGCATTAATTTGTTATTGGGTTGTGACATTGATTTACCTTCAGGTGCAGGTTAAAATAGTTGGATATAAAAATAAGAGTGAAATATACCAAGCCCATAATAGGGCCTTTTGGCTGAATGTTGTAATTCATTCCTAAATGCAATGTCAAAGATGGCCTGGAGTGCTGGAAGTAATTTTTTGGCCTCGATGGACCAAAAATTTGGCTGAGCACCTGCCCAAAGAAAAACCATTGGAATAAAACTCCGCACCATGCACCATCCTCCAGCATAAATGATAGGAGATCCATGTTTCACCACTGACTTCCAGTTTTGGGCCTCGTCGCCATGTTAGCAAATATCAAGCTGAATTCAGAGAGAGTCGGAAGGACCAGTTCCAATTTCAGTTTCTTGGGTGGGTTTTGTTTCTCAGTGCCAGTGACTGTTACAGTAGTTTAGAGTATATATTAGCATTATAAAAATATATAAAAAACACTTACCATTGTAGTAGTGTGTGTTTGCTCAGGGACCTTTGTGACTGAGGAAGATTCTTCATCAACTAACATAGGGTCAGTAACAAATTCCTCCTCCTCCTCGTTGTTGTTGTTGTTGTCTTGATCATTGTCTTTGGAGGAGCCTATCAATCTGGCTTCCTCAATCATTCTTTTTGTAGATGAGACTGCATGAGGTTACTGGGCCTGCTCCAGAGCAAATCTTACTATGTCAGCTTGTTGACTAAATGACAGTATGTTAAATAGTGTGGATATGAGAACATCAGACAGTCTGACATCTGAACCCTCAGCAATCTCTACAATAGATTAAGACAAACTGATGTAAGTATGCATCAAATGAAGATGAGTGTCACGAGTACCTTTAACAAACCACCATTCTTTCCTAAATCTTCCTAAATGCCAATACACAGCGCCCAAGTCAAACCCTAACCCTACCCTGAAAGCGTCTATCATTCCCGAAATACCTTTAGCGCCCACAACATGTGTCTTCGATGTGACTGATGAAGAAGACGAGTTCTTTGATTGTGAATAGATTAGATTAGATTAGATGCGATAAGATATGATCACGTGATGCTTCTTTAATATTCTACGATGTTCTATGGTACGATTCCCTTTTCCTTTTTATGATTGGCTAGTAGTTAAATCTCAGTTTCAATCTCAGTTTCAATAGTTGTATATAGGTAGCATGTCTTGGTCGATAGTTCCTTAGTTCAAACCTCTTGTATCTACACTGTAGCAATCCAAGACGTACTTGCTCATCATTCCTCGTGTTGTGATAACCTTAGTCTGAGTCCTAGTCTCTGCCCAGCATTAATTCATTATTGGGTTGTGACAATGAGCAACTTATATTCATTCTCACCTTCCTTTTTATATTAGTAGACAGTTGCTCTTTGAAATCTTCATTATCCCTATCTCTATCTTCTTCATTGCCTCCATCCTCACCATTGTCCAATGTAGAATCATTCAACAAATTCATCAAGGAAAGGTATGGGTTCTTTGCAAGCGAGACTGTGGTTGCCACAGTCTGACTTGTCTTTAGGGTTTTGCTGACAAAACAGAGCCACCTGAAGGTTTGGTTTCAGGTCTCATGACAGGGGACACTTTTGACTTGGTTTCAGGTTCCACATGAGTACACCAATTGTTGACCTTGTCTGTCAAACCAAATTTCTTACTACTAAGTGCCCAAGTCAAGGTCATAAAGTGCAGTGTGGATTCAGTGAGCATCAACATGATGGTGAGAAAATAAATTCACTGACAGTAAAGGATTTCCTTTTTTGTCAGTACCAGTCCCTTTGTCTCACTGATCACCACCAAGGATTATAGCACCGATTGCCACATGCACCTTCTTGATCTTCTTTAGCTTTGCAACCTTGTTCCTAATTAGTGTTTGAAAGTCTGGTCTAGTCCAGTTTTTTGTCTATTTTAAATGCAACCAGACCTGGACTGGTTTTTGTTTTCTCATTGGCAATCTAAAGACTAGACTGGACTGCATGCAACTGGTTGCCACCAGTTGTGGTAATGTCATGCAGTCAGTCCAGACCAGTCTACACAGCAACTGGTCCATGTACTCTGAAAAAATACCTCATGGATAATACAACTTGTTAATTTTTGTTTTTTGATATATACATTAGTATGCATGCTAGTAATCAGCATCCCTCTCTCATTCTACTGTCAATGTCACTCTGTAAATCTGCACATCAAAGAAAACCAACACAAAAGGCTAGTGCCAATACACTAGTACCATGATCTCGCAATCCAAAAAACCATACACCTAACACTAAGCCCTCACCAAAGAAAAGTCAAAAACAATGAGCTCCAAGTCCTGAGAGCAGCGAGGAAGATTCAGATAGTGATGTCAGCACCACAGTGAATAAATACACCTCCAAAAAAAGGCAGCTGCATTTAAACGAGCACGGTGTCAAAGTGTAGCATCTACCAAGATCATGGATGATGCGCCTGATGTAAGTGAGCCAGAGGTTCTTGATGTTAAAGAACTGGACCAGGAGAATGAGAAGGATGAAGATGATGCTGGATTGGACACCAACAATGTATGATTTTGTGATCTGCTAAATATAATATATCAGCTCACCATCAGCAATGACAGGACAATGTCCTATCCAAGAAACAGACAAAAAAGAACAATGCAGATGACTTACTCACCATCTTTTCAGAATGTATCACTGTTAAGTTTTGTAGTCCAGATGGTGAAGTTGCTACCAAGGTCGGACACTGGTGCTTAGAGTGCAGGTCAGTAACTTCTAGCCAATAGTAGTAATACAAGCTTACCATTGAATCACAAGAAAGACCACATATTTGTGAAAAAGAATAGAGAGAGAAAAGTGTTTCATATGGGGTCCAATTTGTCATGTCATCAACACATCCACAACCATTATGAGTTGTATCATGAATGGTGCTTGCAGCAGGAGATACAAGAACATCATTATTCAGTTCCTTGAGTGTTGCTGAGGCAGAGAGATGCAGCAAAGATGAAAGAGCAACAGCAAAATCTGGATGACATCGTCCAGAAATAACCAAGAATGAAAGAGTTCTCATGAAGGAATATATTGCATGTAGTTGCTGAGTTTGTCATTTGTGATGACCAGGTAAGAGATAGTATTGACAGGAATATATAGGTGGCATCATAGCTGATGGTTGACAATAGTCGCTCACAGTGGCAGATAAAGTTATGTTTCGCAATTGCTTAGTAACAATGCGACCAAGCTTGATTTGCCTTCAACTCACAACATTATGACTCATGTACACAATTCCTTTATCAACTTCTTTTCAAAGCTTAAGTCTGATGTCCAGGTATGTTTTCTTCTCTATATACACCAGTGACTCCTTGCTGATATACATAAATATACAGAACCCATTAGCAGAACATGTTTCAACTACCACTGACCTTTGGTCTGTTGACCAGACTAAAGCAGCCTCAACATAGACACTTCATTCTTATGTTATTTCTTTCAAAGGCATCTCTAGCATGCACTTTGGGAATAATCTGGGTCACTATTTCATTGGATTGTGTGAACAAGCTGGAATCATTTCAGGACAATCATCTAAGGTATGTTCCTACATTACATTTTTTGAGTTAGTTTATTTTAACTTTCCATAGTTTTTCTGTGTTATCACTGATAACACCAGCAACAATGATACAACCTGTGACAAGATTGAGTAGATTCTTCACTGCTGTCACATCTACTCTTTCAATACAATTAAACACCGCCTCCTATGCCTCGCTCATGTCATCAATCATCAAAATTATCAATGTAGTGACTACAATGGCCATATGGGAATTTGATCCTATGCTACCTAATAATCACGTCCTTGGGGACTTGCTGGATGTTGTGGCTGTTGTGCAAACTCTTTCTATCAAGGTATGTCATCATATTCATTCTATTCCAATGATTCTAAATGTATATTGCAGATTCAATGTGTTACGACTGAGATAGTTCTTCTGTTAAAGGCCAAAGATAGAGTCTTGTTGATAGCAGGTTCTGAACTCCTAATACAAGGAGGGTTCAAGATCAAGGGTTCCTGTTAGATGAGTGCTGTGGCTTCTATCTAGGTTCAGCAGCGAGTGGTTTTAGCACTTCTGCCTTATCAAGGGTTCAGACTAAGACAGTGAGTGACTGACTGTCTTAGAGATCAAGTATCAGACTATAAGGGTGGAGACCTTATAGAACAGGATTCAAGGAGAAAACCCAGTAGATTAAGTTAAGGAATACTACTGATGTACATGAAGTTTATATAGGTAACAAGAGGCTGCGCAGCTATATCAAGAAAGGTAACAAAGATAGGGAAATAGTACAACCTATCAAGATAGCAAAGATAGGTGAAACAATCATGCTGTGCAAGGTAGTCAAGATACAATCAAGAAGAGAAGAAGTGCAGACAGCCCGCTTGATAAGAGAATAGCCAAGTCTAGATGAGTCTAGAGTTGGCGCTAGGTTTATAGAAAGAGAAAAATAAGTAAGGGTTAAATGTTATTGTAACACAATGCTTTGGCCAATATATTGAGTACTTTGAAACACTTCAATGCAACTGCAGTGTTGAAATACCGCTCAAGATCCTGCTTTACAGTAATGTCTGATGGGGGACTGCTGAGGGTATGTTGGGTTGAGCATATGAGCTTTGCCAGGTGTGTGGCAATGTTCTTTTCACATGTTTACTAGTGTGCTGACTTCATATGTAGTCCATCAATATGTTTGTGAAGTTAGTGGACAAGCTTTTCAGGCCAGTAAATACAATTCAGCATCCTGGAAGTTCTGCAAAGCATATTCCATGGAAAACATTCACAATTGGGTCTGTAGGTTGGGAACACATTAACGCTACTTGGAACATCATCTCCGATGCCAACAACATTCAGCAGTATTTCTTCTCGGAACTACAACCTACCCTCTGGTGAGCAATCCCGGCCATTGAGGAACTGCAGACTACATGGGAAGCCGAGCATGATGATTAAAAGTATGCTCTCTTCAAGCCAGCGATTGAGCTTAGACTGGACAAGGTCAATAAGTACTATAGAAGGTTTGATGAAAAACCAGTTTACGTCCTGGCCCTTGGTACATTAGTTCTTCCCTGCTTTATCATATTGCTGATACATTCTATAGTCCTACATCCATATTATAAATTTGACTATATCAAGATGTCCTAGGGAGATCCCAAGGAGCAAGAACTTGAATGCGCCGCTGGTAACCCGAATGCTGTAGACTGGTACGATGAAGCGCTGAAGATCATTGAGAAGACCATGCGAGATTATTTGAAACATATGCCTACAGGAGTCACCACTTGCTCCTTGTCTCCCATCAATCCACTTGCATCTACATCTACTAAAACACTAGAGTCCAAGTTTGATTGTCATCAATGCAAATCAGTCGACAAAGCTGCCCATCAACAATATTCTGGATGAGCTGCTGAGTTGCAGCAGTATCTAAATGATGTCCCTGATGATGTCTCAAAGGACACTGATGTCATTCAGTGGTGGTCGGTAGGTTATTCCTTCATTTTAATTAGGATCTCATTGTTAATATAGATAATCAGAATCACACATCTAACTTTCCTATACTTACCAAGATCACTATGGATGTTTGTGCAGTGCCAGCATCTTCTGTATCCTGTAAATGGTTGTTCTCAGTGGGTGCAGAGACTGCCACCAATCACTGGTCTCGTTTAGGTTCAGAACAATTTGAAAAGTTGCAGGTCATGAAGTTCGTTTGGCAGAAATCTGTTGTTGATCATGCTGCTTCCAACTCATCAAGCATTGAAGAGGTCTTACTTACTGACTTTACAGAACTTCTTTGCCTGGATGATTAAGCAGTGGAGTGGGAGCATGAAGAAGATGAGGTGGCTGGATCATACTAGTAGCTTGAATATGTTTGCCATACCATGTAGTTTGATCATTGGATGTACAACCAGTTGCATTGTAGACTAGTTGCAACCAGTTTTTGAGCAGTTCATTACCTGTGCCCAGATGAAGCAACCACTAACTGAACTTGTGAAGACTAACATACAATTGCAACTGTAGTCCAGTTCAAAAAAGTTGCAGTCCAGTTCAGTTGCTGGTTTTTTTTTGGTCCAGCAACTGGACTTTCAAACACTACCTAACACCCTCCATACATCCTCAACCATCATTGACCATGTCTATCAATTTCAAAGGCATCAATGCCCACTGAGGTCACCATCATTGAAAACCCCAAAACCCCAGCATTCAAATACGAGTCTAAGGCTACAGATTCTGAGGCAGTTCAGCATGTTTTTAAGAATATACTAAGGACAGTAGTGCTACACCTAACAGTTTTCCTTGCAGTAAGCCCAGAGCTAAGAAAGGAAGTGGTTGAGCACTGTCAAATACAGCGAGTACTCGTGTTGAGCATACCTCTATCTGCCACTATTCTTGCATCCAGCACTCTTCCACCACCCCAGATCCAGCACATTATGCCCTTAAGGAAACTCTGTATCATGATTAATTGTGTCTATTCAGAACTAGGACTGCTCGATGAAGGATCCAAGATCATCATGATTCATGAGGATATTTGGAAGAAGACCAATACACTAATCAACCAGAACATGCACATGCACATGCAAACCACAAATGGAGGGTGTCAAGAGATGGCTGGATGCCTAGAGATGTTAGAAATAGAAGTTGAAGGTATCAAGACTTGGGTACACACCTATGTCATACCAGATGCCCCCTACAGATTACTGCTAGGATGCTCCTGGCAGAAACTCATCCGCCTCTCAAAATTCAAGAATGAGGACAATGTCTACATCACAATCACTGACCCTCTTAACCCTTCCAACACCTGCACCATAACCACGCACCATGGCCTTCTCAGTCTCATGCACTCACAGCAGCTGTCCTTTATACCTCTTCCCTAGTCATCACTTCTCACTCCTCCCCCCTTAACTTAAGATTAACCTGCTGACCAGGACCAGCTCAACAGATATATATCATGCCATCAAGTCATTTGGTGATGACCACCCTCACTTTCCATCCTTCCCTTCTCATTTCAGATTTGATCTGCCAACAAGCTCGACCGATATCTACCACACCATCAAATCATTTGGTAATATCTGCCCTTATTCATTCCCCTCTTGACTCAAACTCAACCTGCTGACCAGCTTAATAGATATATATCATGCCATAAAATCAATTGGTAATGTCCACTGTAATGATGGTCGTGGCACTGAGCTCAGAACCACTGTTTTTGATATTTGTGTCAACATCTGAAACACACGCACACATGTCTGATGCACTTTGTACATGCCCAAGCCACTCCGCACATGTCCAAGCCACTCTACATTGAACCTTCAGACATCACATCGGCTAATTTCACTTCATGCGCACATGTCCATCTCATGTCCTGTCCTTCCGAACTAGCCCCACTAGGTACATAGTTAATTGTTTTCATGTTTCCTGACATTCAGACCATGTTACTACATGTCCACAGTGCCTCATGTTTTATTACTTAGATTCTCAGATCCAAAATATTGCTACTATCTTTGCCTGTAGTATTCTGGATTTTTACGTACTTACTTAAATACTCTGTAGTGACCTTTAGTAATTATCATCCAGTAGTTGGGAGCTGTTTCCCAACTCTGCGGATCACCCAGAATATTCTTGTAGTTCTTAGTTACATTGCAAAATATTACTGTTCCTTCACCATCATACTCGTGCACACCACTTGCAATCTAACACTCATTACATAGTTTCTGACCTATTTTCATGAAGTCCAAAAGTCTGAAATCTCGGACATTGAATAAGTACCCTTGAATATCATTAGATTACCATCAGACATTGTTTCGTAGCTTCGGACATTTGTTATTTACATTACTGATGCATTAATACTGCTAACACTATATAGCAACCCCTATAGGATCAAATGCACTTGTCCTACAGGTATAGCAGACTAGGTCATGCAGAAGATCTACCTAAATAATTATTGCTTAGGTAGCACTACTATTTGCAGAGCCCAGCAAATATATTCTTCCTACACCGCCTCTATTTATTTCTCTCCACACTTCCTCACTCGCTCCTACCAATCCAGCTCAATGGATATTTATCATGCCATCAAACTCCTCCCTTTCCATTTCCTCCCTCTTGTATTCTACTCTTGTCAAATCCCTTTTTCAAAATACTTTTGACATCAATGCTGTCTGCCACGACCTAGTATACAAGAAGGTAGCTAACAAAGTCAAACCTGTAGCTACCACTATGCCAGCCCACACTCAGATCATATGATGCTTTCCCAAAGATCCACTTCTCTCCCTTCTCCAGCTCTCTTCAACCCCTCCTGACTTTCATCCTGGCTCCCATTTATCCCAGGAATGGATGGATGAACTCGGCATCTTCAAAACTAAGTTCCTGTGGCCCAAAGAACAAAAATTAGCTGTGCATGTCCTCACCAACAATGAATTAGCACTTGCTTAGGACAAATCAAAAAAGGGGCACTTCAAGGATGACTACTTTCCCCCCATCATCATCCCTACCATCGAGCACACTCTCTGGGTTTGCCAACAACCTCCCATTCCCCCTGGTATTCACAATCAGGTTGTCAAGCTCATTAAGTCCAAAATCGTTTCCGGCATCTACAAAGCATCCAACAGCTCATACCAATCAAAATGGTTCTGCATGGCGAAGAAAAATGGATCAGTGCATATTGTACATGATCTTCAGCCACTGAATGCTGTCACAGTAAAGGATGCTGCTATGATGCCCTATATTGAGCTTTTCACAGAACAATGCACTGGACACACTATGTATTCCATAATGAACTTATTCATTGGATTTGATCATCATGCACTCACCAAAGAATTGTGCAACATCACAACATTCCAAATCCCACTTGGCACATTTTGACTCACTGTACTACCTCAAGGATGGATGGACTCTCCTGCTGTATTCCAGAATGATGTAACATTTATTCTACAGGAAGAGCCTGACATAGCTCCTAATTTCCAGGATGATATTAATGTATTGGGTCCTCACACTCGTTACGAACTCTCAGATGGCACCTACAAAGTCCTTACTGCAAACCCAGGCATTCAAATATTTGTCTGGAAGCATTGTATCAACATCAATAGAGTGTTACACTGCCTAAAACACCCAGGAGCTACTGTCTTAGCAATGAAACTCTTCCTATGTGTCCCTGAGGTCCTCATTGTAGGGCAGCTTTGTACTTATGAAGGACACAGCCCAAACACTTTGAAAGTCTCAAAAATACACCACTGGCCCCCTTGTAGCTCAAAAATGGAAGTTTGCGCTTTTCTAGGAACTGCAGGAATGATGAGAACTTGGATTAGAGATTACACGCCCATCATGTGTCTACTTACAAATCTAATGCACACTAACACTGCTTTCCAGTGGGACCAGGAATCCCAGAATGCCATGAATGAGTTGAAAAATGCCATTATTTCCTCCCCCATCATCAGACCTATCAATTATATGTCACAGCATGAAGTCATTTTAGCTGTAGATTTGTCTTACATTGCATGCGGCTGGATCCTCATACAGATTGACAACAATGGGTGCCATCATCCCATGCAATTTGGTTCCATCACCTGGAATGAGCATGAGTCAAGATACTTGCAAGCAAAAATCGAATTAGACTCAAAATGTTCACCATCGAGCTTGATGCAAAATATGTCAAAGGCATGCTCTGGAACCTGGACTTACACCCAAACACTGCAGTTAACAGGTGGATTGCCAGTATCTTGCTATTTGATTTTAAACTTTGTCACATACTGGGAGTGAAACACACAGGACTGGACAGACTGTCTCGATGACCCAAAGCACCTGAGAATGAAGAAGAATTTGAGGAAATGCTGGAAGAAGTAGAAGAGTGGATAGATGAGGTTATCAGATGCATGATCTGGAAGGAAGAGGACTTAGAACGAGTAATCGTCAATATAGCAACGACCATGCACCTTGCTTCAGCCACATCAAGAGACCAACAGAGCCAGAACAATGAACCACAAATCCCCTCCAACAATGAGGCACAGCAGCATGATAACAAGCTCTACCTGATCCAGTCCTTCCTCGACAAACTTACATTTCCGCCCACAGTGTTGAGCACAGATTGCATCCGGCTCGCCAAATGTGCATGACAATTTGTTTTTCAAGACAGATTGCTATGGCACAAGAACTCTGGAGGATGCCAGCAATTAGTAATATTCAAGCAGGATCATTTGCACATCTTACACAAAGCTCACGATGAACTGGGACACAAAGGGATATATGCTACTAGATGCACCATAATTGATTGTTTCTGGTGGCCCACACTTGATCAAGACCTAGCATGGTACATTGAAACATGACATCAGTGCCAAATCCACTTGGTCAAAAAAGTCATCATTCCATCCACCATATCCATTCCTTCAACTCTCTTTTGTAAGATCTCCACAGACACGATGCATATGCCCACCTCCCACAGGTGCTCATACATTATACAAGTGTAGTGTTCCTTATCCAATTGGCTGGAGTTTAGGATGTTAAGGAAGGAGACAGGAAGAATGCTTGGGGCATTCTTATTCAAGGAGATACTCTGTAGATGGAGAGCAGTAGATGAAATAGTAACAGATAACAGCACACCTTTCGTCACAGCACTTGATTGGCTAGCGCAGAAGTACTACATTTGCCACATCTGCATTTCAGCTTACAATTCCAAAGCCAACAGACTTGTGGAACACTCCCATTGTACTATCTGTGACTCTCTCATCAAAGCATGTAATGGTGATATTACACAATGGCCTGTTTTCACCCATCATGTCTTTTGGGCTGATCACATCACAACTCACAGATCTACTGGCCACTCAACTTTCTACCTAGCCCATGGAACTAAATCCTTGCTTCCTTTCGACATCATCAATGCAACCTTTATGCTTCTGAACGTCACCTCCCTCCTCCCTACATCTGACTTAATCACTATTTGAGCACGCCAACTCGCCAAACAAGATAAAGATTTCGCACTTACACATGAACAACTCCTCAAAGGTCGCATGGCCTCCATCAAGGACTTTGAACAATGCTTCGCCAATACCATCCATGACTACAACTTTCCCTCCAGTGCCCTCGTACTTGTCCTTAATAAGAAAATTGAAGCCTCATCAAATGCCAAATGCAAACCACATTATTTTGTAGATCACATATTGATAGATAATTTAAATTTGGCTATCCATCTACTTGAAGCTTGTATGTGCAATTAGACAAGAATTTGAGCCACCAGATTGAAGCCATTTTTTTACTCTGAGACAGATGGCCTAGTTGGAAGTTAGAATAGGTCATCTAGTCAGATGGTTGGTAGTTCATGTCCTTAAAACTACTCAGGCTTACTCATGTACTCAGTAGATGTTCTAATTTTGTTGTATTTATATTGTCAAATATTAGCTAACTAGGTATAAAGTATATGGGGTCTCCACGTAGTGATTAGCATACCTGGTGAAAGGTTGAAATGTACCTTTGTACTAATACTGCACAAGGTGCTGCATTGCATCATGCATCTCAAGTAAGGCTGATTATTATCAAGATATGACCCTTACATGTATTTAGCCTTTTTATTTTACACACACGAACACTCCTCATACCATGTGTCATACATGTTCCCTATTGGTTCTCCATCCCAATCAAACATATTAATTCCTCTCCTCGTCAAATAATCTCACTCAGTCTTTTGAACCAAGACTGAGGTAAGCTATCTTACTGACATCCCTACTCTACTCCTACTAACTACTACTCTACTAGTTTTGTTCTCACCCTTAGGTATGATTTATAGTTACCTTTAGTCTTTTGAACCAAGACTGAGTTTTGTTCTCGCCCTTAGTTTCTCTAGTCCGAGTCTCGTCACCTCTAACAGGTTATGAGCCCTGACTCAGACTAGGCACTACATTCGGTTCTCGCTTCCACTCACCTTATCTGAGTCTCTCTGACTTTTCCCAAACTGGAACAAGGTCGTCCTCTATTCCCACTTGACCCATAGATCTTATCCATTCCCTTGCCTCCATCACCACCATTGACTCCTGTCATTCCACCTCGCTCATTACCAAACCCACTCACTCTTCCCATTCTATTGTCACCATCGCCGACATGTTGTTCCACATCTGCAATGTCTACCATATCGTCATCAAACATTTGAATTCCAACATCCTTTCCCCATCCTCCTCTGGATGCCAATGGCTCCAACTATACTTCGTGGGTAACATCCATGGACCTTTGGCTCTCACTTTTCAACCTTTGGTGTCTCCTCTCTGGTGATGAGAAGGGTCCTCCGTGCCCCATCAAAAGCTCCACTGAGACTGACGTTGATTTTAACAAGCGCCTCGCAACACATGATGTGAGCTCAGATGTCATCTCTTTCCGAGAATGCCAAAGCATAACCAAGGGACTCCTGGGTATGGCGGTACACTCAAGTGACCTTATCCATTTCACAGGAGTTGTTGACCTGGCTGCCATCTGGAAGGCACTGGAAGACAAGTACCAGGCATCTGTCGGCATTCATTTCACGAGCCTTATGGGCCATATTTTTGACCTTCCCAAAGCTTCTGATAGCGACTCCCTTACCAAAACCATCAGGGAAATCACAGACATCAAAGCCCAATTTAAGGTCATCGAGTCTTTGGAATGGAAATGCAATGAATATACTCTTGTTCAAGCGCTACTACGTGCCCTTCCCGATTTCTATGCGCTGCTCTCCCAGCTCATACTCCACGGTGCTGATGCCAATGCCAGAAAGCTTATGCTAGAAGGTGTAATCAGCCAGGTCAGAAGTTCAGAGCAGTACTATGCAAGTTTTGGCTCCACAAACCCACATGCACACCACACAGCCATGGCCGCTAGGATAATGAAAGCAGGTAAACCTACCAAATGTGCCAAACCAAAGGATTTTGATGCTTCCAAGGGAGATAAATGAGAGTTGTCATGGCATTCAACATGCAGATCTTGCAAGTGCACAGGCCACATCTGGTACAACTGCTGTGCTCGTCTAGCAAAATCAGACTCACCAAATATGTCAGCATGCATTCCCCCCTCACCTTCACGAGGCACTAACATGTCAGTTCTCCCATCAGGACAACCTGATGGCACTCTGTCATTTCTTCGTCTTCCTACGCACTCTGCCAGTTTCTCTAATACAAGCATTATTTCTTTTCAATTCTACATAGACTCTGCTGCCACCGCACATATGGAATCCAAGCACTCCCTCTTCACTCGCTACAGAACTTATAATCCCCCCTTAATTGTGAAACTTGCAAATGACGATACTGTTCTTGCCCCAGGTTGGGGATTCATCACGCTAGCGCTTTACAATAATGGAAGGCATGAGTCCATTGAACTCCCCTTTCTTCACATACCAGACCTACGGTGCACACTGATATCCGTGTCTGCTCTAGCATCGGAAGGAATTTTCTTTGAAACGGATGCTGAAGGAGGACAAATGCATTATGCTGATAAGACTGTGATCGCACGTGTGGAATGCTCTGCTGGTCTATACTACCTTTGAGCCGCGCACACCCATACAGCCTTTGCCACCAGGTCTGCTTTGGCTACACCTTTACCACTAACTGTATGGCGTGCGCGCATGGGCCACGCTGCCAACTCCACTTTGCGCAAAGCTGAGAAGATTGTAGTAGGACTGTCCCTTGACGTGTTAGACAAGTCTGCAGGACCTGGCGACCACATTGACTGTCCATTGTGCCTAATGGGCAAACAGAAATGATTGTTGTTCCCATCCCATGCTCGGCACAGCGCAATGCACATCGCTGAACTCATTCACACTGATGTTTTGGGACCCGTAAACACTGCGACCCCATCTGGCGAAACATACTTCATTGCCTTCACGGATGATTTTTCGCATTTTTCAACTATCTACCTCATTAAGCACAAAAGTGAGGTATACTCGCACCTTCTGCGATATATCGCCTGGATTGAAAACCAGTCAGGACAATGGGTCAAATGCCTCCGCAGTGATAATGGCAGCGAATATGTCTCTCACACTACTATTGAATTTCTGCATAGTAAAGGAATTGAGGACGAACTTACGATGTCTTATACAGCCGAACAGAACAGGGTTGCAGAACGTGGACACCAGACCATTGCCACCCGAGCATTAAGTGCCCACCACCAGAGTGGTTTCCCTCATTCATTCTGGGGTCACGCTATCCTCAACTCAGTATACATCAAGAACTTCCTCCCATCATCGGCCACTGACAACAGAACACCGTTTGAACTTTTCTATGGTGAACTACCAAATGTTTTGCACTTACATCCATTTGGCTGCCTCGCATATGCTCACATCCCAGATGACAATCACCACAAGTATGATTTTGTTTCAAGACAGTGTTTCTTATTGGGGCACATCAAAGATGCAGGATATCTTCTATGGGATCTGGCAACATGACAGACAGTGCACTCTTGAAATGTCCTTTTTGATGAAAAGTTATTCTATGGCACCCCCAACTCGGTTCTCTCACCCCTCATTGAATTACACAACCAGCGCATATTAATGCAGCAGCCCACTCCCACATTGCCACATGATTTGCCGATATCAGAAGATGGTTCCAAAATCACACTACCAGGACCCAGTACCGTTTTAGTGGGAGTACTTCCGGTCTCTGCTCCTCTATCCCCGAACCTCCACACCCATTCCCGCAGTCGAATGACAATGTTCTTCCCGTTCCTGCTGAAGTTCTGGTAGAAACAGTACCATCTCCTGAGCCACAATGTTCGACACACGACCAGCAGTTCCAAAAACTGTGGCCATCCTAACTAAACATGTCCCAGTACAGCAGCATTGGACCTATGTACAGGTCACTGTTGAGGAGGAGGAGGTTGATGAAAATCTTAGTATTAGTGCTACCCCCAACGTAACCATCAAGCACTCCGTGAAGCATGTATCCTTGGCAGACAGCAACAAGATTGATGGATGGAAACTTCCTCCAAAAACAATAGCTGCCACTCACTCATCGATGGATTCGGGTCATTGGGAAAGTGCAATGAACGAAGAGTTAGCTTTGTTGGGAGAAAAAGGAGTGGGTGTCTTAACACCACTCCCATCAGGGAGAAAAGCAGTCGGCTCATGGTGGGTATACTCGCACAAGTATGACAAAAATGGCCAGATTGCCCGCCACAAGGCCCGCCTTGTTGCGGAGGGTTTCACGCAGATCGAAGGACTAGATTATACCAACACCATATGTGCACTACTCTCCATGGTCACTAAGTTTGAACTCAATCAAATGGACGTAAAGACCAGCTTTCTCAACGATGAGCTTGACGAAGAAATCTACATGTGTCAACCTCCAGGCTTCGAAGACGCTGAGCATCCAGATTGGGTCTGGAAACTCCTCAAGGCCATCTATGGACTCAAGCAAGCCGGTCATCAGTGGAACAAGACACTTGATGATTTCTTACAAAAAGAAGGTTTTAACTTTGTTCACAGTGAAGCAGACTATAGTCTGTATGTTTTACGCAAAGATGACAAGACCATCTGGCTCCTCGTTTATGTCGACAACATGTTGCTTGCATCGAACTGTCGGGATTTCCTTAACGGTTTCAAACTGGAGATGAGCAAACATTTCGAAATGAAAGATCTTGGTGAAGCATGTCATTTCTTAGGAATGCACATTACGCAAGATCACTCCAAGAAACTCCTTACCGTCAACCAATCCTCCTTTCTCAAACAGATTCTCAGTGAAACTCGGATGTCAGATTGTCGACCAGTATCCACCCATGGTTCCAGGGATCTCCTTGACGAAGTCATCTGCACCCCTTACTCAAACCAAAGTGCAACAATTTGCCCACATGCCATATGCGCGTGTCATTGGGGAACTCAACTTTGCCATGCATGTTAGTTGTCCTGACATCACATATGCAGTATCGGCGCTGTCAAAATTTTTGAGTAACCCTGGCATAGAGCACTACCGCCAGCTTCACCATCTCCTTCATTACCTCCATGGATCCACGCATCATTCCCTGACTTTTGGTTTGTCCAACCAAGGACTCATTGGTTATTTGAATTCCGACTTTGCATCTGATAAAGATGACAGTCACTTGATTGGGGGCTATGTCTACTTTCTTTTCAGCTCCCCCATTAGTTGGTGTTCCCAAAAGCAGTCCGTTGTTGCAACCTCATCCACTGAAGCTGAATACATCTCACTCTCTAACGCGGCCTGCAAGAAGATCCATCTCAGCCAGCTGCTATGCGATTTTTGTCTTGACCTCTCGCTGATCACCCCCACCATGCTATATGGTGATAATAATGGAAGTCATGCGCTAACAAAAAACCCTCAATTCCACAACCAAGCCAAGCACATTCGCGTCCGCTATCATTTTGTTCGAGATCTAGTCAGCAACGGGACCATCATTATTCCCTATGTACCCACACACGATATGATTGCCAACATCTTCACAAAATCCCTACCATGAAAACTTTTCCACAACCATCGACACTTGCTCGCTATGAATTCACAGTCAAATGAAGACCCAGCTGGATGAGTATGCCCACGTCTCTAGCATTTTGCGTCCGAGTGGGAGTATCAAGATATGACCCTTACACGTATTTAGCCTTTTCATTTTACACACACAAACATTCCTCATACCATGTGTCATACATGTTCCCTATTGGTTCTCCGTCCCAATCAAACATATTAATTCCTCTCCTTGTTGAATAATCTCACTCAGTCTTTTGAACCAAGACTGGGGTGAGCTATCTTACTGACATCCCTACTCTACTCCTACTAACTACTACTCTACTAGTTTTGTTCTCGCCCTTAGTTTCTCTAGTCCAAGTCTCGTCACCTCTAACAATTATGTCAGCAGATATTGCTGGTTTTATTGGCCTAAAATTGTTACGACTTGGATGGTATCTGTTGGCGACGCTCAAACAGAGTGTATGTCGTCAACGGTCAAGGACGTCCTTGGGCTAGCCCAAGGTTAGGGGTCTTACTTGGCGAGGCTTCAGCAAGTAAGATTTGACGCCTATGTCCAAATCGGGTAGCTTATGTCAAGCGGGTGCGAGATGATAAGCTATATCGGCCAAGGCTTACGACACCCGAAGGTTAATTGTAAGATCGTCGTTAATTAGAAGGACAGAAGTCCGACTAGTTAACAGGGGCTTTGCTCGTCGACGAAGTTGATGAGTAAAGATCGAGACTATAGGCTTATCCACGAAGAGCAGATAAGAAGATAGAATATAGACTGCTGGCGAGGCAGAAAGGATCACTCTGGTGAGAGTAGGAGGTCAAGAACCAAGTAGATTCAAGTTAGAGAATATAGTACATGGTAGCGAGTTTATATAGAGGACAGGAAGCGTATTAGTGGGTGATAACTCGTACTACCAAGAGAGGTAACTGGTAAAGGGGATAACCATAAAAGGAAGGCACATTCGAGGTGAGACACGAGTGAATCCTGAACGTGCAGATAAGAAAGTAAGTCAACAGTCAGAATAAGAAGTGAAACACGCAGGGGCACGATCGTGCAGCTGCGGAGCTAAGTATAAGTCGCATGTGCGACTGCGCACCGAGTCAGAGGTCAAGAAAGGGAAAAGGGCAAAGGGGATGCGTCATGCATCATATCATAGGTTACCGTCCGGACGGTAAGGGCAAAGGGACTGTCCACAGGATCAGTCGGGTGGTGGAATGGAGCATGGGTATGCTTTGTCAGTGAAAGGGTCCAGCCAGATGTACTGGCTTTGCTGAAGTGACAGATAGAGAGCGAAAGGGAATGCGAGGTTGACAAGGATGACCAGGGTAAGGTCGGGGTGAGGGTATGATGCAAGGGCTGATACGAGGAGGATTAGGAGAAAAATGGTAGGGGCCCAAGCATCTAGATGTTCTTGTAACAAAAATGAAAGGAAATTGTCTGCAAAGTCTATTCTACTGCCCCCCCACCAATAGATTAAGGTTTATTGGAGGGGGCAAAATGGAACATGTTTGCAAATTGGCTGGAAATGAACAGCAGCATTGCAGCACATATGCCCAATATGGTGATATTTATGATATGATATTCTAATCAGAATTTTTCAGCCTATGGAAAGTTATTCAATATGACAGGATGGCCTGCACCCAAAGGGCCTTTGCAAATTTGAGCCAACAGACACAACCGGTAAGGTACTACGGCCTCATGTGAATCCATGCAAAGTTAAGTCTCTGCCAAAACTTAACCAAAACAGCAATAACAAACAAATGACAGCAACAGAATACTACAACAACTTGACCAGTATGGAGCATCAAAGGTGGATTATGGGTGAAGCAGGGATGAAGTACATACACAATAATTTGAGATTAAAGATGTGCATTATCAATTGTCATGCTGCCAATCAATGGCTCATAGAGGTGCTGCTGAATGCCGACCACTGTTTGTATTCTCTTGCTATCAGGATGCCAGTCCCATAAATTCAAAAACTAACTCAATTTTGATCAGATGGTCAAATGGGAAAAGCAAAAACTTTGCAATAACTCTTTGGAATTTTGGGTGTAGCCATTTGTAAATTCACTCAGTTGTAGGTTTGTAATTGAATAAAAGCCCAAATGTCACGAAAAATCACACTTGGTCATGTGACATTGTATGGATTCGCATGGGACCTACCTTACATGACCGGACCGGACCGGACCCGAGCCGAGCCGTGGTAACACCGGCGGCGGCGTGACGGTGACAACGGGTTGTGTGCTAGTATTATCTTCCAGCCCCCGGTGAGGTCTGAGGGGAAGGTTATGCTTGGTTTGAATTATTCTTGTAGTATCATGTGACTTATCAAACAGTGCAATGCCTTCAGAAGGCTCAATATCGCTCCACACTCGAATCGGGGGCTGGGAAGGAGCCTGACAGCGGTCTACTCTGAGATTTCCCAATAGTTTGCTGATGTGTATGCCTGGGGCTTCATAGGAGGCTAGTACTGTCGTTTCTGAAATAGATCAGGTGCGCAATCTTTTTTCAATGGCGATTCGCCCACATTAACTTAACTACAGGACAGTAATGCTAATATACCTTTGACCAACTCCCCGCACTTGCCAAGCCCATGAGGTCATGTCTGACGCTAGTGAGTCAGATGCATACCTCAAGGCCCCAGTTGAGATTGTCGACGATGCAATTATGTGGTGGCGCCGTGAACGTAAAACATACCCTTGGCGCTCGCTTGTCACGCATGGCCCTGGACTATTTGACTATAACTGGTACATCTTTATTTTTTTTCCATCAGTACAGCATGAAATTTGACACTTTCTAGTTACTTCCGTTGATGTCTAACGCATATTTTTCGCGTGGTTGATTGCTTCTCTGACACGTGCGATCTTGACTCTCTGCGCAAGCTGCTGGTGCTGTCCTTTGTTTGGGATGTAGGAGCTCACTTGGTTTGGTAAAAGACTTGGATGGTATGCCAGTTGCAAGACTCCCAGACTTTGAGGGACTCGGAGAGAGACGAGGTAGGTTTTGAGGATGGTGGGACAGTATCGTTTTTCATGGGCCCATGTTGCATGCAACTACTGACGAGGTATATACATTCAAGTCGTTTCTTTGCATCGCACCCGGCGTGTTCTACCCGCGACGGGTCCACTACCCGCAAGACCCACGCATACCCTGCACAGTACCCTTGGGTATACGAGTACGGGTGCGGGTAGAGTCCTCGACACCCGCGGGTTTACCCGTGCTAATGCCTAATTTTGAGGCGTGCAGGTGAGTCATATGGTTTAATCCTTGTTGCACAGTGACCTTCTCATACTCACTTTGTCAGGATCATCCCTACTCGAGCCGTTAGTGGCTTTGGCTCGGCCTGTATTTTTTTTGCAGGCCAGGCCGGACCGGTACATCGCTAGGCCGGTCAGCTCTGTCATAGATGCATCTCAGTGAGGCCTCACGTTCCGGCAAACGATATGCATCCGCTCTGTAAAAAGTAGTTTGAAGGCACAATCATGTGTTACACAAGTACTAGATGTGAATCCATGAGAGTCCGTGCATTTTGGGGGAAAAAACATCTATAACTCCGCAATACATCCCAATAATATGTTGATGGATGGATAACCTGATATCAGAATACAGTTGGCGCAGTATACTATATCAAACCGTACTGATGAATCGGAAAACATTTGGTTTAATTCCACTTTGGGTTGTGACAGGCCGTTCATTAAGCAGCAGATAGTGCCTGGAGAAGTTTATTCTAGCACTCTCCATCATGTGTAACCACCGTATCGCAATTCAAAATTTGCTGCGGTGCGTGAAGGGAGTCACATCTATGTACAAATATAGCACGATATCCAATTCGATTCAATTGCACATGGTCGTGTGCACTACGTCGAGGATCGACGATGCTCGAGAATTATTAGATGGATTTATAATTGACAAGCCAGTACGGGATTTATTTATGGATGCCAACGAGTCCTACGCCAGCACATCATTAGGGGAACATGTGGTACTCGCCTTCTTCAGCGCCTTTCGTTAAGACTAACCGTGACGAGTCTTCAGGTGATGGTTGTATGATATCAAAGAAGTCAGTTCTTCATTTAATTGAGGAGAACTAGAGTGGATCAAAGTAGGCGCACCAAGTATAGTATGACAGAATGAATAATGACATAAATAAATACGGCGGGATACCAGTCAGCATGATGCCTGTAAAATGGTGCCGAGTGTAATGCAGAGAGATGTGCGCCGACTTTGCCAAAGCAGGGAGGTACGGGGCTCCGTAAGACTTGCGGCCTGAGGTCACAAGAATGACATTTGATTTTCCATATTTGGTCGGGATGGCGCAGGTGACGGATCGTGAGGTGTTCGTTTTGAAACCCACGAGTGAATATATATGCCGGGGTGAAGTGCGCAGTAAACCAAGCTTGATGGCTAGGAGCCAATCGATATGGTGATTCGGTTCGCTCTTATTGGGTTACAGAGGGGTCCGAACCCGCGCGGCTCGTCATCGAACATTGAAATTAAATTGCGTGTTCTTGAGAACTTGTCGACTCCCGATTTTCCGCTCATGATAAGTTCGCCCACATGGAATTGATTGCGGCGATCAGAAAGCGCGAGCAGTAATAGAATCAATGGCCTATGTATATCTTGAGAGGGGCGCAGGTTGAACCAGATTTAACCAGTCTATTTTCGCATCTGGTGTTCGATCTATCAGGAACGCAGTGAGAACATTCATCTATGCTCACTCCAAACCCAGAACGGCAAAAAGTTCCTAGGAAAGATCAATACACTGCTAAACGCGGTTGAGCGCTTGAACCCGTAAGTTACCTCATCCACGAGTCTCGCTCTAATTGAATTCTGGTCGGACTATCCCGTGAATTGGATATCGCGTCTTCTTCGACAACGCCGCCGACCCAAAATGCCTAGACTTCAGAGGGTCGACAAGCTTCAGCCTTCGTGACCCTGGGCAGGCAGAATATTGAAGGACTTGATGGCTTTTCGCGCGGTATGAGGCTTAAAATAAGTCATAGCCTTTCTCCATACATAGGGATAGTCGAATAGGAGAAAGATCAGCAGGAAAGTATCAATAGGGTACCGCCAAGTTGGGCGCGTGGCTTGCTTGGTAACTTCTTTCAAGCAGGGTCGGCAACGTGCCCAAATTTCCATTCTTGGACATTGTAAAAAAACATTCCTAAACGACACCAATGCATTGCCATGAGTTTGTCCTCATGTGAAAACTTTCATTGTGTAGTACGCAGCCCGTAATGTCCTCGAAATCATAGGTTCGCTCTCCACTTCAACGGTCCCATTTCGTCCAGACGGTGATGTTGTTAATACTCCCGTGTGCGTAATCAATGTCGTCTGGTACCGCGACCCTTTCCTGGTATGTTAATAATGACGGAACCGAGGTTCACCAATGCGTATAAAAAGGATTGGCCTGCAAAGTGCTGTTCCTTAGTGTAATTTTTTTAATTTTCTTGGTTCATCTTTTGCATACTCGAAAAAATGCACTCGTGGCGCCGAATTCTCTCGATCTTGGCCCTCCTGTCATCTGCAGTCGCTGTGCCAACTTCTTCATCAGTGGTATCAGCTCCGGCAGCTAGTCCAACTGTTCCTTATGCCAGTGATGACCCCAACTATCCACTGTGGAATGAAGACGAAGATATCATCCCTGAGCCTATCCGTGGCACACTTGGGGCTTCCATCCTTGGACCTCAAAATATTCCGCTGGAGTTGCAAAACACCGACAACTTAGCTCCTCCTACCACCGACAGTGGCTCTGTGTAAGCCATATAATTTACGGTGTTTCCTAGTTCTTAAACTCCATTCTAGGCCAAACTTCAAGTGGCCCTTTACCTTAAGTCACAACCGCCTTCAGACTGGTGGTTGGGCAAGGCAGCAGAACAGTATGTGCTTCATGCCATGGCTTTGTCTATCGTCGATTAAAACTGCAACTTGCTAGTAAATGATATGAGTATCGCCACTGATTTGGCAGGAGTCGATATGCGCCTGGAAGCAGGTGCCATCCGTGAGATGCACTGGCACAATGATGGCGAGGTATACAACTTTTTTGAAATGTGAAGTGCGATACTAACAGTCCTTTTACAGTGGGCATATATCATTTCCGGCGATCTTCGTGTCAGCACTGTGACTCCAGAAGGTCAAGTTTACGTCGGTGATGTTGTAAGTCCGTCGTACTCTCCCATTTGGTTTGCCTAAACTGCGATTCAGTCACAAGGAGATCTATGGTACTTCCCTGCAGGTTATCCCCACAGGTACGTGTTTTCTTTTGCACTGAGGCAGTGAGCTGAACTGCGATCTAGTATTCAGGCCAAAAACACCACAGCTGCTGGTGCAGAGTTTTTGTTGGTCTTCGACTCCGGCTCGTTCAGTGAAGATTCCACTTTCCTTCTTACGGTCGGTCGTTTGTCTGGTGCATGAGCTCTTGCCTGAACATGATCAATAGGACTGGCTGGCCCATGTACCCAAAGAAGTTATCGCAAAGAACTTCCAGGTAAATATTTCAGCATTCGACGAGATCCCAGCTACCGAATTATACATCTTCCCGTGTAAGTTTTTCTCGTTCCTGTTCATCACACGCATTGACATCTTTATTAGCTACACCTCCTCCGGAAAACATTGAGTCGGACATGGTAATTCCGAACGACACCCCGATGCCCTACACATTCGCCATGTCGCAGGTGAACGCAACGCCGGCACCTGGAGGTTCATACAAGGTCGTAGACACGCGTTCCTTCCCTGCGGCTACCACGATTTGTAGTGCTGAAGTAACTGTCGAGGTGGGCGGTATGAGGTTTGTGATTCCTATTTGTCCTTCTCAGGACCCGAGCTAACGACTGTTGTCTGATAGGGAGCTTCACGTGAGGAAATCATTCTGTCTCGAGAATACAGTATCTCTAAACTTTATTTGTGAAGTGGCACCCCACGGAACCTGAGTGGACTTTCTTCATGTGCGTATCAGGTTTACCTGAGATTTAGTCCAACTAAACCCTTTCCAGTTCGGGCCAGGCTCGCATGACCGTTTACGCATCCTCTTCTCAAGCAAACACAATCGACTTCCAAGTAAGTTTACCCGAATCTCTGTGATTCGGCGGTTATAACAGCGAGTGCTTCTCTGCTTTTAGGCTGGCGATATCGCATATGTCCCGCCATCGTATGGTATGACTAAACGTGATTGTGTTCGACGTTTCTTCTAAATATCTTTTAGGCCATTACGTTGAGAATACTGGCAATTCCACTCTAGTGTTTCTAGAAATCTTCAAATCAGGTTCTGTATATCAAAATATATGCCGCGTGTCAATCTCATCATCATTCTACAGGATTGTTCCAGGATATTTCTCTCACTCAGTGGCTCGCACTGACGCCACACGAGCTTGTCAAAGCACATCTCGGTCTTTCTGACGCTGTCATTGACAGCTTTTCAAGGGTCAAACAGGAGGTCGTCGGTCCCACATATTAATCAACTTCGGCGCTCTGGACTTATTTATCGGAACGATAACACAAATAATTTGTCACGTACTTGTACGAGTTTTTGAGCGTTAGCACGACCTGTGAATTTTGTGATCGTACTGAAGATTTTTTATTCCTTATCATTTAGAATTTGTGATCCTTATTATGATCATGTTATTTTGACTTTCAAGTCATACTTGTAGCCAATATCAAGTTGACTGATTCCCAGATTCCTTGAAACCTTGGTGTGATCAGTCTAGGTCGGAATTGAGCTCCGAGGTTTGTTTGTTCAGTTATGTAACTTGATAATATAAGCGCTTTGAGAGTTTCAGGTTGACTAGTGCTAGTGCTAGTATGCAACTTACCTTGTCCCGGGAGCTTGTCGCCACGCTTACTATGCCATACGAGTTGCAAGCTTGTTGTGCATGTGAATACATCCAATGATTGAATGGACTTACAAGCTGTAGTTGTTACCAGAAACGTCCAAAGTAGGACCCCGTAAGCATGTGAGTGTCACCTTCCGAATCCCGTGGGAGACTCTGCCTCTGTTAATTTCACTCGACAGAAAGCAATGGTAAAATAAAAGTCAATCAAGTGAAGTCTACCGTAGGATGGCCTCAAAGTCATTTTTCATGTCTCCGAACCCAATGATTATACTTGCGAAGCACTCCATAATTAAGGTCAGTGAGAAGAAATTGTACACTCCAACTCGTGCTAAGCTGTAAATGAAGTAAACCTTGTTCTATTTTTCAAATTTTCCGAATCGATGGATCACTTGTCGTTCCATCTTTCACAGCTTCATCACCGAAGATGAGCGTCTCCGAGTCCGAGCCTGATGATCTCGGCATGACGGTTCATGAAGATGGCGACACATCGTTCGTCGTCTCGCTCGAGAACAGGAGCAGATATACTCTTGTGGCTTGTTTGCATTTCGAGAGGCAATCCAAGGGAACCGAATATAGTTTTGTAAACGGCAGACACGACGTCGGTGCAAGACAGGCAGTATCATACGCGGGCTTTCAAATCTAGTGAGACTGCATGGCGGCATGTTGAGCCTCGTGCTCGAACGAGCATGATTCTAAGCTTGATGCTTACGGGGTCCTACTTCGCATGTTTCCGAGACGCATGTTTCGAATATTTGACTTGCGTTATTTCCACACAACATTAATATTGCAATCAGCTGTGATTTTTACTATGGCGAGCTTGGCGTGATTTCGAAGAGCAGTCTCAGGAGAAATCTGCTTTTAGGCAGTAGTTTCTACAAGATATGTATATCCAGAAACGTAAAAGTTTACACCCTTGACGGCAACAATTCTTCTAAGTTCGGGGAATGCATTCAACATAATTGAACTAAATGCCAAGTGATGTTTTTTTTTGGCCTAGTACCATTTCATGTGCTAGAGGGGCAGTACCAATCCCCTCATGTCTTTGTTTTGTCGAAAGTCTCTTCGGAAGAGGGCTGAGCAGTACGTAATTCGTACTAGCGTCTCCTGAGTGCGGCGCCCTCAAGCCCTGCACCACCGGGTAGCTATTGAGACTAAACCTCTTACACACAAAACGATAGAAATCAGAGCGTACATCGGATCAGAGTATATGCATAACATATATTCCAGAGTCTCTTGGCTCTCAATATTTGATGTGATGAGGGCGAAGGCAATGCGGCTGGAAACATTAACAATTTCGGCCATAGTCCATATATACTTTCTAACAAATACCAAGACAATAAGTAAATGATTCATTTCGTCGATAATCCGGGCGCGTGCTTAACGGACGGTTCAAGATAACCACACTACTGTTGGCATTATGAGACACCATCACACCACCATGCCGCTTTGCAAAAGAATCCCACCGGATCTCATGGTGGTGCGTGTGCCAATCTGCATTTGCCATGACAATGGACAATGGACGCCCACTATCAAGGAGTCATGTTATTGGTGTGGCATCTCTGGATAGGCCCCATCAGTGAGATTTGTCTGATGACGGGCCAGGCAATGGTGTGCTGACAATCTAACTTGAAGAAGTAACCAATCGGCAACTGGACAGATGATATGGCACTGAGTTCATTGAGAGGCTATAACGATCTCCTGACATTACTAGAGTCTAGGGAGGTATCTGAGCGGGGCAATCAGAATTTCTGTCATTTCATTCATGCGGTTCTGTAGGCCCGTGGTGCACGGTGTCTGCGTTTAGGCGAAAGATTACTGGCAAATAGATGAGTCGGTGGACGTATTTCTGGCAGGGTCATTGCTATGGTGTGCCATCTGTTGAAGTTATGACAGTAAGTTAACCCACCTCAGACTTCCGGTTGCGACTGCGACGTATGTGTATAGTAAGGCTAAAACTTACTACAAGTGGGATGGCTTGGATAATATCACCTCGGACTTCAGAAGATCCACATAGTCTCCCATGGTAGCCAGATCATTTTAGACGAAGGAAAATAGTCGTTCCGCATTCACGAGTACGGATGTTCAACGTTCAGAACGTTCAACAAGTGCGACTCTTACATCATGCCTAACGGAGTTTGAAAAGCAAACCTGCAGCGCCGGGCCGCCGGCTACTGTCGGTCCGCTTTACTTTCCTCCTTACTCAAATCAATACGGAAGCGTTCAGCGGGTACATGCACTAATTCTAGCATGTTCTTGTAGATTTCTATTACCTATCAACAGAAAGACACGCACAATGACTTGTAGTTTTGCACTGGCAATACGAGTTTAACTTCGACGACGCGCATCAGCGCGCTGGAAACAGGCCCTGAAGTACTGTCGTGTACGGTCTTTTTATTCTCGTGCTTACGCTGATCCTATTTTTTTTCAGCCTCCACATCCCGCAGTTTTTGATGCTCCTGATATCGTCGAATGAAAAGGCCACGCAAATTTTGGTGCAATAGCCTTGTGACAATCAAAATGACCGAGGCTTTTAAAATTTTCGACTTCAGCAAGAGTCACCGTAGTCACTGTAATACTAGCTCTTTAAATTCGCCTCGCAAATTTGTCAGTTATTGTCGCAAGACATGGTGTGCACTGTGCAGTCTTGGGACGGTCACGTGGAACACACGTGACCTCGTAGCTTGTTTTGTTGCCACTTATGAACGTCATACACAACCATCACTGTACTGACCCAAATTCATCTGACACATGGAGAATATAGAAGACGATGTCTTTAAGCCAGATCCTGTGATCGTGGACTGTGACGTCCTAGAGGCTGCTAAAGAAAATATTCAGCCACTTGCATCTGGTCGTCGAGTTACCACTCTTTCAGCTATCCTGCAAACTCCTCACGCACAGCGGGATGCGCAACTACTCGCAGCGCGTAAGCGCTTTCGTACGAATGTCCAAATTGCACTCGAAGATGAAGATGATGATCCACTGGAAGCATACTCGCGTTTTATTCAATGGACTCTCGAAAATTACCCTCAAGGACAAAGCGCAGAGTCAGGACTTTTGGAGCTTCTGGAAGAGGCGACAAGGGTATTAAAGGACAACCGAAATGGTCGATGGAAAGGGACGTCGACATACCTCAAACTTTGGGTACTTTACGCGAGCTATGTGGAGAAACCGACCATCATCTACAAATTTTTACTCGCAAATGATATTGGAACCGATCACGCCCTACTGTATGAGGAATACGCCGCCGCACTTGAGAGAGCCGGACGGTAAGCTTTAGCCTGATTTCACGCGCAAGGCTCGTTTTGAAGCAGGATTTTCGTCGTAGGCGCAGTGAGGCGGATGCTGCATATCTACTTGGAATTGCACGTCAGGCTTCTCCCCTTGACAGACTTGTAGCCAAGCACAGTGAATTTCAGAGACGAATGATGACTGCAGCCACAATACCTCCGCAGCTCGCCTCAAATGCTCCCCCGCGTAGAACAGCGTTGGGTGTGACTTCCTCATCTTCCGTTGCAGTACCTTTATTCCCGTCTATTTCTCAAGTTCCTTCGTTGTCATCGCGAGCCGACACCAATGGGCCCCGACGTGGGCCACGGCTAGGCACAAACGCTCCTCTCCAGATTTTCGTGGACCCTTCCGGAGCAGAATCAACCGACGCCACCGATTCGGTCACACCTTATCCTGACATCGGAACACGTAAATCCCGGGTTAAAGAAAATACACCCGAGGTCAGCAAAGCGGCAGGCAGCACCCTAAAGCAAGCTGGTCGCACTCGACGAATTGCGTCTGGGTCGAATTCGGAGGCAATTGTACCAAAAATTGTGCCTTTCAAAGACCCTGAACCGGACACGGACGTGAAAGGGAAGTCTGCGATGGCCCCACTTCGCGTTCCCATATCCAGGCAGAAGGATGCCATACCGGAGACTCCCGCAAAGACTAGTTCCATCATACCATTTCATGATACCCCCGAAGTTGGCGGCATCCCGTCCACTCCTCGATTCACACCCTTTCGAGATGAGGTGGGTAAACTTTACTGTATGGACTCACAAAGGTGCTAACTAATCGATTTAGCCTGAAATAGACACGTCGGCTGCAACGCTTGCACCTGAGACGGTGATGAAGCTAAAAACCGTTGGGGGGCCTGTGAATGGATCTGAAGCAGAAGCATTGAGGAAAGATCCTCTGAAGAACTATTCTATTGAAGAATGTCCACACGATGACTGAGTGATCTTCCCCCTGCTCGATCTCTCTTTTCCTCTAAGCTATTGTCGGCTATGCTACATTATTATCTACATTCACGTTCCCCTCCTGCTTTAACGTCTTGTGGTGGTCTTGGGTTTCGTCCTCGGTTTTGTAAAAATACTCTTAGCAGATCATGACCATCTGTAGAACAAAGATTGTTAACCTCTACCCCTGACCTAGGCTACACCAGGGTGGCTGGAGCCCGTCAACTGACCCGTTGCTGGTTTCCTAATATATCTTTCCCCTGACACGATTGTGTCCGCAGCCCAGACTTTTGTTTCATTGACCAGTCTACACATCTGACCTTGCTAGAGACACTTACTAAGATTCAGTGATCCCCGCGATGTCATCCAAGCGAATCGCTTTATATCCTTGCTCTCCTAATACCGTACGTGGAACATCGACAAAGATCTCAGCTAGCAAAGATAAGGTTGTTTACACCAATGGAAAAACTGTGATCGTGCGTAGTCACCCTTCAGACACTCATGCTGTTCGCTCATGGACGATCCATCCCTAGATCCGTGACCTCAACGTGAGGATTGATCTTGATTATTGTTTTTCAAACTTCTTCAATCCTGGTCTGCTTAGAATATTGCACTATCAACGACTTTCTCTGGTCACGCATACAACACGACTGTTGCACGTTTCTCACCATCTGGCTTCTACTGTGCATCTGCAGACATTACTGGAACGGGTGCGCCTATTCTACGGTGTCATATGTGATAATAGTCGCTGATCAAATCTAATCCTGCAGTCAAGATATGGGATACCGTAGGCGAGGATCAATCCGTGAAAGGAGAATACAAAGTTCTCTCCGGGAAAGTGTGAGTAGTATACTCTGATCGTTGGGGAGTCTATCTGAATGGCACTGTTTACGATCGGTAGCAACGACCTGGCTTGGGATGGCGAAAGTAAGCGGATAGTTGCAGTTGGCGATGGCAGAGAGAAGTACGCAAAATGTTTATGCAGAGCGGACAAAGACTGACATTGGATTTGAAGATTTGGTCATGCCTTTCTTGCCGATTCTGGCGCTTCGACGGGTCAAATCAGTGGACACTCAAAGGTTTGCTATCACCATTTCTGTGAACCAAGCTTATCTCGGGTAGGTAATCAATGCTGTTTCCATTAGGCATCAGCGCCCCTTCAGGGCGGCTACTGCCTCTGATGATAATTCCATTGTCTTTCATCAAGGTAAACAGCATTTAAGTTCATTGAATGAACACTGAATTCTTCCATCCTACAGGTGTCCCTTTCAAATACGATAAGGTCTGAAACTTCTTTACGGTATGCGAGTATTGACTATAACATGTTTAAAGACCATCAAAACGCACACCAAATTCGTGCAAGATGTTCAATTTGGACCTTCAGGTGACCACTTCGCCAGCGTGGGCTCAGACTCGAAAATCTTCCTCTATGATGGCAAGACTGGTGAAACGGTTGCAGAGTTTACTGACAGCCCACACAAAGGAACCATTGTAAGTTGTGATGGAAGCATGATTCGAGATGAGAGGCTCACATTATCCCTACTAGATGTCCTGCTCTTGGGGCCCAGATAGCAAGTCATTCTTTACGGCATCTCTAGATTGCACTGTTAGACTATGTGCGCACTCAAAGACACTGCGCTTTACTAACTTGACTGAACTCGTCGTATCTAGGGGATATCGAGTCCCGTAAGTCGTTGCAGGCTTGGACGGTCGGCAGTGGGGTGCCCAATCAGCAAGTCGGCGGTGTCTGGAGTGGCATCGGTGATCTTGTGTCACTCTCCATGTCTGGCGATTTGAATGTCTTTGACATGCGCACGGGAGATAAGCCAATTCGTATCCTTCAAGTATGCAATCCTTCCTGAGTTCATGGTACTTCGCATGACACTTTTCGTACAGGCTCCACAAAAAGCGATTACCGCAGCTTCGTCAACGTCTCCGACTACGTTCTTTGCTGGGTCGGCTGACGGGCGAGTGTTGTCATATGATGTGGACTCGAAATCACCTTCAGATGGCATTCAGCTGGTGGGGGGCACGCTACACGCTAGTCTTGTGTCTGGCATGGCGACCGCAAGTTCTGGAAAAGTATTCACCACAGGTTATGATGACCACATCCGAGAGATCGAGGGATTCACATACACGTCTGTTGTTTGCCATCCTGCATCGTTGTTTTATTGAAATGGGTATGATAGGCCTGCTTCCATCCCTTCATTGTCGCAGCCAAAGTCAGTTGCAGTGACATCAGACGACACCGTATTTGTCGCTGGCATCACGTCGGTTGAAGCAATCCGTAACAATCAACGGGTTTGCGAGCTGAAACCATCATATGTACCAAGTGTAGTGGGTGCTGGTGGAACTGTGGTTGCAGTCGGTGGAGAGGTGAGCATCTCCGTTTAATGAACTATTATTTTTTCGGTTTATCGTGCTCAAGGATAAGCGCGTGCACGTCCATACTTGGAACGGCAATACGTTGACGGAGAAACTGGTACTTCCAGAAAGCGAGGGCACGATAACTGCGCTGGCGGTATCAAATGATGGGGCACTGATAGTGCAAGGAAATGTGAGTATCCAAGGATCAAGTTCTGATTCAGGTTCACGTTGCCGACATCGCATCTACAGTCTGCCGGAAAGATCGCGTTATATCACTCACAGAGTGGCGAGGTAAGCTTTACTAAAAACTGCACCTGATACCCTGAAACGATGTGATGGACCAACAGCGTATTCCGACTCGCTGGGACTGGCACACTGCGCGCATATCCTCCTTGGCATTCTTTCCGGCCCTGTCTCCGACCCATGTCGTTTCGGGATCTCTTGACACCAACCTCTACGTCTGGAGCTTGGAAAACGTTTCGAAACGCGTTCTCGTTAAGGGGGCAGGTCCAGGGGGCGTTAACTGTGTCATTTGGCTCGGTGACGCCAGTGTCACTGATGGCAAAAAGATGACACGTATTTTGAGCGCTGGCGCGGATGGATGTGTGAGCATTTGGGAAGTTGAGTTGCCAGGGAATTAGATAATATTCACTAGATAAGATAAGAGAGTGATGACCTATATGCATTACCACGCGCCTCCACCACTCACTTCCACATTGTCAGACATGCATAGTAATATCACACAACATCTGAAAGACCAAGCTAATCTAAGGTCAAACTACAATGCAGCCACTCAGCACGAATTTCTCACAGCTGCTGGTACGTTGACCCTATCTCCAGCCCGTCTTGCGCTTTGGCTCTGTCAGGATCGCATTTATGCGGCACACGCATATCCACGTTTTATTGGTCTGCTCATATCAAAAATCCCCTTCGATGGACCTGCTATCGAGGAGGAATTGAATAGAGAGACTCTCGCCCTGCTGACGATGTGCTTGGAGGGAATTATTCGCGAGGTTTCTTTCTTTGAAGGAGTCGCAAAAGAGTGGAGCTTGGATATAAACGGTTGGAAAGAACGGAAAGCCACGCGAGATTACACAGCGGAGATGGCAAGGGTAGCTTCTGTTGGTTCATTGGAAGAGGGACTCGTGTTTCTATGGGCAATGGAACAGGTTTGTACGCCTCGCAATCGACATTATGCTGCTTGACACAGGCCTCCTTAGGTATACCTCGACGCATGGAAGTATGTCAAATCCCTGTTCCCTCCTCAAAGTGACTCAGAAGACTATACTGCGAATGCGATCCGCCAATTCACAAACAACTGGACGACACCGGAGTTCGAAGAATTTGTCCAGAAGTTGGAGGCTCTGACAAACAGGCACTTCGCAAGACGCCACCATGGGCATTCGCGCTCAGCTGTACGTGCGATGGAGAGTATTTGGGAGAGAGTTGTGGAACTTGAGGAGAAGTTTTGGCCTGAGGAGGGAGAGGACACCTGTTTAAGCTCTAAAACCTTTTGAGGTCGAACACATTGAAATAATGCCGCTTGATTAGTATAAGAGTATATTGTAGGAGAGGAAACTCATGTATCATAGTAGTGTCTGTCGAAGTAGAAAACATTTCTCGATTCGCCTGCATGACAAAACTACAATACACATGCAATGCTCCAAGCTCCCACTGTCATACTGTGAAGGTCACTGACTCACCCAAGACTCTCCGGTTCCCAAACTCCGGAGTCACTGCTACAATACTATGATATCTCGTCAGCTGTACCGATTGGTGGACGGACATGATACTGCCGTGGCATCCAGGAGTTCCCAGGTATGAAAAATCAAACCAATCGATTCTATTTTGGTGACGACAACAAACGGCAACTGTGAGAGTTCGTAGAAGTCAAAGATTAAACCCCAGAAAAGTATGAGACAAAAAAAATATCCAGGTGCGGGTCACCCGTAGGGAAACGCACGGGTACGGGTAACACCGCGGTTCTAGGCTAACGGGTATGGCGGGTACGGGTACGGTGTAGGATATTCATACCCTTGAGCACACCCCGACCCTTTACCGCGGGTTGGCGGTGTTTGGACGGGTATAACAACGATCTGAATCTGTGTAGTTTTTGATGTTAACATCAGTTTCAGTGCTCGACTGGTGAAATGGATCACTGAAAGCAATCGCTCAGTCAATATAATCAACGACCGTGAACACTGCGAGCTTCTTTGTGCAGGTCATCCGAACGTTAAACTTCCATCATTTGATGTATTGTCTCCAGGGAATTTCAATTGATTGCATCCGTTTTTCATTTTGTATACTCACGACTCGCGAGAGGTGAGCTAGGTACGTCTGCCGCGGTCTGCAAATTCAAAGCATTTGCATGTGATTTTTTCCCGGCTAACGTTCTTTCTTGGACGCGTCGATGAACGATGAACGATTTTCACTTGCTGAATATATATTGGCCATTTAAAAGTTAGATAGGTTGACGGACATCTGATACGGTGAATGTTGGGCTTACGGCGACCGATAGCAATTATTATTCCTGCGTGCGTTGTTCTGGTTACGACAGCACTACTGAGTGCTGGGTAAGAAGTACTGATCTCCGAGTGGGAAACAAAAAGGAACGGATGACAGTCTTCTTCTTTCTACATAATCTGGCAAGGAAATCCCGGGCCAAGGCGGCGCAAGTCGGTTTATCATCTTCATTTTTTGTTTTTTTTTTTTTTTTTTGGGGGGGGGGGTTTGGGTTGATCCGAGTACGCGTAACCTTGGATGTGAATTCATCAGCAACCGCCAGTATTATGATCGTCCAGCACGCACACTGCGTGGATCAAACGTGATTGAGATCGAGTCGCTGCGGGTATGAGTGAAAAATCGGCAGTGAGAAATGGATTCATGAAGCTTGCAAAGATGGTTGACACTAATAGAAGGATTCAAGAATGTCTGTATAGTATAAATGGTCGTCTAACTTATCTAAGACGTGAATTACCTCCCATAGTTCCCACGGTCACAATGTGGACTGACGAATCGTGAACGTCTGAACGTTCAAACGTTCATGAACAATTCATCAATCCTTGAAGTGGCGAGTTGATATTTCCCATCAGCCCAGTGACGGCACAGCAAGACACCGCCGCGCGCCTACGGCGTACGCGTACTACTTACTAAGGCTCCTCCTTAGAAGCTCCTGTCCAATGTCTTTCCATCCCATGATTTGCGTTTAATATGCGTATGGACGATGAGCGAGCCACAGCATATCTGTGTCCTTGCAGCGTAAGACGGCCGCACTGTGCCAGTGCAATTAGCGCTGATCATGGTTCGTCACTTGCACACCCTCGGAGCTCCTTCAACAGCCGCTCCAGCACTGCCATTGGATATCTGTGCCTGATTTCACCAGCTTCTTATAGATTGCAAGAGGACTGGTACGCCGTTTGATATTCTTCCTCTAACCCATGACTCTCTATACACCAGCCGACTTCGCAGTAGGACGCTCTCTTTTGGATCTCAACGTGAGTCATGCAGATGCTGACCTCACAGATGCTGACTCCGTATTTTCTTAGTATGCTTATGGTGAGAGAAACACTTGTTGACTGGCACCAGCCTATCTGAATCAACTTAGTGTCTACAACTGTGATTTGGGTTCGTGTGGTTACCGGAACTTTTCTATACCTCTCGATTGACATTTACAAAGGTCTATGACTATATCATTACATTCAAAGATGAGGTGCACTATCTCAGATTATTGCTATCTTTGCGATTCTGAGCCAGATGATTTTGAAGCTGGCCTATCTGCACAAGTCGAGGTGGGGGAAGGTCAAGATACTGTATCTGGTGTGTCGCTATCTGCCATTTTGGCTGTTGGCGGTAGATACCTACCGTGAGTCCCAGTTCGTATTACTGTTTGCATGATTGAAAATGCTGTAGAGGTATTACAACCTACCTTACCATTGAGTGTGAAGTACTTACTTTAGGGTGTGATGTACGACGTCTGACCTACCAAACAGCAATGCCAGACATACTTCCAGATAAACTCATGTCAGTGTCTTGCAAGCATATAAGATTAAGAGATATCTCATTTATGTACAGGGCTTGAGGGAATCACGCTGATAGCTGCGGAATGTAGGTTTTGACCCTCATTCTGCACTATTTGCATGATAAAAGATCATACCTGTAGGGATGTTCATATTGAGAACGTACGCCATCTGGGGAAGAAGCAAGAGGATATTGATCATTCTCTTGTCTTCCTTCGTCGTATGCTTCGATCTCTCCCAAGCATTCCTCTAAAGATAACAACTATTTCACAGGCAATTTTGATCCCAGTCATTTATATCTTGACTAGCTTTGGCAACTCAGTGATAAGTATGTGTTCCCGTCGTTACCAAAGATTGACCCCAATTGATACATGTACAAGTATCTAAACCTCCAATACCCAACATCACCAGCTGTTATAATGTCGGCGAAAGTTGCATCATTGTTGCAGCCTATGTTTTACTAGTAGTCGGCGAATTTGGTGAGTAAGCGTTGAATGAAAACATCTATCAGGTTTGACGAATTTCTTCACAGAAATTCTGTTTTTCACGTTGTACTGTTCAATCAAGCATTACAAAAATCATGCAAACCAACATCGCTTGCTCAATATTCTCATTCAGCACAACATATTCTATTTCATCTGCGGACTTTGTGCGTGATAAAACGGTCTTGAAAATTCGTGCTTGTTGCTGAGGCCATTTCGCCAGTCTTTTCGCTTCTTGTCATCCTGACAATAGGGCTTCTTCCTGTACGTGCACCTCTCACAGCTAGTCTTTATGTTTCCTCTGCTTACCTAGTCGGCATGACAGGATGTGTACGGTGATATGACTTCAAAGTACGTCCTGTGTCTGTGTCACAGAATCAGATGCTCATTAGGATGGTATTAAAGCCTCCAGGTCACTGTACACGCCCTGCTCGTTACAAGAATGCATCTGCTGCTCTGGAAGTCGGATCATGCACAGAGGGCCGTCCTTGGTGACGATATAGCCCTGGATGTATTAGATCAAGCTTCTAGAAGTTGCAATGAGGATCGGTACAGAAATGTTTTGGACATTCGACCTGGTCCCCATTAGGTTCCAACAAGTTGCGTGACTGCTGTAGTCTGTAGAGACACGTAGTTGCATACTAATCGTTAAGTATTAAGTTATAAGTAATTAGTTACATTCAACATCACGTGCACGTGTCAGTCACGCGTCCGTCACGACCCTATCAATGTCATTAGATTCGATTCGACTCATGACTCTCAGCGACTGCGAATATTGTCGAGATTGCTGACAACTTCCAGTCTCACGAGATGAGTTCTTCCAGCACATCTCCAACTGCACAAGATATCTGGAAGTGGACATTCACTAAAGAAGCCATCGCTCCATGCTTCATTAGAGACGTCCTCTCGATGAAGGAATCCAACGCCAGAGGTCTGCCTCGTCTCTTTGACCGCACAATCTACCTAAAACACTGTGTATCTAGATGCCGACTTTTACTGGCTGGGACACATCCCGTGTCGAACAGTGTTCATTGTCGGTATAGTGGTTGGAATCCAGGACTACGAAAAACGGACGTTGTACACTAGTAAGTGAACATTTTTGTGGCTAAGCTTTTTAAGTATTAACTGAGCTTGATTAACAGTTGACGACTCTACGGCTGTCATAGACTGCGTGCTTCGTCATGTCCCACCTAAAGCTCCAACGAATGCTGATGCAAGTCGCTCGGTTCAGAAATCAAAATGGGAGGCGACTTCGCCTATTCTTCCTCCGCCACCACCCACGCCTGTTACTGCTATCGGCTACCCAGTACAAATAATTGGCAAAGTTTCTCGGTTTCACGATACGAGGCAAATAATAGCTGAATCTATTGGTAAGTGCTACGCCAGTATCTTATACTGCAAGCTGAGCGTGTTCTCATGACTACTTTTCACGAACGCAATATGGGAATGAACTTGAAGAACCCTGCCAGTCGACTAATGACCAATGGAAACACTGGAAAACCGTTGCGGAGCTTCACAAGTCGAGATACTCCGTGCTCAAACCATTTGAGATACCAGCGCCTCTTGCTGTTTCTTCATATGAGACTGGTTCGAAAGAGCCTGGAAATTGGCATGAAAGGAGACTACCAGCTGCGGCATCTAACGTTATATCTTCTTCCAACACTTGTGCGTTGGTATCTGGGACGGGTATACCCGTGCCCCGCACGCCATTGAAGCGTCCAGCACACCACCATGCCCCATCCTCACCGCTTACGGATAGCACAACCTCCGTCCCATCCAGTCCAATCAAACATGGATCTACAGTAAGTGTGCTGCACTGTATATAACCATCATCCAACTCTTCATTTTTAGGACCCACCGAAACTTCGTCACCCTTCCCGGTTACATGCGCGGGACCTGACTGAGAACACATTTCGATTATACCTTAAGCATTACATGGATAACGCTATTGTGGCCCCCGATTGGGACACAGATGATGATTCATTCTCGACGCCGACTAAGCGCCCGCGCGTTCCATTGGACCAGACTCCCAAGGCACGAACGGTGTGCGCGATGCATGACATGACGCCACGCGCATCTGCTCTTCATGATAGTGCTCCCCATCGCCCTGCATTCACACTCTCGCACCTACGCCGCGTCCCGGAACTCGCACTCCTGGCTTGCCGGGTGGTTCATAACGAGATGAAGCGTCGTGCCCGAGCAGAAAGGGATGTAGAGAAAGACAAAGCTATACAGACACAGAAGACCTCGAAACCTACGCATGGACCCTTCTCGAAAAATCTTGCACATTCACAAATGAGGACCAAGCCTACGGATGTGCCGCGTGTGAAGATGAAGCGCCTGTTTTCATGGGCGGTGTTAAAGCTATATGAAGAGGGTAGCATCGTGCTCTGGGACAAACCACTGATGCCCGTCCCTGTCTCCGGTTCTCGTGTTCCTGGGTCTGGCGACACAAACGGGTTGTGGAAGACTGTGAACAACACCGCTACTTGCTCAAGTGCGAATGACTCTGTGTTTTCAACCGCCAATAGCACGATGTTTTCCTCTACCGGTGCTTCTTCGTCCAAGTTCGTCATGTCTGAAGAAGATGCCTATCTTTCAGATCCACCGATGTATGAGGAAGATGAAGCTTATGTTTCTGTGACGCCGGCATTGCTTGCTGCACCTGTGCGAGAGATCATGCGTGCGAAGGGGATGCGAAGCAAGAGTGCCAAGGTCGGAGCGGAGGAGATCACCAGGTGTCTGAGAAGAGAGGATGCACGCTGGGCGCGAATTGGGGCATGGGCTGTGGAAGAGACCATGGAGATGATTCTTGGAGAGTGGAAGTAAGTTAGTCGCGTTTTGTTTGGGGTCGATTGTGTCTGGGTTCGCAGTGTAGTAGCATATGATGTCTCTAACAGTATAATATAGCATACAAGGTAGTGAATGTATGGATTGCTCTTTTTGTACAGGTGGGCATATCTATGTTGGATGAAAGTTGCACTGTAAAACGCAAGTAGACCGGGACTGGGTACCGGCGAAGTATTACATAAGTCGAGACGCGACGCGTTTGTCTACATTTGTTTGGACAAATGCTATACCAGCCATACACCCGAATAGGTTTACATTTGATTTATCAAAACAAAAGGCAAACCCGGTATAACTTTCACTATAAACGGAATCACCTCTACTTCAGGACGCACATCAAAATCCCCAAAATGGCAACCTTGGATGCCCAGGAAATAAGAGAAATAATTGAGCGCTTTCGAGTTCTGATCGTAGGGAGAGCAAACGCAGGCAAAACGACCATTCTTCAGAAGGTCTGCAACACTACAGATGAACCAGAAATCTACGATGCCAAAGGAAGAAAGGTGCGCGTGATGATCTATGCTATGCGTCTACTGCTGATCAATCGTGAGTAGATCGATGCTGACGTCGTAAAATCCTCGATCAAGGTGTGTGCACCAATTGTCCTGTGCATATAGGCTATGCGCTGACGGACTTGGATCCTCAGCGCGGAAATCACAACATCTCAAACGAAATGGTGTTCAAAAGCAATCCTGGTTTTGTCTTTCATGACTCTTGCGGTTTTGAAGCGGGCTCTGAAGGAGAGTTTGAGGACATGAAGAAATTCGTCTCAGAACGCGTACACGCGAAGAAACTGGAGGAGCGAATCCATGCCATCTGGCAAGTAACTACCTTCTGATATTTTGCGCTTGTTGATTGCCATCAGGTATTGTATTCCGATGGACGAACCAAGTCGAACATTCCAGCGGTCGGAGGAGAAGTTCTTCTTGGAGTGCGACACTGGGCATGGTAAGCTTTTAATTTTATTGTCACTTGCCATGCTTCGACTAAATCATGATGCTTCAGTTCCTGTGGTTGTAGTGTTCACCAAGTTCGAGGCTCTGCGTCCATTCGCGTATGGTGAACTCAAGAAGCAACTAAAAGACATATCCGCAGAAGAACGCTCAAAGAGGATTGCAAAACGCGTCGAAGAGCTGTTCACTCAGACAGGTGTCTGTGATAGGTTATGTGACTCTGAAAACCGCACCCGTCCTAAGTTCTACGTACGCTTGGAGAGTAAGTGATTCAGCTTTGACTCGTCTCATGTCAAAGTTGACGTTAGTAACCGTCCTAGATATGAACAAGCCAAATACAAATTGTAACACTCTACTGGAACGCACCACCTTCGCACTGGATAACGAAGAATTACGGTTGTGCTTGGTATCGACACAACAATCAAACCTGGAACTTTGTATAAAATGCGCCGTTGCGTGAGTCACAGATTTTATAGATCACATTTTTGTTCCAACATCATCTAGAACACTTGTTGATCATGCACATAAACTATTTGGGCTACTTCGAATCAATGATGGTGTCTATCAGTATGACATTGCTAAGTGGTTTCCTCATCTCAAAGTAAGACGAATATCTATTCAATCTGACGATGCCCTGGTGATGGTGCTCATGGATGGTAAATATTGAAGTGTTGAAACTTTAGACTTTCTGATATATTTTGCTTCACTGTAGTTGCACATCAATAAACAGCTGGTGAGATTGTGGTTTATGAAGCTCCAACAGCATGGTCAACGCTGATGCTTTGTTCCTGCTCGCCTGTTGACAGTATGTAAGTGCCTTGATTGGTCATAGTCCTCAACCCGTGCTCATGATCCTCATCCCTCGCTGCTGCTCGCGTGTCGACAGTACGTAGGTGCCTTTACTGTTTGTAGTCCTCAGCCCCTGCTCATGATCTCCATCCCCTCGCCTGTCGACAGCGGGTAAGTGCCTTGATTGTTTGTAGTTTTCGACGTGCTCATGATCCCCATCCCTCACTGCTGCTCGCCTGTTGAAAGTGGGTGAGTGCCTTGATTGTTTGTAGTCCTTGACCCGTGCTCATGATCTCCATACCTCGCTGCTGCTCACTTGATGACAGTCGGTAAATGTCTTGATTGTTTGTAGTCCTCGACCCCTGCTTATGATCTCCATCCCCTCGCCTGTCGACAGTGGGTAAGTGCCTTGATTGTTTGTAGTTCTCGACATGTGCTCATGATCCCCATCCCTCGCTGCTGCTCGTCTGTCGACAGTCGGTAAGCGCCTTGATTGTTTCTAGTCCTCGGCCCCTGCTCATGATCTCCATCTCTCGCTGCTGCTCGCCTGTTGACAGTATGTAAGTGCCTTGATTGTTTGTAGTCCTTGACCCGTGCTCATGATCTCCATCCCTCGCTGCTGCCTGCTCGCTTATTGACAGTCGGTAAATGCCTTGATTGTTCGTAGTTCTCGATACGTACTCATGATCCCCATTGCTGCTCGCCTGTGACAGTGGGTGAGTGCCTTTACTGTTTGTAGTCCTCGACCCCTGCTCATGATCTCCATACCCTCGCCTGTCGATAGCGGGTAAGTGCCTTGATTGTTTGTAATCCTCGACATGTGCTCATGATCCCCATCCCTCGCTGGTGCTCGCCTGTTGACAGTCGGCAAGTGCCTTGATTGTTTGTAGTTCTCGATGTGCTCATTATTCCCATCCCTCGCTGGTGCTCGCCTGTTGACAGTCGGCAAGTGCCTTGATTGTTTGTAGTCCTTGACCCGTGCTCATGATCTCCATCCCTCGTGCTGCTCCTCTGTCGACAGTCGGTAAGTGCCTTGATCGTTTGTAGTTCTCGATGTGCTCATGATCTCCATACCTTGCTGCTGCTCGTCTGTCGATAGGGGGTAAGTGCCTCGATTGTTTATAGTCCTCGACATGTGCTCATGATCCCCATCCCTCGCTGCCGCTTGCCTGTTGACAGCGGGTGAGTGCCTTGATTGTTTGTAATACTCGACATGTGCTCATGGTTCCCATCCCTCGCTGCTGCTCGTCTGTTGACAGTCGGTAAGTGCCTTGATTGTCTGTAGTTCTCGACGTGCTCATGATCTCCATGCCTTGCTGCTGCTCGCGTGTCGACAGTATGTAAGTGCCTTGACTGTTTGTAGTCCTTGACACGTGCTCATGATCTCCATCCCTCACTACTACTCGCCTGTTGATAGGTGGTAAGTGCCTTGATTGTTTCTAGTCCTCGACCCATGCTCATGATCTCCATCCCTCGCTGCTGCTCGCTTGTTGACAGTCGGTAAATGCCTTGATTGTTTGTAGTTCTCGACACGTACTCATGATCCCCATTCCTCGCTACTGCTCGCCTGTCGACAGTATGTAAGTGCCTTGACTTTTTGTAGTCCTCGACACGTGCTCATGATCACCATCCCCTGCTGCTGCTCTCCTGTTGACAGGAAGTAAGTGCCCTGATTGATTCCAGTCCTCGACCCGTGCTCATGATCACCATCCCTCGCTGCTGCTCACTCTCCTATCGATAGCAAGTAAGCGCCTTGATTGTTTGTAGTTCTCGACACGTGCTTATAATGTTCATTCTTCGCTGCTGCTCGCGTGTCGACAGGAGGTAAGTGCCTTGATTGTTTGTCCTCGACCCCTGCTCATGATCCCCATCCCTCGCTGCTGCTCGCCTGTTGACAGGAAGTAAGTGCTTTGATTGATTCTAGTCCTCGACCGATGCTCATGATATTTATCCCTTGCTGCTGCTCGCCTGTCGACAGTCGGTAATTGCCTTAATTGTTTCTAGTTCTCCACCCGTGCTCATGATCTCCATGTCTCGCTGCTGCTTGCCTGTTGGCAGAACGTATGTACCTTCCATTTTTTTCATACTCAACTCATGCTGACGATCGTTACTGCTCATCTGTTGATAGGAGGTAAGTGCCTTCATGACTTTCTGTCCGCAACCCATGTGGACAGTGCTCAAATCTTGCTTTTTTTGGCAGATGGTAGGTGTCTTGATCATATCTTGTATTCAAATGATACTGAATAGTATAATGATGGTAACTCATTTTCATAGCTTGATGTAAGTATTTTCTGTTCTATCACATGAGTCAGACCACCATCGCTCATATAATGCGTAGTTCGTTGAGTATCCCTCCGTGATTACTCATTTTCCATGTTCACTCATTGCATATTTTCTTGCCCTGTGCAGAATGTGAGTCATTTGACCCTAATAATGTGAAGGATTAAATGTCTCAATCTCTTTGCTGGATCTTTCACTCTATAGGATGTGCGTGTATTTTAATCGCTTAGGATTTTAGCCACTTCATCGCTTGTATTCATCATGTGTTCGTAGAATGTGTGTTAATCATATCCTGTCTGATATGGTGGAACTCCGCTGACATACAATCTTATTTAGCTCGTACGTCCATGGATAGCAAACCTTCTGGTGATACTCATCTGGTTCCGACCCCTGACAGTTTGTAAGTTACCTGAGCACCGCAGTCATTGTCGTACACAACCTGGTTAATTATTTGCAACTGTCACGTCAACCAAATAGAAGGTGCGTCTCTGTTATTAATCAAATCTCAATTTGCCACCTCATGATTCCTATATTCCTTTCCTGTAGGAGGCAAGTACTTTGCTCTGCGGAGTGGATTCTGACACCCACACTTTCCACCTATGGCTAGACCAAAATCGAGAAAAATGGCATTATTCGCGTCCTTCAGCCTTTGGTAGGTTGGTTTTCCTGCGCATTGATCCTCAGCACTGTAAGAGTGTACAGCAGGCTGTGAAAACTTCTGTTGCAAACAAAATTGTTCAGATTGGCATCGGTTAGTTTGTCCCTGCCTGACCAGTTGGAGTCTTAATAACAGTATTCAGCTACTATCATCGTCCTCGAGTACTCCGCCTTCCTCGCGAACAGCTCGAAGGGATGGGAGTACATCAAGTCGGCCGTGGACTACTATCTGAAATCTCCGACAGCTGTCGCAGTGGAGAAAGGAGCGGAAGAGATTTCTCGTCAAAACTACAACAAAGAAGAACTGGAGAAGAAGGTTTTCGAGTTCATCCTTGAAAATCGCTTGTGTACGTTCCCTCCCCTTGTTGTGAATCTGAAAGTCGAAACTTACTGACAGCCTGCAGCAAAGGACTTGACAGAAAAGAAGTAGATGATGTTCGAGCCAAGTTTCCTGTTTTTGATTCGTTCTTCCGTGCTATGCCCTCGTGTTGTACATACCGAGCACGCCTCGATTCCTGAGCGGTGCAGACTAATGTTTCCTTAATATTTTCGGTGCTTTTTCATATGCTATACACTATGCTCGGCACGACAGCTTCAACTGCTGAGCACTGCAGATTGTATCGGGTTTCAACACCCACTTCTCAGACCTTATTATATCGTGTGCTATTTTGTGTTATGCAGGCGCACTCGTCAAATGATCGCTGTTTATTCTCATTTTCAATCATGAGAATTTGGGAACTGGCTCGGTAAGCTTGATGTTGAAACGGACGGACATGACGACTGACAACATTGTCGATGCTAGTCAGCAGCCTGGGGGAGTAAGACATGTACATGGGAGACTGCAGTAGATTTAGAACAGACAAATCAGAAGGCAATCGAAGCATTGTATCATTGTCTGGTAGTTGAACATAACTTCACTGTCTCGACAAAGGGTAAGATTTCGGACAGCAAACCAAGGCGACAGAAAAAGATGCGGCCGTATCGAGGTACTGACAGCATCGTGAAGCGTAAGTATACTGTGGAAACGACAAGGTAGCGCCTCAATAAGTTGCAGTCGGATAGAAAAGAGGCTAGATACGAGCCATTGTGAATATGAGAAACATTCTCATGACAAGGGACGCACCATCAAATGTCCTACGACTGATCTGCGCGGTTCTTAACGAGTCCCATCATTCTTCCGTACGTCATACTAGAGGGTGACTGAAGGCGTTCCATATTTTTGTATATTTTTGTCTGCGACCCCAAAGACATGTTCAGGTATGGGCCATCGGGTCAGGACAAACGGCGGTGTCGCTGAAAAACAATATACGGATAGATTTTCCATTTTTGATAGGCGATGTTGACAAGAGTGGTAGGCGTCTCAGCACTTGGGGTTGCATGGCAGGTGTGGTCACTGATCCGCCTTTGGTAGAGCGAAAACGGGTACTGGCGCAGTCACTGCTTGTAGGTGACCACTTGAAGGACCAGATGACTTTATGAACATGTCACTGAGCAAACTTTGTGGACTTATGTATCCAATCAGCACGGTGGGGATGAGAGAGCGATGGATGACGAGGCTTACGCAGACTGGACTCGCTGAATGTTACTGTACTTATGAGCATGTCTCACTAGAGTCGGCCTCGGTGAACAGATGAAAAAGTTATGTAAAGCAATCGCAACAATCTTCGTGTCATTTGTTGCAATGCTCTACAATGCATTTGGGGATACCCATGGAATGGTTCGAAAATCTACGCTCGGCCAGGTTTTGCTCGAAGCAGGCTGGGTCGGCGTGAATGAGGCTGTCGTGCAAAGTGATTCGTATAGCTAGCGTTTCTACTGTGGAAGCGCCTAGATCTTGGCAACAAAGAGCAGTGTATGCCTTCCCTGATCACGATCAGGTCAACGTCATCTAATATCAAGAGATCACCTTGAGGCCAGCACTTTCCCTGGTCGTATAATGGACGACTATGTGCGGGCTCAAATACTGCGGCATAGAATTAAAAAAACAACTTGTTGGCTGAGTTGAATTTGTAATTAAATAATGGTTTGTATCCAATTTGGGCCACTAACGCCAGAGGTACCCGCTGACTAATCTACAACTCAGGTCCCCGTTCAGCATGGTGATAGTCGCTGCCGTGGTCCAAACCTCTCTCAATATACAGGAATGACCACCGTCCAATCCCTGAGCTTCCTGGTGAAAATTTCTGCTGACATTTTCAAATTCACATCAGCAGACCATGACTGCGCAGTTACAGTCACGTATAACTGCGACCGGCCCCCAGGGTACGATGCAGTGCCGACCCCAAATGATGAGCCTGAGCACGAGGCCGAGTGCTGGCGACAGGCTGCCGGCAAAAGGATGCACCCGAGTGTTCGAATATCAATGCATCAATGTCCATGGTTATAGTTCTAACACTTACTACCACGGGGCGACTCGGATGACTGTCACAACATGGATCAGGAAAGCTGGATACAGTCGTCCGTGATAGTCCGGGTCTCCATACGATCAAGTTTTGTTTTCTGTACGCATCATCTTTTGCAAATATTTTTCAAAGCTCATAACAATCTATTCTGCATTATTTTGCCTAACCAGCCATCCGCTTGTTAGGTACTTGAGAAAAACTCGATGGTCCAAAATAAACGCATATACGGCATATCTAACCTCCGTCACCTCGTGTCTCCCAATTTTGTTCTCTACATACTTTAATTTCCCTCGACATTGGGTCCAGGGACACCTTTTTGATTCCTCACATGCTGTAGAAGATGCTATTACACGAATGGTAGTGCCAAGGAGCTGAACACCATTTTTGTCATGTTGGGCTGTGGCCTTCTAGCTCCCTCGCCAAAGCGGCAAGCGCTGGTGGAGCCCAGAAAGACGTCAAGAAAGTCGTGTCTTCAGCGCTGATAAGCAATACGTCTACTGGCGCAAAAGGTAAGGGAGGACTATATCGGCCAAAATTCCAGGGGTAATCGATCAGTTGACTGACCTCGCCATGATATCGATAGAGTTTGAGGCGAAGGCAAATTCATCTCGCTGGTAAAGAGCAGTAATTTGGATTGAGGCCACACAAAGTTCATCCGCCGAAAGCGAAATGAAATCTAATCACGCTACTAAGAAATTTGAAAATCGTCCTGTCAGAATGCTTCATCGTATCTTTATTTCTTTTCCGCCATATTGGTTGAATGGGCTTAGGAGATATCATGCATCCACAAAACATCCCCCAACGGACAATAAACAAGGAGACAGAAAAAACTTGGAACATTCCTCATAATGGAGGGATCACTCCGATATAATTACAAGCATACACTACATGCCAATCTAATACAATCATCTGTGCAATACTGTTCTACATAATCTGATGGAGATGTAAGCAGGAGGTCACCCTCGTTGAGCAGATTTACTCACATAATTGCGGATGTCGCTCGGGAAGCTTGATGATGACTGTGCCATCATCTCATTGTGTGTCGTCTCATGCGAGTTGTGGTCATTGGGCATGAAGTCATCTAGACAGAGGTTATCCATGCTGCCATCCAATATGAATGGTTCGTCCAGCCTGTTTTGCGTGCCGTATTCGTACAACTCTTGGTCCGAGAAGTTTGGGGACACGGGGTAATTTTGGGAAGAAAGTGGATGAATGGGGTTAAGTAACTCGGAAGAAGCATGAGCAGTGTCTGTGAGGAGTTGTGAATTAGTTTGATATGCGCCATGTGGTAACGTGGAAGCTGTGGATGCGTGTACAGAGACAGGATACCGGAAGTGGTATGTAGCAGAGAAGACAGGAACTGGACGTGGGCGACTTGAGGATCTTGCGGGAGCTTCTGGATCCATAATACGGTACACATCCTGGATGATGGTGTATACGGTAGGATCTTAAACGACAAATCGATCAAACACCTGTTACACGTGAAGGTCAGAAAGGACGGACCTGGAGATTTGCACAGGGTCTCCCAGTACTTGGGCACTAGAGGTGTGCTGTATAGTAACGGAACGTCGCCGGAAGAACCGGTAAAATATGGTCCGACACATTTGAGTTTTGTGTCCTCGCTGTGTATGGGTGCGCCATCCAATAAGACTATGTAGGATGACTTGCCAATGAAGGCTGAGGGTGAGACGAAGGTCACGGTGGTATCAACGTCCCTTATGGGACGTGGTGTGTCTGAGGAAGTGCGTGAAGCGACACCTTGAGGGAGTAAATCATGCGGAGAAGAAAATGGTGCATCCAAACGTGATGACTCGGAAGATGAGCTCAAGAATGAGCTAGACTGTGGCAAAATGTCAATGTATACTGGAGTACGCATGTCAGGAAGGTGGTTTCGTTTAGACGATGGCATGTATTGTCCAGCAGATACAGATGAGCCAGTAGATTCAGAGGAGCAGGTGGATGAGTTGTCAACGCTGGTTACCGTCGAATATAAAGAGGAAGGACAAGGGTAAGGTTCATCCCGGCTATGAGGAGACAACATCCGCGACGAGTCGACTTCACTCCGCGCGCCATGACGTTGCAGGGCAAGCGAATCGACGACTTCCAAAATGGTAAAGTCTAGTTACCGTGATGTCATGCACAGGACTACGGATACTTACGTTCCCGACCCTCGAATGTGTCCTTGAACTGTTGTAGACGACTGCCTATTTGTTTTGATGATCTGTACTTTCCAGTCTTGCGGTAGATGTAGTCTGAGATGAACTGATTGCGCTGAGGGAACCGACTTAATATATGTGCTTCCCGGGCGTAGCTTGGGTGAACGGATCCATATTCCTGAAGGCCTGAGGAGCGCCGACTCAGAGTCACGTGGACTATCAATCAAATATGATCCATACCTTTTAACATCATGGCTTCGAGACAAGGTGGCCATACAGGCTCGGTATTATTACCCTTGAGATTTTTCCAGCTTTTTCTGACCTTCATGATCGTCCGAAAAATATCATCTGTACTTTGGCTCGGTGATATTGAACGCAAAGGATTGGGACCGCGTGGTCTTGCCATGCTGTAAGTTCAAGATTGGAGGGTAACGTTCAGAACGTGCTTGGTGAGCGTGAAACGTGACGGAATGTGGGCGATCAAACAATGGGCGCAGGGGAATACAAAACGAGAGTGATCTGATTATAGATCAATATAGGTGAAGTATAGCAATGGGAACCTGGCTGATATAACTTGGGGGTAACGGCAGACATGTTTTCCGGATGCGGCAGATTTGAATAAAAAAACAGCTTAGGTGTAATACGCGGAGGGGACGATAATCTAGAACCCCGTTGGTCAAGCTATCTGCATCCGAAGCTTTGAGTTCGCTAACTCACTCTTGAGAAGTACGAGACGGTATGGGTCGCGCCGCCCGAGGTTCTGGCGGTACCGTAAAAATGAGTACCCCCAGTTGGCAACTCAGTAAGGGACATGTCGAAAAACATGCGCCATGATTACATTTCAATGGTGAGAAGCCGTTAATGTGATGGCCGTAGTGTTGCAAGATGTGGTGATATTTGTCACTCAGATTCGTGACAGCGTTTCCGGCGATGTGATCGTCCCGGTTCGGATAATTCCGATCGGAGTTCAATCCATTTAATACACCAGATTATCTTCCAATGAATATTTCTACAATGTAAGCCTCGAGATTAACTACTACCATTTCTCAGGCCTGCCTGAGCACTCGACGTCAGCCTCATTGGCATGCTTCCCCGTTTACCTTTGTTTGAACAATAGGCCAAGCCCATAATAATTTGCGGCTTTCCTCCTGAAACCATACTTGCGCCGATCAAGGATCTGACTTGCGCCAGTTTTTGGGATTTTTATCATCTTTCTGCCTACTACCCGGGCCGGGGGAGCCTATATTTCTTGCCACAGCTCAGTATCGCTGATGAAATTCGGCCCTGAAGAGAACCTTCATACCTACTATTCCTATTTATTCCGGCAACTGCACTTGGCGATCGACATGCGTATGGAACCCGAACACGAGTTCTTAACACTGGGCCTGTAGGCTGATGGCGTGCGCCTCAAACCCTCGGCTACGGTGAGCGTCAGATTCATAGAAGAGTTACTCAGATGATGCTTCGACAGCAGACTCAAGCTTTAATTCACTTGATGCCAGTTCGAGCAAAAGGACGTATGGCAGCTCAATGATCCACGAACCCTCCCAGGGTAACAGCTTTGTAGGATCTAACCTGAGATAATTGTAAGTTGCCAATGGCGATGGTTTATTCCTACACGAACCTGCCACAGGAACTGTAACTCTGAATCAGCAGAGAATCAGTTTGCAATAAGGAATGATTAAAAAATCTCTAGAATAGACCCCGCACTCAAGTACAACGTCGTCTAACTTCGAACTCGCTCATGGAACTTCAGGTCGTATTGTTGGCACAAGCTAGCCTACAGACCGGATTGTTCCAGGTGTTACACTGTTAATAGGTGGGGATGTCAGATGCATACTGGCTGTAAGATAATGCGACAGTAGTTGGCCGAATGGGAACTCGGCGGGGCTAACCTATCACGGGAACATTTCATTGCAAAGTGTAAGAGAACACGACTCTCCCTCCATCGTCCAACTTGAGCAATGCGTCTGTAAGGTGCAGCTCACGATCGTTACAATTATGATCATTAAATCCGCATGATCACTGACTGCTATGGTGAGGACACCATCACTCAGTGGGTAGCATGCACACCTGGTGTTCGTGCTAGAATTATATGCATTACATGCCCGCTGGGCCACACGTCAGCGCTTGATCTAGTATGGCAATCGAATGGCAAGTAAGGATGACTGTTGAGTACAATTCGGTCAAGATTTTCGCCCAGGTTGCTGTCCGTAGGAATTTATCATGAATTGTCATGGGGGCCGCACGCGCTTCCTCGTAACCGGTGATATTACGGATCGTGTCATGCTCAAGGAGATAACCTAGGTGACAATATGGCTATCAGGACACAATAGTGCATGCAAGCAGATCAGGACGTACATGCACCAGACACAGCCAAATAAGACTCGCGTGATGTAATACTTCTCAAATTGGGACCGTATTCAAAATCAGTGTATTCATAAATATATCTGTCCGTAGCACCGTTCCGACCGTATCTCAGGTAACAGTGTTCGCAAACGTAGAAGACCAGGGCCTTGTTGACAAATGCAGAACACAAGGATGACCCTCAGCTGGGATATGAAATCGGTAATAAATAAAACGCACGTTCAGACTCCAAACGAGTCGGCAGCATCGCCGAGTCGCATGACTACAATGAAAAATTAACCGAGTCAACTTTGCTAAGGACACGAATAATATATCGCATACCCTGTCACGTAGTATTGTTCTGAGATCCAGGGGAGATCTGGAGATCGAGTTCATTCTAATGCTGGACATCTCCATCGAACAACACATGTGTTATAGCTATCCTCATTGATCAGCAACTGTTAGATATGATCATGCAATGACTCCAAGGCATTTCGCAGTGCTTGCGGCTGACAGACATCCTCGAGGAAACTTTCCAGAAAGAAACAGGTCAACGACTTCCATTCAGTCGAGCTCGAAGCTCCCCCAATTTCCGTAATAACCTACAAGCGTAATCCAGGGTCCACTCCCACAACTGCACCGGATACTTGTGACCCGGGTCGTTAAAGACGGGTGTAATGAAGGGGAAAGTTCTAGGACAAGAAGTCCGCCGATAATGACGCCGTAAGCACATGTATGACACTGACTCGTAAGTCCTGTCTACTGCCCGGGTGGCGTTAAGTGAGGGAGTCCATGGATGAAGGTAAGCAGCATGTTTGGATTGGCAATCCTACAAAGAACCAAGATTAAAACATTTAGCCGGAAAGTAGTAAACCGGTCCCGAGCTATAGGCTGAAATGTATACTTCACAGAAGAAAACAACCCTGCAACCGATCAAGTAAACGAATACAGTTGTTAACTTGTCAGAGTCAACAACAGACGGATGATCAAACTTACATTTGGGTCTTCCAAAGGGGTTCAAGCCGTTGTCCTACCGGCATCAGTCATGGACCGTGGATCTTAACCTTGAAGATGCCATCACTCAATGCCAGACGGTACCGGTAGAAGAGGTAAGATAAGACGTTAACGGTCGATGGCTATAGCCAGTGTCGACTCCCACGGCCCGGCCCGGGAACAATTCGGAGTTCAATATAATTTCTCGCAGACCCAGGCCTTGACCTGGAGTCTTTGACTCTGAATCAGTTGGTGGGTGCCGTGTTGCATTTGTTGTAAGTAATAGGATCTACATAACTTAGGAATGTAACAGGTTGATCCACACACTTCGTATTTGATAGGTACACTCCAGTCGCCATACAACATGTGTTTGTCTCCATAGACCTGATCTTAAATATACCTTTAAAACATCATATGGTAAATAAATGCCAAGACGGATTTTCGACTACAATTCTCCTTTCTGCAAACCACTCGGCAAGCATTTCCCTACACAGTGCTGCTAGTTGATACAAGTACACGCCCCTGGAAGGCAATCGAAGTCATGCTGGTTTCTGCATCAGAGTTTTTCACGATCTTAGCGTGATATTCTCGAACGCTAAGGATGAGGCGTGGTCCCAGCACAAATAGCTGTATAGCAGATAGAATTTGAACAGCACCGACGAGTATCTGAGCTCCAACAGAATTTGAATTCTACAGAAATTATGAGCAGTGCTTGCAAGCAGATATTAGCAAAAAGTTAGCGCACCGAGAAGTCTGGAGAGAGATAAGCAAGCTGGAGGCAAGAGACAACAACAACGCTAGCACATGCGGAACTTTAGCAGAAGATAATGACTACATTCATATTACAAACTCACCTTGCAAAATAAAGCACATGTGATTGTATCAACACTTTGAAACAGTCCCTGATGGTCGATCCCTTCGATGGGCTGAGTCGTCGCAGGTCACGGAAGTGTTTCACAGTAATCCAGACTGAAAAACACAGTGCGAGGACCTCCCAAACAGTGTTAAGAATCCAAGTCATTGAAATCAGAAGTTGGGCATCCCCCTCCACTGTAAAATTGCACATATATGTGCCAGAAATTATCCACTCCTCTGGTGTTCGTCAAATGAGCTGTGTTCTTCGACTCGATGATTAGAGCTTACCCGCTACAAAATGCTTGAGTGCTATTATTACGATGACTGCGCAGGCGATGTTAACAGCCAGGAAGATAATAACAAGGAGGATGAGCATCCTTCTAGATCCCTGATACATGGCATACAACCGAGCAATCATGATCACTTGCATCGTGTTTCAGTCGAGTCAATAATGCAGAGGTATTGCAGTTGAATAACTCACCGCACAACATGCCAGTTATGACCACATTTATCCCATTCACTGCGTAAAATATATTGTTGCCTAAAACACTCAATTAGTATTCACCCTCATACTAGTATCAAACACTCCGACTTACACCTATTAACTCATTGCGTTGAGCCCAGTTCAATGTTCAGAATCTCACTCACCCCTGCAAACGAGTGTATTCATTTGGATGGGAATGAATGAGATGGTTGCGTAATACTCACTGCATCTGTCAGCGGGACCGTTGTCATATTTGCTGTGTACCGCCGGTCAGAAGAATCAAACACAGTGCATATGAGACATACCAAGAACTTCGATACTAATCATCAGAGATGAGCTATTAGCACAATGTCAATTTGTTGGCATCGACACGTACACACAGAATGGCATTCCGATATAACGTATCTAGAACATTTTGGAGTCAGTATAACTTGCCAACCACGCTATAGCAAAACATGAGGTACGAACAACCAAATATAGCACAGTCATCAGCGACCAGCGTTGCCTCTGTCACGAATTCATTGTATTCTCCTGTTGTGCTTCTGATATGGGACTCTTATCACTCACCCAAATGAGTTCAATCTATGATGATACCTTTCTCAGCCAGTTTGCTACTGTAGCGATATCATCAACCTACCTCTTGTCCGAGTGTCAGTACTGGAGATATTATGAGAATATCAGCGGTTCTCGAAGACTGTCCCTCTCACCCAGATCGTATACAACCACGACGGCGGCGGCAACTGTGAAACTGCAAGTCAATGTTAGATCCAAAAATCACGATGCGACAAACCTGTCCAATAGCTGAAATACACGTTAAAACTGATTAGCGGCCACCAACTAGGATCATTTGAGACTACGGTCATATTCGGGGATGAGTGTGAGCAAATGGTGAATGATGGTGGTGTATAAGGATAACATTTGACGTGCTATTATACCACCGCTCCACGCTTGTACAAATTCAGCATGATGGAGATAGATAATTTATCCCACCTGAAGACCCTGCATCAGGTCATGAAGAAAGTATTGCAGTACGAAACCAAACAAAAAGAAAGCACTCGGCAATCACAGTGAATCTAGATTTCCAAATTAGCATTACGCACACGACTGTTTGAACCCCAGGAAAGTTTCAGTCGGTGATGTCGGCAACTTATCTTGAACACAATTCTGGGTGTTTTTGCTGCAAGCTTGTAAAAAAAACAAGGAGCTCGTTATGAAAT